ATCCCAATACGTCAAAAACTGTACAATATTCTCCTCTCAGTAAACCCACCACCCTACTCGTCATCATCGTCCTCGTCATCATCGTCCTCGTCATCATCGTCCTCGTCATCATCGTCCTCGTCATCATCGAGATCATCCAGCTCCATGTTCAGGTGAACGCTCCCATCATCGCTCTCATCACCTGCTGCGCCATCTTTCCCCGCATCAGCAGAACGATCAGGAATGACCGGCATGGCAGCCCGTTTCGTGTCCACACCCTGACGCTTCTGCGGCGGATCCGCATCAACGTCCTCGAGCTTCCGCTTCTGTGCAGTGGACGCATCCCCCGCCACCTCGATCGACGACATCGACATCGACGACGCCTCCCGCCGCAGGAACGGGCTCTCGCCGGTTTCCGCTTCAGAGGCCCTGCCCACGTCCTCCGACCCCGCCGCCACGACGACGATCGTCTCCGCCGGTGTAGCCCCGTCCCGGTTCGTCCCGTTGGCGGCCCCAGCGCCCTTCATGACCTGGTCCCCATCTGGACCCGCGCCGCCGACGACCTTGATCTCGGATGCCGCTCGTTCGTCGCCATTCTCTTCCTCTTCCTCTTCCTCCTCTTCTTCTTCTTCTTCTTGCTCCTCCAGCTCTTCGAATCCGGCGGCCAAGCGAATGCCGTCGCCCGTGGTCTGGGCCGCCGACGTCCGAATGTTGGACCGCAGGATCTCGACGCCCTGGTCGCGGGGGAACTGGCGCGAAAGATGCGGCAGGATGCTGGGGTGGCTCTTGCCGGTGTCGCTGATGTACGGGTTCAGCACGCTGGCGAGCATGGCGCCCTTGCACTGCGCGAGGATGGCGGTCTGGTCGAGGAGGCCGCGGAGGCCGGGCTTGAGGTGCCGTTGCGGGAGGTGGGTCAGGAGGTCGGCGAGGAGGGTCTCGGCCGCGGCGCGATGTTCTGTCGACAGGGGTGCGATGGTGGAGGCTTTCGAGGCGGCGTCGTTTTGTTGCTGCTGCTGTTGTTGTTGTTGCTGCTGTTGCTGTTGCGGTAGGAAGAGGTCTACGTTGGCCGTGACCGCGGCCCCGTTCCTCTTGGCCTCCGCGCCTTTTTTCGCCGGCACAGAAACCTTCACGTCGTCGAGATGGCCCGCATGCTGTTGGAGGTCCCTGCAGCAGGCGAGGATGACGACGCTGATGGTGTCCACGGTGGGCTTCGCTATGCCGGCTCCGCAGATGGGGAGCAGAACGGAGAAGAGACGGTACGTCGCGAGCCGTACGGCAGAGTTGTCGACGCCGGATTTCAGGGCAAGAACGGCGCTATCTACAGCCTCCGACGCAAAGGGGAGCGCGTTGTATCGCAGTCTCGCGACGAGGACGAGAAGGAGGTCCAAAGCCGCGATGTGAATGGCGGGGACGACGCTCCAAAGCTCCTCCTTCTCCTCCCTGGCGACGGCCGGATGTGTCTCCAGAGCCTGTTCCCAGGACTGAGACTTGCGGCTACGGCTGATGAGACACAGCCGGTTGACGACATCTACCAGAGTGCCGACGGGGATGGACACGGCACTTTTGGTGGGATAGCGAAGCATGTCGGCCATGAGACGAAGCAGGCCGATGAGCCTCTGGCTCCCGGCCCGGACGCCTTTCCACTCGGGTAGTTCGAGAGACGATGAAGTGCCCTGGGGTGGACCGTTGAAGTCGAGCTGGGACCGGGAGGGGGGGATGGAGGAGGAGTCGACGCCCTCTTTGACGGCACGGAAGACCTGGAAGGCAGCGAGGCCGAAGTCGTCCATGACATCGGCCATGAGCTTCGCCCACGCGTCGCTGGGCCCAGTCTTGCCGGCTAGGGTGAAGTGGAGCGAGATGGCAAGCCGACGGCTAGCACGCTGCAGAGACAGCGGGACCAAGGTGTCGTCTGAGGAGGTCGGCGCAAGATAGGTTCGAATAGCGGCTCTGATCTGGCTGTTGAAAGGGCGACACGTGGTAGGGTATAAAGGCAGGAGGGACGAGAAGGCGTCGAGAATGGTCTCGACGAGAGCGGAAGATACTCTCTGGCGCTGGCCTGCGGCAGGAGGCTTGATGAGTTGCAGACAGGCATTGAAGAAAGTAGCCATGGTGGGAGTGGCGATCTCGCGAGTGAGGGTCTGATAGTCGTGGACGAGGGTGTATATCCTGACCAGGCCCACGACTGAGAGTTCCTTGGCCGGGAGAGGATCATTTTTCTGATGGTCCAGTTAGATGAGCGGAAAAGAATAAAAGGCAATGTCAGTCCAGTTGTCAACAAATGGGGTTTATCCAACCTGAAGTATGTTCAACATGCCGCGAACCCATGGACCCGACTCGCGCAAACATTCCCATCCGCCGACGTCCACTACAGCCTTGGCCAAGGCCGCCCCTGTGAAGCGCCCAGCAGCGGTCTTTCCATTCAGCAGGGTCGTGATGATCGTTTTCAGCTTATGCACGAGCATGGAAGCTTCAGAAGAGCCATCTTTGGCCTTGGGGTCATGCTGAATGGACAGGATGTCTTTGCATCGCAGGACCTGGTTGATAGAGGCTGGAAGGGAGTGAGGGAGCTGGCTGGGAGGAGTCGATGTCAAGCGGCGACAGAGGACGCGCAGATCCGGGGGCAGCGACATGGCTTCGAATTTGAGAAGGGTAGAAAGCTCAATTAGAAAATTTGAGAAATAAACTGGGTCGTAAACATAAGACTACCTATCTATGACACTGGGTGAGTGAAGGTCTGGTCTTGAGTGTTGGAGTTGAGGAAGTTCGAAACTTTTTTTCTTCAAGTCACATTCGATTGTAAAGGTACCTAAGAGGTTACGTTGCGCATTTCATAATAAGGTACCTGAAGATGTTTTATACAGAGTACCCTGTGGATATCTTCTGTCATCAATGGCTGGAATTATTGGTTGGCTGGCTTTTTTGCTTGCCTTGACTTGGTCGAGTAACCAGTGAAAAAACAGCTGTACAAGATACTTTTTATACTCTGCTCGATGTGCACTATGATGGAGTACTCGGTACTTCTATTTCGCTAGCTGTGCTTGTGCTACCTTATGTTGGAACTGAAGGCAGCTTGGAGCTGTTCCTGGCCAACCCGCAGGCACCTGGACAGTCCATGATTGCGCTTGGTAAGACGACAGGTACCTTACTCGGCTGACCGCCTTATGTGGCGTACAGGTCAGGTACCTTATGAAGTACCGCGTCAGAATGTTTCTGGGAACCTGGAAACGTGAGAAACGTGAGAACGTCCATCGAAAAGCTGCATCCCACCTTCCTTACCTTCATGTAACGCCACCTCCGTAATAAATCCCGTCTCTCTTCTTCCTTCATACCTATCTACCCACCACGGAACCACAGCGTCAAGGAAAGACGACATTACCTTCCGCTAGTCGTCTGGCGGCCCCGATATCTCCTTTTCTATCATGCTTCGTCGCTGTCAAGGGCCATTATAGCGTTGTGGCTTCGTCTCTCCTCGACTGCCCGGGCTGTGTGCCTCATCGCAACATGGTAAATTCAATGCTGCTCCTTGGAATTGATTTAGATCACCCTCTCCCACCTCTCAGGTCTCCGGCTACCATAAGATGGGGCTGCAAATGTCAATTGCATGTCGTTCAAGCTAACGTGTCTATCAATTTCGTTTCTCAGCCGGACCCCGTCAAGGCTGCGCATTATATCCAGGCCCTCTGCGCTGCCAGGGCTGAAGGCAACTGGGAGGCCGTCCCCGAATTCGTGCGCAAGATCCGGAAACATGCCCCGGACCGAGCCTGTACGCCTTGAACTCCCGTCCGCCCTTCTCCCCTTCTTCCCTGCTACTCTCTACCTCTGTGCTAACTGTGCCTCCTCCGCCCAGGTCTCGCCCTGACCGCCGAGGTCGAACATTCCATTTCCACCGCTGCCAAGCAACCCGGCATTGCCTCTCGTCCCTCGACCGCCCTCACCGCGAAGGACCTCGACGTGTCCAACCAACTGCCGAAGCTTCTCGAGGTCATAGAGAATGAAGCACAGTTCCTAGAAGACAAGTTTCAGGCCCAGGTCTGCGTTGGCTGGCTTCACTGGACCGTCGGCGAATACAGTCTGGCTGGCGTCCGACTCCCCTCTCGCCTCGACCTCGAACAAATTCAGTTCGACCCGACCCACAAGGCCTCCGAGTGGACCAACGTCTGCGCTCTCAAGGCCGCCTACCTGAAAGCCGACTGCTTGGTGGTTGGCAAACAGAGGGAAGAAGCGCTGCGCATCTTCGAGGCCGCCCTGCCGACCTTGTCCGCCGTCCCCTTCGGCAAGGCCACCGGAAAGCAACTACGATACTGCTCCGAGCTGTTCCTGACCGAGTTCTGCATGCTGCAGAGCCAGGCCCTGCGCGCAAACGAACGGTCGCTGGAGGACCCCAACTCGCTGGCATGCTTCCGGTCCTGGGCCGATTACTGGGATGCATTTGGCGGGTCGCTGGGAGGCCATGGATTCAGGGGCTCTGTGCCGAGGAGGCGGGTGTGGAACGAATACTTCACCGCCTTGTCCACCATACTCGAGCTGGACCTCCCGTACCCCACCGGTCATCCGAAGAGCATTCCCGCCGAAGAATCCTCGGCGAGAGCTCACCTACGCACCGAGTTGGCCAAGGTGGAGACGGCCTACGAAGCCTTGCTCCTGAACGAGACCAAGTTCCCCCGGGCGGACGAAGAACGTGAAGAGGTTGAGAACTTTGTCAAACTCACCATGAGAAACTGGTCTCTCCTTTGCGGTCGCGGTTGGCGTGAGGATCATCTCGGTCCCGATGGACGTCAGGGCATCAGCCGCCGCGTCCTGGACGTCCTTTACCGCGCTGCCACCAAGACGTACCATTCGACCACGATACTGCGATGCCTTTTCCTCGTCCACCTTTCCGTCGCCGAGTTCGGCCTAGCCTTCAAAGCGTTCGATTCGTACCTGGACCTCGTCAAGCATGGCAAGGCCCGTGTGGACAAGACGGGCCATCTGGAAGGGGCACTCGATGATGATGCCACCGTTCTCGAAACCATCTCGCAGTGCATACTGGCGCTGTGTCGGTACGGGGGCCGGGACGCCGCCGAAAAGGCACGAGACCTTGGCGGTGAGCTCGAGGACATGATGGCGAGATTGCCCCAACTGAAGGCAGGCGTCTCGGACGGAACGACCCTGCCGGAAATCGAGGAAACCACCAGTCCTCTGCACCCAGAGGTCCCGCCTAGCACCGTGGCGTTGTCCTGGCAGGCTATCGGTCTCTCCCATGCGCATTGGTCTCGCGTCACGTACGATGCCGTCGCCAGGACCGAAATCCAGGGGAAAGCCATTCGCTGTCTCCGCAAGGCTCTTACCCCGGAATTGGGCCGCACGAGAGACGTCCGCAGCCTGTTTGCTCTGGGCTTACTGCTCGCCGAGCGGCGGGAACTGTCATCCGCCATCGAGCTTGTCAAGTCGGCGTTGATTTCCAACAAGTCGGCCGATGGTACCGGTACCCCTAACCACTACCATGGGCCGTTCTGGCAACAACGCTCGCTCATATCTCTCTGGCACCTGCTGGCCCTCCTGCTCAGCGCGAGGCAAGACTTCTCGATGGCGGCACGAGCCTGCGAGGGCGCCTTTGAGCAGTTCAAGGACCCAACCGTTCTTTTCGGGACGACGACGCATCCGCTTTTCAGGAGCGACCATCTGAACGAGCTCGAGGCGGCCGACGAGAAGAGTCAGGAGCGCCGACGCGGCCTCGTCGATGACATGGACGACGCGGAGCGGGAGAGCCTCCTCGAGATCCAGGTCTCGCAGCTCATGCTCGTCGAACTGCTGGAGGGCCCGGAGGTGGCGGTGAACGCGAGCGACGAACTGCTCTCTCTCTTCTCGCGGCTCTTTGGCGACGTGCAGGCGTCCCCCAACAAGTCGTCTGCGCTAGGGGCTCCCGCGCCCCCGCAGGCGCCGAAGAGCTCGGCGGGTACGTTCCGGAGCATCAAAGGTAGCATTTTCGGCGGGCGTTCGGCAAAGTCGCATGACACGGCCAAGCCAAGCGCGGGCGCGGGCCCGGGTATGAACACGACCCTGGAGAGTGAAAAGGCGTCGGTGTCGACACGGCCGCAAACGACGCAGACTACGGCTAGTATCGCCCCGACCATACAAGTGACGGGTGAAAATGGACACGCGGTCCAGAGGCGACCGTCCCGGAGATTGTCCAGCGCGCGTCGGGCGCGGAGCGAGTCGGGGAAGCGCAACAGCCTGCTGAAAAGGGATCAGAGCACCGGTCGTCGGAGGGCGCCCAGTGCCGGCTCGTACCCCCCACCTGCTACCATGGCTGATGGCGAAGGCTTCTTCGCTCCCGGTCCCCATGACGCCGCCCAGCAGCGAGGGGACCATGGCACTACCCCGAGCAAGCGTCAACCTGCGGCCTCGTCCTTCTCCCGGGGGCAAACATTATCGCATAGCAACTCGGTCGCATCCCAGGGGTCCAGGTCGACGGTCTCCTCCTACCCTGAGATCACGTCGGACGCGACGTACACCATTACCAGCCCCTTGCCGATTATCCAGTTCGGCGCAGAGCACGAGCGTAAGCAGCGGGTGGCGCTCCTCATCAGGGTCTGGCTCGTGGTGGCAGGGTTCTATCGGAGGGCGGAGATGTTTGAGGACTGCCGGGGTGCCATCGCGGAGGCGCAGAAGCTCGTCCAGGGACTGGAAGCGACTGAGCGGGAAGCAGAAACGATCTCGGCATCGAGTCAGAGTCCCGGCTGGGCAGAGAAGAAGAGCATTGACGAATTGTGGGGTGACGTCTGGGCCGAGGTATGAGAGAACAACCTCCCCCCCCCCCCCCCCTTTTTTTCTTTTTTTCCTTCCTTTGTTTTCTCCTTAATCGCATGCACGTCAGCTAATAAAATACTTTAGCTGGGATACTTGTCGCTCGCCAAGGGCGCGCCTTTCGATGCTCGTTCCGAGTTCGAAGCCGCCCTCACCCGTTTCCCCGACCATCCGTCCGCCATCGTCGGTCTCTCCAACATCCTGCTCGACCTCTACTCCGAGAAGCTCCTCCCCCTACCGACCATGCCCGACCTCGCCACAGTGGAGGACAATTTCGTGTGCGTCTCGCTTCAATCGTCCGGTTCCATCCCCCGCATCACGACGCCATCGCAGGGCCTGCCTTCGACGCCCATCGGCCTGGGCATCAACCCCGCCACCACCAACTCGGATCCTGCTGCTGCTGCCCCTGCTGCCGTCGTCACCCTAGTCGCAAGGAATGGCGGGACCAAAGGTCCCCAAGCCGACGACGACAAGACCCTGCCGGCCGCCTACAAGGCGACGTCCCTGCCGCTGATCGACCGGCTCGCGGCGCGCGACCGGGCCAACGGGCTCTTGAGCGGCCTCACCAAGCTGGGCTCCTCGTGGGACTATCCCGAGGCCTGGTTCACGCTGGCGCGGGCGCATGAGGAGAGCGGGCTGTTGGAGAGGGCCAAGGAGGTTCTTTGGTGGTGTGTCGAGCTCGAGGAGGGCCGCGGCGTGCGCGAGTGGAGGTGTCTTGGTCATGGTGGCTACGTCCTCTGAGTTGGTTCCCTGGGACGTTGTTTTCATTACCGGCCTCTTTCGGTTTTTTTCCCCCCCTCTCTCTCTTCTCTTCTCTTCGTTTGAACTTTTTTTTCAAAATTTCCTTCTTTGTGTCACGACAAGCGGGCATCATCACCTGAGAGAGTCCTCCGGTCTAAGTGGTTTGGCATCCAAAGCTTTTAGCATCTTGTTTTGCATTTGTTTAATTATTTTTTTGTTTCTTCCTCTTTGCTTATTTGTTAGCTTTTGTAAAGAGCTATGGAATCGAATAGGAGAGGTTGGAAACGAAAAGAACAAGGAGAAGTGAAGGATAGAGATAGACATGGGAAAGAAGAAGAAAATAGCCAAGCAAGCGTTGAATACGCATTTGGAATCTTGCCGTCGTATCGTATATCCCTGTATCGTCGTAACGACTTCTCTGAAATGTGAGAGATGATGAGCTGGAATATTTATCCCAGACCAGGTACCCGTCCTAAGGCCCTGTCCAGGCATATCTCTGGCCAGCCAGTACTATAGGACCTAGGGCTTCTAGGATTCAAAAGGGCAACCTTAGGGTATCCAGAGAGCTAAACTTATAACCCGCGGCAGACCTATAGCTATGTACGTACTCGTGTACACTACCTAACACATATTAAGTGACATTGTCACTTATATCAAATCAGATAGCGAGGAGACTCGGTCTATTAGGATAAGGTACACCTCTGTCAGGATTAGAAACGTTAGCTCAAAACTTAGCCCTATGTCTTAATTGATTATTAGATTACGCTGCCGGTCCGTACTTTTCTATCTATTGTATATAGGGAGGTATAAAATCAAATATCGCTATGAGACTAATATTAAGCTAGGTAAAGCTATTACTACATTTCTTACACTATTTAGACTAGTTTTACTAAGAGATAGCGAAGATACTAACTATTAATTAAGAGTATTAAGGAAAGGTATTAGAATTTTATATAGTAGAGGTACTTAAAAATACCATTGTTCTCCTTATATTTGGTTGTACTACTCGCAGGGGTCCCTGTTATCCTTGGCTAATCATTTTACGTTGTATTCGAGCTAACGCTTCTAACCCTGGCAGGGGCGTATTGAATCAAACGGTAGCATGCACAAAATGGGTCAACTAGGTTTTATTGGTCTCGCTCCCCTCTCTCAACTCTCACCAGTCGCTCTCATAATCGTTGTTCTCATATATCCATAATTACATCTTATTCCAGTGGTCGACTTTCGGAAAACATCTCACTCACATTCACAAACAGCTTCAAGTGATAATGTGACACGGCCTTTCTGCATCAAATCAGTAACCACGAAGAAGAAAAAAAAGAAGAAAAAAAGGCACAATCAAGTTTGCGAAATAAACGTCATCTCTCTCCTCTCACCGCCCCGTCTACCAACCTCGCAACCACTCCTCGCCTCGATTGACCGCCGACCGCCGACCCCGACCCCGACCGCCGACGAAACCATGACGGGCACACCGCCAGACGCAGAACCCGCAGACGCGCGCATCAGCGCCTCAGACGGACGCTCCTACTGGCAGTCCATCTCTGCCGACGTCAACGGCATGCTCGGCGGGTACTCTCACATCAGCCACACCGATCTGGAGGGCTCGCGTGCCTTTCTCGCCAAGCTTGGCATTGGTACCAAGACCGGTCTGCGGACGGTCAGTCGTGCTCTGGAAGGAGGGGCTGGGTGAGTTTTCTTTTTCCTTTTTTTCTTTTTCCTTTTTTCCATCTTTTTTTTTTCGTTCTTTTCTTTCTCTTGCTTCTCTTGCCCTGCATCTTCTTTCTCTGCCTCTCTCTCTCCCTCTGTCCCTCTCTCCTCCGTCTCTTGGCGTATGCCGTGCCTGAGAGCCGCATCTGCATGTGCACTGCTCCCCCCGGGGGGTCCTCGATATCGTCTTCACCGCCTCGCTCCTTGCCCCTCGCCGGGGGTGGGCCGGACGATCGATTCACTTTATCCCTCTCTCCGCCGTCTCCTTCTAGTGTACACCGCCCTCGGCCACCCCCTGCCTCACTGCCCCCCCGGGGCTCTCCCTCACCGCTCCTGCACGAGGGAGGACCCGCGCATCAGCCCGTCCCGGTGCCGTATCCCCGGTAACATGGCTTGCTTGAGTCCGTGCCGAGGGCGCAGCTAAGTGGACAGTGGACACATACTGGCCCTAGCTTGAAAGTACCGCTCGTCCTAGGGAGGGAGCCATGAAGCATAGGAATAGAGACATCGTGGGATGGAGAGAGAGAGAGAGAGAGAGAGAGAGAGAGAGAGAGAGAGAGAGTCAGAGAGGGGGGACTAAGAGGAAATCAGGGGCAGGGGACGGAAAAAGAAATAAAAAAACGAACCATACCGAATCCCGACGCAAGACGCAGATGAAGCAGACAACTGACTCAAGACTCTTGCCGCTCTCCCGCGGCTCTCCATCCCAGTATAATAGCATCGGTCGCATCACCCAAGGCCTCCTCCTCGACGTGGCCGAGGAAATGGACGTGGTCGAACCGATAGCCAAGTTCACCGCCTCCCTCTCCGCCCACCCGGGCGTGGCATCCGTGTCCAACATCGGCCTCGAGGAGTGGCAGCCCGAACCGGACGTCGTCTACGACCTCGTCTGGAACCAGTGGTGTCTGGGCCACCTCACCGACGGGCAGCTCGTCGCCTACCTGCGCCGGTGCAAGGCTGCCCTGCGGCCCGGCGGTGAGGCCTTTATCGTTGTGAAGGAGAATTTGAGCACCAGCGGTCGGGATCTTTTTGACGATGTTGATAGTAGTGTTACGAGGTGCGTTGCTTGGTTTGGGGAGGCTTCCTTTTTTCCTTTTTTCCTTTTTTTTTCGGGAGGGAGAGAGAGAGAGAAACTGACACCAGCATGCGAACACACCGTACAGGATCGATAAAAAGTTCCGCGATCTCTTCGAAGAGGCTGGGTTGGAGCTCGTCCGGACGGAGCTACAGTCTGGCTTCCCGAGACACATCTTCCCGGTCCGCATGTACGCGCTCAGATAAACAAGAGGGTGTATCCGTACATTGAAGTGCATATACACCGGTTGGCAAGGGACGACGATGGAGGCACGTACAACGTACTGCAGAAACGCGAAGTTCCTCTGTTCGTGCTCAAGCAAGTACGAAGGCGGAGCCTTCAGCCCAACGTGTCAAGAAAACTTGCATGCTTTTAAGAAAAGAAAAGAAAAACATATCCCTGGTCCTTCTACCACCATCCACTATTCCCGCCTCCCCTGCTCGTTCCCTTCGTCCTCCTAAGCCACCTTTGTTTCCCGTTCATGCCGACGCCGCCGCCGACGAGTTGCATGACGCAAAACCAACCAACGACTAGGGGCTGCCCCCCGGTGGCAGGGCGAGACGGGCGGACCGTTGATGAGCTGTCACGCATGATGGACGACGCAGTCTGGAAGATGTCCCATCTACGACAATCCCCACCATTACCCTAGACATGCGGCTCCTGATGACCGGTGACGGTAGAAGAGAGAGACACGACAGAAATTCTCCGATGTGAGGGCATCATGATGATAGGCTATGCAGGAGGCTATGAGTCACTTTAAGGGGAGGAGGGAAACATGTGGCAAGACGAGAGGCGATATAGGAGGAGGCAAAACCACAGCATTACAAACCAGAGAGAAGCGGAAATGGGAGAATAAGAAATGAAGAAAATGAAGAAAGAAAAGAAAGAAAGGAAACATGAAGAAAACAGAACGTGGGGCATACATAACTTGGCATTCAAGAAAATCGAGAGGAAAGTAGGTCTTACAAGAAATCAAGACGAAGCCATGGTTAGAAGAGAAACAGGCCTAGACAAAAGCTCTGGAATAGTCTAGTTGGCGTCATGGGCGACGGATGATCTAAGAAGCGTTGCTGCCCAAAAGAGGATCAGCCGAGCACGTTGGCAACCAAGTAATTAGTCTCTCGTTTCGAACGGATTTGACCGACTCTGGCAAACCCAGTTTGGAGGTCTTTTTTTCATTTTAATTTTAATTTTATAAAAAGATCCCCTGCTTCGTTCTATGCCTCGGTCGTGTTACGTATGCATATGCACGTCTGGGTTACAGTCACTAAGAATGCCGGTGGCTGCACCTCATTTGCATCCCGCCCCGGCGTCCCAAGATGCCTTCAAATCCTTGTTTTCCTTCCCCGCCGTGGGCACGGGCTAGCACTTGCAGGATTCACCGGTGAGCGACAGAGGAAAGACATGTCGGTTTGAGCCGTATCAGAGGTGGGTGTTCCGCAGCTAGCCAGCTAGCTAGCTAGTCACCGGGATCCCCGAAACAGATGTGCCGTTCTCTTCAAGCCCCATGCGGCCTGTATATGCGTCCGCGTCTCGTCTCGTCTATCCCCAGCCATCCATGTCGACTATGACTCTTGTTTTATTCCTTCTCTCGCTGGTTCGTTTCTCGTGATGAAGTGAAGGAGAAAAAAAAAGGAGAAAAAAAAAATCATTTTTTTTCCATTTTCACTCCAGCTTAAACCGGTAAAAGTCCACCCCCCGCACCCCAACATCAACGCGGAACAAAGCACCCCCCAGCTCCCTGGCCCGGTCGTCGCCGTCGTCGCCGGGATCCATGGACGCCGTGGTGCAGAACAACTCGGTCCCGACAAACTGCGTGCAGGTGATGTTGCGCGTGGGCAGGCGCACCTCGCCGACGAGCTGGCCGGCGGGCGAGATCTTGAGCACGCGGCCCTCGCCGTAGACGGCGTGCCAGAGGTTCCCTTCCTCGTCGACGCGGAAGCCGTCGGGCTCGCCGGGGCCGTCGTGCACGTAGAAGACGCGCGGCGCGCCGTACCGCCCGCCGGCCGCGGCGTCGTAGTCGAAGGCGTGGATGGTCCGGGCGGACGAGTGGGTGAAGTACATGGTCTTGGTGTCTGGGGACCAGCCGATCGAGTTGGGGATCGTGAGGTCGGTGAGGACTTGCTGTTGGGGGGTCTTGCCGTCGAAGCGGTGTAGGCCGCCTGTGAAAGAGGGTTCGTTAGTTGCATTTTTCCTTTTCCTTTTCCTTTTCCTCTTCTTTCGGCCGGCAGAGGACGACAGGGAAAAAAAAAAAAAAAGGGGGGGGGGGTAGGGTAGGTTACATGCCTTCAGGCTGAAAGTCACCGAGGTTAAAGTCGGTCATGGATCCCAACCAGAACCGGCCGTTGGGGTCCACGGCGCCGTCGTTGGTGCGCACGCGCTCATTATGCGGTTCGTACGTCTTGTTGATGTATTCGTACTCTCCGGTGCGGCGGTCCAGCACCGCGAGTCCGTACTTGAGCCCGACGAGGATCTTCTCTGCCGGGTCGACGCCCTCAATGTCGGCCGTCACGCCGACCGGCCCGTCGAGCTGGAGGGTCTTGAGGGACGAAGGGCCCTCGCCGAGGTTGACGCTGTGGACCCGGTGCTTTTTGATGTCGACGAAGCGCAGCGTGTTGGTCTCTTTCTCGTAGTACGGTCCCTCGCCCAATGCGCAGTGCAGGTTGAGGTAGGGCTCCTCCACTGTCCATTGCTGGATCGGCGCCATGGTTGTCGGTTGATCTGCCGCTATAGGGAGGTAGGGAGGTAGGGATGGGCGAGGAAAGTCTTGTTTCGAAAGCGTGAGAGAGGTGAATGAATGAGTACGGTGTAATGTGAGCAACTGGACTAGAGGTTGGAGAAACGAGGGGCTGTCGAGGGGCTGTCGAGGGGCTGTCACGGGCGTATATTGGCAATGCGGGGTTTTTTCTTCCTTCTCCCCTTATCCCAGCATCCCGTACTTGTACTTGTACGTTTTAATGTTCCGTAAAACCTCCAATGAAGGATAATTAACCTGGATCGATCCGGATGAAAGGTGGTGACGCGGGTTGTCCTCGATGTTACTTTAATATTCGCGACGTCTTCTCATTCGGTGACATGGACGATGATGACACACTGCTCGAGTTGGCCGAGTCTATTTCGACAAATCTTTAATGTGGCCAACAATCGCATCTCGCATCTCGGAGGGGAATCCTCTACTAGGCAACATGGCATTAAAACGCGCGGGTTGCGGGCCTTTCATCCGGTTTCATGGCAGAGGAATATCCGTTGATATTCGCCTTGTAAATAATACGAATAAATGGACGCCGACGGACGCCAATTGACACCAACTGCGGTTGATGGTGGTCCACCCAAAAAAAGGACCCAACTGTTTATCGAGCATAGGTCAGGACAGAGATGGATCATTAATATCATTAATTCTTACACCCATGTCGGCCGTGCTCACCACCGCCACCAACTGGACAAACATTCGGCTTCGAGCAATTACTCCGGAGCGAGGGGAAAGGGAGTGGGGTATGGATACGAAGTCGACGACAGGCCGGGACGGGCAAAAGACATAGGGTATGAAGTACGGATGATACAATAGCATGTAGTAGTCATGGTTGGGAGAACAAAGCGACGTGCGCATGAAGACTCCGAGTCCCTCGATGCCGGCGGGGGAAAAAAAAGTAGTAAAGAAAGAAGAAAGAAGAAAGGCAGAAGAAAGACAGGAGAGGCAGAGGGGTGTTTGTATCTGCCTGTTCTGCCTGGTCGACTCTCCGGAACCACATCGAAAAGGACATGTTTGTCTAGAAACCAGAGACCCGGGAAAGCCGTCGTCAGCTCAAATAATGCCAGCAGCCTTGACGACTCGCTGTTGTTACCTCCTGTATGTAATACGGGAGAACTGTGCTGAGCAACTCCTGCAGTCATCTGCTTCAGAGGCTCGAGCCACCTCTGTGCAACGTAAATTGGGGTTCCAGACACATGATCGGGAGTTGCTGCGCGTAGTCCGGACAACGGTGCTGTTCAATCGGCTGCTGACCATCCATTGGTGCTGCTTGTGCTGGACCTTGCCGCCGAACGCGTCGCTCCGACACGCGCTCTTTCAATCAGCTGATCCAGCTCTCCTCATTCTCATCAATCGCGTCCGTATTCCTATGACCAGGGCCATTGTCTCTTGGGCCATACATACCCACGTCCGGCGGACTCGGAATCACACCCGCGGCTTCATTTCATTGCCCCCCTGCGAATAAACGAGGAACGGGGTACCCCTGGTGTGCGCCTGCCGTGTCAGTGCCGGCATGCCTAATGCATACCATCTCGCCTTGCATAACCTTTATAGGTAGGTAGGTTACTTGCTTCTGCTCTGCTCGAGAGGTTCGTGCGATGCCGTTGAATCTCTGTTCGCCCGCTTCTTGTCATCTTTCTTTTCTTTTCTTTTCTTTTTTCCTTCCCGGTTTCCTATTCCCCCAAACCCAACTCCCTTGGTGTTTTTGAATCCCTTTCACCAGTCGCCCGCTTCGTAGCTCCGTAGGAATGGAACTCTCCAGGTTGAGCCAAGACAAAACCAGGAAATGATACAAGCGAATGGTTCGTTCTTATAAGCGTCTGAGCACCGAAGCTCCGCGTTGCAAGGAGGACCTAGTCGGAGTACGTGCGAGCAGGTCGTATGTACGTTGTAGGCGCCGGGCGGCCATCTGCTTTTCTGACGGCCTGCCTGCTAGGGACGGGCCGGTCAAATCAAAGTGCCAACAGGGAACGGACTTCTGCACACGCGCGTCAGCGTCATGGTTAGATCATGGTTCAGTGGCTTGAGACGAATATGTATGTACGAATCGAATAGAGAACCTGTGAGTGAGACGAGATTGATTAGCTTCGCAGCACGAACGGAAAGGGGCCGCTGGATTCTGCTCAGATCTCAATTCGTCTTGCCGCCCCAGCAGATTCATGGAACTTCGTTCGGTTCCTTGTCACACTGCTGGCCCCCATGTCAGTTGTCGATCGTCAGGTAGGGCGTGCGAGGAGGGCACAGTCGTCTCGGCGCGTTCGTCTCATTTCGGGATCTCTTCCTAGATATATCCACTCGTGTGTGATGACATGGTTCGGTCACACTACGTGCGGATGCAGACTTGGCATCCGAGCGCGACTAGTCCGCAATGAATTCCGTGAACGGCTAGCCAGTTGCCGGGAACCACCGTGGACCTGGCAGGGGACCGCGCTTCATAAGGCAGGTAGCATAGCAATGTGTGCGTGTCGAACTTCATAATCGTACAATGGAGGACGAGAATGTGCCCTCCGTATCGACGAATATCTCCCCTAATATTTCTCTTGGTCGCCTGATCATGATGGACAAGACGAGTCGTTTTCTTGACGACACAGAGATAAGAAGAGAGAGACATCGTGGTGGACAGGTGAGAGCATAATTAAGCGGCAAGCGCCACGAGTGGAATTTTGGAGCTGTTCCGCTGGCTTACTAAGACGGTGTCCCAGAAGAACGGTTATGCTTGAGCGTTCATAATTTTAGCGAGTTGTTTGGCGTACGAAGTATCCATCCGTGCATACCACCCACCTACCAGGTCATCACTTCGTAACATAATTATTCCGTTTCCGCGACGGGGTGGCATTATGCCGTCAAGTCAGCTGAATACGACAAATTGTTCTGTAAATAAAAGAGAAAAAAGAAAGCCGAAGAAGTTCCTCGGGAGAGGTGTTGTGTACGGATACGTGCGTGAGATATGCTGATATGTCTGGCATGAGTTCGTTTGGCACGGTGGTCAGTGATGAACGGCGTTCCGGATTGCTGGGTAGAACAAGGCCGAGCACGCCGTATTCGTAGATACGTCTACTCCCCGAGGATACGTAGTTACCGGAGATACCTTCGAGGTTGATTGTAACATTGACATCTTTTAGGTCGATCTTGGGTCACAAACGGGTATTATTACTCTGTACTACCTTTGTGAACTCGTGCGCAGCTTTCATAACTTCATAAGTTGACCCCTCGCGCCAAGGCCACCGTGTGCGAACAGAATCTCGAGCATGTCATTCTTTATGTCTCGCATTGTGTCACCTGCCCGATTACTTATCGAAAAGAAAGAGAATGAAGAGGCGCCCTTTTCTCCAAGCCGATAACCAAGAAAGCATCATTAAACTACATGGTACGAATAATGAGAGCTCAGCCAATGCGCCGCAAGAACCAAAACCAAGAACAAAACAAGGGCACTCTCCCGCAGTTTTGATGAGCTGTCCCGACAACTGGCATCGTCACCATCACGTGGGTGGGTGAGCGACGAAGAAGTACGAAGTACAACGTACTTCGTAGTGCCAGGACAGGGCGTCAAAATCAACTTTCATTTTGGTCCAAGTCTGATGGCGAAAGGCTGAAATGACTGGTCGTCGTGGTCGTTGTTCCCACCGGCGAGCAAGCCAATTGGCCACGCTACTGCAGATAGGCGCAGCCGGGGTGGTTGGTTGATTGCATGGCTGCTGCATGGTCGCATGGGTGCGTGTGCAGGTGCTTGTTGTGTTGTGCTGCCCCCCCGCGAGAAACAAATTTGGGTCGGGCAGCAGGGAGAGGGGATTCGATTCAGGAACAGGGGTTGGTTAGGACAGGGATTAGGTCGGGGATGTTCGAACAAGGCGGAGGGATTGACCGGGGATTGAGGCGAACGTCATGATCCTGTGGGTCGTGGCCTCGTCAGTGCCCAATTCATACGTTTTATACGGGGTATCCGTAGTACGGAAGAGGTACGGTACTTGGTGCAGATACGATACAACGACGTGCAAAGGAAGCGCTTTATTAGCGTGTCGGTCAGAAGAGAAATAAGTGACAGCTCATCTGACGTGGGTAAGGTACCGGTAGGAATGTGCGAAGTCAAATACCAGGTGCGCATGAGCAAGGTACCTTATGTACGTGTGTACGGTAAATACATGCACCTACTCCGTTCAAACGACCTTCACGACCCTCATCTGGAGCGAGCGCCGTTTCAAGAAAGAGCTCCTTAACCAGACTATCTCGGGGGGAGAATCGGTTGACTGTAAAGTATTTAGGGACCTTACGAAGTATGCAAATATCTGCCACTATTCCAATACTTCGTGCGGAGTACCTACGAGGTACAACCCGCGCCGCCACGGTACCGCCACGCTAGTTTCGGTGCTAAAACTCGAGAGCCTTGCTAACCTTATACGTTGTGAGCTACGGGTAAGGTACATACCTTAGGCAGGGCCAATTTCGTCAAATAAGGTAGGTATTGGATTCATAGGCAGGTGCTTTCCGCAGGCTTGCACTTGCCAACGCACGACGAAGATCCTTCAATGACAGCTACCATCTCGCCTAAGGTAGGTATCAATTACGTATGTACTAGTTACCTAGGTGCCTGAGGGTCCATTGTGTTGCATCCCATGTCATCCTCTTTCCGCGCATCCACCTCAAATCCCACCTACCGAGTAAACCACCAAGAGTTCTCTCTCCACAAGTTCATCTTTTTCCATCCTGTCGGGTTTGAAACTCAACCTCACGAACCGTACGTTGTACACAAAACAATTGTGCGTTTAATACTTCGTAATTACCGAGCGGTATGCCATGCGAATCCCACTGCAATCTACTATTGCGGCGGCTGCGCAGACCGAGCACATCTTGGGACGTGATAGGAAAGCCAAGAAAAAAAAAAGAAGAAAGAAGAAATTGTCTTCATCTTCCCTGGTAGGTAAGCCCGTTCTCCTTCTTTTCTTCGTCTTCTTCTTCCTACTTTTAATCTCGGCAGCCATCTCCGTCTTATCCCTTGCTGCATATTTTCCGGGTATTCTCTGCAATGGGTAGCTCCAGGATGAGGTTGCGGCTTGACAGACTCTGTGCCCCGAGCTCTACCATGCATCCCTATCGGCTTCGAGCCGAACCACCATCCGGTAGGCCGGTCCTCTTCTCGGTCACTACCGCTGTCTGGGGAAAGTGCGATGGCATGTCCTTGCTATTCCATGGCCTGCTCAGGTCCAGGAGCCCAAGAGAGAGGACGAAAAGCAAGCCATCATGAGACTCATCCATCCGTGGACTGTCGCATTTCTCCCCGCCGCCACCAGTTCGTGGCTACGCCGACGTACAACGGTACCAGAGTTGAGAGCAAAAGGGACGGGCTAATGAATGCCCACTCTTGATCCTGGATCCCTGGATGACACTATCTGAACTGCGCAAAGTTGCCACACACAATCAATACCCAATATAATACTTGCCATGTCTGAATTGGGTTCTTCCATGGGGGTACCGGGCAAGCAAGCCGAGTCTAGTTATCAAATCCACCGGGTGACACGATGATCCCATCACTACCAGAGCGGAGAGCAATCACACTGACGATCGGCTCATCTTCGAACGTCCCCGTTCACCCCCGATGCTCGGCACCGCCCGTGGGGTCAGGGGCTCAGCGGACTCGACCTTGCCAGTATTCTGAGGCCGCGGAGGGAAGTCGACAAATTATCTGCTTTATACTGCTCCATTACTCACTCGCACGGTTTTACAAATACTTGCCTTGAGTCGCTTTCTGCAGTCGAGGCTAACGCAACGCAACGCTACGCTACGCTACGCAACGGGACGGGACGGGTCGGACTTCTCGATACGCCGTTCAACGATGTGTTGAGGAGGTTTGTCATCCGTCATTGTCCAAGACCAAACTCACACAAGCCACCCTTCCTCTGCGTATTCCAGGTACTTGAGACCGTCACCCAAGCAAAGACCGACGGTCCTGAAGGGGGAAAATAGAGAAAAGAGGGAAAAAAGAAGAACAAGAACAAGAACAAGAACAAGAAAAGCAGATGACGAAAAAGAAAAAGAAAGAAAAACAGATAGCGGTGCATGTGCACCCCCACCGCCCATTTACCAAGTACTTTGGTCCCAGACGACACGAGATGGCTTATGTAAGCCCCATCCGCATCTGCATATCCACAGCTCCCCCCTTGTCGATTCTCAACATGCACCCCGGCACACTCCAATCCCCTTCACCCCTTCACCTACAGCTAGACCCGAATGGTTGTCGACAGACGTACCCCCCTCCCCCCCTTCCCCCCTTTCCCCCTGACATCCTAGCATTCTGGGCGTCGGCAAGTCACTGGGCAGCCATCCTGCTGCCTCGCAGCTTTTCTGCGCAGTGGCCACCAGAGACCGGTGACTGTGACTACGAAGTACAACTACGAGGGCAGAGAGCAAGCGCTTGTGCAGCAATAATGAGAAAAAGGGAAGGCCGGGTGAAGTGATTGATTGATCCACGCGTCTGGACCCTGTCTGACGTCTTTGAAGGGGGTCGCCCTGTGATGGCTGACCGAACATCTATTCGTACTTCTCTGCTCTCTCCTGCTTTTGCTCTTCTCTCACACCCACCCACCCCCCACACGGTTCTGTTCAACACTACTCCGTACCTCTCCCACCTTTGCTCCTCCTCCCGGTTCTCGTGGGCGCCTCTTTGTGATATTTCTCGTTTTCTCCGACTACCCAGGCGACATTTTGCAGAGCAACAATAACTACAACATCATTATTATCCTTAATATATATCACTAAGGTACACTACCACGCGATCGAGCCGGTCCTCATCTGACCCTTTGTCCCTTCTCTTGGCGGATTCCAGCGAGCTTGCTCCCATTCTGGTTTCCGCATCTTTCCTAGGTTCACCGGGCCTCTTTTCTATCTAAGGTAGCCAGCCATTCAAGAAGCGTACTCGACCTGCGAGTCTATGACTGGCTCATTGACGTGCACGGCTCCTACTCGTCACCACAACGACGACATTGGCCCTTTCGGTGATCAGCGCCGTTCTCCTTAGCCACCGCCAGGCATATCTTCGACGCGCCATTCTGTCTTTTTGCCTCCCCCCGCTTTCCCATTCTCTTCACATTTCGTCTAACTTCCACTCAAAAGTACTGTTGGGGACGCTTGGTCTCGGGCCGGTCAGCCCCAACAACAACAAGCTGACAAACTGGCGGTGACATCTTCAACGGTTGTCCGGGCCTCGGATCAGCCTCAGTGCAACCGAGAGGGTCGCAACGGACAAGAGGCTCAAAATCAAAATCACTCTACGGCGCCTGCTGAGCCCCCGAAGGCTGAGGACGAGACGCTTTGCGTTGGCCAAAACTCCCCCAGGCTCGCCCACACGCCGCCAGTTGCCGAGATACAGAACAGTCAATGGTTGCGCTCTCAAGATCACGAAACTGCAGGGGAACAGGTTCCGATGTCGCAGAGGGGTCGCGCGCCTCACTCTACGACCCGCCTCTCCCCACAGTCTCCCCGAGCACCAGCGGCAGCGGCAGCGGCAGCGGCGTCGACCGATCAAGCCTCGGTAGCTCGAGACGATACCGGGAATACGGCGTCTCAAGATCAGGGTCCCAGTCCCGGCCAGTCTATTGGAGACCAACCGAGGCCAGTTTCTTCACGGTCACGATCGCTAGGCATTCATGGCCTGATTAACCCCCCCGAAATGTCCGCCTCCGAGAGACGGCACGTCCCCGACGCCAGCTCGACACCCGGAGGCGGCTATACCCGACGCGGGACCTCCACGGCAAGTTCTTTGCGCCCCGTGTTCCCCGGCCAGAGTCCTGGTGGGCAGCAGCCGCCTGATTCCCCTGCGACTCATTCTACCGGAACGCCTCGCGGACACAATCCGGCAGAGAACTACTCTCCGGTTGGCGCCTATCATCTCCCGGCACTGAATAACCCTCGACGCATTCTGAGCCCCAAACCCCCTCGGCCATCATCGGGACTGCCGAGAAGCGACATGAATGCCACAGGCAACCAGCCGCCGCGTCTACAGCCTGCTGCCCCTGCCACGAAGCGGCCGCTGCCGGCAGATCTAGGAGGTCAGTCGGAATCTCCGCCCGGGACAGGCTTGCCTTTCTCGGGCCCCCAGTCTTCCTTCGGTCGACCGCCCAATGCCATTACAACACCACCACGTTCCCTGTCGCAACCGATCATAGGCCATATGCCACCGTTCGGACCGGGGGGGCCTTCTTTCCCGGGCACACCGCAACCACGAGATATTCTAGCCGGAGCACAGGGGATCCCCGGGAACGCAGCATCGCCTGCGCCTTCTCAGGACAGGTCATTCTCATCCGCCGCGTTGCCCGGCAGTGGGCCGCCTGGCAAGTTCGGACGGGGGATGGGGACGCCAACAGAGCTATACCGAAGCCTGAGTTTGGGAGTAGGCGTGGAGACGAGCGACGGTCAGACGATACTCCGAATGCAGCCGGGGCACGACGGGGAGACGTTGGAGATACCGGTCGATCGTCGGCTTGCCTCCAAGGCGGCCGATCAAAAACGACACAAGAACGCGATAGCTTCACAGCAACACCGGCAGAGAAAGAAAGAGAAGGAGCAGACGATGGAAGTTCAGAATCGAGAGCTCGAGGCTGAGAAAAGGGAGCTCCAGGCCGAACTGCATGAAATGACCCGGCAAAGGGACTACTATCGGGCGGAACGAGACCGGTTACAAGACTTGGTCCTCCAGACGCCGCTGCGAGAGCAAGCGGCAGGACCACCGAGCCCGGCGAGCTACCCGGGCTCGTTCCGGGTGGAGAGGGGCACGCCGGTACAGGGCGCGGCTCCCCAGGCATCGAGCGAATCATCGGGGGAAAGACCGACACGGCGACGTCGGACTGGTGGCGCACCGCAGTTCACAACGCCAAACTACGGGACGCCAACGCCCACGGCTGCGCCGGCCAATCTGCCGCCGATAGCTAGGCAGGCGTACGAAGGTGGGCAACCAGCAAGCCATCCCGCACAGTCGGAGGACAGACTACCCCCGCTCCGGACGATGGAGGGTCAGCGTCAGCTAGGACCTCCCGGCGCTGACGCGCCGTTCGCTTCACGTCCCGGTGGACCCCCGATGTATACAAACTATGCTCGAGTCGAGACGGGATGGGCTAGTCAACCGCCGGCGCCAGGTCACCCACATCCGGGACAACCGGCACCTGGTGGGTACGGTGGCCCCCAAGGTCCTCCACCTCCGAGCGGGCCATCCCGACCGAGCGGACCGAGGTGAAGCAAGGGGACTGCGCAAAGGGCTGGAGACGTCGATGTGGAAACTGGGAGCAATACCGGTAAAATGATGAACCGGGTCATATCTCGTCCTTTCGCTCCTTCTGTATGGAGAGTTTGGGCTTCTCTGACACCATATACGTTTCTTTTTCTTATTCTTTTTATTCCCTCTTTTCCGCTTTTCTTTTCGTTTTTCTTTTTGCTTTTCCTCTTTTCATATGGCAAATGCAGACGCGTCGGGAGTCTGGACGCTGTGGGAAACGGACATGTCATTTTTTCACTCGCTTTCATCGGGGACCAAAAAGATTTTGCATCGTTGGGCAACCAACAAAAGGGGATTCTTCTTTTTTTGGGGGTGCTTTGTTCTATATATTTATTACATTTGCGGCGGTTCCGAGGTTGTGGAGTTGGCTAGCGACTTGAATGTGAATAGGGAGGGGATCGTGCGTTTGAGAGCGATGCTGGCGGCATTGACCCCCCCTTTTTTTTTGGGGGGGGGGGGGGGGGGAGAGACAGCCGGGGAACCAGGCCCAAGACCTCTCGGTCCCTTTGTTTGGTGCGTCGTCACCTCTGGACTGGAACCCCGAATGTTCCTAGGGGTCGACTACGGCAAGCCGAGAACCAGGGGATTCGTACATCAGGACCTGGACGGTCAACCAAGTGGGAAAGGAAAGCCTTCCAGTTGTTTTCTTTCCTTGACTGCACCACACACTTTTCGTCTCCTTTGTCTGGCAGGCCATGTTATCTTTTTTTTTTTTTTTTGTTTTTGTATATCTCTTTTTGTCGTTTTCTTTGTCTAGAGTCGAGCCAAATTGCAAGGGTGACAAGGCGGGACGTCTATTATTACCAAGATACCAGATTGAGCTTACAGTACTGATGGTGAACTAGATCAATTTTCAGCGTCGGTCAGGATACCAAATTGACTTTTTTGTTTTGATATCTCGCCTTTGGCTGTTTCGTGTGTTTTGTATGTCAAGTTGTCTCCAAACATGTATTCGAGAAGTCCCCTGAGGCTACCTATGTTATAGGTCGTCGTCCAACGATGCACCCAATGCAAGGCACAACGGACTGGGCTGGAATCCCGGGCTGGCCGCTTCTTATGCGACCTGGATGCGAAGCATGGAAACACCATGCAGGCTGGACCTGGACACGTACACGAGGGCATACGGAATAGAGTACAGCCGACGCTGCCAGTCCAAGTACTTGAGGTACTCCCTCCGTATTATATATTATTATAGCGCATCTTGATTACAGCAATCACACCGAAACCCTGACACACACCGAACACCGATGATTACCCCACTATCCGCACGTACCCGTCCATTACTAAGCCATGGAGGGGGGAGGTACAACACCTTGTGAACCCCCATCACGACATCACGACCTCACGACCTCAGACCTGTCACCTCCCCTCCAAGAAGGCATAGGCATTGCATCTCCAATCGTCTTATACATCTCATTCTACGTCTTTATAATCGCGTTGCAAATCACTTCTCAGTTCAGTCTTCTTCCACAACGCATCATTGCATCATCTTAATCTACATTAACCGACGTCAATGTCAGCTTAAGTGTCGGCTTACACGGAGTCTCAGAGAGTTTTTGGATGTTGAAAGCAGGAGGTCTCTCTTTCTTCTCTTGACACCTGGGAGAGCAAGGAGAGGGGGGAGCTGGGATAGATACTAGAGAGAGGACCGAACCACCATGCTTCTCTCTCACTCTCGTCCAACCCTCCCTAGCCCTAACCTCCTCTGTCGAGTTGTGGCACCCAGGTCAACGGCTATACCACAATCGTCGTCGTATTGTCTACGACGAGCCACCCAATTTCTCTCAACGGTGACGTGTACGAGTTCCGCTCGCCGGGCCTTCGCAACGACACGGGCGGTTTGCAAGATGGAGGTTCAGTTATCTGCCCCCAACGGCATCAAGTGGACGCAGCCCCTAGGTCTGTTCATCAACAATGAATTTGTCGAGAGTAGTAATGGCCAGAAGCTGACTACCATAAACCCTACGTGAGCTCCTCCTTCTCTCCCTCCCCTTTCCCCTTTCCCCCTCCGTGTCTGTCTGTCGTTCCAAGAGGAGAACTGCATTGCTAATGATAAGCTGACCTGCAGCACCGCCGAGGACATCTGCTCCGTCTATTCGGCCACCACCTCAGACGTCGACAAAGCCGTAGCCGCCGCGCGGGCTGCTTTTCGACACACCTCTTGGAAGCGGCTGTCTGGTACGGAACGCGGTCGTCTCCTGTCCTCCCTGGCCGACCTGGTCGAGGCCCACGCCGAGACGCTGGCCACCATCGAGACCCTCGACAACGGGAAACCCCTCTCCCTCAGCCGCTCCTGGGACGTGCCCGAATTCGTTGGCGTCCTGCGCTACTACGCCGGCTGGGCCGACAAGATCCACGGCCAGACCATCCCCGTCGGCCCCGACAAGCTGGCCTACACCGTGCGCGTCCCGCGGGGCGTCTGCGCCCAGATCATCCCCTGGAACTACCCCCTCGCCATGGCCGCCTGGAAGCTCGGCCCCGCCCTCGCCGCGGGGAACACCGTGGTCCTCAAACCGGCCGAACAGACCCCTCTCTCCGCCCTCTACGTCGCCCGCCTGATCGCCGACGCCGGCTTCCCCGCCGGCGTCGTGAACATCCTCAACGGCCGCGGCCTCGAAGCCGGCGCCGCCCTCGCCGCCCACCCGGACGTCGACAAGCTCGCCTTCACCGGGTCCACCGCCACGGGCCGCGACGTGATGCGCCTCGCCGCCGGGACGCTCAAGGACGTCACGCTCGAGACGGGCGGCAAGTCCCCGCTCCTTGTCTTCGACGACGCCGACCTCGACCAAGCCGCGCGCTGGGCCCACGAGGGCATCATGGCCAACCAGGGCCAGGTGTGCACCGCCACCTCGCGCCTCCTCGTGCACGCCTCCGTCCACGACGCCTTGGTCGCCCGCTTCCGCGACCTCGTCCGCCACGTCTCCGTCGTCGGCGACCCGTTCGACCGGGATACCTACCAGGGCCCGCAGATCACCCGCGCCCAGCTCGACCGCATCCTCTCCTACGTCGACTCGGCGCGTGAAGAGGGCGCCGTGGTCGCCATGGGCGGCGGGCCCGCCACACCGTCACCGCCTCCGTCGTCGTCGGCGTCGGCGTCGGCGTCGGCGTCTCGCGGGTACTTCGTCCAGCCCACCGTGCTCACCGGCGTGCGCCCGCACATGCGCGTCTTCCGCGAGGAGATCTTCGGGCCCTGCGTGGCGGTGACGCCGTTCGAGGACGAGGACGAGGCGGTCCGCCTCGCCAACGATTCCGTCTACGGGCTCGCTGCTGCGGTTTTCACGCGCGACATGGCCCGCGCGCACCGCGTCGCTGCCGAGCTGGACGCCGGCATGGTCTGGGTGAACAGCAGCAACGACTCGGATTACCGCGTACCCTTTGGCGGCGTTAAGCAGAGCGGGGTGGGGCGGGAGCTGGGCGAGGCCGGCTTGGAGGCGTACACGAGTGTCAAGGCCGTGCATGTTAATCTGACTTCGAATTGAGGCGATTCGTCTGGGAGGCTGCCAAAGCAAGATGCCGTCTTAGGTCTGTCTGTCTTCATAGGGGAGAATGATCGATCAATGAACCAACGGAATTTTAAATACATCAACGCATACATAACCCTTTTTTATTATAACCACGGCGCCGTCACTTGAAGTAGAGGTCCCAAGCATGGCCGTAACAAAGCCCGACATCGAAAGGAGATCCTGAGGAGCCTCTGGTATATACACAGCCGTTCGAGAAGAAGAACCAGAAAAGGACCCATTCATTTTCATCTTCCAACCCCTCCGCTAGCCACTAACCGTCTGTTCCACGACACGAGCAATCTCCCCGAACACAACCCCCTTGAACACGCTCTCACCCATGTTCTCAGCCCAGTACCCCGCGTCCGCGAGCCTCTTCTTCCAAAGCTCCTTCTGCTCGGCACTCAGCGCCTCCCACTCCGCCGCGGGGCCGTACGCTTCCTCGTCATGCAGCATCGCCCGGATCCGCCGCGGAGCGCCATTCGAAGCGCTGTCGCCGCCGTCGTCGTCGTTTCCTTCTCCTCCCTCCCGCTTTTCCAACTCGACGTCCTCTTCGCGGAGGACGTAAATGTCACCCACCCGCAGCTCCGGGAGGTCCGGCAGCAGGCGGGAGAGGAACATCCCGGGCGTGAGGACTTCGGGTTCGATTGTGGGCACGGGGGTCGTAGAGGTGACAACACCGGCAGAGCCGGCAGAAGAAGCAGCGGCGTCGCCGGATCGTGCTAGCGAGGGCCGTCCCGGGAAGAGCAGGGCCGGGTCGATGCCGGTGGAGATGACGTACTGCACCACGGCGGCGAGGATGAGGACGGTGATGGTTAGGGCGATGATGACGTTGCGGGGTCCCGTCCTCTGCGGGGCGAAAGCGACGGTGTAGCGCGCGGCGGGCTTGGCCGCCAGCTTCTTGAGTGGGATGGAGTGGACGGCGACTGAGTTGTCCATGGCCACGGAGGCGAGGAGCAGGTTGAGACCGGGCGGGGCGGGTTTTGAGGACGTCAAGGAAGAAGTAAAGGAAGAAGTAGAGGAAGAAGGGGAGGTGGAGGGGGACGATGGCGGTAGGAAGACGGAGAGAGCGAGCGAGGTGATGCTCAACTGGTGGACGTCTTTGAGGGTAGCGAGGGGGAGGAGGTCGACGAGGAGGTCGAGGTTGGCGTCGGAACGGTGCTCGACCGAATGGAGGCAGACAGACTGCTGCCCGGCGACGGCGATTACGAATTGCGTGTCGCCGAGGGGCCCGCCGGGGGTGGTAGGAGGGTTGAGGTTGCGCACGGCGAAGGAGGTAGCGCGGCTCATGAAGCGAGGGAGTCTGGCCGAGGCGGCCAGCCGGGCCTCGGTCTCCTTGCCCTTCTTGCCCTTCTTGTCCAGCGAGGGGAGACGAATGGCCGAGAGGATGACGCCGGCTTGTTTGGGCAAGTTCGACACGGCCATGATGAACCCAGGCGAGAGGTAACGGATGGCGCGGAAGGACGGTTTCAGACCCGAGCCGTCCTCGGGCATGCTGTACACCAGGTCGGGCCCCGTGATGTCGGTCTTGTTGACGTTGATGACGAAGATCTGTCGTTCGTCGCAGTACGCCACCTGGAACGAGTCATCCCCCGTCTGCACCACGTCCAGGTCCGTCGCCTCCTTGGATACTTCCAGGACGCCCCTGGGTCTCGGGGCGGCGGCGGCGGGGGCGCGGACGTCGAAGAGCGCAATCTGGGCTTGTTTCGCAAAGCCCGTGGCCACGGCGCCCAGCTGCGGCCGGTCGGGGTACAGGGGCGACAGGCGCAACAAGCGCTGGTAGGCTTCTTTGTCCTCGGGCCTCTGCTCGAAGAGTGCGGTGCGGGAGAGCTCGGTGAGGTTCAGGGCATGGGCATGCGCTTGCTTCTCGTCCGAAGCGTTTGCAGTCGCTGCGGCAGAGAGCGAGAAGACGCGAAAGTGTTCATTCTTGTTCCCTTTCTCGACGTCGGCCGGGTTCGAGTTGATACCAGCGTATACGAGTGTTTCGGCCGACTTGGGCCCGATTTTCTGTTTCTTGTTCTTTTGGCCGACAGCAATGGTGTTGACGCTGTCTTCGCTTCGGCTGAGGTCGATTTCGCCGATGATGCGGATCTCGTTTCGGGAGGTGTCGATCGCTGTCTATTCCCAGTAACAGAGTCCAACGTCAGCAAGCGTCTCATCCTTGGAGATTTGGTGGGTTTCTCTCCCCTCCAGAATTTCTCTTTCTCTGGTCGCATACTATTCTGTTGGCGACGCCACTCCGGTTGGCACCACCACCGCCTCCAACAAGGAGTTTGGTCGCATCTTGGGGGTCAAAGTCGCAGGAGTAAGGTGGATAGTTGAGAGTCAGTCTAGCAACCTCTAATGGGGGCCCCATCTTGGTCACTATCTGGATGTCGATGCGATGAGCGTCAGAGGTCGAAGGGTTCGTGAAGGTGGAAAGTGATGTCGATGGAGATCTTCAGTGAGAGATGAGAGATAGCTCAGAACCTCCTCGACGGGGATGTCATATCATGCTTGTTCAGGCAGGGTATCCAAGACAGATCCACTGCCCAACGATGACGATAAGAGCTTTGGTTGGGACCACTGGGTGAATATTTGTTGGCGATGGCGATTGGGTCTTGGATGGATGCGAAAATGGGGCTTGGAACTGGGACGTTGGGCCAAGGCCACATGTCCCATGGACTACCTTAGGTAAGCACGGTACGTAAGGTATGGACGATTACTTAATCAATCAGTTGTAAGTGCCTTACGGAGGACCAGTGCGTAAGGACAGTGTATGATCCTGGGTACATACGGAATACGAAATACGAAATACGAAATACGAAATACGAAATACGAAATACGAAATACGAAATACCTAGAAAAGTGCTTTGAAGCTCTGAATTGTCTCCCACCAACATCTCCAACGGGTGCTTCGTCTCGTCTTAGCTATTATTCATTTCCCTAAGGTAGGGTTGCTTGCCAAGTACCCGATACCCGTAACGCCGCCCCCCTGGGAATAGATCCTAGACTCCCTCCGTGTCTTGTGTCATCGTATCCAGCGCCCTAGATCCGATATATTTCACACCACCACTGAACAAGTCAGCCGGCTCCCCCCAAAGATCGCAGGAGATAGATGCGCTTCACATGAAGGGATGCGAATGATTTCGCCCCAAGGACAGCAGATTACAGCCCCCCCCCCCTTCTTTCAGCATCATCCATGCCGCCAGGCGGTCGAAGGAGCGAGATGGGTGTAATGGTTCCCATAAACCAGAATATGTCGACCGACATTCTCCAATACGTTCGATTCGAGCGGCTGGATATCTTCTTCGTCAGCCTGGTTCTGTACCTGCTCTGTGCCTGGCGCCGTCGCATCCGCATCTCTCTGAGGGGGGGAATGTCGCCGCTGTTGAACCTGGAGCTGGAGCTGGAGCTGCGACTGGACCTGGTGACGTCGCGGCGGCGCCGTCTGAAGCTGACTCGACTGGTTGTTCCGAACAAGTCGACCTCCGACTTGGCCGTTGTGGCGTGGAGGCTGCTGCATGCCCCAGACGTTGAAGGTCATGGGGGGAGTGGTGACCCAGTTGGCGGGCCACGGGGCCGCCGTCGGCAGTGCATACGGATAGGTAGGAGGGACAACCTCGCGGCCTGCCTCTCGTCGGGCCTGTGCACAGTCGTGGCAAGGCTCCGAAAGTCGGGTAATGCAGCTGTTGCCCGGGGTCCGGTTAGGACACAACATCGGCAGCGGCGCCGAATTGGCCGAGACCCTGTCGCACCGGAAGACGGTAGGTTCGAAATGTCCGCAGCTATAGAAATAATAAACGCTGGAACACATGTCGAGGGAATTATCTCTGTCCTTTTCTATGTTCTCATAAATTTGTGGTCCTTGCAAGAGGGATATGATTCTAAAATAGAATCCCACGTACTGCAGCTGATACTTCGTAGATTCCGGCTTCGTGAAGATGATTCTGCTGGTTGCTGGAGCCCTCAACGGTATGGGAAAGCTCAAGTTCTGTAGTAGTAGTGGTGGTGGTGGTGGTGGTGGTGGTCAAATATGAACCTCTGGAGATGCCCACGCCGTTCCTCAAGACCAGGCTCAAGAGACGGATGGTGGTTGTATGTTTATTGACAGTAAGATCCCAGGCTTTTAAATCAAGGGCTTCGATTGAATTGGGGCAGAGAGGGAAACAATGTCCATGAAGGGGGAAAAGAGGAAAATTAAACGAAACAACAAAAGAGAACACGCGTGGTCAATGACACGGCATGGATTAGGAAAACCAAGCCGGCTGTTCTTTCCTTGGTGAACTTGTAGTCTCCTTAAACGTGTTTTCCCACCATGGAGCCACGATGTAAGCAACCTACCTAGTAGTCACCTACAATCCGGACTACCTACCTACCGCCATCATCCCCCCTGCTCTAATCTACAAAGAATTTGGCCTCCAGCTCGCCATACGTCTCATAGAAACTCTCAAACAACCGAATGGCATGCTCAACATCACGACTCCCGCCCGTCTCCCGGATCGAGTGCATGCTGAGCTGCGGATTCCCCAAGTCGAGCGTGCGCACTCCCAGCTTCGCACTCAGCATGGGCCCGATGGTGCTCCCGCAGGGCGAGTCGTTGCGCACCACGAACAGCTGCAACGGCACGTCGGCGTGGCGCGCGCACTCCTGCAAAAGGACGATGCCCGGCGAGTTGGTCGCGTACCGCTGGTTCGCGTTGACCTTGAGCACCGGCCCGCCGTTCATCGCCGGCTGGTGCGACGCCTCGTACTTGCCCGCGTAGTTGGGGTGCACCGAGTGCGCCATGTCGGCCGACACGAGGAACGACCGCGCCAGCGTCTGCTCGAACGCCGTCGACTCGTCCCCCTGCGGCGGCGACCCGGCGGCGTCGACCACGGCGTCGTAGGACGCGTCCGACGCCGCGTCGTTGCGGCCCGCCGGGAGCACCGAGAGACGCCGCAGGACCGCCGGGAGGAGATTCGAGCCCGCCCCCTGCGCCGACGTGGACCCGATCTCCTCGTGGTCGAAGCACGTCACCAGCCGGACGGTGGCGTCGTTGTCCAGCGCGTCCGCCTTGCGCACCGACGCGACGAGGCCCTCGACCGCGCAGTACGTCATGTTCAGGTTGTCGAGCCGCGCCGAGAAGACGAACTCGTCGTTGAGGCCGCCCACGCAGGCGGCCTGGGTGTCGTACAGCACGAGCTCAAAGTCGACCACGTCGGAGACCCCCACCTCGGCGTGCGACGCGATGACGTCGAGGATGTGCGGGTGGTGACGCTCCGTCATGGCCTTGAGCGGCTCAAAATCATCCTTGGCGCCGCCGCCCTCCCCCCCCTTTTCCTCCTCGCCCTGCGTCGTCTTCTCCTCTTCTCCGTTGCCGGCTGCCTGGCCGCTCTTGTTCAACTCGGCCGATGCCAGCCCGGCAATGGGGAACAGCTCGTTCTCCTTGTTCGGGTCAAAACTGGAGCTCCGGTCCAGGTGGATGGCCAACGTCGGGATGCGCAGCAGCGGCTTGCCGACCTTGATGAGCTTTTGAACGAAATTGCCCTGGCCGTCGCGGACGAGGACGCGGCCGGCGATGCTGAGATCGCGGTCGAACCAGCTATGCCAGATGCCGCCGCCATACGTCTCGACGCCAACCTGCAAGAAGCCGGCGTTGCCCTTCTTCGAGACCGGCTTGATGCGGAGGCACGGAGAGTCGGTGTGCGCGCCGACCATGGCCACCGGGCTGCCCGGACGCCATTTCTTGCCAATGGCAAAAGCCACAATGGACGATCCGTTGCGGGTTAGATAGTATTTGCCCCCGGGCCGAAGGATGGAAGCCCATGGGTCGCGCTCCTTGATCTTGGAGAAACCGGCCTTCTCGAGACGGGCAGCAGCAAGGGCGCAGGCATGGTAGGCTGAGGGGAAAACAAACACGATATTGTTAGCAGTGGACAGGAAGACGGTTGGGGGGTGGATGGAACAAGATGTGGCTCGTCTAAAACGTACGTGTCGGTGAGGCGTTGACAAAGTCGACAAAGTCGAGGGCAGCTTGAGGCGGGGCCATGGTGCTGGTCGATGTCGAGAACGAATGCCGGTTAGCTGGGCGAAGTGGGTAGACTCGGACAGGGAGCGTTCGTGTGTTGGTTCTTATGCAGATACGGCGCAAGGAAAAGCCTGCTGCCGTCATCTAAAAGATGGATTGGGAATACAGGGCTCGTCGGTCGTCGTTTGTGACGATGATGCTAGGCATCCAAGCTTCCTTTGGGGCCTCTCTGGGGAAATGAACCCCAGCCCATATCGTTATCGTATCTTATCTTTATCGGAACTCCAATGGAGACCACGGGGACTGCCGAGACTCGACAGTATGGACTACGGTATATACTGTATATATACTGTATGTAAGTACTGGGCTCAGACCCTCACCTACAACGTAGGTAAGGTAGGTAAGGTAGTCACTATTATGTAAGGGACCCTTATGTAAATATACCTCCCTTCGCCTGTTCGGTTGCTTGTCTGAGCCTTCTTCGTCTTTTCCTTCCCAAACTTCACTTCATTCAGTGCTCAGTAAAGCATATCCAGACTCGGTCAATAGGACGGTCAAGAGACCCAGCGGCAATCATGGGCGTCTACGTTGTCCATGTGGATTGGACCAACAAGTTGCTTTGCCACACCCCGTCCACTCTCACCCAGCTCATCACGTACGTTGTACACGTACATGTGCGTCTTCCCACGCACCAACGGGCCGAGACCATCCAGACGCCAATAAGCGCGACCTGACAGTTTCGCATCCAGAGGTCTACGGAGTAATCTCCCTCCCTTGCGCAAAACTCCATAACCCCTTGAAATTCCCCTTGATCTGCGGTCAGTTCCGTTTATGCTTTTCCCTTTCTTTCCATTTCTTAAGGGGAAACAAAGAAAAAGAAAAAGGAGCAGAAGAACAGCAGCAACAACAACAACAACAACAACAAGAGAAGAAAAAAAGTTGGACGAGAAGGTGATTTCTGCAAAAGTTCGCCTTAAACGCACGAGGTGCAAACTTCGGGGTTGCGGAGTTGACGTTTCCGCTTGTTGGCAGGGCAGGGCAGGGCACGAGGTCTTCGTGCGACTCTAGCTCTCAATTGATGATAGGCCTGTTGGTTGGTTCCCTTGCCCCCTTGTTCGCCCAGAATGCGACCACGGGCAACTCACCGTGATGCAATGCCACTGCGCTCCTCTCCCTACCTTATTGATTCCCATTTCATGGAGCAGGTTGTTGCCTCGAAGCTCTGACGGTACTCTGTAACTGAACTGTGTCTCGAGGACGGACGGCCCCCGTTGGGACTGTAGGAAGTATTCGGGTGCCAGTTTCATGGCATTCGTGCTAGACAGGACCGTCCATCCTTTACCCCAGGAGGAGTTGATCCACAACCCGGGCTCTACCCACCGACCCTCTCGGCTTGTGTCTGCCTATGGCGGCAGGAACCGCGGACGGGAATTTAGCATGTTATGTTCCCATCAGTCTCGCTACCGCGGCCGCCACCACAGTTTTGCACCTCGCCTCTGCAATGCCAATTGATTAACGCCTTATTCTGCCATTTCTACCGCCTGGCCGAGGTATCCCAACTAAGGACACGGCAAGGGCCATCGCCCCGTAAAAAATGGATTACGGGTTCAGGGACGTTGAGGAGTTCAAGAACGACGGCTACGATGTCTACTGCTTCCACTAGCTTCCATTATGAAGCCATTCCGTCAGCAAGATCCCCACACAAACCGCCGCCGTCACACATCGGCCGTCGAGCTCAATTCGCAGTACGTTGTACGTGTAGGTAATCTGCGAACATGACATCAGCCGGTATCGGTCTAGACTGTCCGCCGCGTTGACGATCTCTTGGTATTTTCCTCGAAGGCCACATCTCTATCATCTCGCTCGGTCGACCCCCCTGCTTCGGAGAAGCTAAAGTCCCAAGTATACTATTAAATATCTTAACTGAAATAATTGAGTGGCTTTCAATGAAGAGTCTTTCTCGCACGCGTTGTGCCGTCCAATGTGAGGGGGGAGCGAGTCCCTCCGCGAGATCTTCCCTTTCTCAGGTTCCCGGAACGCCCAAAGCGCCACCACGCCAAGGGGGCCTTCCCCACATCCACTTGGCGCTGCCCCGTCCCCTGCACACCACCCCAGCTTTGGCGGGGAAGATCAGACGTGCGTGAAAGGAGCCCATGTCTCTTTTTTTCTTTTTTTCTTCAGCCCATCCGGCCGCCGCTCTGTCCCCAAGTCGCCATTCAGCAGAAAAGGAAGAGTGTTGCGTTTGGTCACGTTTTAATTTCAGCAGAAGAGGGCGCACATGGCGGGTTTCTCTTGTACTTGTATATTTATTATAGTATATCGCACAGGGTAGGCTGAAGCCGATTTGCCTTGATTGAGCTGTGGATTGACCGTGATCACGGTCATACCGACTCCCGGGCTGGCGGCAGGAGGCGGATTGATCTGCCCAGGGATCGAACTGTTGCTTTTCCCTCTCGTGTTCCCCTCCCTGTATCACCCAAATACGGAGTGCTATGCGGTTAGTCATCGCTGCAGACCTGCACCACAATGCTGCGCCCTGGTGCATGTGGGAAATGAAGAGAAGGGGGAAAATAATACCGAAAAATGTGGTTCTAACTATTCTCCGACGATTCTGCTACGATCGCGACCAGTAATAGGAAAAAAGAAAGAAAAAAACGGACGTTTTTGAATGTTTGCCTCAAGCGTACGGGACACGAAGTAGGAAGAATCTCGGAGCCATCCTAAAGAATTTGCGGCTACCTAGTTCCTACGACGAACCTCCGGAAAGGGGTGGAGGAATTGGGTGGCTTGGTCGAAATTCGATCGTTTCTACGCCATTAGGTCGGCCATGCCACAAGCAACGTTTCCAGATTTGACAACGCCTTATGTGTGTACCTGAGGTGTTAGGGTCGAGTCTAAGGCACGAGTGCAGTAACTGGCATGCAGGTAGAAAAGTTGGTTGAAATTTCCATCTTCCAGTCCCAGATCGGGGGTCCTGGGAAGTTTGAAAATTGAAGGACCTTAACGTCTCGTCACCGAAGCGTCGTCTTTGCCCTCCATTTATGCAGGTACCGGAAGATCACAAACATAGAGAGAGGAAGAGAGCGGGCGAAAGAGATGAATCCCCCTCCCCCTCCATGCTCTTATCTTGCCCTCTCTCGACTCAGCTGAAGCATGATTTTGACGAAGATACAGTGTCATAATGCAAACCCACCCAACACAACGTACTCTCTCTACCTTAACAGGTCTAGTCAATTCAATACCGCCTTGTGTTGTCTCGGGAGGTACTCCGTAGGCTGAGCTGAGGCTCGGCTCTCAACCGACCGAGTACCAGAGACGCCTGGGGACGAGACGAGCTCTCCATTTTCGAGGCACGGGGAGGAAGGAAAAAAAAAAAGGACTGAAAATATCGCAGTACTAGCCACAGGTGTGTTCTATACAAATGGGAGGTTGGAAAAGTGGTTTATAGGGCAGGCAGACTAAGGTAGTGAGTGGCTCGGTCGCCGGGAGTGCGAGTCATCCGGCAAATCCCAGTATCCTTGTTCTTTGACGTCCCTGCGACAAAACAGGGGAGAGATGGGCCGAACAGACGAATCAATCTGTCCACCGCATGGCCGTCACTTGCAGTTGAAACGACACCTTCTTGATGGCTCGACAAGGAAAAAAAAGAAAAAGAGCAAAGGAAAAGAAAAGAAAAAGGGGAGACAAAGAAGTACGCCCAGTTTGGAGGATTCTCGAAGTAGTCTACTCTCCCCTCTTTCTTTTCTTACCGACCCTCCCACCCCTTTCTACTGTCGACTTCCCGGTTCGTCTCAAGGTTCAAATGACGGTGCTTTCCGGGATTTCAGTAGGGCAAAAGTGTACTCGAGTTCGGACGGGAGAAACAATCACACAATCACCCATTAAAGAAAGCACGATAATAATCTCAACCGGCATCACGCAGTTCTTGAATGTTGTTACAGTCCAACTCATTTTTATGGATGCAGGTACTCACTGGCTGTTAAGAAGAGGGTGTGAGCGACAACGAACTCACTCGCCAGAAACAATAACCAAGCTGGAACTTGACAGAAGCCTCCGGTATTCCTAATGCTACATCCAGTCTTCTACATGACGGGTGTGCAGAACGTGGGGGTCGGCAACACATTGCATGGATGAGACGCAGATGGTGAGAATGGTGAGAGTTCAAAACGGTGTACGTTGTACACAATCGAATAAGAGAACCTATTCGACTGGCGGCTGCTCGCGAGAGAAGCCAGAATAATACAACGTACCTACATCCTGTAAGAAAGCCGATGGAGTAGCATTGAGGCATTGAGAGGGGAGATGGAAAAGATGCAAGCTCCAGTCAGTCCCAGTCGATAGGTGGATCAGGGTCGTGCTGGCGGCCTACTAGCGTCCAGTTTCAGTCAAGAAAAATGCCGCGAGACAGGGGTATCCCTGTCGCTTCGTGCCCAGCCCCATAAGGTAAGGTATGAAGCGGATGTGGTACTTCGTAGGATATGGCCTCGGTGGCCTCGTACCTTGGAAACGCTGAATTCACACACAACCAGGTAATACTACGAGCACCTATGCTATGTCCTGCCATTTTCCTTCCCATTCTGTGATCCCATTTTCTCCCTGCCTATCGCCCCCCCCATCATTAGGCCCTCTCCCTTTTTCGTCTTATCTCCAATGACCCCCGCGTGAGCCAAGTGGGTGATCTTCACTTCTTCGCATCGGTCCGAGGCAAGCAGAACTTGTGCCGTTCTTCGATGGAAGTTCGTTCTTCGTGAGGTGAGCAGGTGGCCCACACTGCCAAACAGAGACGATGTAGCGGGACGCGGTTCTCTGAATAGGTACCTTATGTATAAGGTACTCTCGTACACGAAGTCGGATACTTACCTACCTTAGGTGAATGTCATGGATTAGATTAGGTAGCTCACCCACGCCAGAAAAAAACTATGAGGTCAGGACCGAAAACTCCCGGTTCGGTTAGGGTGTCTGATAAAAGAGGTCCTGTAACCTGTAAATCGTCGCCTTGAGAGTTTCTGTCGATCTTGTTTTCGCCTTTGATATCTTCCCGCGCTGGCCCTTCTCTCTGTTATTAGATATTTTGACCCAGACCATCATCGCCTCGCCGTGCTGCTTCCACAAGCAGCAATGCTGATCTTGTTCGGGTGAAAATGGAGAATTATGGGGCTAATAATAGAGTAGTAAGTTGACTGGGCTAATTATCTGCCTACCTTCCGAAGTGGGAGAGAGAAAGCGTACGTTGTGCAACCAAAAGATAAAAAGTAAGTACCCAGATCTTGAGTAATCGTTCAACTGCAAACCTTTTTCGTTATTCTCGATCACGTATCACGCCCAATTTTCTGTGTGCCACGTTGGTCATTCTTCGAATTGGTCAGTTGATGAAGAGAGTGATCGGTCGTCCACGCTTGGAGGTTTCTTATTCGTTGCCCGTTCAGGTCGCCTGGACCCTACCTGTAATCTTTCCACTTCGTACTGAGTACGTGGTAGGTATTCCGTCACCGACCTTCCCGTCCTTTTAAGGTGTGGCTCAGATCAACCAAACAGGACGTTACGGATACTCCGTATATGAGCTTCCTTCGTCGTGTTTCCCAGGCCGGTGCTATCCAAATGGGTGTTATATGTTGTAATCGATAGTTCTACGCAACGAGACAATTTTTGGCAACAGGGAGGGAGAAGCGTGTCCCTGCTGTTCTTAATTGCTTTCCGGCTCCGTTGGTTCATGAAGGGAAAGAAAAAGTGCAATTTTGTCGGTAATTATCGACCTACGAAGTACATACTACTCCAAGATGGACTTGCAAAGTCGAAAGGGCGTTGTGCTTTGCATGTATCTTCCTATCAGACGCGTCGCCCTCAGTCGGAGTCGACTGAGCCACGCACTCTAGGTCCGATGGTAAGGAGAGACTTCTTCACTTGGCACGTACGTTATACCAGATCTTCCATTTTGGACCGCTCAAGTTACCTAAGGTACCTGAGGTACGATATCCGTATACCGGACCCACCCACACCAGGCCAATCCCTGCCTGACATTCTCACACTTGCTCAGGTATCCGTACGTTGTATGAAGTACCTTATCTGTAGAGTAAGGTAGGTACTTGCCTACGTCTCAAGCATCCGCCCTGGGTATATGGTCCTTTCCCGCCTTCACCCTACTTTGTTGCTTCCTCCACCACGATCGTCTTTCCTTCTCCTACCTTACCCTACCTTACCTAGGACGACTTGCGTGGCTCTGATTATCTCATATCTGCAACTGCCATAAACCATACGCTGATTACTTGAACCTCGTACATACCGCGGGCATACACTAGAACACTAGACGCACCATTGCTCTCATCCCCCACCTCTTCCCTCTCCCTCAGTGATACACTAACTCCCTTTTCGGGTTCACCTTTTTCCAAATTTCTTCCTTGTAATCTCTTGATCCGCTGGCTTTACGCAATCTACGCGGATACTCCATACACCAAACCCAACCCGACGCGATTCTAATCCCTACGGCCATTTCTCTGAACGCTATTCGCATACTAATAATTAGTCTTGTCTGTCTGTTTCCTGTTGCGTTGCCCTTGGGCCTGCACCAATCCAGGCCGTGTGCGAGCAAGTGGACGACCACAGACAAATAAATCCACTTACCGGGGGAGGTACATAATTACAACGTACGGCCAATCCCTGCGCCTACCGAAAAGGTATACCCTGGACTCCGCGCCTCACGCCTCACGCCTCACGCCTCACGCCTCACGGGCCCCAAAACCAAGAGCCCACACCACACGCTGGAACCTTAATCATTCACCACACACCCACACGTATCACCCACTAATAGGGAAGCAGCCTGGGAACCCACCCACTTTCTGTCTTCCCTTCAACTCTCCTTCCCTCCACCCATTGTTTTGCCGCCTGCCTCCTCTCGTTGTTCTCTTCTGTCGAGGCCGTTCCGCCCTATCCATTCGATTATACGGATAGAAACCGAAAATCGACGAGGGAACGACTCTCCATCTCGATCACTACCATCGTTCTTTACCGCGGGACGGGGTTTCTAGCCTCTTCGTCTCTCTCTCCAAGCAACTTCACCACCCCCAGCAATTCCGCCCGCTACTCCACGGACGTGTCAGTCCCACCCTTCGATACAGTGACTCGGCAATTCCTCCCCTCCGCGCCCACGAAAGCTACGTCGAGCGAAAATATAAAGAAGTACAGGAAAAGAAAAGAAGAAGCAAAAAAGAAAGAAAAAAAGGAAGAAACAAAAGCGAGAAAAAAGCAAGAAGCATTTTACAGCAAGCGCAGCGTAAAAAGCTCAACTAGCTCGGGAAACTAGCAAAGCAGCCGCGGTTTAGCATCGTGGATGCTCAAAGCGACCGCGATACCCCGTCGTCTACTTTCGCCCAAGAGGCGAAAACAACGGTGTCCTCCTGCATACCGCCCAGTGCACTTTGAACGGTTCTTCCCGCACGCTGAGGATTGCCCGTACCTCAACCAAGTTTGGCCCTGGTGCCATTTCCGATCTCCCGATCTCCCGTGCTACCGTCCGCACCGACGCATTTCTGGCGCTCTATGGGCACCACACTGGACGCTTGCCGCTAGGAATTCTTGCAACGAGTGTCTTGCCTCGCTTTCTTCAGTCGACTCGCAAGCTCCGATTGCCGCGCGGCCGACCGTCCGAGTGCCTCTACACCGTCCAATTCAACGGTGCATCATAATTTGCAAAACTTTTGCCGCCGCCTTTTGAGGCCATCATTCAAAGCTATTGCATCGTCGTCCCCGACGTGAACTGTCGTACCCCTCGGGGAAGCGGCCATGGCCGCAAATATGCAGCAGATGGCTGGGGCGGCCGGCATGATGCAGCGACAACGGCCTCAGCCGCCGCCCACGAACTTACAGATGAACGACTATCTTTTTGCGGCTCTACAGCGCCACCACGATTCCCACCCATGGCCCGGTTGGCAAGCCAATGTGCCGCCACAAGAGCGTCTGGCGCGGACGCACAATCTGTGAGCTCAACTGCCCTCCTCGCCCCTCCTCCTCACTTTTGTTTTTTCTCGTCCCCAAACTCTCTGCATCCTGTTCGGCACGGCTGGACATTGATCTCGTGCCTCGACCGCTAACTCGCCGCCCGCTAGGGTCTCTAATATTGCATTGTCCCACAACCCCAATGTCGATTTCAATAAAGCTGCCGACTTCGCCCTGAGTTTTGAACGCGAGGTCTTCACCAAGTCGGTAGATAAGGTACGTTCCTGACCATGCACCATGCCAGATCGAACGAACAGCTAATGTCTTCCCAGGCGTCGTATGAAAACGCCATGGCCAATAAAATAATGCAATATTTCAGGAAGCGTCAGGAGAATGAGTCGGCCCTACAGAGTAGCTTGCAAGCACAAGCGGCGGCCCAAGCCCAGGCACAACAACAGCAGCAGCTTCTTATGAACCAAAATGCCGCCGCTATGCAGAACCGGATGAGCCAGAACATGGGCCAGAACCCCCCCCAGCAGGGCTTCCAACAGATGCAGTACCCATTGCAACCGCCGCAAATCCCCCAACCCTCTCCCATGGGCATGAACATGGGCCCAGGCGCCCAACCTGTCGGGCCTAATCAGCAAATGTACCCGATTTCGGGTCAAGGTCCACCGCGCCCTCCTGGTATGCCAGAAGGACAACCGAATATCACCCCTCAGGACCAGGCGAAGGTCCTCGAGTTGGCCCAGAGAATGTTCGCATCGACCAACCCTCAACAAAAGGACCATTACCGAAACATGGTCCGGGCCCGGTATCCTGAGCGCGCAGCAGAATTCGACGCTGCTGGGAAAGACCCAGTCTTGCTTTGGTTCCAAAATCAGGCGTTCCAGAACCTTTTTAAGAGTGCGGCTGCCGTCAGACGAGGACAGCAGGGCAACATGCCGCCAAATGCGAACCCCGCTGCTCATGCCATGATGCAGGCGGGACGGGGTCAAATAAACCCTGCGATGGGTCCCGGCGCCTTGCACCAACAAGGCCCCGCCGGTGCTAATGATTTTGGGCAGTTCAACTCAAACATGGAGAGCATCATAAACCAGCAGAAGGCCGGTCTCATTGCCCAAGAACAAGGTCAAATGGTCGTTCCCGCCAGCAATGTCGCTGCCCGCAATGCCACCCCACAACCTGGTGGGAATGCCCAGGGTCAGCAACAACAGCAGCAACAACAGCCCATCCCCAACCAGCCTGGCCCGAACCAGACACCACGGCCTCCGCAAGCACAGCACCAGCACCAGCAATTCAATATTCAGCAGGCCCAGCAGCTGAAAATGGAGCAGGCCCAAGCCCAGCAGCAGGCCCAGCTTCGAGCCCAACAACAGGCGCGTCAATTGCAAGGCCAGCCTAACGGTCTCGGGCCGGCCATTCCGGCCTCGCAGAGCCCTGGGATGAACACGCTCAACACTCCGATGCGTCGCCAGCCGAGCGCCATGAATGGTCCAGACGCTCAAGCAGGTCCTCAGGCAAGCGGAGCGTTCACAAACCCCCTCGATCCCCGGTTTAACCAGGGAAATCAACGACCCATGTCCATGAGCGGGACTCCCCTCAACAACCAGATGATTCATAACATGTTGGCGAGCATGCAACCCGAACAACGGCAACAGTTGAGCGGGCTACCTCCCGAGAAACTCGCCGAGATAGTCGTCAAATGGCAAGGACAGCAAATGCAGATGAAGGCCATGGCACAAGGTGGAAATACCCCGGCGCAAATGGCCAACCGCCCGGGACAGCCGGCGCAGTTTGCTCCGCAGAATCCTGCCAACGCGATGATGCCCATGTCTAACGGTGTGATGCATCAGCCTCAGGGACCTCAGGGACCTCAGGCACCGGGAGGTCCGACGCCTCAAATGATCGCCGCCCAGCAGCAAATACTTGCCCGTGTCCGGCAGGGGCCAATCTCACCCCAGCAGCAACAGACCATGGACAACCTGGACATCCCGAATCAGATCCTCAGTAGCCTAGTGAACCAGCGGCACGTCCCGCCCGAAATACGCAAGTGGAGAGACCTGAAGCAATGGTTAACGCAAAACCCGGTGTCCAATCAGGACCTGGTTACGCTGAACAAGGCTCAACGGACCCAGTTTGTGGCGTTGATGCAAAAACAAATTGAGAGACGGAATCAGATGCCCCAGCAGATGTTGCAGCAACCGCGACAGCAGCCGCAACTGCAGCAACAACCGCAGCAGCAGCTGCAGCAGACGCAGCAGCAACAACAACAACAACATCAGCAGCAACAGCAACAGCAGACACAACAGCAAACGCAACCATCTCAGCAACCAACGGCCATGCCTCCCTCGGCTGGACCTCCTCCAAACCAACCGGGGGGCCAGCCTGTACCACCACGGCCCGGTATGCCCCTAAATTTGCCTCGTCTGCCGGCCAATCTGTCGCACGTTACACCTCAGGATATCCAGAACGCGCGAGACCGAGAACCGCGGCTATTGAACTTTGACGACGATCGTCTCCGCCAATGGATTCTTCGAGCTAGAACTAAGAGTTTCCAGCAGGAACTGGCTAAGCGGCAACAGCAAACCACAGCACAGGGGCAGATGGCGGCGGGGCGGCCCCAACAACACCAACAACAACAACCCGCGCAACCCAACCAGCCGACGCCAGTGTCGATGAATCCGGGGCTATCGGCCCATACCCAAGGTCCCCAACCGACGATGCCTCAGGGAAGCTCTGCGCCGGCGCCGCAAAATGCCGGCATTCAAGCGGCGCAAGCCGCTCAGGCGAAGCAACAGAGCGCCGCGGCGGACGCCAAGGCTTCGGCCAATACCGCTACTACTAGACCCAATACCGCAAATAACAACCGGGCTGGGCAAAACAAGGCCGCTCAACAACCGACCCACTCCCCCTCGACGACACGGAAGAACCTCAAACGGCCCAGTCCCGGTGATGCGGCCGACGTGCCTCAGGCGACGGCGCAACCCGTCCAACCTCCGCAGGGTCGGCCGCAGCAGCCTCCTAAGGTCCCGAACTTGACGCCCGAGCAACTGGCAAACCTGACTCCGGAACAGAAGGCCAGATATGAGCAGTTCAAGGCTCAGATGGCCCAAGCGGCTCGGCCGGCTCAGGCTGCTCAGGCCACTCAGGCGAACAATCAAGGAGCTGCTGAATTAGAGCGGCTTAGAGAAATCAGCGCTGAGGAGAACCGAAAGTTTAACCAACAGGTTATGCCCGGGATTCCCATGACTCCCGAGGAGCATCAAGAAACAGTAATGAAGCTGCAGCGTCTCCTGGTCCACATCGGTAAAGTCGGGCGGGTCCTTGGAAGATGGTATACGGTTACGCGTGACGACACACGAGCTCGGAACTTCTTCCGCACGGTAAGTTGCCTCCCATTCCTTCGCCCCCACCATCCCCCGATTCCCATGACAGAAGATTAACAGAGTTTCAACAGCGACTACGTGTGGTGAGTCAGTTCCATGACCCAGAGCGCGCTATGCCCAAGGACGTCTTCACGATCCGTACGAGCGAAGTCGACGAGGCTCGTACGTTGCTGGAGAGCATGGTGATGGACTGCGCCAAACTCCAGCAGCAGCAAGCCGGACCGACGCCCCAACGCCCGCACGGCGGAGTACCCGGGTCACAGGGCCCCCAGGCGGCCCCCCTGAGCGCGGCCAATCTAGAAAAGCAGACCCAGGCGCTCAACAAGGCACAGCATGGCCGGTCAAACAGCAAGAGCGACCAACCTCCCGCGGCTCCGACAACGAGCCAGCCTCCTTTTCCCTTCGCGACCCCTTCTCCTCACGGCCAGCCAGCCTACGTGGGCAAGCCCAAGGTCAGCCGGGACAACCTCCAACTGCCGCCAAGGAAAAGGGCCAAGGCTTCAGAACAGGCGACGCCATCGCAGCCTGGGCAGACCACGCCGTCTCCCAACTTTGGTAAATCGACATCTCCCGAGTCGAAGCGTCAGGGGCCACCTGAGGTCAAGGCACCACCCAAGCCGGCGTTTGTGTGTAGCGAGCCGGATTGCGAAATGGCGACGGTCGGGTTCCCGTCGGAACAGGCACGGCAAGCTCATATCCAGGAAGAGCACGTCAAGCCGTTGGAAAACCCGGTCAAGTACATGAAAGAGGGCCTAGCAGCGGTGCTCGGTCTTGAGCTCGACGCAGACGGGCGGCCGAAGTCCGAGTCGCAGGCGTCGACCGTGGGCGCCATCAAAGAAGGCCAAACGCCGGCGAGTAATGCGGGGGCCACGCCCATGTCTCGTGACGCGTCTCAGTGGCCTGCTGGGAAGGCCGGGCACAAGGGGACAGAGACGAAGTCGAAGGGCGAGGCGGGCAAGACGGCTGCGGGGACCGAAAAGCAAGGAGAAGGTTCGACGCCGATGCTGCCGCCAGGGGACCACAATGGCCACTCGATCGACCCTCAGCAGCTATTCAAGAATGTGGGTCGATTCGAGTACGGCTTGGAGGGCACCATCCACAACATGAGCGTATACCAATCCATTACGCCGAACGACACGCCCGAGTCGAGTAAAGACAGCGGCTCGACAGATCCAAACAGCGACATTTCAGAGACCACGGTGGTTGACAAGGAGATGAACTGGCAGCCGCTAGACGCGGACCTGTTGATGGACATGGGCAGCTTTAGCATGGAAGGACTGGAAAATCTTCAGGGTAGCGGGGCCAACGTCGACATGGGCCTCCTGGAAGAGACGTCGCCACCGGACTGGTACGTGAATTGGGATGAAGTCAACATGGACTTTAACAAACCGTCGGAGGTTGACACGAGCCTCTACTTGCTCGATGTGTCGCGTTGAGAAAACGTACCACGGCGCATTAATGTCAGCACAGATGACAGTGTTTGGGCTGGATGGTTTTTTTTCTTCTTTTTTTCTTCTTTTTTTCTTCTTTTTTTCTCTTTTTTTTCATTTCATTTCTTCTTCTTTTCGGATCTTTTTCCTGATACCCCAAAAACTACTTCCTGTTCCCGCCCCTCTACTTCATTTTCTTTTACACTTATTTGCTTCCCAAGGCCAGAGGAAGCACACGGCCAAGGTTGCATTTAGTTTTGGGAGAACGGAGTGTGAAAGATGGAGGACAGCGGAGGGTGGATTAAAGCGAGGCGGGGGGAGGCACATGACAAAAAGCAAAAGCAGCGACTTTTGTATTCTGTCGACGTTATACGGCAGCGATGATACATGTACTAATTCCGCATGAAATGGCATTTTTACGATAGTTCCGTGCCTGGCTGGCATGGCCACTGGAGACGGTTAGGAGAGTCTATACTGTGGTGTGAACGAACAGCTTTCTCATTTAATTGGCGCTTGATTCTTTTCTTAGCTAGGTACTCACGTAAAGATCGTGTAGGTGGCTGGGTGCCGAGACCGGAACGGGATGCAAGTGCAAGGATGCAAGGATAAATGACCAGGTCGCGCGAACAGATCCACTGTTCGTACAACTGTACTCCGTACGGACAACACGATCGCGGTCAAAAGTGGGTCTCGACGCGACTGCACCGTGTTTACATAATATACGCTTATCCATATACGGTAAAAAGTAAACACTTTCTTTCCCCTGCCACATCTCCCCTGTGCTGCTCGTGCTGCTCTATTTCAGCCTCCGGCCGGAATCAACCCCCCACTGCGCTTAATGCACCTGTGCCTACGTTGTACCATTCACCATCCTCCACGATAGTGGATGCGGGCGATAAGTAATTAGCCGATGTTGATGCGGCGGACGGGAATGCCACTGACCAAATCTCCGGTTGACCAACGTCTTCAACACGCGTCGTCTTCTTCTTCCTCTCATAAACCGCACCACCTCGACTATATTCCTTTGCACACTCTCCTCCACTCAGTATTCTTCAGAATCTGGGCATTAGGGCTTCTTCTTTTGGGTTTCTTACCAAGGACTCATTCGCCCACGGAGTTGTGCTCTCATCTGCTTTGAGGTCTCGTTGGTTGTTCCCAGAGGACACGTGAAAACATCAAAAGGCTGATAACCACATTCTGTATCTGCCCTTTCTCTTCTTCTTTTTGTCTGAGTTATTGGCTACCTTATCCTATCCGGAGACAGACTGGAAGACCACGAGACCAGACCGGAGCTACACAGGAAACTTGCTACCATGGATGCAACATCGCCCGCCAAGCGACGCGCCCTCGCCCCTTTGGACGCGAACGCGATATCTCCCAACCCGAAACTCAACGCCAAGGCACCGCTGCAGAAACTCCAGTTACCACCACGGTCCCCCTTTGGGCTTAAGCGGCCGCTGCAGGTTGTGGGGTTGGGTGAGAATATCCGGGTGAAGAAACCGTGCCAGGAACCTCAGCCGCGATCACAGCCTCTACCCATTTCAACGAACGAGAGGTTACGATATATTGCCATGCCTGCCACTGCCGCTGGACAACATGAGGATGATGTTCGGGAGAGAGAGGTACTGTTCTATTGCCGGCTTCGTCCTACAGTATCGTTTCATAAGGTACTCAATAGACTAACGCGTCGCGTCCTGTCCTATATCAGACAGTACCTACGGTTCGATTTCCCTCCGATCACCACCAAACCCAAGAACAACAACGGCCAGAGTCGCAGTCACACCCGGCAACATCACAACAGGATCGTTCAGTCTCTCCCGACGCGTCCTCGGTGTTTGATAACAGCGTCACCGAGACGTCGCACGATACATCCCAAGACACCACCATCACGGAGCCAGATTCCACACAACAGGGGTCCGCATATCAACCGTCCATTCTGCAGCCCAGGAGATCCACGCCACCCATGACGCGTGAAGAAGCTCGACAGGTGAGATTCCCTTGCCTTTCTTTTTTTTTTTCTTTTTTTGATTGTCATAAAACACTTTCATCACGAGGACGCGTGCGACTTGGGGAGGCAACGGAACCGCGGCTAACCGGTTTGACCTTACAGAAAGTCGAGTCACTACGACTCCGGCTCGGTCTCGCCAACTATAAGCTCCAGACAGGACAGGCGGATATTCCCCTGGAGAGACTCCAAGCCAAGCCCATGCCCGGGCGTCAGCTGCGACGGTCCGCTTCTGGAGTTTGGACGGCCACCACCACCGCCACCGCCAACGCCAACGGTCAGAACCCTCGGTCTAGTCAGAGTAGCGAGGAAGGCGGCGAGAGGCACGACGTAGGTCATCGCGAGGACGGCGCACGGGATCGAGCTTTCGGACCTAACCCGCGACGCATCGCCATGCCGTCGAGGATGGTGAGGATGAGTCTCATGAACCGTATGCGCGGCGCGTCGTCGTCCCCCCGTGAAGGGCTCGCGGCCGCCGTTGGACGCGCAGGAGCGGAGGCGGCCCGGCGTTGATCACGTCTGTTTTTCTTTGCCGCTTCTCTCTGGGGGTTCATGTTCGGCGCTTTTCAGGCGGTTGGCTTTCTGTCTTTGACACTGCATAGGTTCGTTCACCGGACAGGTAGAGCTCTGGTGGGAAACCCGGATAGGAAGATGTAGGTAGCTGCATAGGTGCCTCACAATCGAGATACTGGAAGACGGAAAAGTTCGACTACGGCGGCTCGCTTGACTCTAAAAGCGCCACGAGGTGTACTTCGGTCTGGTGATGTCTTGGCTGTGTGGAAGCCTTTTGTGTCGCGTACCCGTGTTAGCCGACCAAGGTAAGTGGACCAGCCCCCGGCTGGCCACAGGGTCTGGTGGGTAGGTACTTCGTAGATTTTTCTCGGCTACACCCGAACCCTTTTCCCCACCTTTCCCCGTTGTGGGCCCCCGGACATCTGCAGCCATTGTTCAATTGTTCATTGTCTACTCGTGCACAGACCATGGTTCTTCAGGTCATCCATCTCTCCCTCTTCACGTCGCAACCCCAACATTAGGGCAAGCCCATTCGGATAGTATGGAATATTAGTTGCTTTTAGAGGGTATTAGAATTTGAACTAATTCTGCTATGGGCGGGGCTTTTCTCGTATTTCCTAGTCTTAAATATCGGCTCTTTTTTCTTCTTTTGGTTTCACCAACCCCAGACAAAAGACGGGTAAACTTGGAGAAATTCAACAACACATCGCTCCGGGGGAACTGAAGTAAAGGACATGTGAAACAGAGAGACACATGTGAAACAGAGAGACACATGTGAAACAGAGAGACACATGTGAAACAGAGAGACACATGTGAAACAGAGAGACACATGTGAAACAGAGAGACGAAAGCATAAGAAAATCAAACAGAAGGGGCAGAAGTAGGGAAACAAACTGCAGGGTTTTAGCTTCTACTCGAGATGTTCTCCCCAATATCGGACGACTCGGTTGGAAGTCCATCCATCACAGGCCAGACCATTTACCTGAGTGCGAGCTCCTTATATCCTTTCCGCCCGCGGCCAAAAAGAAAAAAACTCAACGCCGCAATGTGTTATATAGTTCCACGTCTTCAGTAGAACGGCCCCGAGCGCCGCCAGAGCTCAGCGCTCTCTTCTCGCACTCTTTAAACCCAAAGCCGGGGTTGCCAATGAACAGGGCGAAGACGGCAAGGGCAATAAATCTAACCATTCCCAATTCGTTAGTCTGTGGAAGTGAACCTCATAAACTAAATAGCAGGAACAGAAAAGGGGGGAAGAGGGTGAGGGGGCGGGGGGGTCAAGCGTACAGTCCCTCAAAAACCATGAAGCCAATCTCGTCCGAAATGCGGCTCGAATACAGGTACCCCTCGCTGAGTTCAACGACACGGTAGATGCACCGGCCGAGGATAAGGCCGATGGCGCCGGAGAGCCCGCCGAAGAAAGTCATCTGGCGCGGCCCTATCTCCTCCCCCCGGCGTATCTCGGGATGCGTGTGGCGGAGGTACCGGGCGTACCGGACCATGTAGTCGACGAAGAAGGCGCAGAACACGACGAGCACGATGACTTGCAGGATGAGCCCGGCTCGGGTGACGTCGACTCCGTCCTGGGAGAGGCCGCGGGAGATGGTGGAGAGGACGCCGCCGACGCCCTGGAGGACGAGGCAGATCGCGTCGGCGACGATGAAGCTCCAGTAGAAGCAGCTAGACGACATGCGGGACAGGTTGGGAGAGAAGAAATCGATTCTAAGGCGGTCAGTTCAGACTCGCGCTCTGGTCCACGGAGGAAGAGAGAGAATTGACGGATGTGACAGGGAATTGGTTAGGGGGAAAGCAGGAACGTACGCTTTGGATATCGTCACGTAGATGGCGGCAGTGAAAAACACGGGAGCCGACGTGATGCAAACGGCCTGGGTGAGGAAACCGGCAAAGTTCCAGGGATTGTACCATAGTTCGACACGCCCGGCGTAGCCGATTATTTGGACAAGACACCCCGCGACCATGCATGCCGTGAACCACCAGCTACGCCAGCGGTAGCCGCTGACGAAATGGCAGATGAGCAGGAAGGAATACATGGTGATGAACAAGGCGTTGACGCCGAGCTGGGGGCGGTATCGGTAGACCGACCAGTGGATGGGGCAGAGGTCCAGCGTGCAGTTGGCGCCGGGGCCAAAGAGGTTGAACATGCCAGGGTGGACGAGGGATCCATTGGCCAGCTTATGGACATACGCCGGAGGGAGGTACTGCATTGCCATGTAATCGTCCGTGTTAGGATCGGCCATGGTAGGGTAGTAGCCGTCACGAGGGGCGGTAGTCGAGCAACAAAAAATGCGAGGGATGGAGACTTGTGCAATGAAGGGGATTTTTCTTCTTCTGACAGTTGCCGAAAGTAGGTGTAGGTGGGTAAAATGAGCCTTCGGGTTCTGAGGGGGGACGGAGGGTATAAATACACCGAAGAGAAGGGAGGAAACCACTCAACCGTGTACTCCGTAACCAAGAGACAACATGGCAAGATGTTCTACGCCAAACCAGCCATCGTTTATACTAGAGGCGCCACGTTACAACAGCGTCATGAGAATCCCAGAGGGCATTGCGTGTTGGATGATATCGAGTTCCGTATAGCTGGTATATCTCTGCTTAGTCCGCGCCAAACAACCCGCACTTTCTGTTGATCGAATGCGAATGTAAAGGGCGGCATGGCTTGGGGCCAGTTTGCGGAGGTCAATACCTACATGCGCAAAGAAAGAACTTGTGGCGTTTTTGGTGGAATGCTGATGGGATGGCGTGTCGATGATCGAGGATGGATCCCGATTGTTGGGTTCGGCAGGGCGGGCGCTAGCATGGATCAGACGAATCAGACCTCTTTGATTGGCGGAAGCCAACTTTAAAAGTCGTGTTTCGAAATCTTGGTGGGGCCACACACGTGGTCCGTGCATGTTGAGGTCTCCATTGGCAATACGGAGGAGTTCTTACGGATTTCATCCCGAGCCACCATGATAGTGTATTCTCATTAAGCTGAAAAATCAATGTACAGTAGAGTAGCATGTATACTCCGCAACTCAACCTGATACATCCTGTGTCTTCTCCGGCGTTTGCGAGAGACAGGTTGTCCATTGACGACGCCCACCGTCTTGCGATGCACGCTAAACCCAGTACGGATTCATTTCTCGCTGGCTTGGACTCTTTGGGTAGGCCGGCCTCTTTTTCGTATCATGGCTTCTTAACCTCAAGACGAAGATGAGCAGGCCCAAGCAACCCCGGCTGAGTTTCCGACACTGAAAGCGCAATCCAGAAGGGGAAGAAAACACCACACATCAAACCATCACACGTTCTGCGGCATTCATACTCGACCAAGATTTTGCGGACGCATCGCCCATCCCTAGCGACCAGCATTGACTGACTGTATCGAGGAATCATCGGTGGGCAAGGCGACTCTTGCGATCCCATGCTCTCTCCACATCCCTTGTCGAATACACTAGCCATACCACTTCCACCAATGACATACGAACTTTGGCCTTGGAAAATGTTCCTCTTACGTTTGCCCCTACGTCACTCATGGATTGTGGTGTAGTGCTCAGGATATTCTCCTTTGGGCGGACCAGACAATCCCACTGACAGACACGAGAAGGGTTCCATATTTGCTAGAACCGCGGCCCCATCTGCCTATGCCTAGGTGGGAATCCAAGTCGCTACCAGTTTACTCTGTTCGGACAGAGGAATCCCAACCATGCCAAATTTGAATGGCGGTGACATATAGATCCCCCAGAGACCACATCACACAGCGGTGCTTCACCTGGCTACCGGAGGAAGTAGTTACACGAGTACAATATGGTAGCAATACGTCTTTCGGGGTTTGCGCACGTTCACAGCGGGGAACACGGGTGAGAAGTCGGCTCGGGTAGCAGTTCTAGACACCAACGATAAAAATACGCCGCGACAAGACCGCTATATATCGCAGAAGAGCATATTGTTTGAAACGGGAAAGGCGAAACGTTGCAAGAAGCAAGATGGCGGGGGGCGGCTGGAGAATGGTTCGGTTCTGTAGAATGTTTCTCGAGTACGACAGATAGAGGTCCAGGGCTTGCCGCGGAAAAGAACGTGAGAGCAAGGTGACAAAACTGATAGATAAGAAAGCGAAGTGTATTACTACGCCCGCACACAAAACAACTGGCAAAAGGGTTCAAAGATGATCTACAGCCAAGGCCCGAAAGGCTAACCGGACTAATGTCCAAAAGAATAAGAAGAAGAAAATTTTGAAAAAAAAAAAAGAAGAGGGCAAAAAAAACATGACAGATGCAAGCATCCGAGCACACGTCAGCAACCTGAGAGCAGGGGGAAAACAGGACCCTTTGCCTTCGGACTTCGCCTCGGTGATGGAGACGCCGAAAGTCGATGGGCGATTAGGCAAAAGTGAGGAGAACAAGATATGGTGGTCTGTTCGAGGGAAGGCGGGAAATGGCTGCTCGTGAGAGGAAGGGAAGGCGTGTTAGTGTGTTGGTGTGTTAGGCGCTGTTTGCCGTTTAGCCATTTGTGCATGTTTTGTGCATGAAGCGGAGGGGATACAGGGGATACAAAAGTGATTACGCAGGTCGACTGGATGATTGGCCAAAGGATGCAGGATGCAGGAACAGGGCCAATTCTATTGGGCAATGCCCTTGCAGATTACAATTTCCCACTACCTACGTATGCAGGGGTGCTAGCTCCGGCCTTGTCTTGGGGGGTTAAGCGGTGGGTCCACCGGAAATGAGACACACAGGTCAGGAACCAACACGGAAACAGGGAAACAATGGCTTGATTGCTCCAATTCCCTCCCAAGACGACTGTTCCGTTTCCTTAGAGTCCTAAAACAACAAGATCTGGGGTATGTTGACATGTCTAACCAGAGAGTCCACGGGAAACAGATATCAATAGTTATAAATAAACATCACTAAACAAAATTGAATGCTGTGCAAAGGCAGAATGAACGAAAACATCTGGAGTTGCCCAAAAACCGAAGAAAAAAAAAACACCGAAAGGTCGTGCCGTGGATTAGAAGATTAGGTACAGAATTGATTGTATGTGCCACACTGTAAATATATGCTATGATCAAGGGAAAATTCTTTTTACATGTAAGAACGCCCCACAAAGCCTCCTGTGGATGTCACAAATCGCAATGTGCGATGGGGAGGGTTTCCTGGCGCGGATCACAGCAAAGCGCTCGCCCATAACCTGGATTCACCCGTTTACGCGAAAGCGTAGGCGGCGACAGCAGCGACGGCGGCAACGAGGACGGAGCCGCTCAGGCCGGCAGCGCCAGCCTCAACGGGGAGGGAGGCGGAGGGGACAGCGGGGATGCTACGACTCTTTGTCAGCACCGTGTTCATATTCTGGAATCCCGATGGAAGGGAATGGGAGAGAGGTTGCTACTTACGTGCCGTTGGCAGAGGGGACAACGGGAGGGGGGACGACGGGAGGAGGAACCACAACGGGAGGCGAGCTGGTGGGGCAGGGGATCTCGATGGTCTCGTAGATCACGGTGGGGATGACAGTGGTGATCGAGGTCGAGATGGTCTTGATCGAGGTGCCGGGGCACTCCTCGGGAGCCTCAGTGGGGATGGGCTCGACGGGCAGGGCCGAGGTGACATCGGGATACTCAGGCTCCTCGGGGAGGGCCGAGGTCTCCTCGGGCACCTCAGGGACCTCAGGCCACTCGGGCTCCTCGGGCCAGCCAGTGGGCTCGGGGTACTCGGGGTACTCGGTGGGCTCCTCCTCAACCTCGCAGACGGTGGTGCTGGTGGCGATGGTCTCGGTGATGACGACGGTGGAGTCGGAGGGGCACTGGATGACGTCGGGAGGGCAGCTGGTGATGGTGAACTGCGTGGTCTCGTAGACGGTCTTGGTGGTCAAGGCGGCGACGCTGGAGGTGATGATGGTCGACTCGGCGGGGCAGTCGGGGAAGGTGGGCTCGCAAGAGGTGACGGTGAAGTACTTGGTCACGTACTCGGTCTCGACGGGGGCCTCAGAGATGCCATAGGCCATGGCAACGCCAGCGAAGGCGGCAGCGGAAGCAGCGAAACGCATTTTGAATGTGGGGGATGGGGGGTTTCTTTTGAAAGAAAGGATTGTATATTAACCGTGAGGGTTGAGAGAGCGAATGTGGTAAGCTGAAAGCTTGGGTAAAGAATGGACGACCGAAGTCAAAAGTTGAAGAGCGAGCTTGAGATTGAGAGCTTGGCTGAGGAGGGAAGGAAAGAAGAAAAGAAATTGGTCAACATGAAGGAGGGCGGCACTTTAATACCTACCCTAACCCCCCATTTGGTTGTCAATGCAGTAAGGGGAAGAAAAAAAGGGGGCTCCTCTACCTCAGTGCCGCCCTCGTGTTTAGTCGTCCACTCCGGGAAATTAGATCGTGGCGCTCACCTCCATCCCCAGGGACGCTAATTCAGGGGGTGGGACCGCTGTGTGGAGGGAGCTTCAAGGTTGCTGGGAAGTACGTTGTACTCGGATGCGGATGCGGTCAAATCGACTCGGACCCCACAGCAAAGGAGGCCGCATGTCAAGCGAGCGAGGAGCGAGAGGAGAGGGTCGTGGGTGGTGGGGCGGTTAGATGGAGGGCGGTCTCTTTGCTGCCGGCCAATAGGGCACCTGGTCACCTCTGTCTTTCTCTTTCCCCTTTCGGACCGTTCGAGGGTGCATAAGGTACGTTGTACGTGTAAATTCTATTCAAGCACCACGGTTGGATTGGACGGAGCCGTTGGACTCGTGAGGTAAGGTACCTTGGAGAGGTGGCTTGAAAGGATTATGCAAAGTACTTTGTACCTACGAACCACGTACCTTCGTTGTACGAATGGACAAGGAGAAGGATGCCGTTCTAGGTACGGATAGAGAGTACAAAGTCCTCCGTACAACTGTACATAATCCTGGGCGGCCATCTTATGTATCTTTCTCGTGCCCATTGGGTCAAGGCCCGAGATGACCGGACCTGCAGCGCATGTGGTCCTAGGAACGAAGCAAGTGCGCAAGGCTCTGGCCCGTGGTCGCCTTCGAAATAGGCTTTGCTTTCTCGGTGAATGGAATTTCGAATGAATGCATTACGACGCACCGCAAGGGTCTCCTGTAATCGGTATGGGTGGTTGGCAACTAGACTGGGCAGGCTCATTTCCAGCCAGGCCCAGGCCCAGGCCCATCACTTTGAATGGGCGTGCGAGATTGATGTCGTCTTTTTGTCTTTTTGAGAATGTCGCCCCAGCCGATGCCGAACAGGAGAGCGAGCTTGGACACGATTGACCTGGCCGACTGCCCCCTTTCCGGGTAGGAGTTTGATTGGGGCCATGCTAGGTAGGTACAGTTGTATGCTTCTCCCCATTGAAGAATAAGGCAATGTTAGGTCTGCATAAAGGTACCTAGTACGGTACAGAGTACGGATACGCGCTCTGAACTTGCCTGTATTTACTCCGTACTCGGTACCAGGCCTTGCATAAGTCGTTGGTGGCTTACCGAGTACCTTACCTAAGGTAGGCACCTAGTGCACAATCATCCACCGTAAATATCGTCCCGAAGACGTACGTTGTACAGCGTACCTACGGTGAGGTACGGGGTCGCGTAACTGCGCAGGGCTTGGTAGAATCTAATCGGGTTTCCCTTGGACTCGACACTGGACGTTGTTTTAAAGAAAACTCTCCAGAATGAGGGTCTTCGGGACTCGAATAAGCTATAAACTCTTACCTTGATGCTGGAATGTGTAACGACGTGGACAGATACCTAAGGCAATCCTGTATCCGTAAGGGACGCGGGAAGTCCCTGTACAACACAGTACGCATTTTCCCAAGCCACGAACAGTGCAGCTCTTGTGCCAGGTGCACAAATGGTTGTCCGCTCGAAGCCGCTAACGCAGGAACGCGAGACCTGCTGTAAGGTACCTAACGGCTTTGGGAAGGATATTACCAAGGAAAAGGCACTAAATTCGCACTTCGCTACACGTTGTACGTTGCAGTTGTATTGTATGTACGTTGTACGCACACTGAGATCTCGGTTCCTAATTATAAGTTGATATCCTTTTGATAGGCGCTCCGTAAGGCGCTCCGTAAATCACGGCACTTTATGCTTCGATAAGACAGGCGTCCAAGTCGCGGTGAAAGCGGTCCCAGAACCCTTTTCCTACACTTTTCTTGTTACACTCGATCTTCAAGTTGGAGGGCCGAAGCTTTCCCGTCGGTGTATGATGTCTGCTTGTCCCCTTCACCTACCTTAGGTACCTTAGGTATTCATAGTCCGCTGTGGAAATTGTCATTACCAGGTAATGTGAGCTTGGGAATTGTACTCCGTGCTACTAACCATCTACCGAAATGTACCCCAGACTCAACCCGTCGAGTCCACCGCCTAGGGCCTGCAAGCCGACTTCCACAGCGGGTTCACAGATGGATCCGATGTGCCATCGACCAGATTTCTTTGCGTACAAAAATATCCGTATTAATTACTTAATATTCGCATCGTTTTAACGTTGTTTCTTAATCTCAGTCAGCGTGATGCCGTAGCTCTTCCATTGGGGAAGATCTTCGAGAGATTTCCTCTCAGGACCATTCCAAATAAAGCCCTGCAGTCGAGTGTTTCACAAGGGACAAAAAGTCTGGGCTTTGAGGACCGACAGCACAGCCATCCAACCTCCCGACGCCAAAATCTTGTTTATACCGAGAGAAATCTTCGAGAAATACGGTTACCTACGCGTGTTCAAAGCTATTTCAGGCGGTGAGGCTGAACGTGTACAAAGTACGCAAAACATACGGATAGATGCAGACTATTATTTCTAGGGGAGGAGTACAAAGTAATCCAAACTTGGGCCGGCGACGAGGGTGAGCAGAGGAGGAATGACCGTACTCTATCATTTTCGATATGAATCCCTGACCGCCTCTTGACGCCTCATCTCGTTCGCCAGGTCCATTACGAATACTTAATCTCGGAACATTTGGCGACCCCGCAAAAGCAGGAAATGGAGCACCGGTCGGTGCGTCTCCCGGTGTGCCTCAAAAGGTGAATGGAGTCCGAATAAACTGACAGATAATTAAGCTCCAGATGCCAAGTCGATGTCGCGGTGGGTGTCAAAGTGAATGACTGCCTCTGGGAAGTGATATTTCCCTTAGACGCGGTTGGGTTCGTTCGAGCAAATACCTAGATCAACAAACGAATGGCGAGGGCACGTTCATTTCACCTGGGCGGCGGAAACAATATCACTGCCCGGTAATAATGCAATCGTGCTGCATCCTCAGCACCAGTCCGCAGTACGCAGTACGCAGTATGCGGCGATGACCGCCAACGGGGCCGCACCCAGCGGAACAGGTTCACCAACCTCCAGTAATTCACTTTGACTCAGATATCTCTCACTAAACAGGAAAGGAATATATCCGGTGACAAGAGGCGTGTCCCACCAGAACGTCGGGTAGCTTGCAGGTTAGCAAAGCCCGGACCCTGGATATTACCTACGGAGAAACGCTTCGACTTTCGTTTCTGCGATTTGTGACTGACCGCATGCCCTCAGCGTGCTCAATACAATAGCTCACTACAAGTAAGATCCTTCGAGCGTATCATGAGCCAAGGAAAAGGTCGCTTCACTATCCTCACCTAACTGAAACTAGCAAGCTCTGGTATTCCTAGCTATGTGTGGTAAGTATATAACTTGTCGTCTCGAAATGAATCGGTCTATCCGTATTTGCTGGCCGATATTCGAGAATCTCGTAATTTAATGGTGCGTATCGAGGTGCCTATACAGAGAATTTGACAGGACTTTATATACACAGTTAGTAGTATGAATTTGTACTGTTAGCACCGTGTACCCAGCGCTGCGTTCAATATGACGCAGGAAGGGTACCTAGGCGGAAGGTGACTCCTATGACTCCCATTCTTGCCCGATAATTTGCCGGATGAGGGGTCTGGACAGAAACCCCCACATTGAGCACGAGACTGCACCACCACCGAGATTTGGGAAATTCAACCGCAAACCAGAAGCCAGCTTGCCGTCACCGCCCGAGATAACAATTTCTCACCATTTGCTTTTTTTTTTTTCTTTTTTCTTTTTTTCTTCTCCCCTCCTCAGCTTTTTATATCGCCGATCCATAAACTCCCCCATCGATCTTTTTTTGCAAGACAATCTTCTATCAACTTCGTCATTCATACTGCATCATACCACGCCATTTAGCAATTTAGCCTGCGTAATTGAATCGACTTCTCCTACCCGCTCTGCAGCCCCTCTGGCGGCCTAAAACCCCGCGACCCTCTGGGGAATGTGCCTTGGGTAGTTGCTCGTCACCTGCGTTTCTAACCCACCGAGCGAGGATGCCGCATGCACGGCGTGATCAGCTGCAAGGTTCATAGCAGCTCTAAGCCCAGACCATAGACCCTCTGCCTCCTAGCTACTCGTTGCCGACTCGCCGACCCTTGAATATGGAGGCCCAAGTATGTGACCCGTCTTTTGTTTGTTCGCCCCTCCTCGCTACTCCCTGCCTTGGACTACCTATGATGCGTTGCCTTTACTTCCATTCGTTGCCTCTTCCTCTACCATCCTCATATCATGGATCATGTTACCACTTCTGCCTCGACTGTCGGGGACGGAAAACACGAGTCCCAAAGGGGCCAATTTTGTGACTTGAGACGTTTTACGCTGACCTGCTCTTTTATCATAGATCGAGAATGCGATTGAGATTGCGTGGAATACTACCTCCGACCAGAGCCTCAAAGAGCAGGCCTACGAATTTCTCAATCAGTTGAGGGTTGAACCCCAAGGATGGCAGGCCTGCGCTTCCCTGTTTTCCAGGACACCCCGCTCCTCCGATGTCGTGCGTATGGTCTGCCTTGAGGTCGTCAACTACGCCGTCCATACGCAACGCCTCGATCCCCAGAGCTTAGCCTACCTCAAGCAGACCCTTCTCGAATACGCACGTCAGGTATACGGGCCCGGTCACCAGGAACATATCGATCCTCCCGCCCTGCAGAACAAGCTCTCCCAGACGTTGACCTACCTGTTCGTCTTCCTTTACACTGATGGATGGGAGTCCTTTATCGAGGACTTCCTGGCCATGACCCGGTCGCCCGATGGTGCTCAACAGGATAATGTGACCGGTGTCATCTTCTACCTCCGCATCCTTGGCTCCATCCATGACGAGATTGCCGATCTACTTCTCACTAGAAACACCAACGATGCGAAACGCAATATGGAGCTGAAGGACCAGCTGAGGGGGCGCGACATCCAAATGATCGCCCAGTCGTGGAAGGAACTTTTGGCACTGTACTCGGGCCGGCACGATGCCATTGTCGAGACCATCATGAAGGTCATTGCCAAGTGGGTCAGCTGGATGGACATATCCCTCGTCGTCAACCAAGAGATGCTCAACCTTCTGCTTCCTGTGGTTGGAAGAACAACTCCTGACGGTCGCGAGGACAAGGTCAGAGATGCCGCCATCGACACCCTTACCGAGATTATCGGCAAGAAGATGAAAGGTCCTGAGAAGATGGAGCTGCTGTCGTTTCTCAACCTGCGGGACATCATCGCCCAGCTGATCGCCAGCCCCCCTTTGAGCGAACTAAAGTCGACTCCTAAATACGACACCGATCTTGCCGAGGCTGTCGCCAAGCTCGTGAACACCGCCATGGCCGATATCGTCCGTGCGCTCGAGGACGGCCAGTTGGACGACGACACCCGCCGCAGGGCCGAGCAGCACCTACACGACTACCTCCCCTTCCTCTTGCGGTTTTTCGCCGATGAATATGATGAGATCTGCTCGACCGTCATCCCATCCCTGACCGATCTTCTCACCTTACTGCGCAAGGCGGGCAGTCTGCCGCCCAACTACTCCGATATGCTCCCGCCCATCCTCAACGGCATCATTTCTAAGATGAGATATGACGAAACGTCCAATTGGGGCCACGAGGACGAGCAGACGGACGAGGCCGAATTCCAGGAACTGCGGAAGAGGCTGCAAGTGTTGCAAAAGACTGTCGCCGCTGTCGACCAGAACCTGTACATCGATGTCTTGAGCAACCTCGTGGGCGAGACCTTCCAGAGGCTCGACCAGCAAGGATCTCAAATGGATTGGAGAGATCTCGATCTTGCCCTCCACGAAATGTTCCTCTTTGGCGAACTCGCATTGCCCAACCAGGGCCTGAGCTCGAAGAGCCAGCCATCGGGCACCGCTGCCGAGAGGCTGGCGATCATGATGGAGAAGATGGTAGCGTCTGGTCAGTATACCTACCCCCATGGGCCAAGAAAGACGGAGAGAGGATGTACGAGAGGATGTACTAACACCTGAAGCAGGCATTGCCAGTTTCCCCCACCCGGCGATTCGGCTACAGTATATGGAGATCTGTGTCCGCTATTGGCAGATCTTCGATGCACGCCAAGAATATATCCCGCGCGTACTAGAAGACTTCGTCAGACTAGTCCATGATGATCATGTTCGCATCAAGACGCGTTCATGGTACCTGTTCCATCGATTCGTCAAGCACCTCAGGGCCCAAGTCGGCAACGTGGCTGAGACCATCATTCAGTCCATCAGCGATCTGCTTCCGATTAAAGCAGAGGTCCCGGAGAACGACGCAGACGATGACATGTCCTCGGACGAATCGGATCATTCAGCTGACGCCCTCTTTACGAGCCAGCTCTATCTTTTTGAGGCAATCGGCTGCATATCCTCTACCGGCAGCACGCCCGCCGACAAGCAAGCGCTATACGCCCGCCTGGTTATGGAACCGCTGTTCCGCGACATCGAATCTCACCTGCCCAAGGCCAGGTCGGGCGATGCCCAGGCCATGCTCCAGATTCACCACGTCATCATGGCGCTCGGGACTCTTGCCCACGGCTTTTCCGACTGGGCTCCAGGCAGTACCTCCAGCCAGCAACGCCCCCCTCCTGACAAGCTTGTGTCCGAGGAGTTTTCCCGCGCCGCCGAGGCCATCCTCGTCGCGCTTCGGGAACTGAACAGTTCTGCCGACATTCGCACCGCTTGCCGCTCCTCCTTTTCGAAGCTCCTCGGCGTGCTGGGATCCGCAGTACTCCCCCAGCTACCCCAGTGGATCGAGGGATTCCTTTCCCAGAGCTCTTCAAAAGACGAGATGGCCATGTTCCTGCGTCTTCTGGATCAGGTCGTCTACGGCTTCAAAACTGAGATCTTCAACGTTCTGAACCTATTGTTAACCCCTCTGCTGCAACGAGTCTTTGGCGGGCTCTCTGAACCCATCAACGGTACCGACGACGAGATACAGCTGGGCGAACTGCGAAGAGAGTACCTGTCCTTCATCTCCGTGCTTTTGAACAACGACCTGGAGGCCGTTTTCATCAGCGAGACCAACCAGGCCTTCTTCGATCCCATGATCTCGTCCGTGATTTCGCTCGGCCGGACGCTCGAAGGGAACCTGACCCAGAGCCGTCTTGCCTTTGGCGTCCTGATTCGCATGGCCAGTGTCTGGGGTGGTCCCGACGTCGCTACCATCTCCAACAACCCATCGACGACGGGCTCGCCGAAACCCGCGATTCCCGGATTTGACCAATTCATGATTGACCGCTTCCATCCCCTGTGCTGGGAGGTTCTTCGGGATCCGCAGTTCAAGCCGGCCTCGGACGCGCAGAGCAAGCAAGTCTTGAACGAGATTGCCTCTCTCCAGCAAGTCATCTACACGAAGACGGGCGACATGTTCATCCAGAACCTCCGATCCTCCCTATTCCCCCACCTGGGTATGGACGGCACCGAATACCTCCGCTCCATGACTACTTCGACGGACAAGAAACAGTTTGCGACATACCTCCAGGGGATTTGGAAAAGCTGGAGGACATAATGGTGTAGCAAAATAAAACGAGAAGTCCAAGGCGTTGTGGTGAAAGAACGAAGAGGAGCCATCCCACGAGGCTGGGGACCGAAAAGAGGTGGTAAGTTGTTTTATCAGGATTCTCAGTGGTGAACCTGCGTAGGTCGCCTGTGTTGTTCGATGATCTCAGGATTATTTCCCCCATGATGGATAGAGATGGGCCAGCCCGGTCAGCGCGCTCTTTGGAAGAATGCAGGCCAAAAAGCTGGATACCCGTGTAGTTGGCGTCCTGTCTGGCGATCTACACACTGCCATTGTAGGGCGAAAGTGGATGATGAGAAAATAGCATAATAGACTTGATGCAAAGACTAGATGTCGAGCGCAGTTATGACTGCGTACACGAAGAGGGGTTTAATTACCTCCTACCCATTCTAGAGGGAAGCCAGGAGTCGACTCTTGGTGGACTCCCTAAACCAAAGAAATTAAGAAGTTTCCATGCCCGGGCTTCATCGTATTACATACATACCCAAGGGCCTAGGTTCTCTCCTCTTCCCACAGCGAAGCTGGATATCTCCTTGAGAAGATACCACATCGGGGACGCTAATACGCCACAAATAACGAGAAGACGGAGAGCAAGGTGCCCTACCTATTGTATGTGAAAATGTATGTAGACACTCTCTATCCCGTGATCAACGCCCTACCAACTAGCTCCCTTCATGGATCGAGACAGCTAGATATAAATACAAGCCCAGCAGCCCAAAAAGGCAATAAAACAACCAGGTCCCGGGACGCTGCGAAAGGCCCTAGCAGACGCGAACGCCGCAGACCTCGACGCCTTTACCCTCAATCCGGGCCTCCCGCGAGAAATACCGCTCCACAAGCTCCCTGACGAACGCAGCGTCATGGGCGCTCCAGACATCGAGACCCATGTGTTCCAAGTCGTGACCGTGGAGGTGGACGACGGGCCGGCGGTCTTCTTCCTCCTCGTCCTCCTCGTCCTCCTCGCCCCTACCGCGGAGTGCCCCGGCCCGCAACGGGGTCTCCTCTCCCATATCTTCGGCCTCGCCCCGAGTGGGCCCTTCGTCCTCCTCGTCGTCGACGTACGGAGAAGCGGGACCCGCAGACTCGACAAAGTCTCCCAGCACGGTGAAGATCTGCGTGGTGAGGCGGTGGAAGTAGGCGATGATGGCCAGTTCAGTGACGGCCTGGTCAGCCTCCTCGACGTCGTCGCCCGGAGCGGACGGGACGGGTCGGCGGACTCTGGGGGATGAGAAAGAATCAGCCATCCCCTGTTGTTGGAACGCGGCGCGCGGGTCGCTGGGACTCGGACTCCTGGCGGTGGTGGCCGCGGCGGTCTGCGGCGGCGGCGGCGGCGCCGCGAGATCCGCGAGAAGCGAGGCGTCGAACGAAGCTTCCTCCTGGGCATCGCTGCGTCCTTGCTCGCCTGCGCTGGCCCACCAGAGGAAGCCGCTGTATGCCAGCTCCGTCCAGCTCACGGGCTCGACGGCCTTGTCGAACGCTTCGTCCGAGAAAGAGGCGACGGTGGGTTTGGGGGAGGGGGTGCTCGTCTGGTTGGCGCTGGTAGGCGAAGCGGCGGGAGACGTCGGCGACCTGGTAGGCAGGCGGTTCAGTCCGTCGACGAGCGTGCGGAAGCGACGCAGATCGCGCTGCGTGGCCTTCAAGGGCACGCCGCGTGGGCATTCGATGGTCGGCCAGATTTTGTCTCGGGCCTGCGATGAATGAGGCGGGGGCATGGTTATGAGCATGTCCCACAGGTCGTCTTTCACGGCGAGAATGCTATCGGTCGTGCAGGCGACCCATCCGGTGGAAAAGTCGTCGTCGATGGCCTCCTCGGGGTTAGAGAGCCGGCGCTTTGATGCCGCGTACTCCTCCTGGAGGGATGTTATATCATGTATACCGATGGCGAAAAGTGGACGGAGGCGCTGGGATGGAGCTGTGGTGTCTAGCATGTCGATTACGGAGGAGGGGATGTTGGCGAGAACAGAGATGTTGTACACTAGACGAGATGTTAGGCGAAGTGGGAAATGGGAGAATAGGAGCTATTCGGAGGCGCACCGAAATTGCAGACTTCGTGAATGGGCGCATGGCAAGAAAGCAAGATGCGTTTCCGAAGCAGCGCGGCCCGGTGTATGGGGAAAATCAGAGGCCCGAAGGTGTCGAGAAGGTTCGTCAGGCTCCAGGCCGGGTGATAAGGCGAAAGCCTCTGACCCGACGGGAGTAGCGCAGTGCCATCCGATGCCGAGCGGCTCCTGCTATGACTTCTCTGCAATCTGGCGGCCAGCGCACTGACGAGAGGCGACTCGGGGGGCATGTCATTCTGGGGGGCGTCTTGACCTGTGTCATCGCGGGCACTGTTCTTTGCCCAGTATGCCTCGAGAAGGTGTACCCTGGTGCGATCCTCGGCAAGTTTTCTGAAGTAGGCAAATCAGGCGTCAGCTAGGTCACTCAATCGCATAACGATATAGATGTCTCTGTCTTTTTGAACCCAATGGAGTACTCACGTAGCCAAGTCATCCAAACCTCGGGCATGCCTCCAAGCTCTCCCTAGACGGCCATAGGTCAAGGGGACCAGGATGCCGACGGCAATCATACGGGCGTTACGGCTCCCTTCCTCCTCGCAAGGCATGTTGACGAATGCGCTGAGACCCGCATATTCGCGCTCGTGGACGAAGTAGATGAGGTCATTGGGGACGGTGTGCAGGCCAGAGGGTAGACACTTGTACTCGACAACACCGTCGAGATCCACGCCTGGCACGGCGCGTTTCCAGGATATAGTATAGCCGGCCCTGACGTCGAAATCGACGAGAAAGAGAGCAGAGATGGGAGGTAGGTCGGGAAGCGGGCCGGTGGAGGGACCGATGGAGAGGCGGCGCGTGGAGAGAGGTGATCTGCTTCGACGAGCGGCCATGATGGGGATCGCGGGGTGGTCGCTTTCAAAGGTCGAAGCTGGTCATGATATGCGCCGACGAGCTAGGAGAAGACTACAAATAGAAGTTATTCGATGGGGGCTCCTGGGCTATTGTTGCCCGGCAAATCAATTATCGATGGTTCTGAGGAGGTTGCGATGGCTGGTTGAATGATTTGGTAAGCTTCACGGTCGACGTTGCACAAAGCTAGGACACTAGGGTTGACTAAGCTCGAGTCACGATTACGATAAGATACTACGATAAGATACTCCAGTTCAGTACCTAGGTACTTCGTATGAGAGACCCTCGAAGACATGTGTTAGTCAACATCAGTCAAAAAAGATTACATTAAGTTCTTTCAAATTCAACATAAAGTTAGCAGCTAGCCAACTAAGATCTCCATTCACCACGAACAGCTTCACTATTTGGTTGGTGTATGCTCTGCGGCGTGACATGTCCGATAGCCTCACATTGAGTGAGGTGGCTTGGAACACACTCCTGTTCTTTAGTAATCATTTCACTGGTGTTATGTTCCAGGTACCTTTTTAGTGGGTTTGTTGTCACTATTGTTGGGGAAAGTGGAGACTGCACCTCGGCACAACATCGTCATGTGGAGGGTAAAAAGCCAATGAAAGTCTGCTCTCTCGATCTTCTATCCCACCAAAAATCCTGTATGGATACTTCGTAATTCGTACATCGGTCAAGCCGGTGACTGACTTGCTCCGTACAGCTGTCCCACCAATTAAGCCACATTGAGCCACCTGGTCGGTGTCGGTGTGCGAGTTCGTCCTCTGTTCTTTTTTCAGCCAGCCTCAAAGCAACGCCTTGCCTTCTCTTCGCATATGGCATTGTCTTGCTTCCTCTTTCTGTTTTGCGACGCCTTTCTTTCTTTTTGATGTATATGTACTAGCAATCTCTCTTCACAGGGCTTGTCCTCCCCTTCTTCTCCGTCCTCTTTATCCCGTGCCCCGCCCCTTTGTCCTGCTCGTCGAAACCCCCACCCCCAGTGCTCGAGGCCTTGAAGCCACCAGGACAGCGTCCGACAACCCGAAAGCCTCGTTCCAAAGAAAGACAAAAAGACAAAGTCGAGCCCGACCTCACCTTCGCCTCGAGTCCCGGCAGTTACCGGCCAACGTAGCCGCCATGGCCCTGGGCTACCTCTACAACTTCCTCGTGGGCTACGTCGGTCTCACCGTTGGCCTCTACATGCTGTCCTTCGTAGTCCCGCGGGCGGCCTTCGTCGCCCGCATCCTTGCGTCCTACATATCGCTGATCATCTGCGCCCTCTACGGCGTCTTCGCCTCCATCTTCCTCCGCCTCGTCGGCGAGCCGGGCATCTCGCAATGGGCCGTTGGCCGGAGCTTCAAGCACGCCATGCTCCTCACCGCGGGTGTCACCTTCGAGATGGACGACCCGAAGAACATCCTCGACACCACCCGCCCGGCCGTCTTCGTCGGCAACCACCAGACCGAGCTCGACGTCCTCATGCTCGGCTGCCTCTTCCCCAAATACTGCAGCGTCACCGCCAAGGCCTCGCTCCGCAACATACCTTTCCTCGGCTGGTTCATGTCCCTCAGCGGCACCATCTTCCTCGACCGCAAGAACGCCAAGGACGCCCGCGATGCCATGGCTGGTGCCGCCAGCCAGATCAGGGAGCGGCGCCAGAGCGTCTACATGTTCCCCGAGGGCACCCGCAGCTACGCCAAGGATCCTATCCTCCTCCCCTTCAAGAAGGGCGCGTTCCATCTCGCCGTCCAGGCTGGCGTTCCCATCGTCCCTTGCGTCGTTGCCAACTATAGTCACGTTCTCTGGGTTAAGGGCCTCGTTTTTAACTCTGGACGCATCCCCGTCAAAGGTAAACCACCTTGAAGAGAATTCCCCCCCCCCGGCGGTCTCTTTGGATATTATTCTTTTTCTCCTTGCAAAGAAGCGTTGTAACGACATGTACTGACGAGCGAAAACCTGCAGTCTTGGATCCCATCCCCACCACTGGTCTTACCGCCGCCGATGTCGACGCGCTGACAAACACAACACGGGAATTGATGCTGAAAGAGTTGGTTGCCTTGACCGAGAAAGCACAGGGCCGTCCCATGGCCGTGCCTGCTGCCAACAGCACCACATAGGGCACACCGGTCGCATAGACCGCATAGGTCACTTCAACAAGCGAGGTCGGTCAAATTCCGACCGCGTCATGTTAGTAAAGAATGTTCCCAAGGCGTTGGCAGGGGGGGCACGGCGGCATAGCTCGAAAGTCGGGCATGAGCATGATATGGGCATCTTGATACCCCTATAGAGGATGCTTTCTCTCTTCCAGTCTCTGGCGGCAAATGAGGGGTGACTTTTTCTCCCGACTTGTCATCCATGACAGTTTTTTTGGCGAAGAGCGTAGAATCTTAGGTGGTTTGATATTACGTAGCCTTTTGAATACATTTCTAGTTTGATGGATGCTTTCTTTTCCCCAAATCTTCTGGTCTTCCTGGATTCGTATGGTTGAGAGCTGGGCCTACGTATTTGGGCCATTCATTGGACGTGAAGTGTTCACAGTTAAGTGATAGTCACAGTACCGAAACTATTTCTGTTGCTTTTTTGTTCTTTCCTCTGCCCAGCAGATGCTTCGCAGCCTGCGGCAGGAGTGAGCTTCTACTCATGAATGCGTGTCCCCTAGACGACCGCAGACTGGACGCGCGACGCGAACATTCCAATCGGCGCATAGCACTAGCCGGCTAATTAACACATGAACGGCGTGCCTCCCGGTCCGAAATGACGTATATGTATTGATGTGTTAGTGGCCAGAAGTTTAACTCTTCTTCCAGTTAGTTCCCAAGCCCCGCGCCTAATGATGCCGGCATTCAAGGGCGGCAAGTTGCAGGGAATGGTTCCGGGGCCAGTTCTACGGAGTGCGAAGCACTCCGTACTTTTGGTTCTCCATTCCACCAAACAACGCAGTCGGGTAGAACAGTTATGTTATTCCGCACTCATACTAGAGGGTGACCAGTCGGAGAGCTTTTGTATCCATACTTCGTATACATCCGTCAGTCCAAATCCAGACAGACACTTGATATCAGTCCGGACGTTCGGTATTTCACACGAGTGGGAAACCTTACACATTGTGGACGGGATATCGACCATGGTGTGATGGAAAAAATTAGAAGCATGGAGTGGAGGCATCAACCGTAGACAGACAAGTTAAGGGTTAATAAGGCGGAACCGCTAGTTCACTGATCAGATGGCATCGAGCCGGTGGACACAGGTAGAGCTAGACGTGCGCAAGGTTCTGAACATCTGGATCTTCAAGCATTGTGGACAAATGGCTGTCAAAGTCCCTTGCCACTTCTGCCCACCCGCCAGCCCGATATACTCCCCGTGCTCTATCCGCCGTTGCTCGTTTTCGTGGTTCAGGAGACCATTCGTCGCCGGATCCACAGTTGGTAAGTCCTTCACAAATCCCACCAGATCTCCCGGGGCAGCAAGGGGGTTTCCCACGGGCGTGATATCATACCGAGAGTCAACGATGAAGTTTCTCTTGTATAAATCGGTGCGAGAGAGGGGAAACAACGCCTAGCAGAAAATACAATGTTGTCCAGCCTCTTTCAGCCTAGCCGAAGAGGCGTTGATTGATCCGAGGATCGCATCTGCGCGTCTTATAATGCTTATAATCCGAGGAAGTGAATGGCCAACATCTGAACGTATGTTGTAGTTCGAAGACCCACTCATTGACCTCGAACTTCCACATGTCTTTGTAGGCTGGTGGCTTTTACAAAAAAGAGGTTGATTTGATCGAGTAGATACGGTCAATGAAGCGGAGAATTGCCATCTTCTTCCGTTTTTCGCCTCTCACCATGAACACAGTTTTATTCGACCGCATTGACGGTTGACAGCATGGTTTTCTGAAGCACTTACCCCTCTCGAGTTACCAACCGATCCAGGTTTTCGGGAACGGCTTCCAGCAACGCTCTCGCCTGTGTGCCTGAAATCATCACCCACACCGGTTTTCATGCAGAATCGACGTCATGATGACTGACGATGCCGCGACCAAGGACGTTGAATCCGTCGGAACGGGGGTTTGGGTTTAATTAACAGACCCCCGTTCGTCAAAACAACCCAACACATTATCGCGATATTCCCGAAGGAACCCAAAAACATGCTTGGTAATAAATTGAAGCCCTAACTTTAAATGAAAGGGCCCAAGTCAAATATTTGTAAGACCACTCAACAAATCACTCAACTTTCTTCATCGGTCCAGACCAATGGATCGGCATTTCGCATCATGGGAAAGTTGAACCATTTGGAGCCGTCACCAGCTTCTAGGCCAGGAGGACTCCACGTGGGCGTAGAAACCCAAGCAAGGTGTGAGTGCCTCATCAGGAAGGAGACGGGAGGCTCACCCCATCCGTCCAAGACGTACGTTGGAATCTCCACTCCGTGCACCTTTTGTACAGTGTATGGACGCACGTCAACAAATCCGAAGCACCGTACGGAGTAAGTATCCACCAGGTCAGACAGGAGCCCTAAATGCAGGTACAAGCTCGGTGGTAGCGCATCACGGCAGAGAGAACGGGATCGCGTGGAGTAGTGTTGCGGAAGTGCGGACGGCTGGGGCAGCGCTCGGACGGGCGTCTCACCTTAATAGTCCACGTTATGAAAGGAGCTGAAATTGGTTTGTGGACCATGCGTGGTTTTTTCCTTTTTCCTTTTTTTTTCTCTTCTTCTTTGTTTTTGCATTGTTATCCTCTCACCCCGACAACCGCATTGCTGTATTTGGAACAGCCGAGGCAAAGGCGGGGAGAGACGGGGAAAGTCAAGGGGCTGCGAATAGGAACAGACTGAATACGCTGACGCACCGCACCGCACCGCACCGCACCGCCTCGATGCCCCTCTTTTTCTCACCCGTCGCTGCATGTGTAAACCAGTCTTCGGACGGCATTTGCCGTATCACGACCTTGTAACCAGCTACTAGGTACTGAGTAATTCCTCTGCACAGCGATGTTGGATTGATACGAGAGCTTCAAGAAACCAGCAAGAGAAGAGAATATAACGTGTAGCACTGAGATATATATCATGAGTTGCTTCGTCCACGTATCACCACCTGCAGTGTCTCATCGTATCGTCACGGTACCACGGTACCACATATATTAGATTGTCCAAGGTAACCTCGTAACATTGGATGTACTACCTTACGTAAATGGGAGAGGGAAAAACAAGAAGAAGAAAGTATTACATATTCGTGAAGAGAAAGAAGACAAAGAAGAGCCGATGTGAGAGTGAAAAGGCGAAGAGACATGATCCGCTTTCTTCCAAAAATACGAATACCGACCTAATAAGCAACGCTTCACCAATATCCGTACTAAAATGCAATGCAGACAAGGATGGGTGCCGTACCTGTACCTGTATGTATGCCATGGCCTCCTAGATGCCACGTCCCTGCTACCTTAGGTACTCTACCGGTATTCGTTGTCAGGTTCTGGTGTTCTGTTTTTCGGGCCCCGACCCCGACTCCCGCTCACCCACAGCATCATCCATCCCATTGTCATAGCCCATAACCCCCCCTGGTCGCCCAAACCCCTGTCGTGGAAAGCCGTGAACGATTCCTCCCCTCTGGGAAGACGCCATCGGTTTCTATTCGTCCACAGGCTCAACTCTCCACCATGTCCCAGATCGAAGCATCGCCCAGATATTACCCAATGCCTGCCTGCCTTTACGTTGTATGTACCTACCGTTGTACCGAGTACAAGGATGGTGAGGAGGAAGGAAAAAAAAAAGGAAAAGAAAAAAAAAAGGAAAAGAAAAAAAAAAGGAAAAGAAAAAAAAAAGGAAAAGAAAAAAAAAAGAAAGAAAAGAAAACGCGCCCGGGTCTGGGTCCGGGTCCTGCCCAAACTAAGGTACCTTAATAAGGTACGGAGTAGGTACCTCTTGGTAATACCCATAAGTTGTATGCATCGTCCTCCGCTTCCCCATCCCAACTTTTAACCGTCTGGTTGCCCCCTCCCTTCCGCCTGCCTGATCGTCTTCTACCGTTGGCTCGTCATCTTTCTCTTCTCCCTTCCTTTCCATCCCTTGCCGGATCCGCCTCCTACTCCTAAAACCCCCCCCCCAAAAAATCCTACTTACTGTAGTCTCTCGTTTTCTTGTTTGCTTCCTTCGATGCTCACGGATTCTCTCGCTTATTCACTCCCTCATCCAACCAACAACACTCCCGTTACGAAAATAGCAATAGCCTTACAGCCACTTACATACGGCCCCCATCTCGGTCCTTCTTTGCGGAGTAATCTCGAGAATCGCATACACGCAGAATCCAACTCGAGGAGGGAACCATAGTTGTTCCCCTGTATACTGCTCGTAAACCGCCGCTCTTTTACACTGACACGGACCGTCTGTCGACAACTGATCTTTTGACCGCCCACTTCTCTTCATCAACTGCGTCGCCGTCGACTGCATATCCCACTACCATCTTAGACATCCGCACACTGAGTCTTGGGGAGCCGGGGGCGAAAGCTCCCTGGGTTTTGTCTTGCCTGTCTTGAAATACCCGCCTCAAGACCCCTCGCTACCACTATATCAGCCTCTCAAAGGGACTCCGAAAAGTATCGCGAAAAGTATCGACCTGCGAAAAGATGCACGCTCTTCGGCTTCTGCCCCTGGCGGCGGGTACAGTCGCCTGTCTTTCCACGGCCGCCATGCTGGCCGTTCACCTGATCCTTGCCGTCCACCTCGCCCGAGCCCCGTCAGTTCGCATCACGTCGATTGTGTCAGGGTCATTGGATGGCGTTCTTTTGGTTGTTCTGGGGTTGGGACTGTTCCGCGTCGTGAGACGTAATGGTTCGATCCGCCAATTTAGGATGTTGTCTGGGGTCAGCGCTCTTCTCTGCGCATTGGCAGCCGCCACCTCCGTCGCCACTACCGTTATGCTCGGCAATGCACGAGCCGGCTCGGCCCTTTCCATCCTGGGCGCCAGCCGGGCCACTCTCTTGATCATCTCGGCTGTCCTTCTGGGCGTGAGCGTCCTTTGCCAGCTCTTGTTCATCATTTCGCTCTACAGCAGCAAGTCCACGATGACCGGACGAGGAAGAAGGGAAGAGTACGGTAATCGGCTTCAGGCGAACATCAAAGCCGTTCGATACAGCCGCACCATCGAGGTACAGGTCTTCCCTATGGATTCCACCGCGAAGGAGTCTTCCCCCACCCCTCCGCCATCGAGCAGCGGCAAGTCAGCAGCAGAGACGATGAATTCTAGTTACGCCGCTCGCTCCATCACCTCCAGGACCCGGCTCCTTTCACTGCGAGAGAAGAACCACACCCACTCGTTCGACTCGCAATCATACAGAGAAGGCAGCACCATGACCGTAGACAGCTTCGACTCGTGGGACGTTCCGGGCATGGACCACCTCCCTAGCCGCCTCAGCGCCGCCCAGGGCTCGGCAACGCCCACACAACCACACCGTTTCCTCGAACCCATCCCGGCCAGCCCCACCACCAGCAAAGTCGCCGGCCCCGGAACAACCGTGGAGGACCTCGAACTCCCGCCGCCCGGCGTGCGCCGCAGGAGCAGGAGCTACAGCCCCGCCAGACGACCCCAACGCGACCCGTCCCTCCCGGAACCTCCGGGCGAAGCGCACATCCACCCGCTCTTCCGGACCGACTCGCCGATCCCACCCCCCAACGTCACCCCCGGGACGGTAGTGACGGCGGCGCCCGATGCCGGCCGGGTGATCTCGGACCGGCAGAGCGCGCGGCGCATGCGCAGCGGCAGCCTGCCCACCACGCACGGGGGGCCCGGCCTGTCCAGCAAGAAGAACAGCTTCGACACGTTCAGCAGGACGGCTTCGGTTATGGAGATGGAGGAGGAGGCCGGGGAGGGGGAGGGGGAGGGGGAGGCGACGAGCGAAAGGGTCATGACGCCTCCTATTCCCGAATGGATCCTGAGCGCGGGTGCGAGGTCGAGCTTGGGTGTGTACGAGAGCCGAAAGCTGAAGGTGGGGGTGGGGGTGGTGGTGGTGGAGAAGAAGGACGGAGCGGCGACCACGACGGCTGGCAAGAATGACCAGCGGTAGCGTTTAGGCAGTCGATCTGATCATGCCTTGGGAGGAGGAGGAACAGGACTGATCCCCCCCCCCGCGGCGGGAGACATGCCACGCCAAGAGGCTCTTTATGACGTATTTCCTTTTTTATGTGTTTGTTTGTTTTGTTTTGGACATATTGGGTTGTATGAAGGGAGTGAAAGGTTATGACGGACGGGTCGAGGATTGATACCACTGGAAGCCGGGTTTGCTTAGCATGGCGTTGATTTAGACAAGTGCCCATCTCCTTTGACGATGGATGAGAGAGGGGCGTGGTAAAAGAAACAGGCGGTTAGACGGCAGTTAAGGATTAGGCAGGGTCAGGACATGGACAAAAAGGGCGGGGGAAAGAGACATCTCAACAGCAAAGGTCCTGCTGAAAAGAAAGACTTCTATAAGGTACTGGCTGAGTAGGAATCATTACCAGCCCGTTTTAATACTGTTACAAACACAAAAAGTAAGCGGCAAGTTCATGTATAAACGTTTGGACAGAAATGAATGATGGACTCTGCTATGAGAAAACTAATACTAGAGAAATCATTTTACAAATATTTCATCATCTCCTGCCCTCCCCAAGATACCATACCTTAAGGTACCTAGAGAGCTACCTACCTTACTCGGTAAGGTATATTTACATGTTGTGATGAAACTTCAACGACCATCATGCGCACAGCCACATTTCCCCTCCCAAGCATGGTACGTAGGTACCTTACATAAGATTTCAACCTTTGTGAGAGTACTCCCATTGTGACTAACCAGACCGCTTGATTAATCAACCCACGGAAGTAGCGAGAGAACCTAAACAAGGTGGGGTAGACATTGAGTGCACCAGCCCCAACCCCAACCCCAACCCCACCTTCCCATTATTACCCTGACCTCTCTGTTCACTTCTTGAGCAGGCTTCAGGCACCCTCACTTCGTCATCTCTTCCTCCCACCTACATAGCAAAACTTCTCGCGACCTAAGGTACTTTACACGCCAAAGTCCCGACCGTCTATTTGGGGTTCTTTTTATATTGTCGATTGCGTCGTGATATTATTTTCTCATCTATTTCTACTCGTATAATCTCTACACATATTCCAGTACTCGCGCAGCCTCAGCTGCACCCAGCCGCCAGGATGAAGGTCACCTTCAAGGTTGGGAGCTATTCCTCTGTCCTTTTCCCCGCCACATGCCACCATTCTGGCTCCAGCTTAGAGGCTGTACCATTTTATACCTCAGCATATCGCGAGCCTTCCATTTTCCAATATTTGTCGCTCTTCTCGCATTTCGTCCGTACCGTTGCTTACAACTACTGCTTTTGTGTAGGATCTTAAACAACACAAGTTCACGCTTGACCTCGAACCAACCGACCTTGTACGTCGCCCCCCCCCCCCCCCCCCCCCCCCCCCCCCCCCTTGCGAGCGAAAAACCGAGAGCGCTCCTCTGTCCCTTTGCCACGACTTGGCATTCGACTCAGAGCATCTTGTTTCCTCCGGCTTGCGACTGACCTTTCACAGATTTCTAGCGTGAAGGAGAAGATTGCACAGGAGAAGGGATGGGAGGCTAAGGACCAGAAGCTCATCTACTCTGGTAAGCGTGGTCCAGGCTGCTATCGTCATCTTTGGCGGGGGAAATTCAACCTGACAAATCTCACTAGGCAAGATTCTCAAGGATGAGGACACTGTTGAATCATACAAGATCGAGGAAAAGGGCTTTGTTGTCTGCATGGTCAACAAGGTGAGTAAGCTGAGCGCGGTTACCTTTTTCTCTTTTTTTCTTTTCTTCCCTTTGGTATTCTTTTCTTTGTACCCTCTGCTGACCATTTCGCAAAACAGCCCAAGCCCAAGCCTGCCGCCGCCCCGGCCGCCCCGGCTGCCTCCTCCTCTGCTGCCCCTGCTACCCCGGCCCAGCCCGTCGCTGCCACGCCTGCCCCCCCTGCCGCTCCTCAAGCCTCGAGCCAGGCAGCCCCGCCTTCCACCCCGACTCCTGCTGCTAGATCCGAAGCCGCCCCCGCTGACCCCGGCCTTGTTATGGGCACTCAGCGCAGCGAGGTGATTGCCAACATGGAGGCTATGGGTTTCGAGCGGACCCAGATTGACGCCGCTCTCCGCGCTGCCTTCTACAATCCCGACCGTGCCGTCGAGTATTTGCTGACTGTAAGGCTACCACTACCACACTACCACACATGCTACCCAGGGCGCCGTAACGTGCCTAACCTATATTGTTTTTCTTCCTCTTGACTAGGGCATCCCCGACAACATCCAACAAGAACGGCAACGTCAGGACGAGCCTCCTCAGCCCCCCCCCGCCGCCGCCGCCGCCGCCGTCCCCGCCGCCGCCGCCCAGCCCGCCGCGCCCTCCGGCAATAACGATAATGAAAATGTGAACCTCTTCGATCTTGCTGCTCAGCGGAGCACTGCTGGACGAGGCGCCGCCGGCGGTGCTGCCAGTCTGGGCGATGCCGCTGCTCAGACCGGTGGCGCTGGCAATGGCCTGGATTTCCTGCGCCACAACGCCCAGTTCCAACAACTCCGTCAGGTCGTCCAGCAACAGCCGCAGATGCTCGAGCCTATTCTTCAGCAGCTCGGTGCAGGCAACCCACAGCTCGCCCAACTGATTGCCGCCCACCCTCAACGGTTCATCGAGCTCCTCAGCGAGGAAGGCGATGACGATGTTCCCCTGCCTCCAGGTGCTCAGGCTATTAGCGTGACAGAGGAGGAGCGGGATGCGATCGACCGCGTAAGACTTTCCCCCCATACTAAACCCCCACCTCGCTCCTCGTATCGCACAGAAGCTAACATGATAATTACGGTAGCTCTGTGGTCTGGGTTTCGACCGCGATCAAGCCATCCAAGCCTACTTTGCCTGCGACAAAAATGAGGAGCTTGCCGCGAACTTCCTTTTCGACCAACCAGACGATGACGATGACAGACCCCAGGGAGGGAACAACTAAATGGATCGAGACACGGCGTTTAATGAATTCTACGAAGGTTTGCGCGCTGGATTCCACCAACGGAAAGGGCCACTGGGCACCATGGCTTTGTCCTTGTGGCTTTAGGGATACGCCTCGCCAGGGAGAGGGTATCTATCCATTTTTGTACGCTGCCACGTAGGGTCGAATTTGCGGCAGTTGCTTCTTCAGGGTTCCTTTCTGATAGCCACTCCATGAAAGTTTGCGCACGCTCGTCTGCCACCAATTAGGGCAACAACGAGAAAGGAGGATACCAGTACATCAAGGAGACTGATTATGAATCTGCCCTGCCGGTTTATCATAGTCCGTTCTACGCGTTCCCCGTTAGACCATGACATCCACATCATGATGAGACATTCGCGACGATGGAATCCGCAGAACAAGCATATCCAGAGCTCAGCTTATACGGTGGTCTGCTCATTCCTAGCAGCAAAGGGTTAACGCGCCAGTCCATCCTCGGAGAGTCAAACCGGGTATCAAAACAGCTCCGCCCCCCCGTTTCCCCCCCAAAGCCACCGTCCGTCTTGTCCTCAATATGCCACCGCCCCAGAACGCGTCGTAGAATCCGACCCTTGAAAACGCCCCCAGTGAACCACATGAGCCCCCCCCTTACAACTGTACGCAGAATAACGATGTTAACCTCCGCCACCACTAACTAGACGTCACCAACCATGGTCTCCTCGACGACCTCACCGTACATGCTAGGATCGTTCATCTTATCCTTCTTCTTGGTCCTCTTCTTCTTCCTCCCAGCCTCGTCGCCGGGTTCGCCCTGGGCCGGACCGTCGGCGAACAGGGCCTCGCGCTTCCGGCGCATCTCCTCGGCCCTCTCCTCGACCTGGCGGCGGGCCAGGGCGTCATGCTCGGCCTGTCGGGCCTTGTGCTCGGCCATGATCTCCTCGACGGGGCGGTACTCGGCGCCGGTCCACGACTTGTACTGCTCAATGTCGATCTTGACCGTCTTCTGGCCGACGAGGGCGAGGTGGATGCGGCCCGGGTTGACGCGCTCCTCGCGGTTGAACTTCATCTTGACGTGGCGGCGGCTGCGGCCGGGGAACATGTTGGCGATGAGCTGGAAGTCGGTCCCGAACATGCCGAGCCCGCGGTAGAAGAGCTCCGTGTCCTCCTCGTTCCAGAGGTTGGGCCCGCGCAGCTTGGACCCCGTGCGGAAGCTGTTGCTCGTCGTCAGCCGGCTGAACTCGTGCTCTTCTTCCTCGACGAGCGACTCGCCCGCCGCGAGCGCCCGCTGCTGCTCGCGCGCGTGCCGGTCTAGCGTCAGGGAGCTCTGGTCGAGCACGATCTGGCCGTCGACTTGGATGAAGCGGGGGCCGAGCGGCTCCAGCTCGGCCTGCGGTTCGGGTTCGGGAACCGGTGCGGGACCTTGGGACGACGACGACGGTGGTGGTGCTGGTGCTGGTGCTGGTGGTGGTGGTGCCGGCGTTGAGGTCCTCGACGCGGCTTCGCTTGTCTCCCCTGGTGTCTTCTTTTGCCTTTTGTTGAGCAGCCGTTCGCGTTCCCGCTGGAGCAGCTCGTCGTGCCGACTGAACTTCTTGCCGATGCGCAAGTCTTTGGTGAGATCCTGCAGCGTGAGTTTACTACCGTCCACCCTTTGGGTCTCGGCATCTTCGGGAGTGGCGGAGCGGTCTCTCCGCTTCCTCGTCCTGGTGGCGCCCTCGCCGCCGCCTTCCTCGCCTTCCGTGGATAGCTGGCTCCTCTTTCGGGGTTTCCGCTGGGACTGGGTTGTCTCCCCTGCCTCACCCTCGCCAGTCTTCGGCCTGGTTTGTCGGCGTTTCTTCGGTGGCTGCGAACGGTCGCCTTCGGGCACCTCACCATCTTGACCCGCCTCGCCGTTCTCTCCGCTTCCCTCGTCTGGAGTGGACGTATCCGTTCTTTCTCCTCGCACGCTATCTGCTGGTGTTCTCCGGGCGATTGAATCGGCTCGAGGTTGTACGTCTGGCGTTGCGCTCGTGCCTACTGATGTGAGCTCCGTGGTAGGTGCTGCCACATCAGCAGAAGATGTCTCTCTAGACTGCGTGGAACGTAGGAAGCCTGTCGGTATAATCTGAGGGGCCTCATTCGCCGGTGTTGGTACAGCACGTTTGTGTTGCTGCGTAGGGCCTGTCGCTGCGGAAGAACGGTCTACATCGGCCGTCCTCGGTATGGAGGGTATTCTCGGAATATTTCTTCCTTCTGACGAAATCGCGTTGTCTTGAGAGCGTGTATCTGGTAACCGGTTGTCCGAAACGTCGCCTTGTGTAGTACCTTGGCCAATTCCACCCGTCCCATGTCCTTGGTGTGCAGATCTTGCTGTGCTCGGCGATGTTTCGACAGGGGGCATCGAACCCGAAGTTGTTTGTTCTGAGGTGGATAGGCCGACATTCTGAGATATTTGCTTATTATCGGACTGAGAGGACTCCGGCCCAGTTGCATTGGCCCATACTGTGGCCCCAATGCCGGGAGAAGCATCGTTGGCAACAGTTGGTACGTCGGGAGATTTGGATGGTTGTGAGGGCGTCGGGCCAGGTCGACGTGGACGGGCCGTAGGCTTAAAGCCCGGCCCAGTCTTCTTCTTCATCATCGAGCTCATGGCGGCGGGTTTGCGGAATGTTTATCGGTAGGGGAGAGAAAAAGTTCGGAGTAATGTCCCAGTCGATGTTCGCTACATGGCAGGGCGTCTGTCTGAGTTGGCAATGTTTGCGTTATACTGCCAAGGACCACTGTGGGATGGTTGAAATTCAAGGTCAAAAACGCTTGATATGTTGAGCGTCAAGTGGAACAATGGCTGCGTCACCTTGAGAACTCGCGATGTTCGGTTATGAAGAGGGAAAGCGACGTGAGAAATTACTGGTGAAGAAAGTCCTGAAAAGCCCAGGTGTACTCCGTGCAGGCTGCAGGCAAGATGGTGGGATGTGTGGGGAGGGGAGGGGTGGGGGGGAAGGAAAGAACACGCGCAGATACTTTGCAGCATGTGCATCTTCCTCCGGAGCTTAACCGGCAGGTGAATTGGTGCGGGGCTTCCACTCTGACGCGACTGCACTGATAAGATGACAAAGTACCTCCGTACCTTCGATACCTTAGGTACAGATACGGTCGGAATGACGCTAATCCAATTTGGGAACACGTCTTGGTCTCTCCCAAGGAGGACGCCTCAACCTCGAAAATTCAACTCCTTCTTCCTTGTTCTCAGATCAAACGTTTTCATCATCCAAACACCCACATACCTAACTGGCCTGGCAACGACACGATACCCTTTGGATCTTCAGCCCCCCCTTTTTCACACCCACACCCACACCCACACCCACACCCACGCGCAGCTACCAGCTACCAGCTACTCGACAGATGATACGTCCCATCGTTGCTCAGCATTGCCTCTCTCTATGATTCGACCCTCCCTTTACCTTTCTCATGCCTGTAGCCACTACCCCATCCGCTTCGCCCCGGCTTGCTTCCTTGCCCAAGATGGAGGAAAGGAAGCGACCGGCCGTCAGCAACGCCGATGATCTCGCGCCGCCGAGCAAGCGTCATCAAAGCCTGAATGGCAACAAGTCTAAAACCGATTCCAATGACCAACCCGAGGAATACTGGATTGAGGTGAGTCGTCGGGCGTCACGACCAACGCATCCCGTTTCCCCTTCCGCTTTCTTCGAGTCATCCCAACAATCGACTCATTCGCCAGTGATTTTGCACTGGATTCTCCCTATCCATCGGCTCTGTGGCGTGGTTCTCGTGTGGGCCCCTGGTTGAACCCTTTTTTCCCTTTCTTTTTCTGAAGGGGGCAATCACGCTCACAGCCTCGACGATCATGCGCGGCTCCCTAGCCGATAGCAATTCGCCGTTGTCAGACAACTCATATTCATTCCTCATTTTCCGACCGACACATTACCCCATCCCCAGACACGTCCCTTTGCTATCACAACTTTTCGTGTCCGATGAACGACGCGCTGATGCTGGGCGGTAGAATTATCAAAAAGGCGCGATATACCGAGCATTCCAAGAAGCAAAACGTGATAAGGCGGAGCTCGAGTCTCGCGTCGACCAACTGCAGAATCATGTTACCTACCGCGACGATCACATTCGACTTATCGAAGCTTGGTGGGAGCAAGTCAGTAGTTTTCCTCATCTTGATTACATCCCAGCTATGACGACCAAAAGCTGACGTGGGCGTAGGTTCTGGAACACATGGAGCTGCTCGCTGATCCGACACTTCCCCCACTGAAAGGACCAACAGGTGCGTTCTATTTACCGCTACTCCCGTGCAGTGCAGGAAGCGCGTGCGGTCTGACACATATAAATATAGAACCTCCGTATATTGTTGGAACCAGCTTCAAGGACATCCCCAGCTTCGAGCAACATCTTAACGAAAGAACAGAAATCTTGCGCAAGCGAGTTGAGACAGTGGTCCAACGCATTGCCAACTCGCGAGGCGAGATCAGTCCCAATGTTGCCGAGTTAGAGTCCAGAGTCGCCTCTCTCCTCGCTCAACAGAAGAATTACCTCCTTCAGCTAGATCGCGCGCACCACGAGAATCAGCAACTTTCCGAGGATTTGAATAAGAAGACCCTTGACTGGTTCAAAGCGGAAAGGCGCGAAAAGCGATTGAGAAGTGCCCAGGTGCAAAAACTGGAGCAGCGGTTTCTAGCCAACGCGACGCAACCACCATCGGGTGAGAATGGGGGTGACGCCGCTGGCGCCAACGGGAACGCAGCCGAGACGCAATGCAAACTTGAGGAGGCATCAGCGGTCTTGGCGAAGCAGAAGGAACAGCTAGATGCCGTGCAGACGGAGATCCAGTCGTTGCAAGAAGAGAATTCTTCCTTGAAGGCACGGCGCGAGAATCTGACCGACGAGGACTACATCCGAACCGACGTTTTCAAGCAGTTCAAGATCTACAACGAGGACTTGATCAAGCGGATCAATCATCTGGAAGCTACAAACAAGCAGTTAAGAGACGAAGCAGAGAAGCTCCAGGCGGAGAGGACCGCCTTTCGGAACAAGCTGAACGAAGAGGCACAGTCTCACGTTGCTGACCTCGAACGCCAGGTGGAGGAACGCGACGGGGATGTCACCCGTCTTCGGGCAGCACGGGACGAGTGGTTTGCGAAAGCGAACATGTTGGAAGCCAGCCAGAAGGAGGAGAAACAGGCCTTGCAACAGATCAAAGAGCTGGCAACGGCACGAGAGGACCGGATCACCGCGCTCGAACTAGAGATTCAACGACTCAAGCCCGCCGAAGAGCAACCCTTGGCCGATGCAGACGAAGAGATCGACCTGCTACCTCTCGAAGCGCTGGTGGCCAAGCACAAGAAACTCCGAGAGGACTTCCAGTCGATCAACAAGGAGCTACCTGCTCTACAGCAGGCATATAAGAGATCCATGGCACTAGCACAAAAGAAAGTGATGGATTTCTCTGCTCTAGAGGACCGCTGCACGATGCTCCTTTCCGACAAGCAGAAGGCGGACCAGAAATACTTCGCCGTACGTAAGGATGCAGATCTCAGGGATCGCGAATTGGTGGCTTTGCGGAATCAGAACCGGAAGAGTTCAGAAATCGTCGCGCAGCTGAAAGAGGTGGAGTCTCAGCACAGGCTTCTCATCAGTAACCTCGAGAAGCAACTATCCGACCTGCGGCAGGCCAACGCCACTCTTACCAACGAACACAGGAAGATGGAATCAGCCAGCTCAGAACTGACACGTCGGGCAGAGGCGTCCAAGGCGCAGGCGACGGAGTTGACGAATCTCGTCAAGTCACGAGACTCGGCTGCTGCGTCGATGAGAGAACGTCAGACAACACAAGAAGCGGAGATTTCCCGCCTGACAGCTAGGGTCGAGTTCTTGCAGAAGGAGAGGGATGATTGGAAGCGCAAAGCACTGAGTAACTCTTCAGAGGAGGAGGAGATGCTTAGGGTATGCATACATGCTTTTTTCCCCTTATCCTTTCGGTATGATGTGCGTTTTGGGTCGATCGCTGACACCACGATTAGACTTTTGCTTTGTGCACGGTTTGCCGTAATAACTTCAAGGACACCGTTTTGAAAACGTGTGGACATCTCTTCTGCGGATCATGCGTGGATGATCGTATCAGCAACCGAATGCGAAAATGTCCCACGTGCGGCAAAGCTTTCGATCGTCTGGATGCGATGCAAGTCCACCACTAAGGCATTCGATAACCTGCTGTGTTGCTTGAGCTTCCCACGGTCGAGGCGAAGTTCATCGCACCATTCACAGCGGCACCCTTACTTAATAGCAAGGAAGCGCCCCTTGCTCACCACTTGGACTGGTTTGGTTCTCATATGTATTTGGGGGAGTACGATACCCTTGGCCCTTGGGGAACGACATGGTGTGGGGAGACGAAGGCATTCAGAGGTTGGAAACCGTGCCCTTTGTATTTATATTCGCGTCAGAGAGGAGTCTGCACGCCCCCCCCCCCCTCCCTTAGGGATGTGCATGTACATAATGTTCATTTTGCGCCGACAAAGGCAGCCCAAAGTCGCGAGCCCAGGACAGGGCGGGGCATAGCCTTTCGTTTTTTGAGATGAGAGATGGAGGAGCACGGGGTTTCGGAGTAGCAAGTGAATACGTGGCCCATTGATCTTGCCATGGTTTTAAAGCCAAACAAACCATCCAAGATCATCTCCTCACGGAAGAGCCAAACCCTGTACTCTCGTGTCGTGACGTGGAGCTGGGGCTCGAAGACGTACGGGATGGACCACTTCCCCTTGAACTGCTGCTGCTGCCACCTAAGCCAAAACCGCTGCCCCAGCCAGGCCTCCGGCTCTCGTTGTACCCATCGTCGTACCGGTCCGCTAAACGATCACTAAAGCGGTTGTTGTTCCTCCTTCCAGCATAATAGCCGGCGGCAGCTCCGGTTGCCGCACCAGTCCAGAAACCAGGGCGCCAGCCTTCTCTTTGTGTGTTCTTCGTCACAGGGTATGGCGGAGGAGGGTCATTCCACGGCTGCCAGCCAGGACCTCCTCCTCCTCCTCCTCCTCCTCCACCACCACCTCCCCAACCTCGCCTAGTACCAGGGGCGCCGAGGGTCCGGTTCCGGTTCCCTTCCACACAGGCGGAATATATAATCCACGCCAACACGGCGAAGAAGATGAGGAAGAAGACGAAAGCGGCCCAATCCGATCCCTCTTTGTTGTTGTTGTTGTGGTTGTTGTTGCTGCTGCTGTCTTTGTTCTTCCACCCACTACCACTACCACCGCCGCCGCCGGCGAGATGCGGATACCGCCGCTCGCCCAGCTCGGTCAGGGCGAGGGTGTACTCGACGCCGCAGCTGCCGCGGAGGACGTACGGGTCGTCGGGGTCGGCGTAGCCTTCGCACAGGACGTCGGTGGAGCCGAGGCGCAGCTCGGGCGGGAGGGAGGCGGAGCAGGACCACTGGATGTCGGCTTCGTCGTAGCCGGCGCCGCGGTTCTCGCAGCGCATGACGTCTACGGCGTGCAGGTTGCAGAGGGCGCGGGAGGAGACGCATTTGAGCTGGGGGATGGCGGGGAGGCGGCGGTGGGTTGTCTTGGCGTTGCCCCCGCGGAAGGTGAGGGATTTGATGTCGGAGAGGAGGATGGCATTTTTGGAGGGGGGTTTTTTGGCGGTTGTTTCGGTTGGGAGGGCGGCGAGGAGGAGGAAGAGGAGGGTCTTGGGGAGGATGAAGGCGTCGAATCGCATTGTTTTGGGTCGGTGTTTTCGAGGTTGACGAGGTTGACGAGATTCAGGCTCGGGTGCTAGCAAGTATTGGTTTACTCGAGTTTTACTCGAGGTTTCTCTTCTACGTTTCGAGGTCTGATCAAGTAAATTAGAGTGGTAGCTTCTGATGGTTCTCGAGGTTCGCGGGCGGAACGAATGAGAGGAAGTTGGTCGACGAGGTTGACTGCAGCACAATGTTGAAGGCCTCGATAGGAACATTACACTCTGGCATTGAAGGTAATCTCTTCTACGGTGATTTCAACCCAGCGTGGTATTTTGGGAGGCGCCTGACATAGCGTCTGAGAAAAAGGACAGATATGACGATTTGCGAGGTCAAAGAACGAACCTCGAACTGTTGAACGATGGTGGAAGACGCGAATCGTGTGTGGCGCAAACTAAGGCACGAAGTACTTCGTGATTACCTAAGGTACTTCCAAGTTGCTGCTGTCTGGGGACACGTATACCTTTGTACCGAGGTATATTTATTTATTGCCGTCAATGCTAAGAAACCGTTGAGCAGGCTTGACCACTTTAATTTTATTTGGACTTCAAACAAGGGTGGCGACTGGAGACCGTGACGAAAGACATCGATCGACTCATCATAATTCACCTTCAAATGCCGACACCTTGGGTCTATAAGTGAGTTGCCACCTGGAACGTATGTTGGTACGATCATGGACCCGGGGATAAGGTAGGCAACTGGCGAGCCGGACATAAGGCCGGGCTGAATACGTTGTATGCGTGCGAACGGTGAGCTAACGACGTGGAGGCCGACGACTGAATGCATGCGCCACGGGCCAAGACAGCTCCCGATGAACCCGGTGCGCTATTCACTAACCTGATAGTGATATGCCGAACTACCAGGTACCTTACCTGTGGTGTCTCGCTTACTCTAACATTCGTATGGATATACGATCGTTGGGACGGGATGTTGGGACATTGATACAACATTGATACATGGGGCCATGTGCTCTGGAAGACCCGAGTACCACACCCATTTTGTATATCCCGATAACGTCTCTATGCACAGTTGTCGAGTCATGACATAGGTACCTTATTAGCCAGACCACCTCAGTCAACTAAGGTACCTACCTAGGTACCTTACCATCACACTATAACAATAACAACGCCGCCTCTATTTTATTTGCTTCTGCCAAATGGGTGTGCTACTTGGGTCTCTCGGAAAATATGGCATGGCCGTAAACGTATACCTTACCAATGTCCTGAGAGACGAGCGGTGTGGGCAGTCCGGACTTCGGACTTCGGAATTGATGTGCTCCGAATCAGATTCGGTTCCGATGTCCCTGTTCTTTGTTCTTCCCATCGTCCTGCCTACAGCTGTCATCCGTAGCGGATACCTACCCTGTGATGTATGCATGTGAACAGAACACTCCATCAACACTATGAAGTACGTTGTGCGATGGACAAGGACGAATGGTTACCTTATACACGTGTACTTCGTAAATGCCCATCGTGGGGGCCTTTGACTTCACGCCGATGTGTCAGCTCGCCGAGTATCGGTAAGGCGACTCACTCGGTCAGTCTGATCTTTGTCTCGCATTTTGTTCGTAATCGTACCCGCCCAACCTTGCCCGTCTGGGCGGGTTGTTGCGAGCCCCCATCAGAAACAGACAGGGATACCTCGGCCGAGAGCTTGGCGGGTGCTAAACCGTTTTGAGTCACAGCGGCCAGGAATGGTGGTGCTCCACGGAGCGACCTTTGCCCCGACTCTCCGATCTATGTGGGGGGTGCAGGTAATGGAATGGAATGATACCTTCCAGACGCGAAAAGCGAAGGACGTGGAAGGAGCTCCCCGACTGGAATTCCCACGCCCAGATTCCCAAGAAGCCCTCGTTCATGTCTTACCTTGTACTCGTTCACAATTATCACTCCCCTACCTTACCTTACCTTAGGCACCCGTACCTACCTTAATCATCTGCAAGCGGCAACATAATACACTCGTACACCTCTTGCTCCCATTCGTTCTCCTTTGTTCTATTTGGCTCTCGTGTCTCTTTTTAACCCTCCTCCCAGTCAGCGTCACCCCCACTACATCTATTCTTTCTTCAGTTTACTGTCAATTTTCTTCGCTTCCGTTTATACAAGATCGACCCCCCCCTCCCCCCCCCATGTTTCCCCCGGGTTGGGTTGTCTGATCTTCTTCTGATCTTCATCTAATTACTATTGGGCCACCTACGAACTGAGGCGAGAAACACAAGACAGTGGTGCTCCTTTCGCCTATCCCATGATTCACGCACCAGGTCTACTTTGAGCATCGACGAGCAGTTTCTTACCAGCTCAACGTCCGAGGACGCCCTGCTCAGGAAGAGACCAGGGAGGTCCCGACTATTTCTTCGCTGGCCGTTAAGCTTTATGCCGGCTTCAGCAAATACACCACTCCACTCCGTTAAACGCCACGGATTTCCGTAGGTATTCGCACCATGGCTCCAACGGCTTCTTTACCTGAAAAACCTACCCCTTCAGAGGGCCCCGGTCCTCGCTCGTCGACGGAGGTCTCCTCGCATGGGGATTCCACCAAACAGGAGAAAAACAACGCATCAACTGCCGCGAATGGAGACGCCCGAGAGGCCAAAGACACCTCGGCGAAGGATGGCGCCGACGTGGACCCCTTCAAGCATCTTCCCGACCACGAGGCCACCGTCTTGAGACGCCAGGTCGTCCTCCCAGAGGTGAAGTCGGGCTTCGTAAGCCTCTACCGATACGCCTCGGCCAACGACATCATCATCATAGCCGTTTCCGTCCTCTGCGCCATCGCATCTGGTGCCGCCCTGCCTCTAATGACCGTCATCTTCGGCAACCTGCAACGCGTCTTCCAAGATTACTTTTTCACCGACACCCTGACCTATGATGATTTCATGGGCGAGCTCGTCACTCTGGTTTTGTACTTCGTCTACCTGGCCATTGGCGAGTTTGTTGTTACCTACCTTGCCACGGTTGGCTTCCTCTGTAGGTCCCCCCCCATTCCTTTCGGCAAGATAGAAACCTATGGCTCTTGCGCCCCCCTCCTGCTAATGTCCATGCCCTCACTCCTGAAGATACTGGCGAACACATTAGCGCCAAAATCCGAGAGCACTATCTCGAGAGCTGCTTGCGTCAGAACATTGGCTTTTTCGACAACTTGGGCGCAGGCGAGGTGACCACCCGCATTACTGCCGACACGAACCTCATTCAGGACGGCATATCCCAAAAGGTCGCCCTTACCATCACCGCCGTGGCCGCCTTTGTCACCGCCTTCGTCATTGGTTTCATTTTCTACTGGCGGCTCACCCTCATCCTCTCCGCTACCGTCTTCGCCTTGCTTCTCTGCATGGGCGGCGGATCCAGGTTCATCATGAAGTACAACAAACAATCCCTCGACTCATACGCCCAGGGAGGCAGTCTCGCCGACGAGGTATTCAGCTCTATCCGTAATGCTGTCGCCTTCGGCACCCAGGACCGTCTGGCCCAGCAATACGACGCACACCTTACGAAAGCCGAGCACTACGGCTTCAGGGTCAAAACAGCTCTGGCTTGCATGGTCGCCGGCATGATGACTATCCTCTACCTCAACTACGGCTTGGCATTCTGGATGGGAAGCACGTACATCGTTGACGGCATCGTCGAGCTCTCTTCTGTCCTCATCATCATGATGTCCATAATGATCGGCGCCTTCAACCTCGGTAACGTCGCCCCCAACATACAGGCCTTCGTCAACGCCACCGCCGCCGCCGGCAAGATCTACAACACCATCGACCGTGCTTCGCCTCTGGACACCTCTACCGACGAAGGCGAGAAGCTCGATTCGCTCGAGGGGACCATCCGTCTTGAGAACATCAAGCACATCTATCCCTCCCGGCCCGAAGTAGTCGTCATGAAGGATGTCTCCCTCACCATCCCGGCCGGCAAAACAACCGCACTAGTGGGGGCCTCGGGCTCGGGGAAGTCCACCATCGTTGGCCTTGTCGAGCGCTTCTACGACCCCGTTCAGGGCACCGTGTACCTCGATGATCATGACATCAGCAAGCTGAACCTCCGTTGGCTGCGACAGCAAATGTCCCTCGTCAGCCAGGAACCGACTCTTTTTGCCACCACCATCTTCCACAACATCCGGCATGGCCTTATCGGCACAAAGCACGAGCACGAGAGCGAGGAGAAGCAACGCGAGCTGGTCATCGATGCGGCCAAGAAGGCCAACGCGCATGATTTCATCACCCAACTCCCGGAGGGTTACGAGACCAATGTTGGCGAGCGCGGCTTCCTGCTTTCCGGCGGTCAAAAGCAGCGCATCGCTATTGCTAGAGCTGTTGTGTCCGATCCCAAGAGTACGTTTCTGGGCATTTCAAGATTGTCTCCGGTGGTCTTTTGTCCCCCACCCCCCCGAACGCTAATTGACATCGTTTTATCTAGTCCTGCTCCTCGATGAGGCCACATCTGCCCTCGATACCAAGTCCGAAGGTGTCGTCCAGGCTGCTCTGGAGGTCGCCTCGGCAGGGCGGACTACCATAACTATCGCTCACCGGCTTTCGACCATCAAAGACGCACACAACATCGTTGTCATGTCCGAAGGCCGCATTGTCGAGCAAGGAACCCATGACGAGCTTCTGGAGCGGAATGGCGCCTACTACAACCTCGTCAGTGCGCAGAACATCGCCGCAGCCAACGAGATGAGCGTGGAAGAGGAAGAGGCCATCGACCGAGAGGAAGAGGAGCTCATCCGCCAAGCCTCCCGCTCCAAGGAAGGTTATGTCCATGATCCTAATGATGACGTGGCTGCCCGTCTGGAACGAACAACGACTTCGAAATCAGCCTCGAGCGTCGCGCTTCAAGGCAACGCGTCCGAGGAAGACCGCAAGTACAGTCTCGCCACGTTGATTAGGCTCATCGGCTCTTTCAACAAGAAAGAATGGCATTTCATGTTGGTCGGTCTATTCTTTTCCATCATCTGTGGTGGCGGCAACCCGACGCAGGCCGTCTTCCTCGCTAAACAGATCACCACCCTGTCGGTCCCCGTCACACCGGCCAATGGGAGTCGAATCAAGTCCGACTCGGACTTCTGGAGCTCCATGTATCTCATGCTCGCGCTTGTCCAGTTCCTTGCCTTCACTGTGCAGGGTGTCATCTTTGCTAAATGTTCCGAGCGGCTCATCCACCGTGCTCGAGATAGCGCCTTCCGCACCATGCTTCGCCAAGACGTCGCCTTTTTCGACCGCGACGAGAACACGGTCGGCGCCCTGACTTCGTTCCTGTCGACGGAGACTACGCACCTCGCCGGCCTCAGCGGCGTCACCCTGGGCACGCTGCTCCTGGTCACTACGACGCTCATCGCGGCCTTGACCCTCTCCCTCGCCATTGGCTGGAAGCTCTCTCTCGTGTGCGCCTCCACCATCCCCGTCCTCCTCGGTTGCGGTTTCTTCCGCTTCTGGATTCTCGCCCACTTTGAGCGCCGCTCCAAAGCGGCCTACGCTTCATCCGCCAGTTTTGCGTCCGAGGCCATCTCCGCCATCCGCACGGTTCAGTCGCTGACCCGTGAGGGCGACGTTCTTCGCATGTATCGCGATTCCCTCGCCCAGCAGCAGCGCCGCAGTTTCATTGCCACCCTCAGATCGAGCGCTCTCTACGCCGCGTCCCAGTCGCTCACCTTTCTCGCCTTCGCGCTCGGCTTCTGGTATGGAGGTACGCTGATCGCCAGCTACGAGTACAACATGTTCCAGTTCTTCGTCTGCTTCTCGGCCATCATCTTCGGCGCGCAGTCCGCGGGCACGATCTTCTCCTTTGCACCGGACATGGGCAAGGCTCACCAGGCGGCCGGCTCCCTCAAGACGCTCTACGACCGCCAGCCGTCTATCGACACGTGGTCTGGAAAGGGCGAGTCCCTCGAGTCCGTGGACGGCACCATCGAGTTTCGCGATGTTCACTTCCGCTACCCGACGCGGCCCGAACAGCCGGTTCTGCGAGGTCTCAACCTCACCGTCCGCCCAGGCCAATACATTGCGCTCGTCGGTGCCTCGGGCTGCGGCAAGAGCACCACAATCGCCCTGCTTGAGCGGTTCTACGACCCTCTGGCAGGCGGGATTTTCATAGACGGCCGGGAGATCAGCACGCTCAACGTCAACCAGTACCGGTCGCACATCGCGCTCGTGAGCCAGGAGCCGACGCTGTACCAGGGCACGATCCGCGAGAACATCCTCCTGGGCACGCCCAAGGAGGTGGGCGACGAGGCGATCGAGTTCGCGTGCCGCGAGGCCAACATCTACGACTTCATCGTGTCGCTGCCGGACGGGTTCAACACCGTCGTCGGCAGCAAGGGCACGCTGCTCTCGGGCGGGCAGAAGCAGCGCATCGCCATCGCGCGCGCCCTCATCCGCGACCCGAAGATCCTGCTCCTCGACGAGGCCACGTCGGCGCTCGATTCCGAGTCGGAGCACGTCGTGCAGGTGGCCCTCGACAAGGCGGCCAAGGGCCGCACGACCATTGCGGTTGCGCACCGCTTGAGCACGATTCAGAAGGCTGATATTATTTACGTCTTCGATCTGGGGCGTATTGTCGAACAGGGCACGCACTCTGAGTTGATGAATATGAACGGGCGATACGCCGAGTTGGTAAATCTGCAGAGTTTGGAAAAGCATGGGTGAATTTTGTTTTCTTTTTCTTCTCCTTTTATATATTTTTACATTTTTTTTTCTCTTGCCATTTTTATTGTTTATATGTTCACTTCCAATCAGGAGGGTTTTTTGCCATTCCCGATGTGGGCTTCGGTTCTTATATAGATGTTGATTGACTGAAAAGTAGAAAGCGGGCTTTGTGCCTCGACTTCTGGATCTAGGCGAAGGCGTTACGGAGGGCATCAAACTCCATTTACCCCTATGTAAGGTGGCTTATATATATAAATACTCAAAACAGGGAGATGTCCGTGTCGTCGGGCAGCTACGTGTTACGGCGCCGTGTTCTGCGTTCTGCAGAGGTGAACGCTTCCTATTTATTGAGAAGGGGGGGGGGGGGGTGTTCTTCTTTTTCTAACGGGTATCCTCCTCCTCCCTTTTGAACAGTCAATGAAGACGCCGTTCGAACCTGCATGTTGCGTACACAGCGCAATCAACGGCTCGCGACGGGCGTTGATCACGCATGTCCTCAACTATTACTGCGCCATTATAATGGCGGGCAAGCAACCACGGGTGGTAGTTGGTGGCGCTGGCGCTTACTAAACAAAATCTCAGGGGCAGCCACGTACATGTGCGTACAAGGTAAAACTTGCTGACTAACAGCACTTTTGTAATCCACAGGCTGGCAAGACGTATTATGTACGTTCCCCGTTTCGCACTTGACTTGCATTATTACCCACGACGACGCCAAGCTATTCTTCTAGCATATCGGGACCTCATAGGCCACGTACTACGCGACAGAGACAAGGTACGTTGTACGTTGTAGGTCCACGCGCGTCTGACACTGCGCCCGCCGGTCTGGTCGGGTGCACGGCGCACGATCCAACGTAATTTCATCCCCGATCAACGGGGAGGGACTTCCGTGCGTGGTGAGCAGGGGCTGAGAAAGCGAGGGAAAGTCTGGACAAGGTCAATTCAGAGGTGGGAACGAATAATCCATCGTGGCGTATGTATGTACATAGGTAGGTAATTCGTGGGCATCCCTCCATGTCAGCGCAACGGAAGCAAACGGAGTGAACCGAGTGCGCCACATGGAAGCATACGTAAGGAGGAATGCATAAGGCTGGCATGGGAATGTTCCTGTGGCCACGGGAAGATCCGGACTCGGGGGAATCGGAGTAACGCGGTTTAGGATACAGGGGAACGAACGGACGGGTACCTACCTGCGTATCCCGCGACGACGGCGTCAACGACGATATATCCTTATCAGATGCAAATCAAGGATAGAACCGTAGCTGAAAGAGTACAACGTACGGCCTCGTAAAGAATTGCCTGCGGGTTTTGGTGGTGAAGATTACAGGATAGAGAAACGAAAGGGGGCCAGTCACCGGACCGTCCGGTGACACTAAGTACCTAATTAGGCCGAGGATTTTGTGGTGAGTCTGTCTCCCACCGTCGAGCGTCTGAAATCCGAGAAATTAACGGCGGGGAGGATCGTGGCGTCAAATCGTGTCGTGCCGTGTCGTGTCGTGTCGTGTCGTGGCCGTGGGGAAAACAGAGTCGACCGGTAACAAAGTTATTCATGTAATCTTTTGACTGACCGAGTCCGGAAGCAAGGGATAGAAAGAAGTGGAAACCAGTCGACACGATATATGCATGCCGCGTGGGCTTGACTTCGCAGATGATATCCATCAGCCCGTCCACCTGGGGGAACAACGGTGAACGGTGGACGGTGAGCGGTGAAAGATGCAGTCAGCAACGGTGGATGGACAGAACTTCGTACATAGAGTATAGGTATCCTGAATACCTCATACCTTACCTTATACAGGTGTATTATATGTCTGGAGAGCTGATGCAACCTTGATGACCTGTGAATAATAAGGTATGTAGGTAGCTTCCTACGTGTAAGTTTGATTACACAGTGCGTATTTTATATACCGATCTTATTCTTCATTTATTGGCTCTGACCCCTGATGGTTGTGTGGGCCCATATAGCGTTGTACACATGTAGCTTGCAGTCGTTACAGGTACCTTAGTTGTGGATGCTATTTTTCGCTTCTCTCCCAACCTTCGTCTTCATTTCAGGAGCCATTCATGTCTCGCAGGCTTTCCGTTTTCTTCCGCCGGCTCTCATATTTATTATTCGCATTCGAGTCCGGGATATATGCAAGCTTCTTCAACCGACTAGGAATTTGTTTATTTATTCTTTTCTTCTTCCGTCCGATTTCCCTTGTTTGGATCTACGGGGAACCTTCCAAGCTTCCCTTCCTTCCCCACCACGACGACCACCGGAGCAATCTCCACTGGTTCTTATTAGACAGGCTTACGTTGTAAGGAGTGGGACAGTGCAAGTGCAAGTGCAAGCAATGCAGCAAACGTGTCCACCTAAAAATCGTTAGGTCCGCTTCAGGTCAGTCCATCAGCCGCAGGAGACCTGGGTCTCACTTCGCTCCAGCATCATCATCGTCACTGTTGGTGGGAGGAACCAACAAGAGAAATGAATCGATCACAAAGTCTCGCCCTGCGACGAGCTAACATTCTCGAAACGAAACAAAGAGACAATATTCTAGGCCCCATCCTAGACCTAGAACGCGCTGCCTGAAATGGTTGCCAACTAGTCCATCTCCCGCCCCTGTCCGTTCTCTCGGCCCCCCGGACATTATCACTATACAGTAGGTATGCCAAATAAACCATAAACCCATGTCGCCTGTTTGTCTTTTCGCCTTTTCCCTTTTCCCCTCTTCCTCTACAATGTACCTAATCTCTATTCTCCCTCGGTCTAGAACCAATGCGTCCTCTTGGCTACGATGACGAATAATACAACCTACCTTACCCTCTATACAGGACTTGGCTCCCCTCTTGCCAGTCTATTATTGCTCACTCGCCCGACGACGGGCCGACACACCTATTTCGTACAGAGATGCAACGTGCGGAGTACAACTACAACGTACGGTATGAATACCTTTTTATAATATATCCCATTTGCAACCTTCATCCAAACCGATCTCTCTCCTCTCTTCCATTTCCGTCTGGTCAGGTTGCTACCTATGCCACCCTCCATGCAGGCTGCACTGCTCCCCTCACCGTGTATCCAAGATTTACGTTGTAATTACTGGCCTTCCAAGAACTTCATATTACGAAGTACTATGGATTTGCTTGGCCTCCGATTCTTGCACACTTTGCGCTTACAACGTGATCACTCGATGCGTTAATTGCTTCGTACGCATCGGAATAAATATATCATTTTCAAGGAACAATCCGGCGCGGCTTCCCTGGTTTAACCCCAGTCGTCTTGTTGTAAACTCAGTTGTTCGTTACTCACGCCCGTGCCCTACATATTTTCCCTCACCACCAAGAGCTTTCTCCTCACCAACGCCAACCCCCCTGCCCCCTGTCCCCGGCCGGGTGTCATCCAATATCTGTGCATGCTGCATGATCTGGACAATCTAACCGAGGGTCTAGGCACTCGTTCACCCCATGTATCCTTGCACCTCTCCGTATTCTTTCTTATTAACTACGAGATCCCCAAAAATGACTTTCCCCTCTGTCTGATGCCTTGGCCTCCACTGACCCTTTGTCCTCCGTCGCGGTTCCCTCCCACATCGTCACGACCTCGCCAGCTCAGGTCCCGAGTCGCAATCGAACAACGTCCCAGCTACCCCAGCCACTGTCGTCTTCTCGCTGACACGCTCCGTCAACACTCAACCCCGGTCCTTCGCTCCAGTGGAAAACGGTTGCAATCCGACGACTTGCGTCGAGCCGAGCGTCCTGACCCGACAGAGACAGACGCCTATTATATACGTCTACGAGCAGCCCCGGCCTATTATACATCGCAGGCTGAGTACGCCGACAACGATTGTCGATAGTCGAGAGGTTCTCCGGCCCAACTTGTCTGGGGAGGAATACGGACCCTCCCCGTCGGGAAAATACAGCTTCTCCCAGGATCCTACTACATATCCGTACGGACCACGACGCGACCTGGTTATTTGTTAGCCCATCACGAACCGCTGTATAGTGGTCTTTCTCTGCGTGTGTGTGTGTGTGTGTGTGTATGGACTACGTGGAGGGAACCCGGGACCAAGTAATTGGCCATCACATCGGCATAGAAAACTATTTGGTTTCGAACGAGGAAGAGGGCAGGGCAGGGGATGACCCCAGCTCCCCCAGGACGTCAACCCGCTTTACCATGTCTCCTTTGCTAGTCACCTCGTCGCTCTCTCGTCGCCCCACGGCTCGCCGTGTTCCAACGCTACCATGGATTTCACGCCTAATCATCCTCACCGCATGCATCGCGTCTACCACCGCCGTTCTCCTACCCCCGGAGGTTCACCCGCCCGAAATCACTCCACCAGTCCTTCGCTCTGTCGGAGATAACCTCGTCGCCAATGTTGCGACGTCGACCTTGTCCACAGACGAGTCAGAGCTCCGGAGGCGTCAACGTCAAAACGACAATGACGAGGACGACGATCGCTCCGCCGCCCCTTCTAGCCTCGCCTCTACAGATGCCACAGGTACCACGGGAGTCCCAAGCGCCGCTTCGACCTTGGTTCTGTCCATCACCCCGCCGACTCCGAGCTCGACAGAGGCACCGGCGCCGTTGCCTTCCCCCTTCGACACCGTCATGGCGTCCACCTTCACTAGCAATGAGGAGACGCAATGTCCGGCGTTTCTGAATGCCTTGCTCGCGGATCCGGAGTTCAAGAAGTGCTACCCGATATCCATGCTGCTTCAGGTAAGAAGGCAACATGTCCTCGCCGGCGTAATCTACAAGGCAAAGCAACATGATGGAACTGACACGGTGCCCCCGGGTGAAAACAGGGCTCCTATTCGTTTTTCAACGCAGCCAGGACCTTGGTCAGCATTGTCCGGGTGCTCGACGCAGGATGCGAGGCCGACGTCAACTCCTGCAAGACCTTCCTCGGCAACGCCGCCCAGGCGCTCATCCAAAGGGAAAACTGCGGTCCGGACTACGAGAGGAGCCACCCGGTCGTGCGGCAGGCCTACCTAGGCCTGACCACCTACGAGATGCTGTACGCCGCGACGTGCCTGCAGAACCCGGAGACGTCCATGTACTGCTACGCCAGCGCCGTCACCAACCAGACCAACGCGTCCAACGTCTACTTCTACCTCCTGCCCCTCAACATGAGCCTTCCCGGGAGCGCCACGCCGACGTGCAACTGGTGCCTGGGGGAAACCATGGCCATCCTGCAGGCCGCGTCGGCGGACCGGGCCCAGCCCATCGCGAATAGCTACGAGAGCGCCGCGAGGCAGGTCAACACGGTTTGCGGGCCCGAGTTTGTCAACGAGACGTTGCCGGAACCGAGTGAGAACCTGGCCGGGCTGCATCTGCCGCCTTGGACGTTTGCCGTGACGGCTGTGGCGCTTGCGATTCCTTTCCTGCTCTTGTAAGATGCATACCACGCCAATCATTTCGCATCGCGGAATGCGAGGTTTCCTTTTTTTCTTCTTTTTTTTTTCTTCCTTTTTTTCCCTTTGCGGCAGCCTGGAGTCCTGGACTTTTTTTTTTTTTTTTTCCTGAGCAAACGATTTAATGGCCGACATGGACCTACTATACTTTCTTTGCATCTCGGCTTTGATACCCCCTCTCTGCACGACATACTATTTTTCCCTTTTTTTCCTTTTCTTTTGTGACTGGGCCCTTGAGCCTTATATACATATTAGGACCGATTGGTCTGCAGCCTACTTTTAGCCTCTCCAGGCAATGTTTCCCTTACACAACAGAATTAATTTCGGCATATTCCGGGGACGTCTATATGGCGTTCAATGGATATAGAAAACTGGGTCGCCGGTGTTCTGGAGGAGGCACCAGGCTGGGCGAGGGACGACGCGGTCACGTCAGGGACATGGGCGGATGGTCCATAGGGTGGGAAACTGGCTTATATAGCGCGCAAGAGGGGATCTTAATATTGTTAATTCCCTCTACGAAGGGGATAATACAACACCCATATATGTTAGGGGCATCTTGCAAAGGGTATCAGGAATTCTGCTTTGCTAGGCCATGGCACGCGGCTCGGGACTCGCTTGCCATCGTACAACGTAAGGTACCTTACATTACCTTATTTCACAGTGTCGGTTGTCCCTCCAGCCGGCAAAGAGCACACAACATTATCATTGGCCGCCGACGATTTAACCTTTCCTTTGATCCGCGAACGACGCGGATGCGGAGGGCTTCTCCCCACCCTTTTGCAACGCCGAGAGAGATCCCATGACTTACTCGGCCTCAGCCAGAACCAAATTCAGGTCGCCTCTGGATCGCACACCGCTGGTAAGGTACTAATCACCTTGTTCAGGTCTGACCGACGAAGAAATTAAACAGGCATGCCTTCTCCTTCTTCAACGAGTTCGCTGTCTAGGCAGATGGTTCAGAACGGTCCAGCCCTATGAAAGACAAGAACTATTTATCCGTCCTTGCCAAGAGTCCAAATGGGAAAATCCAAGTCCCGAAACCATCCGTTTCAAACCCCCGCGTTATGAAAGTTCGTGATATCCTCCGCAACGCGCATGAAGTGGGCACGCCGAACCGTGGACCACGTCCGTACGGGAAGGTCGAAACCCATAACGATATGGGCAAGGAGCAACGGTGATATAGCGTCCACTAAACACGGTTCAGTTGGGGGAAATACAACCGCTATACAATAGTATGGTGTATTAAGGGCGCCGGCGTTGCAAGACGGACAGGCTGAATTCGAAACATGTGGGCATTGGATAACCATGGAGCGGAGCAATTATCCGCCTTTGCTGTTTAGGTGAGGACGGTACGGTACGGTACCAGCTAATTATTATAATATAACCAGATTAATCAGATTGACTAGATGGCCGTCGATGACCGTCGATGACCGTCGAGATAAAGGCGGAAGATCGTTCAGCGGCCCCCGATACGCGTTTATTTGAGAAATGGGTTACTTCGTACGAGCGATGTACGTTTTCCCTCCCCCCTTCTTCTTTTGTCAATTGCCCTCAATTTCCCTTCTTTCGGTTCCCAGGAAGCAGGAATCATTCCAGGAAAGGACATGGACAAAGGAACGCAGAAGACACCTGCTGTCACGTTAATAGGATCGATTGGCTGGGGTAAATCGGCGCAATTGCGGGTAGTGATGATTGTCCCTTTGTGTATTCCCCGAATCCGGCTGCCACTTTACGGGTACACATTTGTCAATGCAACGTCGGCTGGTGAGCTGTCAACTCGAAGGCGGGCCTAAGATTTGGATGATTTATCCGGGGAGGCTACCTGGTTAAACATGCCAAATATATTGTGGCTGACTCTCAAACCTGGTACGGGCTGCAAATCCCTTGATGCAACCCGGCCATGGCTATACGAAGGAGTAATAAATAATATACGGATATACTCCCGTAGTTCGTGGTTCGAACATGCGTCCGTACAACTGTACGTACTCCGTACACAGGAAATATTTCTTCCGCTTGCCCATATTGCCATGAAACATTCGCGTGGACGTCATGTGCTGGTCTTGTCTTCAGCACAAACAGGGAAAAGGCCGCCGCGAGGTCGAGCTAAAGCCAGGTCGGCAGATGAGCTCCATATGTCGTCTATGGCCAACCGAAGACATCCACCAACCTAGGAGGAGAAAGAGGGCGAGGTTCGCTCTACTGCCGGTAATAATGGCGGCTTTCTCAGGCTGCCGTGCATTAGCGCTTGTAGAATAAACACGGCGTCGGCCTGGATAGAGTCCGGATGTACGTTGTATGTACGTTGTTGGTTGCCCAAGGACGACCGGGTATTTGGCATTTGGGACGGGTCGGTGCGGAAGAAATACAACGTACGCTGGCTGTTATCGGCAATATTGCTGCGAGACAGGAGAGCGGTCCCCCAGCCAATGCAGTGAACTGCCACGCTGTCCGGATGTGTTGTGGTGCGAGCACGTTTCACGTTTTTGTGTATGAAAGCTGGCGGTTGTCGATCTTTCATACCTAATAAGGTAAGTAGGTAAGGCACGAGGTATCCGTCTTCGAAAGGTACATCCCAACTTGGATACCTAGCTAAGGTACCTAAGCCCATGCGGAACGAGTGTCGCAAGCAAGACAAATAAACTCGACCGATAAGGAACTGGCTTCACGGATACGGCAGAGCAAATCGCACAGTGTACTTACGAAGTATGTCATAGGGCCTACCTTGTAATTTCTACCATGGTTGATTCGGACGGTGTATTCCCGTATTCGGCTCTGTTATTACTCCGTCCTTTATAACAGAACTGCCACCCCACCAAGTATCCCTTCATCGTCATTGGAGGACTTTTAAAGGGGTCGTCCAGGAACTCGGTTTCGTGGTTCACCGCCCGCTCCCATCCCGGCAGTACTCTCCAACCCTGTCAAAAATAAGCAATCCGTCGGCTGTTGAAAAAACAAAACAGAATTCCGACATTAAGGGTAAACTCAAAACTCGCAGCGATTATGTATTGCATGTACAGTCGTACGTAGAAGCCCCACATGGCCTCACCATGGCTTGTTTAAAGCGTACGTGGTAGGGCGCGGTAGACCATTTCATTGATACGCCTACACTTCTGGCCGCTTGGGCTTGTTTTAAGGCCTGTTTGGTGTCAGACAACCTGGAAGAATATGGGTACGCGAACTCATGATTCTTATTCCTTGAAGAGTTCTGAAAGTACTATGAAGGAATGTCCATCTATCTTAGATAGTACTACAAAACAGGTTATGTAACACACGTGACATGTACCCTAAGAACCTTACCGGGGCATCCAAAGTATCACCCGGTACACCGCAGGCAACTTACTCTTCCTGACATTTGGTACGGCTAAGCTACATGCCGAGATGTGGGTCGTGTTCGTGCATATCCAAGGGTATGTATTTTATCGCTTAGGCTTGGTTGGAAGTTAAGGGGTTGCAGTTGCAGTGCAGTGTTTCTCCTTTTCCACCAGCCTTGACGTACCTTACCTAGGTACGTTGGATATGCGCCAAGGTACGAAGTATATCTGTTTATGTGACGAACTATCTGTAAAGTACCCACAACGTAGCGTGATTACCCAGGAACCTGGAAAGAAGCTTGGCTCCTATTCACCCGGAGTTTGCTCCGGCCCCCCCCCCTTCTCCTTCACCCTTTTCGCTTAATCTGCGCTATCGCGGATGCAAGCAAAATACCTACTACGTTGCACCTACTTTTCTACATAAGGTACGTACCTTACGTTATACCTGGGTCACGACTCACCTCTCGCCAGTCACTTGCTTGCTGCATCGTCCCGTGGCCTTATACCTTCTAGGAGGTGCATTGGGATCATAATAACCCGCCTCTCTCTCAGCCGTCCGCCAATTCCTCTTGCCTGAACGCTCAACCCCGTATTAGCCCGGTGCGAAGCGAAGGGTACAGCTGAATATCGGCCCCCTGAACTACCTGATTTTGTCGTCACGAACTGGCAGGTCCATCACAGAGAAAACGACAGTCCAATCTGTTTATGTTTATGTTTTTCTGCTCGACCCCCGACGATCTGTCTATTTGTCTCCGTGCTACTCAATGTACTCGATAACAGCCGACCGCACCGCGCCGAACGGTTTCTTCCGCCGTTGACTTCTCCCTCCGCTCCCCTGCAGCGGTCACCCCCTGGAGACGCTCCTCTCTCGACCTCTTGTGTCACTCGCCACTCACCACTCACCACTCACCACTCACCACTCACCACTCACCACTCACCACTCAACAAGCCGACGCCCACCTGTACCGGGTAACCGGGAAAGTGTAACGGCCCCTAGTTCTGCTGACGGCTATTCGCCGATCCCCTTGTCCCGTCCCTCTCTTCCTCTTCACCCTCATGCATCTTTTTGATTTCCACCCTCCTTCGTCTCGGGTCACCTCGCATGCCGCATATCAACCAGAAACGCCCCTTCCTCCCTCCGCGCCCACGAGTTCCTGGTTTCTGGGTGCCAGTGTCACTCAGTTTCGACAACAAAGAAGCTCGGCAATTCTTAGGGATTTGGCGTTGCAGCTTGTACCGCTGCCGTCACGCTGCTCGAATCCTCCCAAGAGCAGGGATCTTCCCCGTATGCTCCTTCGCCGTCCGCACGTCAATCACAATTCCCGTATGCATCCATGCCGACGTACCTATTGAATAACATCAACATCTCTTAAGACACAAGGTACGCGCTATCTTTCGGGCACTCACTCCCTGTCAACCCTCGTCTGGGCGCCGTTATGACGGGTTGTCCTTGGTCTCGAACGGAACCATGATCTACGCTATACGCTCCATCTACAACGTACACTTACACTATAACGTACTCTTCCCCCCTGGTCGTCTTGCAACTTCCCCACACACTCAACTGAACTTGAACCCCTTCATAAATTTGTTCCTTGTTCGGTTCTTCAAATCCCCACCTTCTTCCTCTTCTCTTCTTTCAACGTTCCAACATTTATTTCTGCGTCTCATGTTCTGCCTGCACCCAACAGGCTCGTTGACAGTGGGACGTTCTGTTCTTGTCACCATCGCGACCACCGACGTATAATCTCATCCACAATACTATCCTACATTGCTGCTCCCCGCCCTGAATCGTACCTAGACCATATCACGTGTCCACCGAAGCTTGTCTCTTATGTGTACCGATTCCTCATTGTCTCTTCTTCGGTACACCAGGTACTGACTTTGCTATCTCTGGCCTTTTCTTTCCATCCTTCTTTTCTCCATCTCCTTCTATTTGAACGAGAACGCCCATCATCACCCGTACGTCAACTCGGATGCTTTAACCTGGCACTACAGCAATGGGCGACCGATATTCGGCACCTACCGGTGCTATCCGCTTACCATCCTGCGCCAGTCTGATTTCAGGAGTGTCACTTCTTGAATCCCCGAATCTGACGCATAGCCAGCCAAGGACTCGCCACACACAAGATCATCTCGAAACCACTTCACCAATCTCACACCGGCCGCCGTCATTTCTTGCCTCCCACTCCAGTCCATACCAATCCTCATACCCCCCATATCGCAGCCCCAGGCTGCCGCCGGTACCACCGCCTCCTCATCTTTCTGCGCAAGGTCTTCTGGGCTCCCCTACCCCTTCATCCAGTGCAAGCGACCCCTCTGCCGACGAATACACCACGACAAAGGAGCAAATCCACGCACAACATCCACGACATGACCATCCGGGCCCACGGCCAACCACCCAAGACTCTGGCCACGCGACCCAAGCACCTATTGCCCTCCCACCCCAGAATTGGAAGGCTTCACCAGGTCAACACAGGCCGGTGAGCTCCCATAGCCGCCAAGCTCCGCCTCCTACGAGTCGACGAACAGAAGCTGTCAGAATCAATGATCTTCTTAGCAACGATGCAGGGCACCTGCCCTCGCCTCCTGCTCCGGGCAAAGATTCGGTCGAGGACGAATATAGGATCCACATGCGACAGCAGCCAAAGGCGGCTAGGTCATGCGGGTTCGGCGAAAGAGACCGCAGGGCCATAGATCCGCCGCCTATCGTGCAGCTCACCATCACGAACCCGAACCTCACGAAAAAGGAGATCAGTCGACGGCTATGGGACCAGTTTTTCGTGGTCCATTGTACCATATGGAGCAAGGACGGAAAGGAAGACTGCTCCATCATGCCGGAGGACTACCGCCAACAGCGGCGGCTCATGGGATCCCTTGCTGCCTCGGCATTCGTCGGCGAAGACGAAAATGGCGAGGAAGGTTGCTTCTTCTGCTTCTCGGACCTGTCCTGCCGTACGAGCGGAGAATACCGCCTCAGGTTTTCCGTGGTCGTGCTCGACCCCCTCCGGGGCCAGGTCGGAAAGAACTCCAGCATCCGGGCCTCGGTCATGAGTGACGTGTTCACCGTCTACAGCGCCAAGGACTTTCCCGGGATGCTCGCCAGCACGCCGCTCACCAGGCGCCTTAGGGACCAGGGCTGCCTCATCTCCATTAAGAAGGGCAAGGACAGAGTGGGCAGCAAGGGGCGCGATGGGGATGAGAGCAGCGACGAAGACGAAGAAGAAGGCGCCTCGAGCAGTAAGCGGAAACGAGCAAAGAAGCAATGACTGCTGCCACTGGCCAGGGACGGCTGGTCTGCCCATCGCTTGTGAAGAACCTCCCTCAAAAGCCTGCTTACCAGACCATACCATTGTCGGTTTTTTTTTTTTTCCCTTTTTTCCCTTTTTTTCCGAGCGGAAATGGACGAGAGCCAGATGTGCGTTTATTGTGTTACGAGAACTGGATCTATGAGACATGACAGAGCGAAAAGGCGTGTTGAATACCCATGAACGAGGCGTTGGAACACCGGTCGTTTTCCCTGGGATAGATACCCCGGGGCCACTTGGATTACTCAATAACTCGTTGGCCAGCCCAATGACCGAATGAGACGAACGATTTGAATGATGTACTCTTTTTCGGTTTGAAAGACTTTTTTTGTGGCGCAGTGTGGTGGAATGGAACAGACGGGCAAATACAGCCCATCATGCGAGGCAGGCCAACTTGTGCGTCTAGGTAGTGAGGCAACCGGAGTTTTCAACCCTGATCGACGGACGAGGTAACGGCGGACGGCGGACGTCGGACGGCGGACGTCGAGGACCGTGTGACGTTGCACAGGCTACAAAACAACAAGCCTCCTGAATTCAACCTGACAACACAACCGGCCTGCTTATTGTCGCTTCTCTTGCCTCCTCTCGACGTTGTTGGCTCGTCAGATTATCTTGGCGAGGTGCAAGACGTATGCCATAGGATAGGGGGGATGAAATCGGAGCTAACTGTACCCGGCATCTTACGGGGAGTCGGATCTCGCGACGCGAGAGAAGCTGCAGCCTGCTACAGAGGATTACCTATCTCCCAAACATCCAGTCGCAAGAAGATATGAAGGAAGCTCGGCGCAGCAGGTGAGAGGTTTGTGGCTGCTGCTGCTGCTGTTGCTGCTGTCCATCGAGGGACAAACGCCAAGCAAAAGGAGCACTGCTCAGCACTAACGAGTCGCCTTGTTGATTCTACCCAACCCGCTGGAACGGAGAGGTCATGGAAGGAAAGGGAGAGTCACTCAATGCAACCCAGGCCTCTGGGCCCAGTGAGCAGCGCGGCGACGAGGCAGCCAACCATGGAGCGGTGTCCCCGACCGATGATAATGGGTCTGATATTTTTTGTCCCTTTTCGTTTGGTTTCCCTCTTTGCCCCCCACGCAGCTAACTGCAACTGTAGGGCATCATGTTTGCCTGTCAATGAAAAGGAGCGGAGGTTCAAGTTGGGGGGCCAAGCAAAGGCCGCCTTCGAAACGGTTCCTGGGCAGCAAACAGATTTTCTGCATGCCGTACGAAGTGAAATGAAGCCACGAATTGTCGTCAATGTGATATATACAGCAATGCGGATACCCGAGGTGTTTCTTTGTTTGGCCAACTGACTGACATGCAGCACACCGAAAGAAGGGGAAAGCAAGTTACGTTGTTCACTAGAAGGCGGGGATCGAGAGGGAAAGCAGGGCTCATCCGATGTTCGGTTTCGGAATTGTGCTTCAGTTACGACGTCATTCCAACCTCAGTGGCTCTGGTAGGGCAGCCGGCAATGCCGCCGTGTGATCAATGCCGATTGAAGGTGTGTGGGAATTCAGAAGAAATACGTATAATGGTGCCGTGAAAGAGATGCATAAGGTACTCTCAGGGGGAGCCTCACACAAAATGAAGTACGCAGGTAAAGTCACTCGATTACTAACCATTGGAGCGGTACTTTTGTCTGATTGGACCAGATCTTCTCTAATTCCGCCAATGAACAATGGGCTATTTCTATCCAATCAGAAGGAGGCCGTCAACGACACCGAATGTTCAACGGACACGCCGTCCTTCCGTACTTTTCCGTACGTTTCGCAACAACTCACTTTCTAGGTGAAGTCCAAACTTCAACCTCACCAAGGATACTCCTAGCAGATACCTTCTCATCCAAGACAGATCAGTGTTCCCCAAGAGAGTGTTTAGGAGGATCTTCACCTTTCTGTCTTGCAGAATGGCATCAGACGGGTCTCATACCGGCCTTTGTCCTGTCCCATCTAGCTGTAATCAATGTATCAGAATGTCAGATATCGTCTCTGCTCTCTGCCCAGTCTACGGAGTACTGCGTCCTTTGAATCAACATGGGTTCAGACCATCTAACACGCGCTCTGTTCCTCCTCTGCGTTGTAATGATGCATCTTAGGCCTCAGATAACTATAAGAATGAGCCTGCCTCTATGCTCTATCCTCGTCTCCAAGTCCCATGCTCTACACGGAAATCTATGTGATACCGAACTTCGACTTTTCTCGTCATCTCTCTTCATCTCATTATCATTATTCGCTTTCAGTAAGACAAACTCAGTTGATACACAATCTACACCGAGCCAGTCTCGTCCCATTCTGTCTTACCCCGGAAGAACACACGAACAACTCATTTCCCCGAGCAACTCCAGCCGTTAAAGGACCCCCAGACAAAGCTGTCGTGATGTCTTCCTCCCGTTCTTCTTCCCCTAAAGACTCTGTCGATGTCTTGCCAGAGGTCAGCTCCGTCACCAATCCCGGCAGTATTCTGACGAATACGAGCAACCTAACCGTCAGGCTCCGCAACTATCGAGAGAGACATTCGATTGTTGTCGACTACGGCAACGTTAAAAACGCACTGACGATCACCCTCAACCGCACCATCCGTGTGCCGGACAACAAGCGCACAAACGGCCTCCCCCCCAGCCGTGGAACCTTCCCCCTGTTCAAGGTCCGCGACTACCCCGGCAGACTGCCCCACGACGTCGAGTACAAGGGCGGTCTCTTCTTCCCCATGTACCAGCGCGAGGCCATGTGGATCGAGTTCAGCGCGGAGATGCCCTTCGCCGTCAAGATCTTCGTGGGCGGCGTCAACGCCATCTCGGGCTTCCCCGTCCTCGAGAACGACCGCACCCGCGACAAGCGCCGCCGCATGCTCGCCCAGGGGAAGAGCATCCAGGACTACGTCGTCCTCCCCGAGCAGCCCTGGCTCGACGGCGTCGTGTCCCGCAACGGCAGCGTGCGCCAGTTCGTCGCCCAGCCCCAGGGCTCCGGGTTCGCCGTCGAGGCCCAGGTCTACGGCGAGGAGCGCGTCGGCGGCATCCAGATCGAGATTGTGCCGCCCGTCCGCAACACCCCGCAGCGCTTCAACGTCCGCTTCGAGGACGACGGCCGCAGGGTCACCAGGGTGCTCGATCTCGCGCAGAACGGACTGGGGCCCAACTCGACCTGGCGTGATGTCAAGGGGGTCCTGCAAAAGCTGTTTCACGCCCCTGTCGCCGACCAGGCGCTCTCTCTGCCGAAGAAGTCCGGCGACAAGGGCTCGCCGGCCTGGCACCTCAGACGCCAGCTCCGGACCGATTTTGGCGACGGCACGAGGCTCGGCGATGTCTTCTTTCCGCCCGGATTTTCCACTCTACGTCTGCGCCGCGTCCACCAGCAGCATGGCGGGATGGCTCTGGCGAAAATGGCCAGTAAGTATCACCCCTACGAGCCGCCACGCAGCATCGATCCCTGGTCAGCGTGAGAAGAGGAAAAGCGGAAGATGGGTAGAGTGGATGAAGAAGAAAGCAAAGGACTGACGTATGTGGGTCGATCCAGTTGTCATGCCGGATGACCACGCCGCCAACGACCTTCAGCAGAGCAGCAACGGTGGCGGGAGCTCGGCCGCTCCCCCGATGGTGCAGCAGCTGGGTCTTGCCGCCGGCGGTCTGATCACGCAGACCATCGTGCCGGACCCCTACCCGGCTGATGCGTGGGACACTGCCGCTTCGGTGATGCTGAACCTGCAGATCCTCGACACCACCTCCTTCGAGGCCGTCACGGGCCGTCCTGCCCCGCCCACCCCCATCTCTGCCTCCAGCCACGTCTCCCAGGGCCTCCACTTCTACGACATCTGGGACGAGGCGCCCACGGGCATCGTGGGCAACTTTTCCGAGGTCAAGAGCGTCGCCGAGATGATGCGCGAGCGCGCCCTTGCTGCCGGTGGCCCGCCTCCCGAGGAGGAGCCGTCCGTTTCTCCGCCCGTTGTCACTCTTTTCCGTCCTGACCATGAAGGCGGAAATATTGTTTCGTTCGAAGGCACGTTCCGTCCTCTTGAGGTCTTGCGGAAGGAGATTGGGGGTTTGAAACTTCGATGAATGGAACCGGCCTTAGCTAGCTTGGTCTATCTTGACAAAAAGGGGGTGTCTCTGTCGAACTTGATCTGGTCCGAGCTGGATACATCCAAGTAGGCTGGGTCTGTCTGTTTATGGGCATCCAGTCGTCAAGGTACAAGAATTAGGATTGACGTCGACGGCAAGATGTTGTTCCCTCTTTTAACTGGACCCTGGTTCTGGAATCCATATGAAGCACCCATTCGTAGTAGCGTCAGAGAATGAACATGGCTTATGCGATGTCGATTGGTTTGTCTATGTGATCATCATCTCGACTGCTTTCTACCGGAATGATCCCGGGTGGATATCCGTCAAGGCGAGTAGGACGAGATGTGACTGGCAACAACAACAAATGCCGCAGGCTCCCAGAATGGCGAGACAGTCGGGGCGACTTCGGGCTGAACGATGAGGTCGGAGTGCGCCCGGTGTTACTGAAGGGTCGCTAGGGATGTGCAACAGGTTTATCTTCACCGTTGACAGGTTTCAAGACACCCGAGCCACTTGCCTTCCCTCGAAAGTGGCTTTTACTTCTCGTTTTTTCGATCGTCGATACCCCCCCACTCGTCACCCTCGCTCCCCTCAGAATCCGAGCTCGCTTTCGAGGGACTCTCGTCCTCATAGTCATGATCGTCGCTCGACTCGTCGTGCTCGTGCCCTTCACCTTGCTGTCCCTCAAGAGCGTTCAAATGCATCGCCCCTGGTAGGGCTACAGGCCGCCCCGTCGATTTAAGCACCGGCATCCCCGTCACGTCTCGCACCATCATACCTTCGTCATCCCGCAGATACGGTCCGTCCTCGCTGGCAAAGAGCTTCGACTCGCCCTCCGCCGGCGCCGGCGGCACCACGTCCCTCTCAAAGGCCGCCACGAAGAATCCCATGACACCCCGACCATCGCCCTGCTTGGCTCTGACACAGGCTTCCGCAACTTCCTGGTCACCATCAGAGGCTTCGAGCACGCCGCGAACAGGCCACTCCCGCATGCCCCGGACCTGTTTGGCCCGGGGGAGGATCCGCCACCCGGCCTCGCGGGCCACTTCGGAACGCAAGGCCTTGACGACCACCTGCTCATTCTCCTCCGCATGGACGGAGCATGTCGAATAAGTGATTTTCCGCGCCGAAGGGAACTTCATCGCGTGGAGGAGCAAGGTGAGCTGGAAGGACGATAACGATTGGAGGCGTTTCTGCAAATCTTGCTCCGAGGAGACCACAGTGGCGTTCCCGTCGTCGTCGATGAGGACAGGTTTCGCTTCGTCGTCGGCGTCCCGCTTGCGCTTGCGGTCTTTGCCGTCTGGCTTGGGAAGTTTCAGTTTCTTCTTGGGGGCACCTTTGGCACCGGGTGGCGGGGGTCTTCCGGGCAAATGTAGCTCTGGGGTTACGTCCCGCCCGACGATGCCGCTGCCCGAGCAACTAGGGTCGAGTAGAAGGGCGCCGACGTTCCTGTAAAGAGGGCCTTGCGGGTCTACTTCGAGAAAGTCTTGACCGAGACCGATAGTCGTCATCCCTTCGCTGCCTGCAGTTTTGACCATTTTCTCCAGCGTCTTTGCGCGCCTCTCGTCCCTCTCGAATGCAAAGATGGTCTGCCGCGGGGCAGATTCCTCCGGCCTATGTGAGTGGGTGATAGCTGCCAAGTGTGTGGTCTTGTTCCCGGGGGCTGCGCAGGAATCAATCACGTCGCCGTCTTCGGCATGCGGATCCAGGAGGTAGGCAGGAAAGCACGATGCCTTGTCCTGCAGGATGATTTGGCCCGCTTTGTAGGCCTTCGTTTTGGTGAGGTCGATGCCTGGTGAGACCGCTACGAGACCGGGAACGGTGTCGTCGAGGTAAATGGACTTGTTCGAAGGGCCCGTGGCGGTCACGGCGGCAATGGAAAGCACACGCTCGAAGTCTTTGAACGTGGACTCGAGCTGTTCCTCGATGTCCGTTTTCAGAGCATTGACACGAACCCATCGCGGATGGCGACCTTCGGGATCGCCGTCTCTCTTGATCTGCACCCTCAAAGCATCGAGTGAGGCCATCTTCCTCCGCAGCCGAGCCCGTGTGAGTTCTGAAGTGAGCCTGGCCTTGTGCCGCTCAATAGCTTGCCTCAGTCCATGGGACTGGGGCAGCGTAATTCCGCCCTTGGAAAGGAGGAAGTCATGAACCAGGAGCAATGCTAGAACCGGGGTGAGCTGGCAGGTAGAAAATAAAGGAGGAGTCAGCTTAGATGATGATGGAATCAGGGGAGGCAGAGAGAGAGAGGGTTGGTTGAATCAACCTTTCGCTCATGACGCAGTAGATCCGCGTTGTCAATGACTTCTTTCAGGACTTCGCTCCATTTGCATGTTTCAGTAGCCAGTGCAAAGACCTGGGCGGCTGGTGATTTGAGGCCCTTCTTGGTGAAAATTCTCGACTTCAAGCTGCCGCTGCTTGACCTCTGTGTCGTTGTTCCAGCCTCAGGACCGGCCGGCATTAGGATATCTGCCGTCTCATAGTAGAGAGACATGACGGACGACCATATTCCCGCGCCGGAGGGGGGCGGGGGGAGGGAGAAAAAGAGAAAAGGGCAAGGGAAATGCCGGCGATATTTCAACCTAGCACGTCAAGGTGTTGATGAGAGGGATGGCGGCTAAGGTACTTCGTGAAGGAACTTCGTATAAAATGAAAATACCTGCAGGAGGGTCACGACATGCACGGGCCATCGGCGACATCCCACATCGCTGACTAATAATATCTATCTCCTCTGTTGGAGTACCTTAGGTGAGGTACCTACCTTAGAGAGGATAGGATGATGGGATGAAGTACGGTACGGGTACAGACAACGTCAACTGGGCTGCTTCTTGCCTTGGAACACAGGATCTTCTTAGAATAACATCAAAATGATATGCCCATGGCTGGCTCGGTGCTCTGGCACCACTGGCGTCAGGTTGGGTCACTATTAAATGCGTTCACGATTTAAGACAACCCCCGGATAAATCCACAATAGGGGTCAAGTCGGGGTATGTATTCTAGCACATGTACGGGCTCACCAAAGGCACAAAATAAAGAAGCGAGAGAGAAGCAAGAGGGCCTAGAGAAAACCCGGTCTATTCAATTGTACAAATCGCGGAATGAAGCCTTTCAGTCGAGATGATGCTCCCCGTCTGCACTTCTTACAGAGTCACGGAAAGAACTCCATGACGAGCATCATGTTCTCTGAAGCTATGGAATTCATGCACCAAAAATATGTCTGTTTTTATGTTGTTCATAACCGTCGTCGTGCGCAGAGGACGGGAATGGGCCGGGTTTCCCGTTGCGCGGGTCAAGACACTGCTTCGGCGATGCGACAACGCAGCGATGTACCCGGGTCAGCCCTCGGGGGTGGTTTCTTCTTTCCCATGCCACCCAACACCTGTACCCTAGATCCCTTATACCAAGATCAAAAAGGAGAAGAAAAAAGGAAAAGGAAAAAAAAGTCTCTGCGCAACCCCTAGTAATGTTCAACAAGAAGTGAAGAGAAGAGAAGAGAAGAGAAGAGAAGAGAAGAAAATAAGGTCAAGAAGAAACCGCGCTAGAAGACAAGGTGCTTCTTTCGCGTCGCATCGTTCGGGGTCGCTCCCGGACGAACGCATTTACTTGCGCAGGCTACGGTGACGCAAGGCGTGGTGGTGGACGTGGCGCCGCATCTTCTCCAGCGGCGTAGGGGCCGGCTCAGACACGATCTGCGTGGCGGTCGCCGTGACTGTGACGGTCTCCCAGACAGTCTTGGCCTTCTTCTTGCAGGAAGTCGTCGGCTCAGGTTCAGGCTCCCCCTGCACGGGCTCCTCCTCCACGGGCTCCTGCACGGGCTCCGGCGCGGGCTCAGGCTGAGACTCAGGGGCAGGAGTTGGCTCGGGGGACTCGGGTTCCTGAATGGTCGAGAAGACGGGAGTGGGACGGGCATCGTCCAGTTCGGGAGCGTGATGGATGGGAAGCACGGTCTCCACGGGCTCGGGCAGAACGTCATCGACAATGCTGCCGGCGCCGCCTCCGTTGTCGACACCGTAGCTCCAACCCTGGAGCGGGAGGTTGCCGGGAAGGGTGTCGAGTACGCCGGTCACGAGTTCCTGGAATTGAAACTCGCCAACGCAGTCGTCAACCGTGTTCTCCGTGATGCCGGGGCAAGTGTGCAAGCCAGCATGACCGACATTGCAGTTGTCGATGGCCGTCTGGAGGGCGTCCTCGTCCCAGGCGGCCATGAAATCAGCGTGCAGACTGTAACCACTAACGTCACCGTTCGACAGGACGAACGGCTGGCCGTGGCTGGGCCAGCGTTCCCGGAACTTGGGGGTATCCCAGTAGACTTCGTAGAACATGTGGGGAACGTGGATCCAGCCTTCCGGACAGTCAACGCGACCATCGCCGGCATCGCTGGGGTAGGCCGAGTTCGTCTTATGGGCATCGAGACCCGCTTCGGGATTGTAGCACGACGGCATGTGGACATCGGCACGCAGGGGTGAATATTTGCCATCGCAATCGACGCTGGGGAAGCCGGTTCCGGCGCCGTGGTTGCGGGGGTTACGCTCACCGGCTAGGGATCCATCCGAGTCGAGGGGCCACGAAGGGGGGTTGTCGTAGTTGGAGTTGGCTCGAGGGCAAGTCCACTGAACCGGCTGGACGGTGCCCTTGCTTGGGTCGATGTTCGTACGACCGTGAGTACCCGGCGAGACTCGAGTGCTGGCATTTCCGGCGACGAATTGCAGTCCCGTGGGGAAGGCTTTGATGTCATCGTTGGTGCGGTCAAAACTAAGAGCTCGTCAGCATTTCTCCCCATGGGGCGCAACGAGCAGAACCTATCGCAAGAACTCACAAGTAGTAAACGTTGACGTAGCTGATGTCAACAGGCTCGAAAGTGTCCGTCTCCTCATCGTGGAAGTAGAGCCAGGGGAACCAGTAGGAGCTCAGGTCCTCTTTGGCACGAGAGTTGGTGCAGCGGGAACGCTTCAGGCTCTGGCCGGTTGCGTCTCTGGAGAAGCCGCTGGCACCCATGGCGCCGTGGACGTGCTGGGCGGTCCCACCGGGCGTGACAATGGGGTCGACGCGGCCACGGGCGATCTCCTTCTGCTTGCTGGAGTGGAAGTGAAGGACGGCAAAGCCGCCCTCATGAGCAGCATATGCCCCACCGGCCAGACCAGCCAGGATCGCGGTAGTCAGCTTCATAATTGGTTAGGTGAGTCGGATTTTTTTGGTTCCTTTTGTGATATGAGGGTCCGTGTCTGTTGAACAAATGAATGTGTTGTTTTGTGGACGCTGTTCGATCGTTCGTCGACGAAAGGCGAACAAGATGTTGGGAGATTCGAAGAGCCGTCGATGGATGTGGAAAAAGGGCCGGCGATGCTAATACCAGAGCACCTTGAGGGAAAGAACGGAACTCGTGGTCGTCTGAGTAGTTTGGATTCAGAAGTAACCAGGAGGCAGCAATGAGGCGGGAACTCGTCGGGACGGACCTAGCCGTGATGTGTTGCTGAAGTGGAAAGGAGCGGAAGAGGCAGAACACCGACACACAAAGTGGCAAGTCTGCCGAGAATGAATGAAAGTATGTATAGTGCTTAGCCGGCTCAGCAAGCTCAGTGCAGGAGTGGAGGGAAAAGAAAAAAAGGAGAGGAAGGGGGCGATCGGGGAGAAAACAAAAGGTGCAAGGGACAAAAGACCGGGAAAGGGCAAGAAAAAGCGGGAGGAAGGGGGAGGGGGGAGACAAGGAAGATATAACAAGGTGCGCCGGTGGTCCTGGATGGAGGCAGGATGGAAGATCCCCCCAATCCGTCCAGTTCACCCACAGGGCTTGGGGCACGGTCCTTGGCCTAGGCTATAAACCTATCAACGACAGGTATAAACCTATCAACGACAGGGATGCATGTTGTTGCTGTGTTGTACACGTGTAGTATGAAGTACGAAGTACCTTATTCTTATTCGTACTTCCCACAAAACATAAACGGTGGCGTAAACGGTGGGTCAATTAAGGATGCCTAACTTGCTCTGCCGAAAATAAGGGCCCGTTGTTGGTTGGGTCCCATTGCGCGTCGTTGCCAATTCTATCCCAAAATCCCTCGCCAAGGGGTCTAGCTCCCTCTTCCTCGCCAGGTACCTTACTTTCGCGGGTCCGGTACCTGCATTTGACACTCCGCTGCAGCTGGCACTTGATTGGTCAAAGCCAGGTTGGTTTGGGCCAACCACCATGATTCCGTACCTTGCACCATTTTCCTACAACGTAGATAAAGACAGCACTGGAAGAACCGGTAATTCGTAGAAGTGGGAGATCGGGTCGGATAGGGATATCGTGCTAGTAAGCAAGAGCCAAAGGTCGCATTACTGCGAATTGAATGTCACGAACATATATATCAAAGGAGTCGAACGTGGCGGCAACGACATCGTCAAAGGATGTAAGGAATAGAAATCAATGATTTAAACGTAACCAGCTATATCTTCCGCGACGTCTGACTGTGTAACAACCCAAAAAAAGAAATACGAGGGAAGTTATGGAGGGAAAATGACGGGGGCTGTGGTCTCGTAAGGAGTCGAAGAGGAATAGAGGGATGGATGGGTGGCTGACATTGGGGGAAACCGTAATATGAACGGTAAAGCACGGAGAGGGGATGGTAGATCTTGGCATTTATAGCCATCTCATCTTTTTATCTTTCCTTTGTTCTGTCATTTTTAAGACGTTTTGTTTCTACGTTTTGTTTCTCATCCATGCCACGCGGCCTAGTTTCAGTGGTACGTCTGTTAAACAAAAAGCAGCGAACAGACAATGCCGTGTAGAGATGGACGAGTTGTCTCGTCATCGAATTTATGGGAACACGCTCGCCTTATCACATAATGCTAAACTGACTCTATATCCGTACTTGCCTTAACTTAACTGCCGAGGTCAGTCAGATGAGGGAGGCTGGCGTCCTGCGATTCCCCCCCCCGCTTTCTACTTATGTTCAGTCTTATTATTAGCGTCGGAATGTCAGGGCACTTACATAACCTTGCCAATATTGGAGACGGATCACAGCAGTAGTGCCGGAAAGGCTCTTTCTTTTATATTCTTTCCAGTTTGGATATTTATTTTAAGTTATTTTTCTTTTTCTAAAAAAAAAAAAAAAAAAAAAAAAAACCAGGGGAGGAAAAGAAAGGAAATGAAAAAGTAGTCCTTCGTAATATATTTCTTTGTACAACGTGGTACCATTTGCGCCAGTCGAATAATTACCTAAACTCAGATGGGACGGAACCCGTGCCAAGACCAGGACAGCCTAAAGACACCCCCGTTAGCCCCAACGACATCGTCCTCGTGCGTGGCGGCGAGAGGGGCAGGAAAACGGTGAGTACACGTAGAGGAAAGAGGGGTCCAAAAAGAAAGGGAAAGGGCCAAACATATAAAGCCCTAGCGTTCTGAAACGCACTAAAGGAGTCCAGCCGCCCCGGTGCCTTGCAGGCGGGTACGGTGTACGATAGGTCCCGCCACACTGGTGGATGCTGGTCCCACTAAAAGAAACATTCCGGCACCTAGGGTTTAGGTTGGTAGAGCCCTGCCATTCTGTTGGTCCGGCTCCAATTTGTGCGGGCCTCCTTCAATCTCCAGATCCCATCCACTTGCCCATTTGATCTGATCGCCAGGCACAAGCGTCCATTTCGCGAATTCGGATCAAAACCATGTGCGGCAATAAGAAAACCCTGCCACGACGCCACAAGGCACAACCCAATTCATTCCGTCTGTCAGATGCGAGTGGATTGCACGAGTATGACTTATCAAGTCAGAATAATCCGGTGATTGAATTGGTGCACCACGTCACTTATAGGTATCGTCTAAAGGCCTCAATTCACGGACCTCGGTTGGGGGTTTTCCTTCCCCTTTGCTTCTTTTTTCTTCTTTTTTTTTCATTTTCATTTTCAGTTCTATGCATGTCGCCCTTCTGTTGAGGCTGGGCCGTCGGCATCAATGACGTGCCCCCCCTACCGGAAGGACATATACCTGTGTACTCTGTACTACTCGTACTCACCCCCATCGGACATTCATCTTGCCTTATGGGAAAATCTGCGCTTTTCCCAGTTCGACTAACCCTGATATCTGACGGGCCGTCCTTTTTTGTCCTGTTTCCTTTCTAGCAATTCTCTTCGCAAGGGGAGAGATGGAGACGACACAAAGCCTCGCGAGTCATGGGTCATGACTCGTGTTCTTTACACGCTCCTGGATGCCGTCCAGTCGCCGATTGGTCTGGCTTCGCGCGCGGTTCCACTGCTCTTCTCGGACATTCTGATTTTCCCTTTCTTCGAGAACCCCCTTCTCCCTTTAACAATGTCTACGAATGGAAAGAAATACATCTCTGACATGAAACATCATGCCCGGTGGTTGGGAGAAGAGTCCCTGTTGACGGGTGGCTAGAACATGCTGTTGTCGCATCCACCGAAGAGAAGAGAACAAAAAAGCCGCTCATCCGGCGGCTAACTTGACACACTTCCCACTGGCTATCTTCTGCAATTCGCTGTCATGAAATGTTATCCTGGCTTTGTTTTCTGGGGGTAAAACGTCCTGGCGGCACCTCTCATGTCGGGCGCATTCTTGGCCTGGCGCCTCGCCGGTGCTATTCGTCATTAAATAGTTCTGTTTCGAACGATAGATCAGCTCCCCCGAGACGAAAGCGACGACCCGACTTGCATTGTGACGGTCTGTACTGCGTCGTGACCAAAGTGACTTATTATTATCGGCATATCTCTGTCGAGTAACCGACACAAGTAACGTTCATTGGTCACTCAACTGCAGCCCCACCAAACGACTTGTCCAAGCGTGATTTGTTGTTGGGTTTCCACGCGGAATTTGCGGTGTAGCCCCGAACTTTGGATATCCTTGAGGCTGAAATGACAACACATAACCACGGAGGCCACGGAGAACTTGGCATGCTCACCTCTCTGAGCTGAGGCCAAATTGCTTGACCTACCGTATTAACCTCTATGGGGGTTCAAAACTTCAACGTTGTGAAAGCGACAGCTGCGACACCCGCCGCCCGTTATTACACCAGTACCCGATATTGCAAATCTTGCGGCTCGTTGGACGACATGGAGCTATTTCTTTCTGTGTCACCATACTTCATCCCCGCCTGAAGAAACCCGCCACCCTTTTGCATTGATATTGTTATTTTCACATTTTCACATTTTTTTGCTCTTACGCGTAACGGCGACCTCGGGAACAATGGAATATTGATATCATACTCGGTTATCACTAAGGACCATGTCAGCGCTGCTTTTTGCCCATGGCGTGCCGAAGCACTCGACGGATTTCAGCTGGGCCCAAAGGTTTTGTCCAGTTTCAAACTCCACCTGATACGTCCAAAGATCAGACAAGACATTGAAGGCTGGGAGATCAGGAGCAAGGGATGCTTCCTGCGAGTTTCCAGCCGGTTAGGTCCGAGGGTTCCCTGGTGAGGACAACAACGGTTGGTGCTGGAGACTGATTAGAGATAATCGTCTGGGGTGGTCATCGAAGCCAAACGCAGCGCGGCTATATGGGTATCACATATGAGCAAAGGACGCTCGCTCCAAGGGCAACTGGAATGCGCAAGGTCAAGTTCAGCCCTTTCGGAGTCAAAACTTTACTTTAGAATTCCAGTAACTATCTTCTTCATTACCATACAGTCGCGAACTCGCTGTATCGAATATCCCAAGATGTTCATATTAAAGTGAGTTCTCTATCTTACATATCAGGACTTGTATGTTCGCTACCTCACTAAGGCAGCAAATCTTAACAATGCACCTTCGCACACACGAAATGTTCCTGCGTCGCGCACGAGTTTTGGCAGCCCCTAGTCAATAACCAGGGTGGCAATACAAACCGAATGCCACGGACATCCCAGCTGTCCCACACAGGCCCCCATCTCAACCTTTTTGTCAAATTGTCCTGACGGGAGACTCAGACAACAGCCCATCGCGTGGCTGCCGATGTTGGCGCTTGATCCCCTTGGTCATACGCAATAGTCACGACGCTGCTCTTGACAATGCCGTCGCTGGGATTATATGTTCCGCTCCGGCGCTCGGAAGATGCAGTCGCAGATTGCTTATCCGGCTGCACGATGCTCTCCTCGCTGTCCCCTTTGGCCTGTATTGTGAACCCATACGCATCAACCTTCTTCCCAGGCTTGCTCTTACTCCGCAGCTCGACTCCACGCTGCGGCGCATCTGGATTGCTGTAATCCTGGTACTGGTGACTGCTCGATTTCGTCTTGGACCTCCAGATGCTGCGTCCCTTGGCTATCTCGAGAAGGGGGGAGAGGACAGGGATGCATGCCGCAATAATGATGAGGTTGCCCTCGATGCTGGCTCAGGATTATCGTTAGTTGACTGCGACCTGGAAGTCAGGCCAATGGGCGAGAAGCGCGAGACTCACGATGTCCAGTACAATGGGTCACATAGATCATCTTAAGCCACTGGTTAGTCTCAAGTCTAAAATGACCACGGGCCTTGGGCGAATGGGATGACTTACAGCTGACATCCGGACTTGAAAGGGTTGGCACTCCCGTAGCCTTCACGATGCCAACGCATCCAGAGCTGTTTCCATCTTAGTCGACTGGCATCCTCAAATTTCGAAGGCTCTGCCCACTTACACAAACCCCATTCCGAGAGCAAAGCTGAGCCCTATCTTCTTCTGTACGGTCATGCGCAGCCCCCAAAGCACGATTGCTGGATAGAGCGCCAGGTAGAAGTCGAGAAAAGCGGAGCATGCTATTAGTTTCGTCAGTTGGCCCCCCCTCCGAGTCACACGCGTGTTGGAAGATGCCAACTCACTGCTGGCCCAAAACGCCAAACCCTCCAGGGTCTTCGGATGCAAACAGTTCCGCGGCAGTGAAAAGTCCCAAAGAGCTCTCGGGGGTGAACATTGCAACAGCAGGGTCATGACCATGGCTGTAAGGGACAGACAGCATATGATGCCCATGGTCCATAATATGTGACGATGAAGTTTGGTGGGCAGGAGTAATCGGCCGAGGAGAGCGATGACAGCTAGCTTTGGAAATCCGAGCGTCTGAATCCCTGGCACGTATGCCGCCATCATCCACATGATTGTGTTTTGCTTTTGTTCCAAACTGAGCGTCTCGAAGTGTTTGCCATTTCCCCAGTAGACTGAGATGGTCGTGAAGATGTTGGAGACGATAGCGCAGATCTGTAGTTGGCAGTGGACTGTTAGTTGCGCTGCATGTGGTCATTTAATCTTGAGGGGTGGGTGGCCAAAACGTACAGCTGACAGGATGATCCAGTAGTCGTCGCTGAATAGCTTGCCATGAACAGCCGCCCGAACAAAAAGTCGACCCGTCACGAACAGCAGAGCAAGGGCAGTGAAGGCCCAACAGACCGCAATTATCATGGGCCCTTTATCATCCGTCATGTTGGCGACCGTAGAGTGATGAAGAGCCGAAACCTAAGGGGACGGAGGAGGGAAACAGAAAAAAAAAGTGACAGACGATGTGTGAGACTGAGGAGTATTAAATGTTTACCAAGAAGCCCGTGTCTCCGCTGTCATGGAGTCATGGACCGGCACGCTCAGGCCAGAGCGCCCATGGGCCATGGCACGAGAAAGGAATTCGTCCATCCAAGATGATCAAGGTCGAAAGACAACTGACAGAGCACGGAGATAGTCAGAACTTCGTGGATTACCCATGCGCGGAACTGAATACGCTAACCTTGTGGGAGATGAAAGATGAGATTGTGATTTTCTTGCACCGACACCGACATCCGGGATGTAGATCTTGGGAAGGTAGGGACCAGGGGTGTGTTTCTTTTACCTCTCCATAATACGCTGCTTATCCCATGTGACAAACCTTCACGGTGCAATGAAAACATGGAGCCGGGCAGAGTAACTACGACAGGCAATCCGAATAGATACCGATGCGCAGGCGAGAGCTATTAGTTGATGTCACACGTTGTTCTATGTATGTTTCCTGTGTTCGATAGAAGGCGCGGTTACGGAGAAGTGTCAAGGATTCTCTGAGCTGTGCCGGTGTCCTGGGTCGTGATCAATCACATCGATGACCAGCACACCGGTCAACGGAGCGGTTTCAGAGATAAGACCCTCATCTTGTCGAGACTCGAGATGGAAATGCTGCAAGGTGTCGCCCTTGTTCGTGCTGGTTGCAGGGCCACAGACGTGGGGACCAGCACTTGACGAAGACAATGTGATAAGTGATAAGCCGAAAGGAATCAGAGCGGTGAACGACAAAAGGCCCTATAACAGGGGTTTCTCCGGCGGCCTTCTCCTGCTTGATACCGGGTCATTAGTGATTTAGGTACGAGATGGTGTTTCCCGAGTCACTTGCCAGCTCGGGATTATTTCAATGCTTTCAATTCCTCCATCTCAGCGTCAAGCGGGTATAAGCTACTACCTACTATCCATGCATATCCATAGTCCGCGAGGTTTCTTGGTCATTCGGAGTACCTAAAGCTGTAGTTGCGTCGACGTCAATACCTAGGTAGACTCAATATTGTGGGTCAAGTTATCCTATTCGTAGACTCCCGCACTAGGGTCCGGCCTCGGCTCCGGCCCCGCTCCCCGAGTGCCAAACCCCTGCCCCGGATGCTCACCCCCGAGACCTTCTCCAGCCCGACCCTCCCCGACCCCTCGTGGCGTCCTAATAAGCGAGCTCACACTCAATGAGGTTCTCGACATCCGACTGCCCACACTTCCAGAACTTCACAATCTTCAAGTTCAACCCGCTTCCTTCGATTACTTGATACCAGTTATCCACGGTACGTTCCAAAGCCGAAAGTTGCGTCATCATCAATATGTCGCCAGCGGTGGCTTCCCAATAAGCACCTGTTCGGGGGATCACACACTCGAAGATCAACAGCTTGCTATACCCAGGCTTCATGGCTTCCGCAATGCGGGCCAATATTTTCTTGCACACATCATCGGGCCAGTCATGCAGGATGGAGTGCATGAAGTAGGCCCGAGCACCTTTGATGGGTTGCTCGGTCAAGAAGTCGTGGCCCATCCGTTCTATCGTCGGGTCGATATCCTTGACATCGTTGATGACCACCGGGAGATCTTGAAGGATTAGTTTCTGGGGAATCGGCAGTCAGTTCATGTTAATAGAAAAGCTCCAGTGAGATCTGGAGTACCGACCCCTGGGTGGTTTGGGTAGAATTTCTTGAACTCGTTAATGTCGTGCCCAAGACCACCGGCAACGTCCACCACGAGCGGTGCGTCAGGCGAAGCATCCGCACCAGGGAATAGCGTCTCCTCGACAGGGTAGAGCGAGGGGTGCATCCATGGCAAGCGGCCTTGCCTGTAGCCGCCCACTGCGAGAGAGTCGGCGTCAGTGACCGCAGACTCAGTATCAGTCCTTTGACATGACTTGAAACGACTCACTGTGATGGTTTGTTTGAGGGCCTAAACCAATGGACCGAAGATAGTCGAAACAATTTGGCAAATCGGTGTTGTAAGATGCGTGCATGGCCGTACGGGCAGCATCGGTGGGATTTTGCCATTCGGTTGCGCGGAGGAACTTGTAGAATTCGATCGGGCTGCGACCAATTCCACCGAGCCTTTGGTTTGAAGAGTTAGTTAGCCACGTGCAGCTAATTAAACACGAAAGTAAACGCGAAAGTTCAGATCTAGTTCCTGTCTCGGTCTACTTACAGGGCAACGTAGCCATCGCCGATGACGTCAAGGCTCAACGACCTGGAGAAGTTTGTGAGCTTGTACTCGTCCTGCCCTGTCTCCTCGAGGTGACCCATGGCGCAGGCGTGACGCAGCAGACGACCTGCCACATGGCTATAAGTTCCGATTTCCCTCGTGGATATGCAGATATCGATCACTAACCGAGAAGCACGGGGTCCACTCCAAGGGCACCGGCGAGATCTTCGACCTTCTGGGCTTTATCCGCGCCATTTTTGACCATGAGCTTCCAAAGCCCAATATCAACGCCAGTGATCAAAACGGCGTTGAGTCCCGGCTAATAATTCTCAGCACATGGCGACCTGGTTGGTCTCGGGAAGTGACCTACGTCGGCCCACGTATGCTGTAGCATGAGCTCACGGGGTGTTTGAAGAGACTGAACAAGGCTGCGGGCCTTGATAAACAACTCATGGCGAGTCTCCTCACCGCCGTCTTTCAGGTTCTCATGTAGAGCATTGATCTCTTCGATCAAGCCAGGCACAGCCTCGGGGTTGTTTGGGCGAGTGGCAACCGAGAGGTCAACCGCGTGAGCCATGCTGAATTATACTAATATCACAATACCCAGTGCAAGGGCAATGTGACCGGTGAAGAATGATGAGAATAACAAGCCTGGGGAGAATGCTCAACATTGTGCATGGGGAATAAACTGCAGGACTATATACTGAAGTACCTTCGGGGCTCCCCTCAGGTGCGGGACGGACTAATTGACACATCCTTGCTCAGCGCCCATGTATCTGTACGTGTAGAATCATGTTTCAGTAACCCCTGTCCATTGCCATTCACCGCTCACTCGGTAGGCTTGGTGGAGAACATATCATGCCGGCGCTGTCAAAGTTCTAGGGTTGGGCGAGTCGACCTACGGAGCCCGACGGTTCGGTTACCTATCCTACCACTCAACATCTGATAAACGCCTTTTCAGTATTCTACCACAATGTTATGTTATCAAGTGTCATGTTATCAAGCAACATGAAAGACAACTCAGTCTCACTAACCAGAACCTATAGACTATGCAGGGGATTTTAGAGCTCTTGAAGTCACCAAAACCATGCATACCCGATCAGGGACTACTGTACTAACACGTATTAGGTTGTAATAGGCCACGGTCTACACGTACAAATTAAGCTAGTCCGGATCCCAATATATTGTACAAGTAGATCTATATATATCTAACCGACTGACCTGATGGGGGGTCGGAATACCGTTTGCCCCAGTCGAAATACCATCAACTTTTTTGCACCTTCTCCCGCTTGTGTTTCAACACCCTTATAAGAGTTTTCTTTGCAGGATACCAGTACATACGACCATACCCACTGGAAAACTCGGGATCCCGTCCGCTCTCCCCTAGATAAGCCAGTGAGGGCCGGATTAGTAGTTGGGTCGGTGACGACCAGCGAATACCCGGTGTTGTATGTTTTCTTTTTACTTTTTTTTATTACATCTTAGTACTACTAGATGTTCTGGTTGACCTTGGTAATAATTAAGTTGCCTGCTCTCCCGATAAATCCGAACCGTTATGCGGTGTGGATGTCGGGTTCGCTAGTTGAACATGGAGTACAAAGTCCAAGGGGCCACAATTCTTTTTAGACACGTCATTGGAACAAACAGCGAGTGGCAGGCCCTAATAAGATCTTGCGACACAATGGATAGGGGAGAGAAGCCATGAGGCTGGCGAGAAACATTGCATGTACACATCTACTCCATCCACAACGTCTGGATTTGATGTCTTGTGGTTTCGCAGAGTCCACGTGCCATCCACAGGTACGTCAGCCAGGTACTCCGTACGCTTGGCCTGCTCATCTCCCTAGGCACCTTAGGTAATAATTACCTAATCAGTGCGCAAGTGAGTCTGTACGGTAAGGTACGGTACCTTATTAATTAAGTAAGGTACCTTTAGTACTTTGTGACCAGACGCGACCAGATCGCGAAACCACCCGCGTGTCAATACGAAAGCAACGGCTCCTACTTCGTACACACTTTATTGCCTCAAGATTTCGCAACCAAATCACGACTTCCAAGTGAATAAACAGCATTACCTTCTATTTGGAATAACACTGCGCCTCATCTAATTCCGAGACCTTCACGTCTTCACACTCGTCCAGCTCTCATCATCATGGCACGAACGAGGCGATCGCGTCCCGCGCCGTCCCGCGAACCAGCTGCCGTGAACGATTCCGAGCTGGGACAACTTCCGACAAGTGGCAGTGCCGGCAACATCAGAGACCGCCAGAACCTCAATCAGACTCAACGGCAGAGTCGTCGAACGAGAACAGCCAATACGGCCTCTACCCCTTTGGACGCGAATCACGGGGACGCACTCGAGGTCACCGGTGCCGTCCGTGATGTGGCTATGCGGAGGCTGGCCGCGGAAGACGGACCGACTTCCTCTTCCACCAACGCGGCACGCGATTCAGACGAAGGCATGGACGTGTCAGTCGAGGTCGGAAGGAAAGCGCATGCGACACCTGCTCAGCACCGCAGAGACACGACTGGGTTGGACCTCGACGACAGTTTGTTTGGTTCTCTCGACAACAGTTTCGAGCATGACGACGATGCTGCTGCTCCCCCAAGCGGTCAGCGATCCACAGACACGTCGACTATGAACACTAGTGTGTTCAGGCGTCGGGGTCGCGCACCGAGCATTAGCTTGCAGGGCAACGAGGCTCCTATCCGACCGAGCAGTCGCGGCCAGGCCACCCCTGCCATCAGCTCGTCCTTCAACATCGGCATGTTCAAGCGAAGAGCGAGGGAGCCGAGCATCTTGGGCACTGCACAGAAGGAGCGTGCAGAGAGAGCCATCGAGATTTCATCCGCGTCCAGTTCCGAAGACGAAGACGAAGACGAAGAAGACTTCGCGCCAGAGGCCGAATCAACGCCGCTCAACCGCCGAAAGACGTTGCAGCGATCCTCTCCGACCGGTCGTCTCCAAGAAACAGAAGCGTCGTCTCCTGACCGTGACTCGCGCAAGAGGAAAAGCATAGAGGGTCATGATATGAGCAGTCGCCCGGACAAGGTTGCACGAACGAGTGGACCTGATTTAGACGGGGCTCGCCACGACGCAGCTTCCGATGCGGCTTCCGACGCGGCTACCGAGGCAGCTCTCGAGGCAGCTCTCGAGGCAGCTGACAGCGATGATGATTCAAATCTATCTTCTTTGCCGTCTCTACCCTCGCCGGAGCTCCCACCCTTGCAGATGCACCGTCCGTCCACTCCCATTGACCAGGAGGCCATCATGGCACCTCCGGAGAGCAGCGGATCCGAGGAAGAGGAAGAGGACAACGCGTGGCCCGATATCCGCGAACTAGCTAAGAGAAGACGTCATCACCCGCCTGTTACTCCCCTTCGCGACGGGCATGTCTCGGACATATCCTCTCCGCCGTCCCTGACTCACTCTCCTAACAACCGCGTCACGAGGGGCCGGCAACAGGAGAAGAAGAAGAAGAAGAAACAGACACGCCAAAGCTCCCCTCACGTAACGACTGCCGTCCTCACCGACCTGCTCCCCCGACGGCGCCATGAGAAGAACCGCGACGAGCATGACGACTCCGAATCCGAACTCGACGTCTCCAGCCTCGGCAACGACGACGACGAGCTCACGTATCTCGACGCCAGGGCAACCCGACGGCGTGGGAGGACGACCCCTCACAATCGAGGCGCTCCGTCAAATGCACACAGCGCCGGCACATCCAAACCGGGCCGTCCGCGTCGGACCTACCAGCGGCGGTTTTCGGACAAGGAGAACGGAGGCGGCGAGGAGGGAGCGAGCAGTCTGACGCCGGCTCCCGATGACACGTTTGATACCGCCCAGAGCAGCGATCCCAGAAATTCCGTCGAGATCAAGAACGCTATCAAGAAGTTTAAGGAAGTCGACAAGTGGGAGCTTGCTTTTGAGGAGATGACGCAGAGTTCTTCCTCCACGACGGGCCGGTGATACATGGTGGTCATGATGTGCAGTGACGAGTGATCATGGTGACAAAAATGGGTGTCCCGGCGGGGTACGGAGAGACGGCGTTGACGGCGTTTTGAAATCCGGATCATAAGGGGGGGGGGAATGGAGGGACAGTGAATTGCGATTGATGGCTTCAAGGAAGAGCTCCGTTGGAGTTGGTTGGTTGGGATGCGCATTTGGCTTAGCTGGGTCTTGGTTCTTTTCGTCTCAAGCGATCCTCTCCTCAGTTGGTAGGCGATCTTTCAGTTGCCCTTCCGACGAGTATCTACGCTTCTCTCCGATCAAGGCATAAGCAAGCATGGTTTCTAATGTTCCCGCACGTCCCTTCGTGACCAAGATTTGTCCATCCTTTATTCGGACTGCCCCTTGGGATTTCTAAGCCTCCCAGGACCCGACCCTGAACGCCTTGCAAGTTGATGTTCTGAAAACAAGAATGGAAGATAGATACTAACATCCTGACCCATGTGGCCAGCCAGGGAGTTCAAGCCGCTAGCCTAGCCTAGCCTAACCTCTTCTATCCTCTGTTCAACAATCGGTAGCAACGGTGCGAGGATGTTGGGATCCCGTAGAGCAATGGTGATGTCGTCAGGTAACCGACCCGACATGTAGAGAGCCTGTGCGTGAGTAGTAATTAGCGAAACCGTCCCCGTCTTAATGCCTTTTGCCCTGCCCCCTGCATCTTGGTTCCCTTTCGAAAAAGCTTGCTCCCTAATGTACCCAAATACTTCTTTTGCGCGTTCGGACTCCAGACTCACCCTCTTGACGTTCTGGAAACTGTCTTCTTTGGCGGTGTACTCGCGTAGTACAATGTCTTGTGTGAAGTCGACGTAAACGCGGGTGTCGCGGACCCGCACGATGACATTGTCGAGGCGCATGAAAAGCCGACAGAGCAGCAGCATCCGGTGCTGGTGGACGCGGACCTTGACGCTGAACAGGGAGATGCCGTTGTCGTCTAGCTCGGACTCGTACAGCATCACCTCGTCGAAGAAGAGAATTGGATCCCGCCGCTTAAGAAGCTCTAGGGGGATCTTTTCCTTCGACGGCTCGAAAGCTAACCTTCCCATATTCACCTCCCTCTTTTCTTCGGCGGCGTCTTCTTTCTCTTCTTCTTGGCTGGCCCCTTTCCCGGTCTCACGACAAGCGTTGCCCGATGGCACGTCCAGGGTACCGCAATAGTCGGTGGAGTAGCTCCAATCGTACGGCTTGACCACCTCGCGGATGCCGGCGGTGGTGTTCATGCGGCTACTTGACCAATCCCGCGCGTAGGCGACTTGGAGCATGTTGCGATCTGTCTTGTCGACGCGATCGAGGGCGTCGAGTGCTTCGAACCGTAGGCACCACCCTGTAGGTTCGTGTGTGATAGAGACGAGGTTGTCGCCGAAGATCATCTCTGGGACCGGGATACGCAGGCGTTCGGTCATCTGATCAATGGGACCAGCTTTGGAAATGGGGAGTTTGCGAGTCGATATGACGAAGTTTCCCTGCTTGTGCCTCGTTGTCGCCGCGGCGACGGCGGCCGGAAGGGACGGGGTTGCAAAGAATCCGTTTGAGGAGTGTATCGGGTCCATGGTTGCCTCTAGTGGTATAGTATTATTAGCTGGCTCGGTAGGATGAGCGGACAATGCTGGAGATGGTCAATTGTGCGAGCTGAGGACAAGATCTCTAGAGATTGGGACCGCGAGTGAACGGGTGGCTTCAAGATTTAAGATCTCGAGACTGGGCCAAATATAGGGAGAGTTATGAAGCTCGAATCCGACACGGAGCTTTTGCCTGTTTGCATGGCGTGGGTGCAAGTGCAGTGCAGGTAGGACAAGAATACAACATTGAGTGGGAGTGGGGGTGCGCGTAACGGCCAAGACGTCGGAGGGTCGAGGAGGGGTGATTAGCACCCTCACCGAGCATTCACCGAGGCACCGTCCAAAAGGTCAATTCACCTAGGTACTCAGTACGGAGTACAGGAAAAAAACCACCACAACTCTTATTTGTACGGATATTGTTTCAAAGGTCAACAAGAGAGATAGCTCAATTACAGAAGGGCCAAGGTCAACCAATTGAGTTTGAACAACGGGAATAGGGGTTGTGTGTTGACTTTCCTGTTCCGCTTCAATCCAAATATGGTGTATGTGTACCTATCTCGCAGAGGATTGTGGTTGTCTGAGGTGATTACGTCTGGAGTCTGATTACTCATCTCTTGCACGGTGTTGCCCCGACAACGCTAACGCCCTGACCCAAACATTCCGCCGGGGCAAGGAGGCAAGCTTCGAATCTCCAACCGCAGATCGCTCCATCAGTATTTCTACTTCCAACAAGCACTGTCCAGCAAGAATCCCTTGTCCACCTCAAACTCATTCGGCCGAGGAAATACATCTTCTGCAGAGGCATCAAGCTGCTATCGACATTTCTATTCGCATCTTTCGCAACTTGAACGCACTATATCGCCATGGCGACTCGAACTCTGGAGGCGCGCTTCGAGCGTATGTCAGTCGCCGATGAGAATCATCTCGGGGACGGACCTAAGGCGTACTCAAAGATCACACAGGTATGGGCTTATGGGCTGCACTCTATCCTTATTTGTTCAGTTATCACACTGTCTCGCTGCTTGCTTACACGGAAGATGGGCTATATAGGTTGCTGGCTCGTCCAAGACCGCCCAACTGGCGCCAAGTTCTACTAGACCAAATCTCGTCAAAGTCGCGTTGCAATCGCAAAGCACAAACGCCAACAGCATAGCATCGGTTACACTACCATCCCAAGCAGTGCAACGAAAGCAAGCATCGCCCACCCGGAAACCTCTCCCTTCCTCCCGTCCTTCAGACGACGATTCCTCAGAGGCAGATGCCCGCAAGGCTGTGACTGCTGCCGCTACCACCGTCTCAATCCTGACCGAACCCATGGTAGCCAGGCAGTTCCATCTGGGCATGTTCGAGATTGGCAGGCCACTTGGCAAGGGCAAGTTCGGCCGAGTATACCTGGCACGTGAACGGACGAGCGGCTTCATCTGCGCCCTAAAAGTCCTGCACAAGCACGAGCTCCAGCAAGGCGGCGGCGTAGAGAAGCAGGTGCGCCGCGAGATCGAGATCCAGAGCAACCTGCGCCATCCCAACATCCTCCAGTTGTATGGACACTTCCATGACAGCAAACGGGTGTTCCTGATTCTGGAATTTGCGGGCAAGGGCGAGCTGTACAAGCACCTCCGGCGTGAGAGTCGTTTCCCCGAATGGAAGGCGGCGCAGTACATCGCGCAGATGGCCTCCGCCCTTCGCTATCTGCACCGCAAGCACGTCATCCATCGCGACATCAAGCCGGAAAACATCCTCGTGGGGATCCACGGCGAGATCAAGATCTCTGACTTCGGATGGAGTGTCCACGCCCCGAACAACCGCCGCAAGACCATGTGCGGCACGCTCGACTACCTGCCCCCCGAGATGGTCAAACCGGGAGGTTCCGATAACTACTACAATGAAAAGGTCGACCTCTGGAGTCTCGGTGTCCTGACCTATGAGTTTCTCGTCGGCGAAGCTCCTTTTGAGGACACGCCTGTCATGACGCAGAGGAGGATCGCACGGGCGGATATGAGCGTTCCGTCGTTTGTCAGTCCAGAAGCTAAAGACCTGATCAAGAAGGTAAGTCCTCGTTCTCTCACTCACTCCATTTCTCTTCCCTTTTCAACCTCTACCAATGCTAATTTTCCTCGCAGCTTCTTGTTCTGGATCCGGAAAAGAGAATCCCCTTGGAGCAGATCCAGACCCACCCCTGGATACTAAAGCACTGCGTCAAGGGAGAGCGAGCCACGGAACGGCAGAAGTACTCCACGTAGAAAGGTGCTAATGAACCTCATGAGTGATGATGCATCATCCGAGCAAGTTGGATTAGCCAGTACAAGGCTCCCTGGGTCCTTTGATTTGGAGATCAACCCTGTAGGATTAATGGCGTTGGCAGCGTTTGGCAGTTGTTTCTTCCATTCTATTTTCCTTTCCTTTTCCTTTATCCTTTTTTTCACTTTTTTCTTTTCTTTCCCCCCTAGCGCTCCTCGTCCCATCGTCCCAGCTGAGGGTTAGGAGACAGGAGACAGGAAGAAGGGGGGAGGTTTACGTGCATATTTCTGGAGTTGGGTTCATTACAGCTAGTCTGCCTTCCATGAGCATTCAAAAATATTGAGATGATATATGCCATCTTCCCGATGACTCTCTTCCATGCGTACGTATATCTATTATCATCCAGAAATGTCCAGCAGTAATCATGCATCACAGCGTAATTGTTTGGTCGGGGTATTATCGTCTATCGTACAAAGCTCCGGTCGATCGAGGACAACTTTGATCACCTGTACACCTCGTCAAAGGGCCTCGTGTCGGAGAAGCACGAGTCCCACACTTGGTTGACGACTTTTGTCGCCTGCACGTCGTTTTTACATCTCGGTCGGTTGAGGACGGACTGAATAGCCCTGCTGCGGACGCAGTCTTGGAACCCCTGAGAAAGCTTCCAGTTCCCCCTGGTGAACGCTTCTCTTGTCCACCTGCACTCCCCGCTCAGCATCGAGGCGCGGATCTGTTTGTTCAAACAAGTTAAGGTTAGCGTCCATTGCGCCGTGCGTGACGTGCTCACACCCAGTGATATCGTACCTCGGTACAGGCGGCATGCTTCAGGTCGAGGTCGCCCATCCAATCGACTTGCCAGCGCAGATGGTCCCAGGCATGCACCATCTCGTGGGCGAGGGTGTCTTCTAGATGCTTCCGGTCACGCATCTCGTTGGCGCAGATAAGGATGCCGTGGGCGGGGCTGAAGCCGCCACCCTGCCGGTGAACTTTACCGTCTTCGGTCAGGCGCGCGGGACACCGACGGCAGACGACATTAGTCTCGTCCAGGCGGCCGTTGAGATCCTCGATCTTTTCGCGCATGAAGCGGACGATGGGCGAATAGGCAAACAGCCAATCTCGGTCCGTCTCGCAGCGGCGGCAGTCACGCTCCTCGTGGACACGGTAGCGGTGCTCGCGGTAGTGGAATACGCCTTCAGGGGTCATGTTGCCCGAGAGGATCTTGAAGTAGTTCATCCACCATTTTGTCTTGGGATCGAAACCCGTCCGCGCTGGGTCATTTCGTAGTTCGCGAGGTTCGTTTGATGGAGAGCTCGTCGTGGAGGTTGATGCATTGGCAGAGGTGTCGGGCTTGGGAGGAGGAGCGGCGGGCGACTCGGTGGGAGCCATGGCTTCCCTGCGCTTCTGGAAGCAGTAGAAAAGAGACGGCAGTATTGCCCTCCAAAGAGAATATCAGGCCCAATCGTTCGTGATTCGGTATAGTGTACGGTATTCGGTGATGCTCGGTGATACTCGGGGTCAACGTTACTTTGCTTACGATGGTTGATGGAGCGCCAATTTGATCCTTCCGTCCACGGCTCGGAACACAGGCCCGTCCCTCCAATTTTTCCTCCGGGCAAACTAGGGATGCCCGGCAACCATCCGGGGTAAGGCTAGTACCTATGTAATATTGTGACAGTCGTTGTCAACTGGTCCGAGCAGGGAAGAAAAAAGCGGGGGGGAAAAGCGAAGAAAAAAAAAGCGGAAAAAAAAGGGCCCAACAAAGGAGAGGCCTCAAAAACCAAGGGTAAGGGGCCCGCAATTTCTTCCCCGCTCCTCACATGATTGCCAAGTAACCTAAGGTAAGGTACCTTACCTGATATTGGTGTACGTTGTATGGATACGTACCACCGAGGTGATCGTCATACCTATTACGGAGTAGCAGGTTTCGTCCGAGCACCGGTCTTCCGCCACCCCCTGTTCGGTCTTCCGGGTCTTCTTTAAACCCTTTTTAGATTAGATAATCCACTATATCTCCACTACTCGAAATTATATAGGTTTTATATAATAACGCGCGGTAGTTCTACCTATAGAGTAGTAGTAGTAGTAGTAGTAGTAGTAGTAGTTACTATAGTTATAGTAATAATAGTACTAGAGTAGATATTCTAGTTACGGCTAGAGGGGGGAGTATAATAGCTTTAATAGTCGACTAATATAATTATATATATAGCTTTCCTTATACTATTTCTTTCGATTATATTTATATATATCGAGAAACCTAAGAAACCCGCCTAATTTCGGGTAGTGGAGGTATAATGGATTTTCTAATCCATAAAGGGCTTAAGAAGACCCGGAAGACCGAACAGGGGGTGGCGGAAGAACGGTACTCGTTTCTTCCCCAGCCCCAGGCCCAGTGGAGTCCTGCCGTGCTTGGCCATGCTTCCTTGCGTTAGTGCGCTCGTGCCCAATCCAAGGATTTAATTGGCCTGAAAGCCCACAAGGCTTTACTAGGTCCATAATCGAATGGAAGCCCCGTTTTTGGCCCACTTGTTGTCCACTCCAGGTGAACCTACTGTTTCATGCCCGATACATTGGTCGACTTCATCCAAATTTGTCAGTGAAAATATGGACCTCACGCAAGACTCGGCAAGCAACTCGCTACAACAAGCACCAAGGATTCGACTTTTCGACATCTGAAGATCCATAACCCTGCATATTCTTACGCGAACGCATCACTACTCACTCTAGGCAGCGGGTATAACTTGCCTGTTCAGAACCATGGAAGATGATGTCGCCACAGACTGTAAGAGAGCCCACGCCCTCCCATGTTCAAGGATGCTGCTCGACCTTGTTACATAGGTAGCTTAGTTCTTGTTCCCTCGTTTCCTTTTGTCCGCTCACTTGGCTTTCTGTATTCCCAAGTTCCTCAGTCTTGAAGAAAACTCTGTGACGATTTGCTCCGTCACCAGGCTTCGCGAAGCAAATGTGCAGTTATTACTAGAGGAACACCTGTGCTGATTCAAGACGACCCTTACCTATCAACAGCCATGAGGAGTCCGAGGCCCCTGACCGTGGTCATTAAGCTGGGTAAGTCAAACTCCGTGGTAGCTTGGAGCTCTTCAGAAAGCTCTCCGAGAAGCTCCCTGACGAGTTGGTACTGTACTGACACAGGGTTTCCCTACAGGAACCAGCTCCATCGTCGATGAAGAGACACATCAGCCTCTCCTATCGGTCCTTACCTTGATCGTCGAGACAGCGGTCAAGCTGAAGAATGACGGACACAGGGTCATCATTGTCTCCTCCGGCGCCATTGGCGTTGGTCTCCTCCGCATGGAACTGGAAAAGAGACCAAAATACCTGGCCGGACTTCAGGTATGTTTCCAGTACATTGCCCATGGTCGTGGTTTACAAGTCTCAACCTAACATCACACTTCACTTGGCAGGCTCTTGCGGCCATAGGTCAGTGTAGGCTCATTAGCCTCTGGGACAGTCTTTTCAGTCACTTCCGGCAGCCTGTGGCACAGATCTTGCTCACAAGGAACGATATTGCGGATGTGAGAACGAACCCTTACACCTCGGCTAAACGGCTGTGTCACTAACATGCTTACAGCGGTCGAGATATTTGAATGCCCAAAATACGTTCAATGAGTTGCTCGACCTCGGCGTCATCCCAATTGTCAACGAGAACGACACACTCGCCGTATCCGAGATCAAATTTGGCGACAATGACACCCTCTCTGCCATTACTGCCGGCATGGTTCATGCCGACGTCCTCTTCCTGATGACCGATGTTGATTGCCTTTACGACAAGAACCCCCGACTGCATCCTGACGCCAAGGCGATCGAAATTGTGGACGACATTTCACAGCTCGAAGCGGATGGTAAACATTCCCTTGCTCTTCCTGGCACACCTCCTTGTTCCTCCCCTTCTTTCTTGCGGCGGAATGGTGCGCTGACCCGCTCATGTCTCCCTAGTCTCAACCGCGGGCTCTGCTCTCGGCACCGGAGGCATGTTGACCAAGATCGTGGCAGCTCGTCTGGCTACGTCAGTCGGTGTCACCACCATCATCACCCGCTCCTCTAACCCCGGGAACATCGTCAAGATTGCTCGCTACGAACACGCCCAACGCAACATTGCGCGTCTCAACTCAGTCGCATATTCGGATGATAGTAATCACGAGGATCTCCTATCCCAGTCCACCGCATCCCTACGCCTAGACCGGCTCGAGAAGCCGCCGTTGCACACCTGCTTCCTTCCTTCCTCGGAGCCTATGCGTGATAGGCACTTCTGGCTCCTTCACACCGTCAGACCCAACGGTACCGTCTTCATCGATGGCGGGGCCTACAACGCCCTACTCAAGAAGGCGGGCTTGCTCCCTGCTGGCGTCGTCGACATTGAGGGCACCTTCTCACAACAAGAAGCCGTTCGGATTGCAGTCGTCGATAGGCTGCCTATGGCGGCCCCGGATGGCCGGCTCTGGACCGGTACCCCGCTAGAGGTAGGCCGGGCCATCGTCAACTACGCCGCCCACGAGGTGGCACGCATCAAGGGGCACCAGAGCTCCGAGATCAGGAGCTTGCTCGGATACGCAGACAGCGAGTACGTCATTGAGCGGCAGCACATCAAACTGTTCGCCAGGGACAGCCAACCGCCGACTCCCACTGCGGAGTTGGTTAGAGAGCAGACCGACGGTCTCATTGTAGGGATCACAGGGTATGAATTGAAGTCTGCTGTCATGTAGCGAGCGATCAGACGCTTTTGTCATTTCGTAGATCATTGGTTATGTTCGAAGGACTCTTTCTTTTGTCGCACTCTTTTCTTCAGATCGAGGAACGCAAGCTCGTGTGGCGATCAAGCCACCGACGCCTGGTTGAGCGGATTCCCCCTTGGTATATACGTGGTCACTTTGCCGCACATGCTTTGCCATCTACTCAGAGCACAGACATAACGCCAACACATGAGAAGTATTAAACTAGAAACTCATGAAAATATCATGGCCTCAAATGGCCAAAGTTACTATGAAAAACATTTTTGCCAGTACTTTCCTCTGGATAGTTTTGATACTCCTCGAACGCCGGCCATGCAAGTTCCTCCCAGGAGCGGCACCTATGTCCAACCATCTCATCTCTTTTTCGTAGCACTCTATGGGCCTTCAACCTGAGGTGAACAGGTTGTCTTCATCCCGGACGTACTCGCCGCAATCCGCCTGCCTGAAACACACTATTCCGGTGGGAGCCAACCGTTTCGCCTCCGCCGTACTGCGAGCCGTTACACCGAATCCAATAGGAACGTCCTGCATGTTGTACACCACTACGCCCTGATGCTCGGGGCAGTCATCCGACCATCTCCCAACGTGGGCCTTCACTACGTGTCCGCCGTAGAGGAAGGGCATTTCGCCATTGGGTTTAAGCCACAGTTTGTAGCGTGCGTGGCTTGCCAGAATGTCGAGGGCTGTGATGTGAAGTCTGAACTTTCCTGTCTTGGTAATCTTGCCTAAGAATGGGGGAGAACGGAGAGTATGTTAGTCGGGAGCAGGGGGGTTATTATAGGGGATGCCTGGGGAAGGAGCTCACCAAGACATGTCCCAACGGAGAGGAGCTTGTCTCTGGCTATGGACGTAGCGAGATTCGCGATCGACAGGAGCACATAGTACACGCGATCCTTCTGTATTCTGAGGACGAACCGGTCGCCGTTCGGTAGCGGCGCAATGAGGTTCTTCAGCGAGCCGCCGGTATAGTTGGCAATCTTTTCGAAGACGGTACGCGTCTCGTCTTCTGTAAGAGGTCGCATCTTGACGACAGTGACCGACTGTTTAAGTGATTCAGGATGGGCTGGAGGGTTGGAGATGGGAGCTCCGAAGTGGGATGTCGCTGTTCCTGACTTCTGCACCACGGCAGAATCGAAAAATTTCGAGCGGTGAAAGGCCAAAGCTAGGTGAGGGTCCAAACAGGGGACTTTATCGATAAGCACCATCTCACAACAATCTGCTTAGGTAATATCGGGACACGGCGGTCCCAACCACCGATCTGACAGGGATCTGGAGAGACGTTTTTCGGCGGTGACCAAAAATTTCGTACAGATCTCTCCCACCGAAGAGAACGACCAACGTTGCGTAAACGACGAAATACGCCAATCCATACCACCAAACATGGCTTCCCGAGCGCCCAAGCGGCGCAAGCTCACGCCGCCTCAGTCGGACGACGAACGTCCCGTCCGGTCCTCTAAGAGCATCCAGAAAGCTTTCTTCAAGAGCGCCGTGACCTGGGATCTCGAGCAGGACTATGAGACCCGAGTGCGGAAGGGAAAAAAGCCCAAGAAAGAAAGCACTAGACTGCCTATCAAGACTGCCGACGGCAGGCTCCAGCAGTCACAGCTCCAGGACGACGAGGACGACGATGTGGGGTCAATCGACTCGGACGTGGAGGTCGAGGACGATATCGTTGTGTCGTCCCCGGAGCCGGAGAGGCATGTCCCAGAGGAGCCCCAAGTGCCTGAGCGCGAACAAATCCGTCAAGCGCAGGAGAAACTGGCTAAGTTTGCTACGGACATGAGCGAGAACCCAGAGGAGCACTTTGCTGCCTTTCGGAAAGGAATGGCCGAGTTCGCCGAGTCCAAGATCATGTCGATTCAGAAGTTGGCGTTGGTGACCCAAATGGCCGTTTACAAAGACATCATTCCGGGATATCGCATCCGGCCGCTCGCCGAGAAGCAGCAAGCTGAAAATGTCTCCAAGGAGGTCGACAAGCTTCGAAGCTACGAGCAATCTCTTATCAAGGGGTATCAGACCTACGTCAACCTGCTCACAAAGCATGCCAAAGCGGACCACCCGTCTTCCCGAAGGAAAGGACAGAGCATCTCCAGCATCGCGATCATGTGTGCCTGCAGTCTCGTCAAAGCCGTCCCACACTTCAACTTTCGCACCGAACTCCTCAAGATCCTTGTGGGCAAGCTCAGCAAGCGCACCATCGACGCTGATTTCGTCCGTTGCCGCAAGACTCTCGAGAACCTTTTCCGTGATGACGAGGAAGGCCGGCCGTCCATGGAGGCGGTTTCTCTTCTCTCCAAAATGATGCGAGCCCGCGACTACCGCGTCGACGAAGCCACCATCAACCTCTTCCTGCACCTGCGCCTCCTGTCCGAGTTCACCGGCAAGGGCTCGCAAGACCGCATCGACAACCCGGACGGAGAATCGAAGAATTCCAAACAGCAGAAGAAGCACGAGCGGAAGAAGTTTCTCAACAAGCGTGAGCGTAAAGCGCTCAAGGAGCAAAGGGCCATCGAAAAGGACATGGAGCAGGCCGATGCGCTCGTCAGCCACGAAGAGCGAGACCGCATGCAGTCGGAGACGCTCAAGCTCGTCTTCGCCACTTATTTTCGTGTCCTCAAACTGCGTGTCCCCCACCTCATGGGTGCTGTGCTGGAAGGGCTGGCCAAGTACGCCCACCTAATCAATCAGGACTTTTTCGGTGACCTGCTGGAGGCGCTCAAGGATCTGATCAGACACGCGGAAGAGGATGCGGAGGGCGAAGGTGACGAAGGTGACAATGTCCAACAAGACGACGACGAGGAGGAGGAGGACGACGACGATTCAGCCGTGCGAAACACGTCCCGCGAAGCCCTCCTTTGCATCGTGACCGCGTTTACCCTCCTTGCCGGCCAAGACGCCCACAACGCTCGCTCCACCCTCCACCTCGACCTCTCCCACTTCACGACCCACCTGTTCAAGTCGCTCTACCCTCTATCCCTCAACCCGGACCTCGAACTGACTTCCCACACCCTTCGCGCCACGGACCCCAACTCTTCGGCCGACCAGGAAGATGATGATCCTTCCTCGTCAACCAAGGACGACGACGCATCCCCGAGAGTCAACGTCCAAACCACAACGGTCCTCCTCCTCCGCGCCCTGACCTCCGTCTTGCTGCCACCCTGGAACATCCGCTCCGTGCCGCCTCTCCGCCTCGCCGCATTCACAAAGCAGCTCATGACTACCTCTCTGCACATGCCCGAGAAGTCGACCCAGGCAGTACTAGCTCTCTTGCAGGACATCACGCACACGCACGGCAAGAAGGTCGCCGCGCTCTGGCGCACCGATGAGCGCAAGGGCGATGGCGTCTTTAACGGCTTGAGTGATAGCGTCGAGGGTAGTAATCCGTTCGCGACGACGGTGTGGGAGGGCGAGATGCTAAGACTTCATTACTCGCCTAAGGTGAGGGAGACGATCCAGGTTCTAGAAAAGAGCGTGTCCAAAATATAGATGGCTGAGGGAAGACGGGGGGCTACGGCAGGCAGGAGCGAGAAGAAGGAGGCAGACGAGGGACCCATAGAGCATAGGCTTCATCCACTAAACTTGTGTTTTACATGGAACTACCAGTATCAACCGATGGGATGTGGATAACGTGTGGGAAATTGTTCGGTCTGTGACTCCCAACTAGCTCTATCGCGAAGTGCGAAGCTATTGGCAGCACCAATATGTAAAATCTCCCTTTGTCATTGCTCTCCATGTTCCCACCGATTTTCTCCAGTCCATCAGATATGGAAGCTTCCCATATCAAGATCGCACACCCAAGCTACATGTGTCTCATGTATGTGGATCCAATACGCCCACATCCTTGTCGGCCTAAGCATACTTTGAGTCCGCTAGACCCTTGCGACGCTTGATGTTCTCCTTACCCTCGGTCGCCAAAGACGCGCGGACGGGGCGTTCCTGGTCTGCATCCGGACTCTGACCGGTAGCAGGGCTTTCCCCGAAATTGAAAGGGTAGCACTCAGTGAGTAGCCGGCGAGTAGGACAAGTCTCCCTGTGTGATTGAATCAAGTCAAATACAGCAAGATGCTGTGCTTGTCCGCTAGTAAGGACCGTCTGGTCGGCTCTGGTTAGTAGGCTTTGGGTCACATCAGACTTCTGACCCACGCCTGGATTCGAGCCGTTAAGGTACAAGCTGCACCCGCAGCGCGATTGTTCAACGGCCATGGTGAGTCCCTCGACCTTCTCCTTCATTCGTCCCGGAAGGGAAGCTTTCCGACTCCTTGCATCAGGTAAGTTAACAAGCCTTGGACGGCCTCCTGGGAAATGACCCTCCGGGTCCTCTTTTCAACTTCCCGGGAGATCCTCTCGGCACCCTTTTGGGTGTTGTGCTCAAATTTCTCCTGCGTGGAACGCTGAGTTCCTACATGACAAATCTCGTGAGACGGTTCTACAATAACACCCTGCTTGGTTGGATGTAAAATGTTCAACTGAGAGAGGTCGTCCGAGAGCTTTCGGAGTTCAGGACCAGTCTCGATAGGGGAGTCCAAGAACGATGAGTGGCTCGTTGGCTCTGGATTAGCTTGAGAGGCCTGAACCTGGCGGACAGCGGTAGGTAGTTTGGATTCAGTAGACCAGTTCAAGTCAATAAGATCTTCCTCATGGATATGGTTGACTGTCTCGGAACCAGCAACAGAAGTTTGGTTTATGGTTGCAGTGGCAGGGTTGCTCTCTCCAAAAGAACATCCCAAAGCGCCTCGATCGCTAGTAACTGGGGTCACACTCGAGGCCGGATCGCAAATAGTCGGTTGGGGAGGAGTATTTTCCGAGCGGCTGCCACAATTCGAGGGGTCTATATGCAGCCTCGCCGACTGCTGGATGTTCCTGCCCACGTCTCTCCTCCTCTTCTCTGCAGCAAGAATGGCATCCACGTACGCGTTCGCCTGAATAGAGCGAGAGCCAGAGGCAGTCATATTTGTAGAGTTTCCCGTAGAAATATCTTGAGCACGTCAGCGTATACCTCAACGAAAGGGCATCTGAGCTGATATTGCTGCAGATATTGCACCATGACTGTAGAAGTGCAACTAGAGACACACTTACGGCGGGTCTCCCTACAGGAAGAGGAAGATCTAGAGGAAGCAATACTTCCATAGCGGGCGGGAGCCGGGACTGGATCAGTTCGTCCCTTCTTCTTGATTTTGCTGTGCGAAGAGAACTCCCGCAGGAGCGCTTTGGCGGCTTCCATCCGCTGACGATGGAGGTCGTCATCTTTTTGAGAAGCCATGGCGGACAGCGGAGGTAGTACCGGCCGTTAAAAGAAACGGAAAGAAAGAAAGAAAGAAAGAAAAGAAAGACGAACAGAGGACGGAGCTCAGAGGGTCAGGCAGGCTGATGAGCTCTCAGTTGACTTGACGCGCGAAGACAGAAAAGACGTCTTGTGGAAGTCCCTGTCAAAACGAGCTGCATAAGATAATCAGTCCTTGAGCCTGATATTCGGAATAGACTGGCAGGCTCGAGTGTTCAAGAGACGAGAGAGAGAGAGAAACATACTGTGAAGGACAGGCGTCAGCTAGGACCGTCTCTGAGTTGAGCATGGCTGCTTCTCGTATATTGGTGTTTATTTGACTGGATGGGAATCGGTCTTAGGAGGTGCTTCGTCAAAGGAGATATAAAAGCCAGGACTTTGCAGATTTCTTCTCCTCGCGACGTGAAGATGAAGATACCAAGCTGGAAGTCTGAAGAGAAAAAGCCACTTCTAGGATACCAGGAGGTCCAACTGAATAGTTCTTCTGTAGAAGATCTACCTTACCTACCTTACCTTAGGAAGTTACCTGCTGCCCAGGTAACTACCTTACCTTTGCTTAACAGCCTGCGAATCGTCCCCGTGTAACTAAGGTAAGGTACCTTAGGTAGTGCGGTTCTCATCTAATACACACAAAGCAGGTAGGTACTTAACTCCTTTGTAAAAACTGGATTCTTTTGTATTTTCCAGGTTCCTCCTTGAGAACCTGCAAGGGAAGGTGTTTCCGACTCGATTCTTTACGTCCCTGCCTAAATTCACCCCGTTGTAGTAGAATACCGTCGACTTGGCAAAGGCTAAGGCATGGGCGGAAAGCACGACATAACTGGACCCGTCCCTGCTTTGTACCTAAGGTAAGGTAGGTTAGAGGAGAAGGGTTCTGGCAAGGCAGGCAAACCGGGGTCTGCTATAGGTTAGGCAGGCAGGCACATAATTGATTTCCGTGAACGAGAATCTCCGAGAGTGTAGTATGGTCTATCTCAGCCTTTCTTCTTTGTTCATTCCATCTGGATCGTCTCAATAACCTGCTCATCCCAAAGAAACCTCTAATTCCATCGTCTTGATATTGAGATGAGTCGAGATAAGATAGCATTTCGTTTCAACGAGCGCAGCACCGGGGTGATCCAGAAGCTGTAGACTGAGCAGGGACATCGTCTCTGGATTCCGATGGAACCTCCATTGCTCTGGGATCACATCATCAACCGGTGCTGCTTCTGCCCGACAGTGATGCAGGACTGGGTCCACCCAGCTACCCTTCCACCGCGTGGTTGTGTTAATAGTATAAGGCCAGGACGCGCAAATCGGTTCTGTGGACCCCGATATGCCCTCAAACGGACGCGACCCGCCAATTTTGAAACGGAAATAGACACTGCACATTTTCTGAGGAGTATCTCCCAACCGTCAAGCGTGACAGCCAAGAAAAACAACTACGTGGGTTAGTCAAAGCCCGTATACATCATTTTTGAGTTGTCGGAAACTGGGCTTCCGTCGTGTCCTGTTGTCCAAGGATGTGCCCTCACAGGCCATCAAAGTTAGAGTGAAGCGGGGGTTGCTAGCAGCATAGCTTCAAGCCAAGTCACTGCTGAGATGTCTTTTGGATGGATACCATCTTCTCTTCAGCCACTAAGCAGGTGTGGCGATATTCCGCGCTCTCGGCCTCCTGGAGCCAGCGAACCACGATGGGCGGGACGCAATCCCGAACATAGTCGATAAGTGCCTGGGACATGGGGGCCCCCTGGCGAATGCCGACAGAAGAGACTCTGGAGATACCAAGGCTTGCACTCAATCTGTCGGCACATGATTTCGAGTAGCCAACCAACCGAATTGGCGACGCCGACGGCAACACCCGGGAGGCGGCAGCTACCATTTCCGGGAAATGGCTCGTAAATGCAGAAGGATACCCCGATCGAGCGATAAATATGACGGCGTAAGGTTGTTGGGAGCTATCAGAATCCGAATCGAGATCCAACTCGGGGGCGGGGAGCTGAATCGGCTGATTATGCTGCGATACTAGTTCCTGGAGCGTCCTCGTAATGCTGGATAGTCCGACATCGACAAACGGAGCTGTCTCGGGTGGAGGTGGTTTAACGATCGGAGGCCTTGCCGGCTCTCCATCTGGTTCCATTTTCCGCTTCCGCTTTCTTGATCGCTTCCCCTTAGATGGCTGCTTGCTCCGAGCACACTGGCCGAGGGGAGCAAGAAACCTAAGCAGTGAGGTAAAGTTAGCTGGTGGATTTTGGGACGAAGGTCATCTCTTGGCCAAGTAGCGTAAGCCACTCATCGGCGGTACAGGCGTGCGTGTCGGTTATTGGAACCTTACACATCACATGAAGACACCTCCTAGTGCGTATGGTATGGCACGTACCGACAAAGAAGTTCGAGTATAGCCTCCTGATTATCGGTGGATATGTCCGGCCTAGAAGCCGTCAGCAAGTTACTAAATGCTATCTATCTTACGGACAGGGCGTCAAGTCGTACCATGGAGTTGCGCTATAGGGGGTGTCGACCGAGTGAACCACCTTCTTGCGAAGGGATGCGGTGGCTGCGCTCTTCATTTGGGAATTGGTCGGTTGCATGTTTGTTCGAAGGTGCTCGTATTACAGAGAAGGTACAAAACTATCGCGGGTGGATTTCAAGAACGAAGCTCTAGAGCTCCTTGCAGGGCCGAAAAAGAAAAGAAAAAAGCAAGGGGGTCAAGACGCTAATTTTGGAAGTACATAGAGGTATTGGCTCCAGCGAAATATTGCATGGCAGAGGTAAGATCATGCATCAAGGTACCTATAGTGACCTGTTGCGTATAATCACGTGACTATACAGCCAGTCAGGCAGCAGCCCTTGATATAGCCAGAGCTCTTTCAGGGATATTGGAGACTTATTCTTAGCGTCCTTACCTTTCAGCTGGCGGTGAACCCTCCCCCCGAGTGAGATACTGTGACGCTAAGAATATCTCACGAAGCAGAATGGAGATCGCATTCGCCGGCCAGCTGTTCTGACTTCGGAGACTCACTTAATTCTAATCTCGAGACAACTTGAAGGACTTGATTTGTTACGACGATATAATAGCTGACATGACGGAATCGAAGGACGAAAGCTGGTATAAGAAAAAGCAATATAAGCCGCCCAAGGAACAGTACCGGTTTTGAAGACTCCCAAGCCGGTTGAAGGACGTTGATCGCGGGTTGTTGGATATGCCACGATGGTGCCATCATCCGCAATCAACTTCCTGAAGATTCCTGCTCCTTCCACCTCCGATTGATCCTAGTATTTTGCCAGAAGCGCCATACTGCCACGACCACCGCCAGTGGGGGGCACCCCAGGAGCAACCAATTCCACCACGATGGGTTCGCAGCCCGGAGTTGGCTGATGGCCAATCTAGTATCTCGTTCCAGGTCTTCCTTCGACCCATCATTCCACAGGACTATGCCCTTGCCTGGTCCCCGGGCCTCGCACCGCCGCGCCTTGAACCGCACGTCTGTCTGGCTGACGACGCGGTTCTGGGCATCCTCCTCACTGAGATGCGGGTCTCGGTCTCGCAGCCTCGCCATCTGCACCGCGGAGTCCTTGACAGCGACAACGATCACCGTGCCACAGATGCGATCCATTCCGGACTCGAAGAGCAGCGGCACGTCAAGCACCACGGCCCAGTGGCCCTGTAGGTAGTATCGCAAGAGGGCCTTATACATCTCCCTGCGGACGGCGGGGTGCACGATGCCATTGAGGATGGCGCGATCTGCCTTGCGTTCGGGACTGTCACCGAATACCCTCCGCCCCAGTGCCGGACGGTTGAGTGGTCTCCCCTTACCGTCCGGCCCCTGCTCCGGCATGGATTTGGAGGTGGGAATGAGGAGATCCGGGGCCGTAGGGCCAAAGTGCTTCAAGATGGCATTGTAACCGCTGGTGCCCGGCTCAACCACTTTGCGCGCCAGGATATCCGCGTCAATAATAGGCAGTGATTGTGGCGCGCCAGAGAGTATGGACGAGACGGTTGATTTGCCTGTGGCAATGGAGCCAGTGAGGCCAATGAGCAGCATCTTTGTCCGAGGCGATCCCTTGGTACACCCGTTGACTTGTCTATCCGTAGAACAATAGTTGCAAGAGAGATTAAGAACGGAACTAAAGAAGGGTTGTATTCATCAAGAACTTGGAGGTTGAAATGGCGTGACCATGGAGTCACTGGCTTACATATCCGAGGATGGAACCGGGAATGACCGGGATCGGCGCCACACAGAACCTTGGTGTGTCGTCACGTGGCTCTCCTCGTAAAATCCATGCCTCTGACGGCGCGGCGTGGCTGTAGGTATAAGAATGATGTGGGTCCTGTCAGATATGAGATGTGTGGCGTGGCATAGATCCAGCTTTATCTTATCGGCAGTTACCTACCAGGTAAGGTAAGATATAACTTGCTTCGGAACGAGGCAACCCGGAGAAGCGAGTCGACACTACCTTACCTTATAAAAAAGAAGAAAGCTACCTTATTCACGAGGTAGATCAGACGACTTGCTTTGATACGGAAAGCTATTGAAGTACGGACAAGTCTTGCTTGGCCATTCCGGCAGCTCCATCTGGGGAGCTGTCTTACGGGCGAACAAGGAAGAAGTCATGGTGACGATACAGCCATCCATCCTTCAGTCTTGCTCTCTCAACTGAGACAAGCTGGATCTGTTGTGCTTGGATATATTTGGGGCATCGGGCGAATTTGAAGTATCACCAATGAACCAGATTTAGTTTCAACGTCCGCGTTGGGTTGGAGAGTAGAGGAAACATCAAAGCATATCGTCTGTTGTTTGGCAATATGTTGAGTTGTATCTGAATTAAAACAGCCGGTTAGACCGAAGAAGGCAGTTTTATCTTGGCTCTCTGTCCATCCTCCTCTTGGGTCGTTTTTTGTCCGCCTGGTTCCAATCAGAGCCAGCGACCTCTTGCAGAGAAAGACACGAGCACGAGCAGCCAGAGCGCACCATCAGGTGCCTTCTGGCAGGGCAAATCCGAAAAGCTACTCAATACGATCCTAGCTAAGGTAGGTAGTGGAAGCATCGCATCTCGTCCTGTCCAGAAGAGGTACGTAGGTAGTCTACCTAGGCCAGCGGATGGAACCAACCTGCATAAGGCACCTTAAGGTAGATATCCAAGGTAAGCACACTCATTGTCCGTTCCGCGCTTGTTGTTTAGTGTATATTCACCTCCTTCTATGGCCTTTGTGCCTTGGTTCGTCTCACATATTGTGTCTCCCATATCGTACAATATGCCTTGCAATGCCAGAGCTATTTGAATCACCGCTGATCGCCTCTCTCTCTCTCTCTCTCTCTCTCTCTCTCTATCTCTATCTCTATCTCTCGCTCTCGCTCTCTGCCTATTTATCCATAGGCATATCTCAATGCCTTCATTCCATTCATCTTCAGACCACGCCCGTCATTTATAGGAAAAGGAAACCCGATCTCGCCACGATTTCTCTTCGTCTACCCTTCCATTGCCCTTAACTATAGCTAGAGGTAGTCCTCACCCATTTCCATGTGCCTCGACATCACTTCCAGAACCCCCGTCTATCCAACTTTCAAGTTTCCACCCATCTGCCGTCACAGGAACTAGAATCAAGGGGCAAGTTGGATGCGTTTCTTTTCCCGTGCTTTTGACGCCCACTCTGGCACTGAATAGTACGAAGACTCGATGTGATCAAGTCCTTCCCGAACTAATCAAATCGCGTCTACTTCGTACCTTACCTTTGCTCTAGCCCCGAAAGCTCCCGATCGTCATGGCCCTACGGTTCGTTTTCCCACACAGATTCCCAGCAGCTCTCACATCCCCTCATTCCCCACCCCGACGTTACAGTACGGCGTCACCTGTCATCTTCCATATACGCGTCACCTTACTACCTATTCCGTACTCCGTACTACGTACTTCGCTTCGTACGGACCTACTAACCGACAGTGTTTCTGCACAGCCAAGACGCGAGATCAACCGACTGAATCTCAACAGATAACGGATAGTTCACCTCTTTCAGCCCAAGCAACTCGAGATGTGCTCCGTACATGCGGTAGCTCCAGGACCCCTGCTTATCGCTAAGCTCAAAATAAGGTATTTAGGTCCCTCAGATACGGCGACACAGACTACGGTACTGTATAGGTAACGTACCGACGGGGTACGGAGTACGGATATTCTAGCTCCTTCCGGTCTTGAACCTTCTCTCTCTCCCTTGCCTGCCCAAGGTAAAAAGGTACAACGGTACGTTGCTAATTTGTTACCTTCCCCCCCCGCCATCCTCAACCCCCCCCACGCCATTTTCAGATACCAAATAGCCCCGCAATAGCTCCTTAGTCGAGGCGCGCGTAACTCTTCTACACTACGCGTTACTTGATTACGGAGCTACGGAGTGCGGTTCATGTTCATGATTACCATGCACCTTTTCGGTCAACTCTCCTCACCGGTTACCATTTCCTCACATTATCACCACTGTCGCGACGTCAAAAGCTGCATTCTTGACTGCCAGCAGCTTCCGGGTACATATCTAGCCAGGAGAAAAGGAGCTGGATTTAGGGCCCAGCTGCCCCACAAGCCTCACCGAACTCTGCCACCTACCTACGTACACACACCACACACACCTTGGTAGCTATTTTGGTCCGGCTTCTTCTGGATTTGTTTTTCTCTTCGTCTCTTTGTTTTACCTTAATCATCTTGTCCTCCTTTTCAATTGCGATTATTCACTCACAGCTTTTGGCAAGCGTGTGTCGCTTCCTTTCCGTCACGTTTACGTCCTGGTCATGCACCATTGCCTCGCTTATTCACCGGTTGTTGTCTGCAGCCTTAGTAGTCACATGCTGACACCGGACAGTGGTCGTCGAGTCGTCTTGTACGACGGATTGACGTCTCTGCACGCCTTACAGATTCACAGTCAACACCTGTTCTGAACGACTGCTCTGCAGTAGCCAGATGGATCGATCTCCAGCACCCTCAGACGGACCTGACTGTGCCGCCTCGGTTGAGCCTTACCCGGCACGACGCAAACCATGCGATAACGGAGACGACGATATATCTCGCAAGCGACGTCGAACTTCGCATTCCGCTTCTCCCAGCCGATCCCATCAGAGCTACGCGTCCGACAACCACACCTTAAACTCCGTCATCATGGAGCCATCTGAACAGGTAAACAATGGCCCTGTTCAAGACATCGCCATGACTTCCGACACCGATTACCCCACCGCTCAGACCCCAGAAACCCGACCTACTGGCACTGAGCCCATCCACGAAAGTGCACAAAGTCATATCACAACATTAAATCTGCGCGGAGATGCGCACGAGGGCCCGTCCCCAACACTCTCTTCGCCGAGCCCCAACATACCCATTTGTCCGTCCGTCGAGCTGGAACCTGCCGGGCCCGGCAAAGTTGATGGTAGCGCCGATACTCCCGACTTCGAATTTGTGGAGAGTCAAACCTCTCTGTCTCCGGGCCATACCTCGTCCCCGTCGACGACGGCTGGTAGTGACAGCCCTAACGCAGAGGTTATTGGTCCAGTGAACGATGCCGATGTACCGCGAGAGCAAGATCCCGCCGAAGTCTTCCCCTTCTATGACTCCGGAACCGAGCCTCCCTACGCACCCCTTGCCCGGATCATACAATACTTCCAAGGGCGTAAGTGCAGCAATCCCGCTTCAGCTGAGCGTTTCGACCTAATGACAACAACAGCTGCAGCAGCAGGAGACGAAAGCATTATTATGCCCGTCACCCAATGGATCGAACGGGTTGTTGTTCACTTCTTCCGTACTGCCGACCCAGACCGGGTCTTCGACTCATTCAAACGTCACCGGCAATTTTGGCTCGCGCTTCCAGACCTGGCCTGGTGTTTTTGTATCAGACTGTATGCCTCCTATTCTCCACGACCTGTCTGTCTGTTACGAGTCGAGTCTGAACTAATTGGCATTGGCAGGTCCCAAGATCAGAGACCCAGTGACGACGTGCGCGACTTTATAACCAGATTCTTGCTATCCTTTGCGCACCTTGCCGCCGCCACGGCGGGCCTCGACTACGAAATGCTCTGCAGATATCGGCTCTTGCCTTCCTTGCTCGAAGAATCTCAGCCTCCACCTCTTATATCTGCCCAGTACCTCAGCATCATCGGCCCTTTGTCCCGTCGGGAGCATTCGCGTGGGCAGAACACTACAAGTCCGGACAGCGAGTCTTCTTCCGATAGCATGGACGACGCTGGCCTCTTCCTCCACGCTTTCCAGTCCACACCCCAGGGGAAGGTCTCCTTTCTCCTCAAGCTTGTCCAGGCACAGATCGCCCTCTTTTCCAGGTATCCTCAGATGATCGAGTCGATTTTGCACCCCACTGCGGCTGCGGCTGGGCTCCTAAGAGAGACCTGTCGGTCCTATCTTCATCCCGGTGTTCTTTCGCAAGCAGTTGCGCGGACAAAGGCTCGGCTTGCCGTAGGGTACCAGCTCTTTACTACAGTCTCTGAAGCTTTTTCCACGGCCATCGACAAACATGTCACTCATCTCAGCAGTGACGGGACTCAATGCTTGATTACCGCGCTTATGGACCTCCTTCGCACCAGCTTGGGCGGAGACCACAGTCAAGCCGTTGAGCGCTTGAAGACGCACAGAGAAACCCATCTAGACTTGCCTCCTCACCTCACCGCCGAGGCTATTGCCTGGGAATGGCGCCTGGATGTCTCAACGCGTATCATCATGTCGAGCCAGATGCAGCTCCGCGTTATGGCTGTTTCGCAGACTTGTACCGACCTGGTCTCACTCTGGAAGCGCTTCACTGAAGAAGAGAAAGCCGACTCCATCCTAAACCATGTCGCTGGGATCATACTTGACGCCAAACTCGTTGAATACCTCCTGGGCTCGACTTGTCATCCCGAGATTACCGGCGAAAGTGGCAATATTGTTGGTTTTCTCGTCGTCACAAAGCGCTACCAACACAGCCACACGGACCTCTTGTGGAGAACGCTGGCAACAGCTCAAAACCCCAGAGTCTCGGAGGCCCTGCTGCGCCTGACGTCTGTTCTCCTCGGGCTGTTTACAAAGCAAGACATGCTCTACCTTTGCGGCAAGTTCCGGGACCTACCCGTCGAGGAGTTCACCCCGCCGTTTCGTTTGCTCTTCGATGCAGTCTTCAGGCAGTATATGAAGAATTTCCCTACCGACCTCGGCGCGAAAGACTTCCTCTTGCACAGACTATGCATGCGGTTAGTCCGAGCCTCGTCGGTGGCGGGGACCGACTCGCAGATTGTGCATCCCGACATGCACCAAGCTGCCATTTCGAGGCTCCGAGAGCTCGTTGCGCATGGCCTGGACATGCAGGTTCGATATATACTGTATGCCGAGTGCGCCCGGGGTATCTCGGTCGAATCCGACAGCTCCTTGGGTAGCCTATGGTGTCTGTGGGCTGTCGCTTGGCCGGCTCCGTCGTCGGAATGTCGCAAGCTAGTCGAAGAGCATGATTTGGCCCACATCCTCGTTGAAGAACTCGAGCACACCGTTCGTCGTGAGCGTGAAGGTGGTCCTACGAGCATCCTGCATGGTCCTGCCAATACTCCGCGCAGGGACTTCATTCTGAACATACTCCTCCATGCTGCAGGCACTGTTACTACCGAGCTAGGCTTACAACTGTGGAACGTGATGGTGGGGCCGCTCGCTCCCAGCCGACATGACAGGGACGCGGGGTGGCAGATCTTGAATACCGTTGCTGCGAGGGCTAAACCCGACAACCATTTCCCATCGCTCTGCTTCTCCGAGTACTTGCCCCAGCTTCCACCCAACTGCCTATGCGTTGGCGCTCTCCAGTTTGTTCGGAGCTTTCTTCTCCCAGAGGTCAACGGCATCAACCATGCCTTGGATGACGATGACGGAGTTGCGCATCATGCTATCGAGCAGCTATGGCGCATGATCCTCAGCGCTGGTGAGCCGGACTTGGTTACCGCCATGATCAAGACTCTGGCCAAGGACGTCTATGTCGAAAGCAAGTCAATTTTGGAATACCCATACAACAGAGCACGCAGAATTCATTCTCGCCTTGTGAACCGCTGCCTTGAGCAGATGGAAGCCGCGAGAGAGAAACTTGGCACTCGCAGTGACGGCGGCGGCGACGGCGAAGCGATGGATATCACATCGGGTGGCGAGCAGCATATCTGCGAGTACGAGCGCGCCTTCCGTCGATCTCTGGCTGTGCTTCAGGAGTTCTTGAAAGCCTATCAGGCTAAGGCTCAGTTTGCGACGCCCGACTTGCGCTCCCTCATACTGCAGCCATCTAATGACGTACAAGGAGAGCTCGCGAATATGAAATACCAGTCATTCGACACCAACACGCGAAGCGAAGTGCGACCATTGGAGATCGGACTCAAAAATACTGCCGCGTCTCTGCTGGCGACCCTGCGGGAGGCTACCGGATTTGGGAACTTCCGCGTCTATTACCGAGGCAAACCCTTTGCGCCCGAAGAGGACGAGATATCCAAGTCACTCGAGGAACTCGGCATCCGCGAAGGACTCCTTCTTGTGAAGAACGAAGTCAGCAGCACGGATTCTTCCGTCAGAATCAGGCCTGGTTCATCGCCTCTTGAGATCGACATCCTCGGCCATTTCGACCAGCTATGGAGGTATCTCAGTCTGCCAGAACCCATGGCTGGCGAGGTAGGCTGGACAACGTTATCCTGGACCTAGGAATTCGCTAACAGTGTGCTACCAGATCTATAATTTTCTCATCAACCTTCCCGCCGATCCCCGAATGCTAGAAGCCATACATTCGTCGTCAACCCCTTGTGCGGAGATCTTTCCGGAGAGCCAACCCTACAAGGCTCTATACGCTGCGCACGCAATAGAAGAGTACTTGGACTCCGTGCGGCTCCAGGGAAGAAAGTACTCTATTGGAGAACAGGATGAGACCGGCGAGCCGAAGGCGCAGTTTGCGCCAATTGATCGTGTCCACTCTCTTCTGGTTCAGGCCATCTCCGACCTTCAGGTCCTAGATGTCTACTCGGGGGAGAGTATCCAGGGGCATCTTTGCTCATCTCTCATGGGTCTCTATCTACGGTCATCGAACGGTGCGTTCTCTGCGTTGCATTGTTTGCTCTTGCCGCCTCCAAGGCTAACTTGATTGAACCGCAGAAATGGCCGCCTTCCACGGAGAGTACGGAGATGCTTTGGACACCCCTCCAGCGGATCTGCTCGTGAGCGTTCTGCTGAGAGCCTCGCAATCGCCTCGCAATGATCTCTCTACTGGACTGATTCCGGGGACATTCTCGGCTATCATGTTGTCGTCGGCTTTGAACGCTCAGTTCTGGGAGGCTTTCAAGGCGCATCCCGAAACCCGTCACTTGATCGAAACTCTGCTCTTGAAGGAATCGGCATCATCTATCCGCAAAGCTATCGCCGACGCAATTGAATATTGGATGACGAGCACCCATTCGTAAGGCCATGTTATTTCGCGGAGTAGCCGGATACACGTACATCCATAGCTAACCGTGATAACAGGTGGGCTGTCAGCTCGGCAGCATTCTCTGGCTTTTTCTGGCCGATCCTGAGACACATGATACCTCAAGCCGTCAGGTATTCGGACAAATGCGGCGAGTTCTTCGACATGTCGGTGCTTGTGGTCAACAAATTGGTGGCAGAAGAGGCGAGCCTCCTTGATAAGGGAGCCCTTGTTCGGGACTGTCTGTTGGCATTATGTGCACACGAAACGTCCGAGGTTGGTCTCGCATTCACAGCTCTCGGAACCTCTAGAGACGGCATATGACTGACACGGTGCTAGCAAATCGGGTTGCCCTTGGTCGAGGATATCGGGGCCCGTGGGCTGCTGAAGATAATTCTTCCCTGCTTGTCTGACCTAGGGGCTGCCGTTACCGTGGACTGGTTGCCTGAGTATGCTTTGTCCCCCATAAGTGCCATGGTTGAAGAAACTGACATGTGTTAGCGGCATCGTGCGAGACCTATTCTGGAAGCATTTGTTCCCCCCGGAAAGGGAGTGGGTGACGCAGCCCGTTCCCCGTTCCATTCTTTCCTCTTCCACCAGGGAGATGCTCTATGATGTCCTCTTCAGTCTCTCCATGCTACATGAGCCGAGCCAGCTCGAACTCCTGGTTCAGATGGACAAAGTGGTACCATTTGACATGAATCATCCAGAAAGTGAGTTGCTTTTCGCCTTACACCCAGAGCTGTCTATCTCTCTGGTAGGGTTTGTGTTTCGTATCATCTGACCACGTCCGGCCTCGCAGACCCGTACGACTACGCGCTGCCAGCCCCGTTCGACCGGATGCAAGCCATACGCTCTACTTGCGGTTACTCTGGATTGCGCAATCTCTCCAACACCTGCTACCTCAATTCACTGTTCACTCAACTCTTCATGAATGTCAACTTCCGGCAGTTTGTCATCCGGGCAGAAGTAAGAGACAATTCGTCACAAGAGTTACTCATCGAGGTCCAGAAAGTCTTTGCCCACTTGCAGGATTCCCTGCACAGGTGTATCGACCCCACGATGCTCGTGAGCTCCATCAAATCGTACGAGGGAGGCATGGTCGATATCCACAACCAGATGGATGCCGATGAGTTCTTCAACATGCTGTTCGACCAATGGGAGAGGCATTTCGCGTCGACAGAGGAAAGGAAGCAGTTCAAGTCCTTCTACGGCGGTCAACTTGTCCAGCAAGTGAGGTCCAAGGAATGTGAACACGTCTCTGAAGTCACAGAGGCTTTTTCGGCGATTCAATGCGACATCAAGGGCAAGAGAAGTCTCGCCGAGAGTCTCACAGATTATGTCGGCGGAGAACTTCTCGAAGGAGGTCAGTCTTCTCAGCTTCCTCCCGCATCTATGGATTCCATCCCCTGTTACTAACGACATCTTAGCCGACAAATACAAGTGTGGAACGTGTGACCGGCGTGTGGATGCAGTCAAGAGGTATGTCTTCTGTTGTCGGATCATATGAAGCGCAAGCGTCTAAGAGCCGAAACAGGTCGAGTCTCAAGGAAATTCCGGACCATCTTATCTTCCATCTCAAGCGATTTGATTTCGATGTTCGCACTCTGATGCGGAACAAGATTCACGACTACTTCTCCTTTCCTACCAAGATCGACATGCGTCCGTACATGCACGATCATCTTGGCCAAGCCTCTCCTCCTGGCGAGGAGGATATGTTTGAGCTCGTGGGGGTTCTCGTGCATTCAGGCACCGCCGAGTCCGGCCACTATTATTCATACATACGCGAACGTCCAACTGCCGGGGGTAGGGAGAGTTGGGTCGAGTTCAACGACGATCACGTCACCCCTTGGGACCCATCTGAACTCGAGAAGTCTACTTTTGGAAGCGACGCTCATCACAGCCATGGTCCAGAGAAGCCGTATAGCGCCTACATGCTCTTCTACCAACGCTCCTCCACCTTGAAGGCAGATCAGCAAATGTTGGAGCAGGCAGGCGCGTCGCCTCGTGCCGAGGCCGAGCTTCCCCTGGAAATGTCCGAGTGCATCTTGAACGAGAACACGGCCATCTTGCGCAGACACTGTTTATTCGACACGGGTCATGTCGCCTTCGCCCTGAAGCTTTTTGAGCACATCACGCTGGCTGACGAGGGCCCCACATCGCCTGACCACAGCAAGTCGGCGGCCGCGATGCAGATGTTACTTGGGCATTTTGACCAAGTCGTTACGAGGACCAAAGAGCTCCCTCAGTTAGAACCGTACGCGGCAGCCTTGGAGCGTTCCTTCCAACGATCGCCTGACTGTGCGGTGGCATTCGTCAAATACTTGTGCGATCGGTTTCCGGTCTTCATCCAACTGGCTCAACGCATCGGGGACAGTGCCGTGCGCACGAGATTCATTGACATGTTCATGAACGCACTCAAGGTGATCCGAGAGCAGCGACCTGCCCTCTACGGCTTGACGATGGAGGCCGACGATGTTTGTGACTTGGACTCTACTGTGGCCGGCAGCACTGTCCTGCTTCTCGAGAAACTCTGGATCAATATCCATATCTTCGGGCGGTCATGGCCAGACACCTTCACTATCATGCTCGAGTTTGCCGAGCTGGGCGCTCTCGAGACAGCCCTCTTGGTACACAACGGCAATCTCGCGAGATTGTTGAGGGTCATTGCGGCGGATCCAACCATCGTGGACTTCCCAGAACCGCTCATGAAGGCCATCTCGAACGTCATGCGGCGGGTTACAACACGACCGCCGTCATTCGCCGTGGCCATCCGTCTCCTAGACCATCTCACTGGGCTCATGGCGCCATGGCTGGACGGCAGGACGCGCACTGCTGCGAACGACCGGGTGGCACAGTTTCTCGCGGACGACGCGACGCGGCCCCTTGAATGGTCGGACGCGGAGATCGAGGTGCTGTATCTGGAGGATAGAGATTTGCCGGGCAGCATTTTCGTGAGGCGACTCCTCGAACTCGGCGAGAGCCCAGCAGCAACGGATTCGATCATCAACCGCCTGGCGGAGTGGGACGTGACGATGCGAGATTCTGTATGGAGGGCGATCGAGACCATGATCTCCAATAAGATGGAGGCGTACTCGATGGTTCCCTTTTTACGAGCAGGATTTATACTCGTCCGGAAATTCCCGGGCACAGAGCTCGCGCGCCACGTGCTACGCCATGTCGCCCGTGCTTGTGTCTTGATTGAGAACGCGGACGGGAGAGCGTTTCTGCAGTTCTTCCGATCGGCCGCGGATGTTGCTCTTGCGCAGCGCGAACTACAGGACGCACCTCGGACCCCGCTTCTGCTCCACCTCCTCCAAGTGCTGCCGCTTTGGGCCCCAGGATTGCTCGGTTACTTTGAGAGACCTACGAGCCAAGGAGCGGCACAGTTTATCGTGGACTTCCTATCGTCATGCGAATCGAACCCGGGGGGGGATGATTTCGTGGACAGGGCTACAATCAATAAGGCGGGCAAGGAGACCGGTGTCAGGTGCCTCAAGTATCTGCAGAAATGCTGCCTAGGCGGGGTTCGACAAGTCGCGAGATCATCCATCGAAGATCTCCAGGCGATCATCCACCACTGCGAGAGGTACTTCCTGGATGAGGACGACGCCGACGGGTCTTATACGCTGGAGGCGTATCAGGCACTTCGCGACGGTAAGTTGCATGCGCTAGTGACCAACTCGATTATGCACGAATAGGGAAAACTGACGAGGAGATGCCCAGGGGTCGTGGAAGCCATCCAACAACGCGTCGTTGACGAGTTGGAGGACGACAACTCGAATATGTCTCTCGTGTCGGGCTTCAGCGATTCGGACACGATCGAATCACCCACGTAACTGAGACCGAGTCGAAGACACTACCTATGAGAAAGCTTCAGGAACGGTCGAAGGGTCGACTGCATTATCCGATCAACTGGAACACACCCCGGACGTACGCACGTGAGAGGTACGGGGAAGGAAGACTTGATGGGAACGATACAATATGGTTCGTCTTGAGAAAAACGCAGCAAGGGGCATCCAATGAACTAATCATTCTTTAGCGACTATACATCAGGAGGGCCTGGGCAACAGGCAGAACGGCATGGATCGGGAATTAGACGGAAGACCCATGATAATCATGATTACGGAACGGGTCTGCATTCTCTGCTTTTTATCTCTTCTGGTTTGCTCTGCATGAGCACTGGCGTAATTTTGCTTTTTCAGGGAAGGGAGCGGATGGGACCGTAGGATGTGTCCCTTGCTTTTCTTGTCGGCTGAGCTGAGCTGCGTCACCGGGGTAGCTTTCTAATATTGCTTAGTGCTAATAATAAATGCCATCACCAGTGTCCAGTGTCCGAAGAGAAGCCCTTCTTTTCATTTCAGAGCCGCAAAATAATCTCCAGATTAGATGAAAATGGCAACGATTTGGCGCCTGATCATTGTTCGGAGAGTGTCAATTCGGTGCATGGTAATATAATGGGGAATACCCCTCGGCAATTGGCCAACGAACCAAGAAGATAACGCGGGAATGGCAGAATGGATCAATGGCGATGCTTGGGATAGAGGGTCCTTGGGCTTGGCATTACCCCGCGCCCGAGTCCCAGCGCGTCGGCGCGCCAGGGGAAGGACTGAAAATAGCAACATTTTAGCCGCCCATTACCTAAGGTACAGTACTACCTTCATTCGCCATTCGTCATTCGTCATTCGTCATTCGTCGTCCGTACTTCAGTACGAACCTGGATAATTAGATCACCTCTTTGGTTCACGCTGTGACGTGGGCGGCTCTGCGTCTTTTACTCAGTATAGTCGCGGCTTTCTGGTTGGCCCCTTCCCTTTCTCCAGCATGATCTAGGGTATTGTCGCTTGATTTAGATACAGCTACAGCTACAGCTACAGCTATAGCTACAGCTACAGATGCTCGTCGTTGTGGAGTAACTAATGTCTTCCGCGCATCTCACTCCCCGGCCGGCACCCATGGGCCAACCTAGTGGGCCAGGTCCAGGGCAGTTTCGAGACGCGGGAAGAACCGAAGACAAAATAAACCGTTTCAGGATGTCTTTGTGTTCTTTTTTTGTCCTGTCACCACCTCAAAGACACGTGGTGGTATGCCTTGTGGGTGATCCTCAGGCCCGTGTGCTCTTGCTCGTGCGTCTAAGGCGGTGGCCCAGGGGAGGGCACTTCTTCAAACAAATGGCCCTATGTTTTGTCTTTGTTTGTTTCCAGATTTGGAACTATCATCTTCTGTTTCATGTTTCAGACTAGATGCGGATCAAAGTGTTTCACCGATTTGCAGAAACATGTCTGATATATCATGAAGAAGGGGGCCCCATCGTGAATACCTTTTTGTTCGTTGTCCTTGTTTCGTGGGAGTATCATCAAGTCGAGTCTGGCTTCGAGTGCTGCAGGACAGTCCAACACTGCCACCACCAATACCATCACCTCTAATATCTCCCCAACGACTATCCCGATCGTTCTTCTTTTATTATTTCTTTTTCTTTTTCTGTTTGGCGTATTTTCGGGACCATGTCCCTTTCGAAACGTCGCATCTCTTCACCGCTGGAGGCCGGCCCCTCCATCCTCGACGCCCAGAACCTATGCCCACAGCTTAACGACGTCCTCGAGTACGCCGCCGGTCGTCTCGCTCGCAAGGGAGTCGATCTCACCCTCGTCGTCCTCTCCCGAGAATACCAGCTTCCTTCCATTCCATTGTCGCCCTGTACTTCCCCTGGCGTCGTCTCGCCTCCCTCTTCCCCGGGAATTCAAGGGACCGCTACAACCGGCACGGCTTGCTCGTCCCCCTCCTCCACGTCCACGTCCACGACCACGACCACGACCACGATACCAAGTACCCCTTCCCCGTCCCGGCTTGCTTTTGCCGCGCGGCCCGTCGCATCAATCAAGAAAAAGCTCATCAGACCCGGCAGACTGCCGCTGCCTTCGCTAGCGTCCGCTGCTAGGGGAACGGAGAAGACCAACCTCCCCTCAAGTCCAGCAAGGTCGAGGAGATGGCCTCAATCGCCCGCATCGTCCGTATCGACCCCGCCGCCCATAACACCTTGTTCCCCGTTTTCGGTTTCCTCGACTGCTGCCACGGCGGAGACTTCGGTGCCGGCAACGCCCGCATGCATATCAGGAGTAGCCGGCCCTGGCTCCTTTGTTGTTCGGCTTGTACACCCCGATGTGGTTACTCCCCGCCATGAGCGAATCTTGCGACAGGCTATTGACCGTGCTGGGAAGAAGTTCGGCATTGGGTACGTTTGTCTTTTATTCCTTTTCTTTCACTTCCTCTTTCTTTCCCCTTGCCTCGATTCTTCTTTGCTCGGTTCGGTCTCTAATTTGTTCCTTTTTGCTCCTGCAAACCCCTTTACCATGTCCTGTCCTGTCCTGTCCTGTCATGTCATGTTGGTAAATTGGTGAACTGCAACTGACAGAAGCCACAACAGCCCAGATCGGCTCCCTCAGATGGCGAGAGCTTCAACATTCGGCCTCACAGCCGCACTAACACACCGCTCCCTCGCCCAAAACGAAGTCGTCTTCTCCGCCGAAGGCCTAACCCTCGTGTCCCTCGACCGTCTGTACACTTTCAAGGCCGCCCTGGCGAGCTACTCGCGAACGGGCTGGCCGCCACGTCTCGAGGATGCCGTCGACGAACTCAGGCGACTGGTCCTCGTCCGTCGCCGTGCTACGTCACGCGCGGAACTGCTCCGTTCATACGACGGGTTGCGAGTCTCCGCCCATGCATTGGCCGAGGTGGATCGCATGTACCGCCGAGCATATGGAGGTCCAGAGCAAACGGGTGCCGTTGACGGCGTTGGGACACCCGAGAGGACAAAGCACGAAGAAGCCGAGGACGACGACGAGGGCGAGAAGTGGCGGAGAACGACAGACGAAGATACTGGGCGAGACAAGGAGGAACAAGCCGCGTCTCGATCCGCGTGGGAGGATAGCGAGAGTGATTTTCAAGAAGAGGCCGACCTTCCCATCGTCATGTTGGGACCCGCCCGCAAGTCGTCGACGCCGTCACTACGCAAGACGCCTGTCCTGAAGCTGAAGACGCAGTTCGACGCCACGCCACCTCCGTCTCCCGCACAGAAAGCACACGGCCCTCTTCACAACGCACAGCCAGTACGGCCAGAGAACACTGGCGAGGACAGCGCGATGCCGACCGCCAAACCGGGCCGTGGGAGCCGGCAGGTTGCCATCTGGAGTCCCATTTCTATTGCGGAGGTGCTCGGGGATGACGGACGCAGCACAGCCCAGAGAGAAGGGCCCATGACACCAAACGGCTATGATGACATCTCCCCCATTACAAGAGGGGAATGGGGGTTTCTGATGGGTGGTGCGACGGGCGGGGTGCATCATATCCGGACGGCCGCGGTTGTAAGATGTTGACCTTCATGATTATATACGACGGACTGCGAATTAGGAAGGAGTTTCCAGCGCTGGTGTTGCAAATATGCTGCACGAGACCAGGAGAAAAAAAAGAAAAAAAGGGGGGGGCAAAATCAGCTTTGTCCGTAACGATCGATATGTGTCTGTCCACACATGATTCACGGTTTACGATACGATATGGATAAGAATTTTAGGTGCAGTTTCCTTTTCGTAGCTCGAGGACCCGATTTTGTTTTATTCGTCCCCGGCGGAAGGGTAGGGGGTATCATAGTCGACTTCTTCTTAATCCGCCCATCCCCTTTCACATTCTGAAACATGCTGCGCCTTTTCTCGTTATTATTACCACCCATACCGTCCCGAAGCCTCCTTGCGAATGTTCTTCCCCTTGGCAAAGCTCTCTTCGAGCGCCTCGCGCTGGCTCTGCACCGCGTTGACCAACTGCCGCAGGTTGTGCTTGCCCGGCGTAATGCCCCGGATGGGTCTGTGGATCTGCTGCTCGCCCGAGGCCCGCAGCTCCTCGTTGTGTTGATATTCCCGTTCCATGTCGAAATTGATCACGCGGCTCGTCGAGGCCGAAGGGCCGGGCGCCCCGGACCGTCCGAAGAGTTCTCGCCGCTCTGCAGCTGAGAGGTTCAGGTCGTCGGCTACGACGCCGAGGCTGGTAGGGTCTGCCGGATTGGGCGCTGTGGCGGGGACGGGGTAAGTCCCCTGCCCAGCCGTGTCGGCGGCGTACGAGTCGTAACTGGTTGCGACGTTATCGGGTTCGAAGAGCGGTTCGTATGCGCCATTCGTTTCGGTGGCCGCCGCGGGTTCCTCGGGCTCGGGTTCGCTGGCGATGGAGAAGAGAGACATCTTTTTCGGTGGGGGAGGAGCTGCGACTTCGGGGACGGGTTTGGGCTGCTGCACCGTTGACTCGGATCCCGCTGGTGCTGACGGCGGCGCTGTGGGTAATTTCTTCGGTCCCTTCTTCTTGGCCCTGGCTACCGAGAGAGGTCGGAACATCATGGGCTTGCCCACGAGCTTGACGTCTTCTTCCGCCTTCATCCCGTCCGGTATGGAAGGTTGTGATGTGGTTGCTCTAGGTGGCGGTAGCATCAGTCCAGAGCCGCCTGTGCCTGGAGCCGCACCCTGAACGTCCACGCCTGCCTCCTGTGGCGATTCCCGACGGAAACCAGCTTCAGAACTGGTCTTTAGCTGAAACGGCGGCCTTGAAGTGTTGGTGCTAGCCGCTATCGCCTTCTTCGCGCCCGTGTTCTTGGGAGGCGGGAGGAACGAGTTCATGCCGCCGAAAAGCCCGCCTCCTCCACCGGTTTTCACGCGCTTCGCAGGTGGTTCATCGCTCGTAGACGCCGGTTCGTCGTCGCCCTTCAGCTGTGGTAGGTTGACACGGATCTTCCCGGGGTTAGACCGATCAACGACTTTCTGGAAGGGCTTTTTGGTGGTGGTGGTGTTCGTAGTGTACGGCGCCGCTGTCGTTTTTGTCGTGGGCTTGGGAGCTGATTCATTTGTGACCTCGGGCTCGGAATCCGATTCGGAGTAATCTACTAGCCCCATTGCTGTGATGAGTTGACTTTGTGTGAAATGTTGTCGGGGCTTGTGGATGGCAGGATGAAGACATCAATAGACCTTGACCCTTGACGCACAATGACATTGGTTATGTATACCGCTTATTAAGCAATAACCATGATTAGGTAAGAAGGAGCCTTTGTGGGTCAAGAGACGTGTTCCACACCGTACCTACCGTATTCGTATTAGTCTTTGGCGGGGTTTCACAAGGCTGAGCCACTGAGTACGTACATCGCTCTGCTCCTTCCTGTTGGTGTTGTTATCTCCCCATCTTTCTTCAGCCTTTCCACCTACCCATCATCGTCATCCTCTCTTCCTTTCCAGAGACCCAGCATTTACTCTATAACCTTCCACTTGCAGGCAATGTGAAGGCTTCATTTCCATTGGAATGGCAACTCGATCTTGCGGCACCATTTTCTAGTGCTCAATCATTCTGAACTGTCTGCCGTCTTCACTTCTGATCTTCTCCTATTTGTGCTCAGTATTCTGCGCGTCGCATACATGCGTCAACCATACCCTTTTCAGTTCATTTGCATGGGTCGAGCCTTTTGCTATCATGTCGGTCATTCAGAATGAAGAGTATGAACCCTCCTGAAACCAGTTCCTTTCCCGTATCATTTGTTCCTCTACTTACTTCTTCCGTGTGGTGTGCTTCAGGTTGGTCGCATATCAATTACGATGCGGTTATCTCACCGAAATTGCCGATGGGGTGGGAGAACGCCTCATTAACCTTAACGAAGGGTTTCTAAACTCGGGCGCTTTCAAGGCTATCGGTTGGCAGGCCAATCCCAACCTTGTGAAGCGTTGCTACTCCCCTCCTATACCTACAGCCGTTGCCTCGGAGTACTTCCAAGCCCCGCGTCCCGTGGGAGTGACACTGGAGGATGAACGTGACGAGGGCGGGATGCTCGCCGGGGGTGGTACGGATACTTTCGGGCCGGGACTGGCCATCAAGAGGCGGAGGCGGGCCCAGACTCTCGACGACGACGATAGCAGTGACCTGAGCGACGAGAGCGACGATGACGAGCATGCGCAACGTGCAGCACAGCAGATTAAATTTTCCAAGATGCCCGTGCGGCCGAGGGCGGGCTCGAGTCCGATACAATCGTCGAATCTTCGCCAAGCATCTACCATGTCATCCCCTCGCGCAGCGCCCGGAACCCGTCGGGGCTCGCACTCCGCCCTCGAGGTTGTCAAGGAAAGGGCCCGCCGCGATACCGTCACGAGCAGCGAGGTTTCATCCGAGAACGAACTTGATTCTTCGGCCTTTTACAGGCATAGGGAGGCCGCCAGGGCGGCTACCAAAGCTGTCAGGCTGCAGACCAAGATCAATGAAGAGCCCGGGGAGGGGCTGAATCGTGCTGGAACTGGTCTTCTCCACGAAGAGGACGAGGACTCTGATGCCTCCGATATTTCGGGAGATTTCATCGAGAGCATCGAGTCGACAGGCATCCTGGACGCCGTTGAAAACCCCAACCAGGCGCCTACGGATCGTCAAGTTGTTGGCACGCCACCACGTCAGTTCATGAGGATGTCCACTATACGTAAATCGCAGGCCCCACCGAAGGTCCTCGAGGCTCTTCCGCCGCCTCGCCCAATGAGCATGATACGGCCAGTGAGCATAGTACAGCCCAAAAGCTTGCTCTCGGCAGCGTTCAATGCTAGGAAAATCAAACCCACGTTGCCGTTCGAGAAGTTCGCCTCGCTGTCAGGCCAAGGCGAGAAGAACCCAATCGCTGTCCACATTTACCCGGCCTTTTCCAACGATCCAGAGGAGCCCTTCGAGGTCCTCATCCGGCGCAATGTACATCATGGTCATGGCCAGGGCAGCGATCGGCCGGTGACAGTGGCTGACCTCATCGGGCTCAGCCTCTGGCGCTACATTGAGGAGGAACGCGAGCCGCCTATACCGGAGGACAAGCAAAACATCAACTGGTGGACATTGAGGATGGTAGAAGAGGACGGCGAGGTGGACGATGACTTCCCGCCGTTCGACAGAACCAAAACCCTTACATCTTTTACCACCGCGAACAACAGAGCGGCCGGTCGCATGAGGGCCAATTCCAAGACGTACGACAACTTCGGTCTGGTGCAAGCCACACAGGCCGAATTCATGAAGAATCAAGCTGTCACACCGCAGGAAGACCCGGCTACCACGACATTGGACGATTCCGCCGACAGAGACACCGAGGATGATGTCACTCCTCGCAAGACGCCACAGCCAGCTCGGGCCATCTCGCCCGGCCCTATAGAGCCGCGACCGAACCCCGTCACCAACACGACATACCGCCAGCATGCCACGATATTCGCCGACACTCCGCAGACCAGGGCGACCACGACGAACACCACGCGGGGCCAGAAAAAGCTGCTCCGCGTACACCTCCACGCGCCTGACATTGCTCCAGGGCAGCTGGTGACCCTGGACGTGACGACCGAGACGTACATGGCCGAAGTCCTCGACTTGGTATGCCGTAAACGCCAATTAGACAAAAACAACCACGTGCTCAGAATGCCGGGCGGCGGACCGGTCGTGCTCCTGGACGCCAAAGTGCAAACGATTGGTAGCCTGGCGGACTTGGAGCTGCACCGGCGACGGTTTGCGACCGATGGACCGCTGGTGATGTCCGGTGGCTCGCCGAGCAGCGCGTCGCCCAAGCTACTGCCATTCGGGGACGGATCGGCAGGGCGGAAGGGCAGGAAGCTGCAAATGATGGGGAGCCACCCTCTGTCGCGGGAGGCGATCAAGCAAGCCGAGCTCACTGGGATGTACAAGTCGTGGACGGTCTGGCGACTGCGGACGGTACGGATGAGGAACCAAAGCGAGCGGCTGCTAGAGATCAACGGTGATTATCTGCACATCAAACCGACATCGCGAGACGGAAAAACGACCACGGCACACATGTCACAGATCATCGGGTGCAAGACGTTTAGTAAGCATCCGGATCAATTCAAGGTACGTGCACACAACTTGGTTCGTCATATGTTCCCAGGGTTGGTGCCAACGATCGACGTGAAAAGGGTCGGCGAGTGCACATAGCCCTCCTCATTTGCGGAACATATCCAGATAAAACAGAAGCCTTACTGACACCCGTGCTTCTCGATTTAGCTCTTCATATACAAAGGCACGGAGGTTAAGCGCTACGACTTTGAAGCGAGGAACTCGACGGAGGCGAACGAGATGGTGGAGGAGCTAAGGAAGATGATCCTACCGTAAGAAAGGTCTTCTGGTGGCAGTCAAGTCAGCGCACTGCCTCATCGTGCCGCCTGAGCCTTCCAATTCACGTACATAAATAAGCAACTCGGTATTATTCCGTAAAAGGATGGGTTGTGATCTGCTATGCGCTAGAAACAGCGCCAGATGGTGTGACGTGCAGCAAAGAAAAGAAGAAGAAAAAAACCCCAGGCGAGAAAAGGACCGGTATTGGGGTGCAGTTGTCGATAGTGCCATGTAATTCATACCGACCTACGCTCCATGCGGGATAGGTAAAACTACCTACTTCGTGCTTCGAGTCAATTAGTTGGGCATGGAATTCTGAGGCTGACGCGGCGTGGTTGAGAGGCGAACAAGGTACCTTCGAACAAGGCCTGGTCGATCGAGCGATGGAATATCAAGGCAGGTCACGGTGCGTATGCACGAACGTACTTGGTACATGTACAGATCAACAACATTTCGGATTTTTTTCTTCTTCTTCTTTTTCTCGTAGGGGATACCAACGTAGTGGTGTGATGTGACAATAATGGCGCCTTGGCTAACACGAACGCCACCGAATGGATCCGTGACCTTCGCCTTGGGGTGCCTTAAGTGGCCCAGAAGGCGTGAGGCGACGCTGCCCAAGATCCCGGATGCGGCAAGCTTCTTGCGCTTAGCGAAAGATGAATAGGAGAGTGATAGGCCGATGAGCTGTAGCTTGGAAGGATTTCGAACCACACCTTGGCCAAGTCGAGTCGACATGATGCAGCCTCCTGCACCGGTCCAAGACGTGGACGGCAGAGTATTCCTCCTTTTACGGCACTTAGTTCTACTGCTATGATCCTATTGCCTATTCCTGCTTGAGCTGCTAACGTACTAGTCTACTGGTTAACTTGAAGGGATTGAAAATAGAGGAGAAAATCCGGCACAGAGGTCACGTGTAGAATCGAGTTTGTGGTGTTCAAACTTCGTTATGTCCAAAGTGGAAGTGAACACCATTGGATTTGGATGTCAATATACGGAATCCTGGGGAAAAGGCACCACCGGAAGGCACTTTCGAAAAGCACGTAATAAGGGCTATGTGTACACTACGTGTAAAAGCTCACACTTCCTGTTCTCCGTATCCTTGATTTGTTGTACGGTACGAAGTACGAATACCTAAGGTAGGTAGTTCGGACTCTGTCTCAATCTCTGAAGATATGACGACATACATCTCATCTGGTCTGTTCTCCGGTGCTGGGGTACGAAGTAATTACAAAGCGGATCCGTTTGCCGCAAAGCATACACAAGCCCGTGCATGGTAGCTAGTAGTTACATAAGCCGAGCAGCTAGGTGGAGCCACGACTAGCTGGGCCAACGTCATTAAACATACAGGAAATACGAAGCAGCCTTGCAGGACGCGCTGCACACAGAACCACCAAAGTACGGAGTAGGTAATGAGAAGCGGTTTCGCCACGGTACACGTACATACACAGTGTGAGAAGTCCCTGCTATCTTACTACGTGTAATGGACGTCTTTCCGAGGTCAACCAAGAACCATAACAGTGGCACCCGTTGGAGCCCGATCCGACTACTGACCCAGTTCTATATTCGGGAATACCACGTCGTACCTGTATTTCCTTTTCTATATTCAGCAGAACTACGAATACCTTCTGGGAGCGGTTGAGCCCTAAGCTACGGAACAATGACAGGATGGACGTCTGTCGGACTGTGGCTGAACAATGCCCTGTGACACAACCGAATCCTGCCTTCTGCTTTGTACGACGTATTTCCTAAGTAAGTAAAAGTAATACCTACACGACAACTGGAAGAAAAGTGTTGTCCGGGCAGCTAGGAGCTCGGTTGCCCCACCCTCCAAGAGCTGCCTTGCATAGGTCCTTGTACGTACCACATCTACTCCGTATGATGGAAGTAAGTAGTCCTCCTCGCCTTGTTTCTTTTGTTGTCCGTCTCGTCTCTGGTCGGTGCAGTATTCCAGTAAACTTCACCACCCATCGCCATTCGGCTTTGTGTGTTTACGAATTGTGTAAGTATTCCCGTCTTCTACACGTACCTTATTACCTACCTTACTCCGTACATAAGGTACTCCTCCAGTGCGGGTCAGCCCCACTCAATGGCCGGGTAAGTACGTACCTAGGCAGGTGTACGCCCCCGGCTTCTGTATCCTTCTTGATGTTCGATGCTAAAGTGACGTGCCCAAGCCCACATCTGCCCGTACTCCGTAACTACCTTAAGGTACGTTGTACCTGGTAGAGAACGTCCTGGCCGGCCAGTAACCCACCGGTTTCCACCCCTGGATGCCCATGCAATGGCCCCGAATCTCGCGTTTCCCATAAAAGGGCTATGACGTGGGGAGGCTGGGTGTGAGACCAGGGCAGTGCCCTGTTCACGGCCTCGACCGCTGTCGCGACCCCCTGGGGGATTTTGGAAGCTTGCGCATGGATGATGGAATCACCCCGTCTCCCCCCTTTGGTGCGGTAAAGGTGGGGCAGATCGCTGATGCTGGCGTCAGCTCCTGGGTGCTAGGCGTCCTGTTGTTGGCCGGGCTTCTGCCCCAAACCAAGGCCGCTCTGCCCGACTCGACCTTGTACGGGTAGGTACGTACGTCTTTACTTCTCGGGATCGCTGTGGCGTAGGGCATCGCCAGCCATGCGTCCAACTTTGCTTTCCCGGACTCCCGACTAAGCGGGGGCCCGTCTGTTTGCCTTCCCCTGCCACACCAATGCGTATATAAGTGAGCTCTACCCATCCTTCCGGGACATAAGCCTTACCTACTTACACTCACACACCTCGCCTAGAAATATCCAAGCATATACGCTCGCTTGCTCGTCCTCACGACCCTCCAAGTCCTCATATACAACGACTTTTCAGCACCTTAGTTCCTAATACCAACAACTCACCACCGCCAAAATGCGTTTCACTTCCTTCGCCGTCCTCGCCTTCACCTCGGCCGTCATGGTATGTTCCGCTCAATTGGATGGAAGAGAGTGTGCCTCTCATGGTCAACTTGATACTGACTGAGAATGCCATTAGGCCCAGGATGATGTCGCTACCCCCACGGCAGTTCCTACGGACGTCCCTACGGACGTCCAGGAACCCAGCATCGGCTTCCCCACCGAGATCGAGTCCGAGGTCAGCTCCTTCATCTCCTCGGCCACCGAGTCCATCGTCAGCGAGTCTGTCTCGATCTCCTCCGCCCTGGAGGAGGCCACCACTTCTCTTGCGGACGTCATCTCCTCGCTCTCGTCGGAGCTCGGCGAGGCCACCGGCTCGGCTGAGATCTCTTCTCTCGAGTCGGAAATGGCCAGTGCCACGTCGGCGCTCTCCTCGGAAATCGAAGATGTCACCGGCACCCCCGACAGCCCTGGTCCCCGCCAGACCGCCGCCGTCGCCATGGGCGCTCTCTTCGGCGGTGCTGCCGTCCTTGCCAACATGTAAAGGCCTGCACCTTCTCCGTGCGCTTCATGACAGTAATGGGAGCTTGCTCTGGTCCTCCGACTTTTGACGCAAAAAATGGGCGTCTTCAGCAGCTGAATCGCCCATCAGAAAGCAAGCACTTGGATTTGAACGAAATGGATATTTCGACAGGACTTAATTAATAGACGTGCTCGGGGGGTTCTTTGCGATAATAGCAATGGATTGGCTCCGGTCGCCAATGATTTTTTTGTGTTTTTTTCTTCTTACTTTCAAACCTACCTACATTTTACTCTCTCAAGGACAGTAAATAACTTATGCCACTTGTGTCTTCTGTGAGTTCTGTGAGCAGAACGTCTTCAAATATCACCAATTGTCATTCGTTTGATGTAGTCCGAAATCGTGTGTTGGCCGATGTTCTCGTCTCAAGTCATTGCCGATAAATTAGCTATAGCCTTAGCTCAGAGGTTACATCGCATTGGTTCCACGGAGCTGCGTACATGGTGCTTGACGTGAGAGCGGCTCCGTCAGGAGTAAGGTACCCGTATGGCGATACGTATCTTCTAAGTGACGTGGTAAGCCGTGTTCCCCCAGGAGATGTACGGTACTTTTACGAATACTTTACTTTGGTGCGATCGGGATCAGACTGAATCAGTAGGTGGCGCTTACGCGTTTGGGGGTGCAAATTTGGCGGGGGTGCATGGGACTTGGTCAAGGTACGTACAACTATGACTCCTCCTAAGGTACCTTACCTTACGAAGCAGGTACCTTTCCAGGACTCGGAGGAGGGGGAGGGGTCGGGTCGATCGTCTTTCTTGGAGCATCCTGGCTACGAAAATTTTCCCATTCGTGAAACTCACCAACCAATAAACCAAAGCAACAGATAGAAGAACATTGAAATCATGTCGCCCACCACCATCCATCTCAGGGCTGAGTCGAAGCCGCTAGAGCGCCGGTCACCACGTTCGTTTCTTTCCATCCGCCTCTACTGACAGAATGCTAACGATTATCAATCAGTCTCCCCCGCGTCAGCCAAAGCCCTTCTTGAGGCTGGCTATGTCGTCCGCGTTGAACGATCCTCCGACCGCATTTACAAAGATGAAGAGTTTGAGTGCCTAGGCGCGGAGCTGATCCCTTCGGGATCATGGGTCAACGCTCCCCTCGACCACATCATCCTTGGCTTGAAGGAGCTGCCCGAGGACGACAGTGGGTTGACTGTATCTCTGGGTTATAGATACCGGCTGATCGATTGAAAGCTACTCTGAGTCACACGCACATCCACTTCGCCCATTGCTTCAAGAAGCAGCAAGGTTGGGCCGAGACACTCTCGCGCTTTGCTCGAGGCAACGGTCTCCTCTACGACCTTGAGTTCTTGACCGACGAGACCGGTCGCCGTGTCGCCGCCTTCGGCTACTGGGCTGGGTACGCCGGTACCGCCATAGCCCTGTTGTCGTGGGCTCATCAGCTACTGGCGCCGGGTACAGAGCAGGCCGCGGTACCAGCTTTCGATTCAGCACCCGCTCTCCTCGATCGCGTCAAGTCGGACTTGGCACCCGCCCTTGCGGCCAACCAGGGGAAGCTTCCCCGCGTCATCATCATTGGCGCTCTTGGAAGATGTGGTACGGGCGCCGTCGAGCTTTGCCAGGCAGCAGGCATTCCGGAAGAAAACATCCTGAAGTGGGACATGGCCGAGACCAAGCGCGGAGGGCCTTTCCCCGAGATCACCGAGTCAGACATCTTCATCAATTGCGTCTACCTCGGCCCTCACCGCGCTCCCCCCTTCGCCACTTTTGAATCCCTGTCCACGCCGAACAGACGGCTCCGTGTCATTTGCGACGTCAGTTGCGACCCGAACAGCGAGAACAACCCCATTCCGATATATTCTAGTTACAGCTCCTTCAACAACCCGACGATTCCCATCTCCGGTCACCTCGACGGACCAGAGCTGCGGGTGATCGCAATTGATCATCTACCCACCCTGGTGGCTCGCGAATCCAGCGATGAGTTCTCGCAGTTGTTGCTGCCAAGTCTGCTCACTTTGGACAGGCGTGATGAAGCTGGCGTCTGGACGCGGGCGGAAAAGACTTATAGAGACAGGGTATCAGAGCTGCCTTCGGAGCTGCGTTGAGGCGCAGCAATTGTGTGACCCCCGGCTGTAAACTTCTATTGCTAGATCAAAGATAAATGAATGCTATGCTCTTCTTGCACGTATTATACCTCGTGATGCCCACTGCCATGGAAGTCTTCTTGGCAGCCCTCGAAGCAGCGGTGAGATTGGTTGTTGCATTGACAATGACACCCACTTGATTGTATTCTCCATTTAACGCCTCCCTCTATCCATACTTTTGACCTAGTCGTGCAATGACAGTTCCTAACGGTACATATTCAAGTAGAAGCAGAGACATCCCGTATCCGCTCCCATCACTCCGCCTTGGAAACACTCCGCCATATCCCAATGCCAAGTCATGTTAACCCTGCCTGCACCGTGTATATCGTCAATGTATTACCGGCCTTTCTTCCTCGTCTCGGACCAGAGGGCATCTACAATCTGGAACACAGCGGTGACGTCCTGCATCACAGCTGGCTCGACCTGGCCCCCAGCCGTCCGCTGTTGAACCTTGTCTGGGTGCCACCGCACCCGTTCGTCTTTGAGCCGTGCAGCAAACTCGCCTTGCGCTATATCCGCTGCCTCCAGTCCGCGCAGGAAGAACCTACGCACTTCACCTTCGACCTGTCTAACATCTTCTCGGCGGCCGCTTTCCACGGGCCACGGGAGGTCGGCGACGTTCCGTTTGGCATCTTTGCTCTCCCATCGCCTCCAAGCATCGAGATATGCCCGCCACCGGGTCGTGTGTTTCTTCCTCGTCTTCCTCTCCTCGCCGCGGCGCAAGGTCTCTTCAACCTCCCGCCGTACCTTGTCGCGCCGCCGCTCCTCGCGCTCCTGCCGTTTCTCTTCCTCCTCGCGTTGCTTTCTCGCCGCTTGCCGTCTGGCCCCCTCTTCGAGAAGCCCTGCGTACGTTTTCTCCCACATTTTGCGCCGGACGTACGCCGCGTACTCTTCTTCGTCCATACTCTCTAACTTCCCCTTGGGTTCCCCGCCGGCGCCTGCATTGCCGTATATGTGTACTGGCTGCCCGTACACAGCCTCCCAGTAGGCGGCCCCTTCATCGTCGGCCATGGCGTCGAAGAGAGACTCCCGAAACGCCGTGTTGGGGGAGAGCGGCCGGTCATGAAGATCGGCGGCTGTCGGTGACTCCGACCGATGATGCCGCCGGTGGCGGTGCCGGTGACGGTGGCGATGTTGATGGGAGTCGCCGTGGTCTTTCTTGTGTGAAGAGGATGATTCTTCTTCTGTGCCCTTTTTGAACTTAAAACGGAAGCGCTTATTAGAGCGCGACCGGGATTCCTCTGCCGCGTTGGCATCGCTGTCGCCGTAGTCCCGTTTCTTACTTTCCTTTGTTTCTCTTCGCCTTGATGATCCCTCTCCCCCTTCCTCTCGCTCGTGTTTGTCCTCTGGTTTTCGACGCCAAACAGGACTTTTAGCGCGACTGTGCTCCTTCTCCTTCGTATGGTGGCGTCGGTGGCTTTTAGCTGCTGCATCTGCACCAGGATCGTTGCCTCTGTCGGGATTGATCGATGAGAGGATATGGCGCCGCCGCGGTGACGACGGATTGGTCATTGCAATGAACGTTAAATGGAAGTGGTGACAGAGGTGTCGTCTTCCTATCGTCGAGAGGTGAGAATGAATTCTGTTGAACTGGACTAGTTGGGGCCGCAGGTGGTTTGGAAAGTCGTGGACATGACGCTCATTTCGATCCAACGGCTCGACAGTCGGTTGAGTGAGGTTGACTATCGCTTGGTCTAGAGAAACTCTTGCCGTAGATCGCTATACCCATGATAAAGAGGAAATAATGACTCCGTACGGATAGGAGCGAAAAGTCAGTGTTTATGCTAAGACCAGGCGTCGTGTCCCGATTACCTTAGGTATGACCTTCAAATGGGAGGGGTAAGGTAGCTTGGACTCGAGCTTCGCGTGTGTACTGTGTACGAATAGTCGTAGTTGGTACGGAGTAGAGGTTGCAGAACTCTGAATGGTGCACAGTGTTAGATAAGGTACCTTATCTGGCATAAAGGGTGGTGATCAGCATATTTAAGATGACGTAATGCGACCCCTTTCAAGGTAAGGTACCTCGCAATTTCTGGTAGGCAAAATCTGGAAGCAAACGAAATATGTAACAAAGTGTCTACTACACTTATGGCGAAGTCCCTCCACCCGCCACCCTGTGGCACATGATAATTACTACACACCTCCTATCTCCTATTACCATGTCCCCGTTCTTATCCTGCAGCCTACAAGATTCCTATTCAAGTTCTCCTTCGACACACTGCTGGATGGAGGCAACTCGGTCTGCTTCATCACCACCATGCTGCACATTGTGAGCGTGACATCGCCGGTACCCTCCATCGTTTTCTCTGTATTAGCGCTTTTCACCATCTCCTTTGTCGTCCTTCTTATTTTGCGCCACTACCTCCCCTTGCGGACAACCCCAGCATTCTACCTGGTTCCCATCTTCTTCGCGCTATGGCTTCCTGCATGCATGGTCCTGCTGGTTCCCATCGACCTTGCCTCAAGTGCTCGAACCGATGATGAGGCAACCAGGGGCGTCTGGCTACCCGATCGTGTCTTGCTGGTTTCGTGGAGGATCACCTACTGGCTAACCTTTGCCCTCACTTGGTATGCGACCCCATACCCGAGAACAACCCATGAACGGAAAGGGCGCTTTGGACATTCCTAACACTTGCACCGCAGGTTCATTCTACCTATCCTCGGCGAGTATTCCGATGCTGGCTATCGCGATCCCAAGGATAATATTATCTATTCCTTACGCGAAAATGCCCAATACCATGTTATGGTCTTCGCCGCCGGCTTTGTCGGCCTTATTTACTTCGTCATCTCATACGGCTTCAACTTCACCTCTCTGAAGAGTCTGGTCATGGCGCTGGCTTACTTCTGGGGCTTGCTCTTTGCAATCTACCTCATGGGTCATGGGCTTGTTTCGATTCCACGACGACTATTCCGATTTGCCTCGATTAGCGGCAGACTGCGCCGCCTCCAGAACCGGGCGCCTAAGGTTTACGAGCGGATGGAGGACGCGCTCCTTAATCTAGAGGACATTGAGGTTCAAATATCCGAGTTAAGCCGGCGGAAGGTCGGTAGCGCCAAGGAGTTCCACGAATGGATCGAAGAGCTCGCCGAGATGGCGAATTTGCCCGAAGCGCAACCACGCTCCACCTTCCGAGGTTCCGTTGAGAGTCGCATCGTCCCGACCGTCATCACAGAGAAATACATGGCTGATTTGACGAGGAAGCTGATGCGCGCTCGCCACGCGCGGTCGCGGTTCACCAACGAATGGACCGACCTTGTGCAGCAAGCCTCTCGAACGCAGGCTATCCTGGACTCTGGTGCTTCCAAGAAGCTTGAGTTCGGTCGCCCGTCTCCACACGCCGGATACTGGGACCGAAAAACTTTCCTTTCCCCCTGTACGCGATATCTATATTACTACTACGTCCAACCTTACGCCAGCATTGCTCTCGGACTCATCCTGGCTGCCGCTTCGGCCTGCATCATATGGTCCGAGCTAATCAAAGCGGCGTTCCCCCGACTTTCAGTGATCCGACTGACCGTTGTGCACCACTGGGTTGGAGAAAAAGGCCAGGTTGGACTCGCCGGGCAAGTCATCTCAGTCTTGTGGCTCCTGTACATGTGCGCAGCGGCCTTCGTCACCATGACGGAAGTGAAGACCTGGCGAGGCCGCGCTCTCGTTCGCCGGAACACGGGTCATGAGGCGGCCTTCTGGTATGCAGGGCAGGTTGCGAAACTGAGCGTACCCCTGTCTTTCAATTTTGTGACTTTCCTCTCCTCCGAGGTTTATACCAAGACGTGGTTCTACAAATTTCTTGGGCAATACATCAAAATCACGTCGCTGGGCACGTGGCTCGACCACCTATTTCCTCTGCTTATCCTCTTGCCAGTGATGGCCACTCTCTTTGGGCTCTACGGAAGGGTGCAGAGGTTCTTCGGCTTCGGAGTCGACATCAACGACGACGAGGAGGGGACCCAGAGGGCATATGGCGCAGGATCTTGGCGGGAAGGCCGGGACCTCATCGAACGAGAATTGAGCGGAAATTCCATCATTCGAAGGCGCGACGAGGCCATTGCCCGTCTGGGGGCAGCGGGGTCCCTGGACGATCGGTCGGCACCCGTGCTGGCAATCCCCGACGGGCGGCCAGGTGTCTCCTCATCACCTCCGGCTAGGTCTCCGGTACGACCGTCTGCACAAGCACAGCGCGGCGGTCCGACACAGTCGACGTCCTCGGACCAGGACATTGAGGAGGAGAATTTTCTCGAGTCGTTGGGCCACCGAATGAAGAACACGATCGACACTTTTGAAGCACCCAGATGGTTACAGGACATTAGGCCTAAGTGGATGAGTGGCGAGGAGGGTGAAGCAAGCACACGAAGGAGTCGACCGGCCGGCCGTGGTGGCGCTGATTCGGATATCAGACGATGGTTTGGGGGCGAAGGGAGGATTCGCCTATGATCACCGCGTGTCGCGGAGCGAAGCATTGCAACAAGTCATTCTCGCCACACTTTTGTTCCCCCTCCCCTTCGCGGCTTTTGGTTTCCGCGTTCAGTATGTTTTCACGCATCACCTTGGGTATTCTGGGTTCTGGTATTCTCTTCCAAGTGCTGGGGAGAACACACGGCACGGAGTTGGAGCTGGAGAACGATGGCGCTGTTGACTTTGGCCAAGCCACCTTCTAATAATCAGGGTATTACTCGCTCACGCTTATATGTACCATGCACTGCCTTAATTGAGAGTGCTTGTTCGGCTGGCTGGCGGCATCAGACTGGCCCCGTCCTGTAATTTGATAGACCTTTTATTTCATTTCCTTATCTATAACTTGAGACTTCCTGGGCTAATGTTAGCAACACGGAGTATGGATAACAGTACTTGTATTGAATGCAGCATCGACAGTCTGGAGGTCGCCCCGAATACGGCGGGCGGTTGGCTTGCTGCTACGGTTTACCAACACCACTCGCTTCCCCATGGCGGCGACGCCTCGGCTGGGGTTGGGGCCGTTTCACCAAGAGTCTAAATGTGGACAAGAAGAATTCGCTATGAGACAAAGCGCGGGGACGTTATTAAGCCGGTGGAAAGGCGCGGGTCTTTCGAGGTCTTTCTATAATATTAATTGATACTTCGTTCGCATGTTCTCAAAGTCCCTTTGCGTCCGAAGCCTTTCAGTTCAGTGTTCCCTCGCCCACACATACTCAGCCCATCGGGGCACCATCCTTATTAGGTCTTCCTGAAGAGGAAGGCTTGTTGTCTTGAAGACAGGAAAACCCCCTTCCTTGTGCCGAGAGGATCCATTCAGGATCGAATCCCCAAAAGGCAAAAGGGGGGGCGCTTGAAGCAGGAGTGGACCATCTCAGCACCATGACACAGACCACCCAAAGACTCGATCACACAGATCTCTGTCCAGGTAGAGTTCTTCGTGCTTTGTACGAATAATCTGCAGAACAATCCACCAAGCAACACCACTGATCAAATTAGACCTACCTTAGCCAGGCACAGAGAGGACAGAGTGGAGCAAGATGGCGAGAAATGCAGGGGCAGGACCCAATCGAAATGGAAGGGGAGATGGACTTTCAATGAGCTAAACTGAATAGGCCAATGAAGAATCGGCGTTTCAACATCGACGCGGTCTGTGCCGCCGTATCGCCCCGTATTTATTTAGAAGGAAACGCAATGATTGGCTAGAGCGGTAAATTGCAGCCGCCCCACCTAAACAGGGGCGGGCACCTTCCCATGAACGATGAGAACCGCCCTGCCCAGTCCAGTCGACCCATGTCCCCAATCACAAGTGCCTTATGTTGTACGTGCAAAGCGTTTGTCTTGGCCGTTATTTCCCTCTCCCCTGGGTGATGCGGATGCGTAAGGGTTGTATGTACCTCGTAGTGGTTCGGACCCTCCTGCCGGTACCTGTCTTTGGTCCTCCGTGCCCTCCACGCTAATAAACCACAGCGCCGCTTTATGCAGCAACGTGCTATCTTCGCTGTGGTGCCAACGGACGCTGGGGCCCTTTTACTCCATCCCCTCCCCCTTCTCGCTCTCCTTCCCCTTTTCCCCTTTCTTCTCCTTCCCGTGCATCGTCGCCGTCGTCGTCGAAGGCAAGATTATTCGGACTGGTGTTTTCTGGGCTCATCTTACTCTTTACGAACCACGCTCTCTCCCTTCTGGATCATCGACTTCACTCTTTTAGTTGATTTTCCGTCCCTTCTTTCCCTCCGACCAACCAGCCCCTCTCTCTCTCCGGCCACTCTCTCAAGCAAACGAGAAACAAATACATTCTTTTTCGATACACCAGTTCTCGCAGACCTCAGTCGTCCCGCCTCCCGAGTAACACGACTGATTATCCCTTGCGTACGTCCCTCTGGCACCTGTCCTTTCTTTAGACTGAAGACAAGGCATTGTAACTAGTCTTTTCCCATGCCTTGAAGAGTCGTCTGGGGGGGCTGTTGTTTGGTGATTGGGAACGTGATACCAAGTTGTCGAGTTCCTCTCACCATCACAACGCCTACCACCCTCGACATCGAGCCTTGCAATGCAATCCACAAGAATCTGTTCGCATGTAAACAACCCACCATACTAACCGTGTCATTTCAGAAAACAATTTGCGTTAATTGTCAATCTTAATATTCGTCTCTTCCGGACCCAGAGATCGCGCTCATTATCCTCCACATCTCACCGACGAATATCAATAATTGCCGTTCAACATACACTCTTTGAGAGCCTTACAGTACTGTGGAAGCACCCACTTCAGTTTCGATAATTCTTCAACCTCGACCGCAGACACGATGCCTTCCATCCACAGACTCTTTTCGCGCAGCGACTACGCTGAGGCGGTCGGCCGAGATGAGGACAAGTCCATCAGCGGTGAAGACAACGTCCTTGACTACATGATCATCCTCCTCGGTCTTCTCTTTCTTGCCCTGCTCTGCGGCTCCGTTCTATTCCTTCTTCGCAGACACCGTCACAAGCAACAAATTCGCCAGAATGAGGGTCTGCCGTCGTACAATGAGGTGAAGGGCAACCGCAACCACAACAACCTCACCATCGAGACAACCCAAAATGGCCGGTCATCCATTCTCGTTATCAGCCGCGATGGCCAGCCCATGCTTGCCAACCCCAACTCCCCGCCAGCGTCTCCTGACAACGTGCCTGAGATCCGCATCACCTTCCCTGACGAACACGACGAGAAGGGTGAGCGGAAGAGCGGTCGTGTTGTCGTTGTCCGTGTTGGCGATGGTGGCGTGGTCGGGTTGGAGCCCGTCCGGGAGGAACAGCTTCCTGCTTATGAGAAAGAGAACAAGTCCGACTTCTACTCCATCGACATGGACCAGATTGGTGGTCTGAAGGAGAAGGAATATCGTTAATAAACGCCTCTGGCCTCACTCCCTCCGGCATTCTCTCTTTCTGCCAGCCAGGCAGTTAGTCAAACCAGCGTCATGCAGTGTGAGCAATCAAACACGCTTTGCATTCTTCATCAACATGGCATAGCTCTGGCGACGTATATATACAAGACAGGCTCGGCACTTCTACATACACTCTGTACCGCTTCGTCTATTCATCGCCAGCCACTTCTTTTCCCAGCCTCTTTTTTCTCCCCTTCATCAACGACGACGACGCAATAAGTTGCCTCAAGATTATGCCATGCGAGCGCTAGTTTCGAGCCTCTGGCGTCTTCTTTTCTTCTACCCTGGTTACGGTATTTGGCGCTTTCTTTTTGGGCTACGTACATATAGATATCTACCCGGGCGCCTACTTCTTTAACGACGCCACGTACTATGGGGAAGTGAGCAGGTGGAAAGCAGCGACCACTTCGCACACGGTTTGTGGCCGTGAATTTTGAATGCAAAGCGAGCATTGCGCCGGGCTGTTCTTCCACAAAGACTGTCTGTATATTCTAATGCTGTATAATTACAACAGCCAATCTAGGGCGCTTGGCGTTTCTGCCTCGTCTGTTTGAACGCACCTCGCCCAAGACTTGGAAAGTTTAATCCCCCGTCTCTAACTTCTCTTTGGTGAATTCGTAGGGCGCTGTGAATACAGCCCTTGTTGTCACTAGTCACACACGGTATCCTCGCATGGTGGCCGAACAGCAGCCGCAGCTTGACCGTGAGTCCCCTTTTTTTACCAGGACCTGGGTGTCACCGAGCCAAGCTCGAGTCTGTATTTACCTAAACTCTATTTCCTTGCTCGCCTCCGTCAGTATCACCGTCGAACGCAGTCGTTTCGGAGAAACCACACCCTGTCCTGTCCCCGTCCCCGTCCATTCAGTGTTCGGTCTTCCCCGTTCCTGACACATGACCACGGAGATGGATGGGGGCTAGCGTGGGATATGGCGAATTCAAGACGCAGGCGGCGATCCTTGCGGTGCGGATTGAAGTCAAAGCTACACTGTACGGCGTAGATGAAAGGTGGACGGCACAGCTAAGGCGATGTGTGTGATGATGGGGAGAAACACGTGCTGCAAAGGGATCGGTCGTTTGGGGAGTAATGTTGATGTTGGGCTTACTGTAATAAGTAGTCTGTGACTACCTTCGGAAATTTAGGGTCCTCAGAACTTCTCTAGTTAAATCCAGACTGGCGCTCAACTTTGTCTCTGCAGCATGCTTCCCTTAGGAATGAATATACTGAGAGTAGAATACGCACCGCACCCAAAGAGATATCCGCATCGTCAGCACTACACGGTGTTGCCGCGATCCATGTATTGATATTGGAGAGTGGCGGTATATCTAAACTGCAAAGTGAAGGAATTTACTAATTGTTGATGCGTTCCCTTAATTTACACTGCGTTAACCAGCAAAGACCCTTTCTTGCTGTGGTTTCATCTTGCTACTCTCATCGTTTACCATAAGAAGACAGAACGGTTAAAAAAAAAAAAGAAGAAGAAGAAACACCTCCCCAGTCAGAATCACTCCAAGACTTCTTGGTCCTCTTCCACTGATTTTCACAAATTTATGCCCACAGTATACGGCAGCGATAGAGGTGCGTCCGCGACGGGCACGTCATGGATGTCGATTCCATAGGATGTCCTTAGGGGGCTCTCTGTATGTTTCTCGGCCACTCGAGTCCATGCCTGGAGAGTCTGGCGCCATAGGACGAACGGCTCCGTGCCGGACCACCTCAATACAGGGCCTAATGGACTGAGTTCGTACGATACCTCGAAATATTTCTTCCGGGGTAGATGCTGAATAATGGTCATCTTGTTCAACTGTGGCATCGTCGTGGCGAGTCGTGCGGCACTCAGCATTATGCACTGGCAATAGAGAGCCAGTTCTTCCTCATTCTCCGGTCTGAGATAATGCAAGATCCGGTCGCGGGACATAGTCCAAGTCTCAAAATACAATGTCTTAAGCCGCTGATTCTTCATGTCTAGACCGTTCAGCGACTCGGGGGGGGCCATGATCTTAACGGGACACTCGTCTCCCGGCCAGAGATTTCCCATAAAAGACTGAACGGTGAGAAAGTTGACAACTCTGAGGTCTCGGAGAGTCCGGGAGGCGAACTGTCGAAGACCAAATCCCAATTCTCTCGTTTCTTGACTGTCATTGTCCACGTTCTCCAGTTGATTGGATACCCGGAGCATGTGGTGAATGTTCAGCGACTCCATGGATCGTGGCCAACGCCATATCGTGTTCCTCAGTGCTGGGAGAGGATAGTCAGAACAGTCGTTTCGTGTACATTTTCGTTCAACAGGTCCTCGAACCGAGGCAGACTCACCGATCAACTCGTCAGCGCTAGTATTGTTCCAGAGCATCTTACCCATGCCGATGTCGGCTTCGCGCAGGAATGGAATCAAGCCAAGGATACGGCTCAGCGTTCGGGGCTCGAAGCTGCAGTTACCCCACAGGGGACCCGTGGAAAAGGATGTGACGCCGTCAACGTGGGGCAGAAGCTCCGAAGTGAGTCTGACATTAGACAAGGCAGCGGCCACATCACTTCTTCCGCTACTTTCGTGGAGGACTGTATTTATATAAGACACCTCGGACCATGCAGGGTGCTTTCTGGCGATGAAGAAAGCCTTGTCGTTCACTAGAGGCGTGCGCACGGCCACGCTGAGTTGCAAGTGGCGAGAGAGACTCGCGGGCCAATACCCCATAGCTCTGAAGAGCGTGTCGAGTGCGCGGGTGAACAGCGTATTGTTTTCTTGTACGTCTGCATAACTAAGGGGGTTCTTGTGGCGAAGCCATACATGCAGGTGAATCTTCTTGACGAAGGTCACACGGTCATAATTGACGTAGGACTGGAACTGGAGAAGGGAATCGCTGGTAAGTCCGAGAGACTCAAAGTTGAAGGGTTCAAAATACGCCTGCCATGCTCGGTTAACCGAGGCCAACCGTGTAAGGCGACGATTCAACTCGCCCTCCAAATCGGGAGGGTATGGCTGCGGCTCCTGAGGGACGAGGTCGCGAAAGATGATTCTTGTAATATCCCACGGGAGGCTCTCTAAAGACGGAGGTGAGGCGGACATGTTGCTAGACTCCGCGCGCCGCTATGTAAGGTAGTACGAAAGGACTCGTGCGGGTTCTGTCTGTGTATACGTTGTCTTGGTGGTAATGTAATGTCGTGTTGGGTAGGTAACAGGAGAGTTGATAAGATGAGCTGTGCAAGAGACGATAGAGAGAGATATAGAGAACAAAATCCTGGGTTGTGATGAATATGAATTCGATGCTGCCACGGATGGATGATGGTTGATGGATGCTCACCATGATATGATGGCTGGACCTCCAGTTATACATACGTCCAAGGAGGTCAAGGACCGGCGGTGTAGAGGGAACGGTAATCTGGAAAGCTCAACACAGATGGGGTTCTTGCTGTAAACCTAAACCCCAAAGACCTCAACCCAAGCCTACTTCTTTGGCCTTCTCCCAGGGTTGAACCTGCCTCGCTGGTGAACCACCACCTAGAACCCATTTTCAGCTGGAAGTCAAAGCCAAGGATAGGTAAGGCACCCCGGCCGTGTTGTGGCGATGAGATTTGAAGACAGATGTAATTTCGAACGTGGTCGACACAACTGCAAAAAATGGCCAGTGCGTGAAAGGTGTGGTTTGAGGGATGTTTTAGTTAGGAGGCGAGTTGCTAGGTAGCGAGATACCGGTAGGTCTATGAAGTGCTGAAGCGATTCGCATTTCACGCCCCTACTCAATGTAGTACGTACCTTGGGTACCTAATTACCTAAGGTAACCAAGGTACACTCCTTGTTTCCAGTTACACACTACCTATGGCAGGAGCCTCTTAATGCGGGGTGTATTCTGGAAAGCTTGTCACACTAGTAGTTGGGGGAGTCTCGGCAGGCAGATATGACCTGGGATGACGAAAGAGGGGCTAGACGATGAAGCCTCAAACCTCTCGCAGCTCCCGAGTCTTACCTACCTACCTACTCTACCTTTACCATACCCGTCCCGAGCTGCAAACCACCTCATGCAGTGAACATCTCATCCATCGAATTTCTCTTGAGTCTTTCTCTTCCAACGAACCCCCCTACTCCGTCCGTACAGAGTATGTAGGTAAATTGCACGATCTAGGGCTGGCACTTACCCAAGTGACGTTTTCGACTCTTTTGGGGTTTCCTCTCTTCAGACCACCCTCATAGCAATACCGCAAAAACCGGGCATTCCATTCCCTGTTGCATCCCCTTTACTCGTGCCGGGACGATACGGGTAACTCCAGATGGATGTGTCGGGCGCATCCGGGTCAAAAATGACCACAACCAACCCAGACCAGGCGCTGCGGGAATCCAAACCCCCAGCTACTGATCCATTCACGTACCTAACCATTATCGGCGAAGTCTTGTCACCTAAGGTACTCCCCACCTTGCACGAGATCCTTCAAGATGCCCAGCTCACCCAGGAAATCGGCTGGGATCTGGTCGGTATGCTCGTCCCGGTTCAGGGCAGCGAGCAGTGCTTGAGGGCAATCGCTCAGCTTGGTAACCCTCGAGAGGTCATTATTAAGGTGCTCGAAGCCCTCGAGCAGGCGGTCGAAAAATCTGACCAGGACGAGGCCGACGAGGCCGACGAGGAGAAGAATCAAATTGTAACCCGCACCTTCGTCACCCTGTTGGGTATGCTGAGTATTCTGCACAGCCGACTCAAGGTTCGACAGCCTTCTCGCTTCGTCCATTCGACCCTACAGGCCGTCTTGCGTGCCTATCGACCACACAACTCGGAGATGACTGCCGCTGTCATCGGCCTCGTCCGCTCCCTCTGGGGAGAGAAGCGTCCTCCACTGCCCAACCGCCAGTCCAGCACAAAAACCATGGACACCCCTTTTACACACCCCGATGCGACCGAGAACGCCCCCGACCCCGAGGCAATGCAGACCGAGGAGCCAGCTTCGTCAGAACCGGCTCTCGTCAAGAGGCTGCTGCAGTCCTTCATTACCTGCGTTGTCGAGGCGTATGTAAACGCTTCCAGCCTGGAGTGGGGTTCTCGGTTGCTCGAGTTTTATAATCCCGAGAAAGTTGTCTTTAGAAAAAGTGTGCTGCGGGCCTTCAAGGATGACGATACCCTGCAGGCTCGAGATGCTCTGGTAGGCCAGCTTGTGGTAAGTTGTTCTTCCCAGACCTACTTCCTTTCAGGGTGCAATCCATATGCTCACCGAAGGGGACCATTTACAGGCCACTGCAGGCGATCTTGGTCTCTCCACTGTCGACTCTCTCGCGCCCCAAGACATCTTTGAAGGTCCTGTGGTCACCGAACCCCTGGCGGGGGAGCTAGACTATTCGGCCGGGCCGGACGGCATTGCATTGTCAACGGGCGGGATTTGGTGTCTGATCGGTTATTGGATCTTTGCACGCGAAGTCTTTGATGCCGATCACGACCAGATCCAAATGTCTATGATTCCCGATCTTTTCAATGTGCTAAGGCGCTTCATCGGCGAAGAGGACTCAGAAGGGCAGATTCGCAAGAATCCTGGCACGGCCGAGGCGTTGCTAGTCATTGGCCTGTGGCTGGACAATGCGAAACGTGTTGCGGGGGGCAAAGCGGAGACGGCAGACTTCATGCCGTACCACCATCAGCTGACGCTTATCTCTGTATTTCACCCGTCTCTCTCCGTCCGCAACGTTGCAACCACCCTCGCGGGCATCGTGCTACACTCCGACCCAGACCCGCAGGACAGACTCAAGATTCTCGAAGATCTCTTGGAGAACTGCGTCTTCTCGGCTCTCCAAGCCTCAGCCGTGTCGTGGCTCCGGGAGGAGATGCTCGTTGCTCGAGAGACCAAGGCGAGCAACCCCTTCTCGAGCAAAGAGGTCATCAACGTCTTGCAGCATCTACTTTTCCCAGACCTGACGCAACTGAACGAGGAAGCTGTTTCAGAGGTGTGGGAGTTTTGGGCACAAAACCACCCCTACCATCTTCAGGTAGCCAGTTTTGCCTATTTGCTCTTTAACGGCGAGGATTTCAAGGGGAACATCCCCGAGGGACTGGGGCCGCTGGCACGGGACCGGTACGCTGAGCCGCTACTTAAGGCCGGACGGAGGCTTCGAAAGGCCCTCGAGGACAAGGAGTTGGATGATATGGGCATGGGCACCGAGGCATTGATGCAATTGGATATATTGGCTCACCAACTCGGCGCGCTGAAGTTTTGAAACCCGCCAGGGCACTTGGCCAGTCTCTCTAGTGTAAAATAAAGAGTTCGATGGGTTCATTCCCCTATTGATTTGTGCACGAATATCGAGTCAAAAACGCGAATGGATTGATATGAACGATTACTATGAGTTTACATCGTTTTAGATAATCTGACAGCACGGAAGACGTGGTGAGGGGCCTGGTTTGGATCCGGAACGGATTGTGGGGCCATGGCGGAAAACGGGAAACGGACGATGGCGCACTAAGAGCCCACAAGGAAGACTAAAAGTGAACAGGATCCAGCAGGACGTTGTGTTTTCCACGTTGAAGGCATCATGTACAGACAAAATGAGTCGGAATCATTGGAAACTTAAGTGAGTACTAGAACATAAGAGGCATCTACACCAGGGAATCACCCGGAATGACTAATATAGTACCAAATTACATGAATGGACGACATAACATGTGTGAGCCTTCTCTTTACATATGAAAGACTAGCTTATACACCGAGGTAAAGTATAGAAGATGTCGAATAGAGATCAACAGGGCAGCGTGGTTCATCCTGACCGACCAGATACTCTGCAGATACAAGGCACGTCCTAAGGTATGGTGGGTCAACAAGAAAGCTTAACAGCTCCTGGGATTGTACACGTACCTGAGTGGAGTCCACATACCCACATCAGCCCAGTGACGGTGCAAGGTAATTATGTACACTACACGTATACACAGATACAACTCACTTTAGCACTAGCGTCCATCCCGAAGGTAATGATGTCATCTACGTCAAGGTCCCCAATTTACGAAGTACACCCTCACTGCCATGACAGTGACAGGCACGGAGACGTTAGTCGGAGCAGAACCTCCTTTAGGAGCTTTTAGGGCGGCTTCATTTTCTTCCTTTCCTTTTTTTTAAATGTAAGGTTTAAATTAGACCGACGTCATCAGATCAACAGCATCACCTATACTATCCGGGTACCTAGGCGGCTACCTTATTAAGGTAGTCTTATTGCTGCTATTATCCCTACCTTACCTAAGGTATTCAGCCGACAGAGAAAGACGGCTCAAGAATAAGGTATTATATTTCCCTACCATAAGGTAGCTACAAACTAAGGTACTTTGTGCTAGGTACCTAAGGTAACGTACCTACCTATTAAGGTAAGGTACTTAACGCCCCGGAAGCGATATTCTGACTTGGGCAGTTCCTTCCAGTATTGACATACGTCATATCGGGAGATGACGACACCTAGTGTCGTACCTGGCAAGCGAGTGTTCTATTGTACGTGTATAGCATCGATCTGTTTACTAACTCTCCCGTGTTTCAGCCTTCCTCCATAATTTGCTTTCTAGGTATTCTCCTCTCGTCTCGACCCACTAATGCGCAATGATAGCGTGAAAATCCGAACACGCGCTTCGATCTACGACTTCCTTGCATTGACTGGGTTGACAAGAGTGTCAACCATTTTGGATGCTTATTCAATCGTCATTACCCATCTCAGAGCGACCACGAACATTTCAGTGTCAGTACTCGCATAGGGATTGCCGCAGGGAAGCACTGAGTTACTAAAATTCAGAGAACCCAGAGAAGCCAGAGAACCAAACCCAGCAGGAATATGCCCGGTTTTGGCATATCCCCGGAGGCCGCATCTGAAGACGATAACCCCACGAGCAACGAGAGACCCGTCCGATTTGGTCAACCATCCTCTACTGTCGCCGAAGATCCCCTCTCCCGAAAAAGCAGGATTCCCAGAAGCATGTCTCAAGAAGCCCAAATCTCCTCTCATACTACATCCTCTCGACTGGAACCTGGTTCAACGTCTGGTGACCAGCCTCCCCAACACACTGGATCCCAGAAGTCCCCGGCACACCCACCGACTGCCCCCTTATATTTACCGCTGGATGCACGCTCGACGGAAAGCTCGCAACGTCCGAGCATAGACAAAAGGTCGAAGACGGAACTATCTGGTCGCATTGGCGGGGTGCGAGCACGACAACCTAGCTTTCCCAGCGTCCAAAGGAGAGCTGATACTGGTTTGCATTCCGCTCAAGGCGTGTCAGGCGATATTCCGCAGGGGTTCAACGGCCACTCAAGCTCTTCTTCGTCGAGCTCTTCCGAGGACGAAGAGAGCGATTATGAACAACGTACCGACTCCGAAGCACATCGCTCCCGTACCGGGGAGGCAGCCAGACGGCAGGGGAAGGAGCCGGATAAAGACCGTACGGACAAATTCAGTCGCTTCATGGTCGGCAATGAGAACTATAGGACTAAGGGAAAGGTCAAGAAGGATGGTCGCTTGGCGATTACCCTGAAGGAGACCCAGAACAAGGGATACCTTGCAAAGGCGTTAGGCCAGTTCGTCAGAAAGAAAGCTGATCAGCAGGAGAGCAAGGAGAAGGATGAGGAGGAAGCCATTGCGACCCGTACGTCTTCCAGATCGACGTTCGCTTCACTCGACATACAAAAGCCTAGGCTGAATATTTGTATGATGGTCATCGGATCTCGCGGGGACGCGCAACCCTTCATTAGGATCGGTAAAGTTCTCAAAGAGCGATACGGTCACAGGGTTCGCATTGCAACGCATCCGGCGTTTCGCGAGTTCATCGAGGTGGAGGCGGGACTTGAGTTCTTTTCGGTCGGTGGCGATCCTTCCGAGCTCATGGCTTTCATGGTCAAGAACCCCGGCATGATTCCTACCCTTGACGCTGTCAGGGCTGGCGACGTTGGCCGGCGTCGGGCCGCTATGGCCGAGATGTTCGATGGTTTCTGGAGAGCCTGCATCGAAGCTACTGATGACCCGAACGATATACAGAACCTCAAGCTGATGGGAGAAAAGGAGCCCTTCGTCGCCGATGCCATCATTGCGAATCCTCCAAGCTTCGCTCATATGCACTGTGCCGAGGCCCTGGGCATCCCCATGCATCTGATGTTCACCTTCCCCTACACCCCGACACAGGCCTTTCCACACCCGTTGGCTGCCATTAAGAAGTCGAACGTCGATCAGGGATATACCAACTTCATCTCCTACCCGTTGGTTGAGATGATGATTTGGCAAGGCTTGGGGGATCTGATCAACGAGTTCCGAGTCCAAAAGCTCAAACTCGACCCGGTCTCTACGCTCTGGGCCCCTGGACAGGCATACAGACTGCACATCCCCATCACGTATCTCTGGAGCCCCGGGCTGGTACCAAAGCCTCAGGACTGGGGTGACCAAATCGACATCTCGGGCTTCGTCTTCCTAGATATGGCGTCTTCGTACACGCCCTCCAACGAACTGGAGGAGTTCCTAGCCGCCGGTGAGGCACCGGTGTATATCGGCTTTGGGTCGATCGTCGTCGATGACCCCGACCGCTTCACGCAGATGATCTTCGACGCCGTCAAGATAGCTGGAGTGCGCGCTTTGCTTTCCAAAGGGTGGGGTGGACTTGGTGGGGAAGAAGGACAGGAAAACGTCTACATGCTGGACGACACGCCGCATGACTGGTTGTTCCCGAAGGTTCGGGCCTGCGTGATCCACGGAGGAGCTGGGACTACGGCCATGGCCATAAAATGTGGCAAGCCGACCATGGTCGTCCCCTTCTTTGGCGATCAGTACTTTTGGGGCAGCATGCTTGGAAGATCGGGCACCGGACCCGAGCCGGTGCCTCACAAGCATCTTACCGCGGAGAAGCTGGCCGAAGGAATCAAATACTGCCTCACGGACGAAGCGCAGAAGAAGGCGGCTGCCATTGCGCGCAATATTGAACTGGAAGGCGACGGGGCTCTGAACGCGGTGCGATCATTCCACAAACATATGAACCTGAGCGGAGCTCGGTCGATGCGCTGCTCCCTCCTGAGCGATCGCATTGCGGCGTGGCGGCTCAAGGATGGCACTGTCAAGCTCAGCCCCATGGCCGCCGACCTGCTCGTTGAAAAGGGCCTCCTTTCTTGGAGGAAACTACGGCTGCTGCGACACATGGAGTGGAATGATTTCGAAGGCCCAGGCGAACCGGTTACTGGGGTGGCAAGTTCTCTCGTCAATACGGTCGGGAACGTGTTTGGGGGGGTGGGTAGCGTGCCGTACAAAATGGCCAAGACGACTCAAAAGAGGAAGGAAAGGAAAGAGAGGAGGGAGAGGAGGAGACGAGCAAAGGAGCTTCGACGGCGACAAAAGAATCAAAACAACGGCGCTCCGGCTTCGACTGGCCAGGCGACCAACGGGGATTTGAGCCGGGATGTTGACGCAAAAGACGCACTCCGGGAGAAGTCTCAGAAAGCGGGTGGACAAGGCGAAACTGCGGCCAGCACAGAACAGCAGCAGCAGCAGCAGTCAAACGGAACGGCCGAATCGAATGGGCAGCCCAAACGTCCACTTGCCCGCAGAGCAGCCGGTACCGGCACAATGTCATCCATCGAGACGAGCTCTACCGTCGATGCCAATCCCGTCGAAGACTACGCCGAAGACGTCGGTAGAGGTATCGGGAAGTCGGCCGAGGCTTTTGCCAAGGCCCCTGTCGACCTCTCTCTGGCTCTCGCACAAGGGTTCCACAACGCGCCTAGACTGTACGGCGATGACACGGTCCGGCGTCCTCCGCGGGTGACGGGAATGCGGTCAGGTCTGAAGGCGGCGGGATTCGAGTTCGTCTTTGGCATCTATGACGGCACGACCGGTGTTGTTCGGCTACCGATTCGCGAGGCCAAGAAAGAAGGCTTCGTCGGGTTTGTCAAGGGTACCGGCATGGGTCTCACGGGATTCGTGCTCAAGTTCCTCTCGGCTCTGATGGGCCCGGTGGGATACACGCTCAAGGGGGTGGTGAAGCAAGCGGAAAAACAGAAACAGCCCGACCGCCTGGTCCGGCGAGCGCGCATATCGCAAGGCCAGCGGGAAGCGGGGCAGCTGGGGCCGGCGCAGCGCAAGGAGGTGGAGTCACAAGTTGCGGACGGATGGCGGACGATGCATGACCTGCGGGAAGCACTCGCGGTGTCGGGGAGGCAAAAGGGCCTCCGCGGGCGACTCCGGATACATAAGAACAAAACGCGAACTCTAGACGTGTTCGAGAGCGTCGAGGCTGCACAACAAGCGATGGCTGCCATCAGGGCGGGAGAGGATATTAGCACCGTCGTCGATGGGAGGGCGACGTAGGGAGACGAACGAGAAGAAGAGCATAAGAAGCGAGCCGATATACCCTTGCCGAAACGGACGTCGAGGACTCGAAGGATACGACATCAAGGCGAAGAGAGTTAGACTTGGCAAGTCAAAGAAAAGGAGGACACGCATGCCCGGCAAACCCGAGGCTACTAATTATTGACGGAATGACTGGCTTATTGGGCGCGGGACGTCGGGATAGGCCAAGGTATGCAAGCGTGGAGTTGGACAACGCAATGCTGATTTTGTTTTGTAACGAGCAGAGAAGCGGCACGAGTTGTTCATGCGTGGTGTGGTGGTGGTGTATGCAAACCCCTAGCCCCTATTTTTAATGTGTTATATCTCTCGCTTTTTTTCCCGCGGGCTGGGGGGCTCTCCGATCTGGGTCTCGGCGAGCCATGGTTGTATTCGATGTCTAGGGGTGTACAGTCTCATAGTTAGTTGTGTATGTCAAGACTATTGGTTTTCTTTTTCTCTTCCTGCAACGAGAAGTGAGGCGATGGACTTGAGATAGTCTCAGTTGCACCACGGTGTTTATTGTGTGCTGTCAGGAGGCATACGTGTAGATCCGATCGTCTGGGAAGAAACGTCCTCGAGTGTACGGACCATAGGTACCTTAGGTGCTCATCGGCGATAAGGCTTATCGATAAAAGCACCTCAGTCTGGTGCAATGGACGATAAGAGTTTCCGAGGTACCTTACCTAGATACCTTCCTGACTGCTTATGTCAGTCAGCCCGTCAGCCCGTCCCGTCACCCCGCGCAACCACAACGAAACAGGCGGGACCCTTGGACCCAACAACGATTCTGACCTGTCTGTCTCTCCCAAGTCAGAGAGCTAGACTTTTGGGGACGGTCTGCGAGACCCTGCAAGCTGGCTCTTGGCTACTACCTACACTCAGAGCTCGGAGTTTTCTTCTTTTTTCCCTAATGGAAGGATAATCAAGATATCCACATGCACCATCCATCATGATAAACTTCGACAGAGATTCATAAACGATTCATGATTCTGCAGAGAGCTCGATCCATCTTTCGATCCACCATCACCATCACCACCATCATCTTACGATACGATTATACGGATACCTGGCATTGATCGACTCGTCACGTACCATCTGTTGTCAACTAGTCAACCAAAGCCGATCCATCTGAACCCAAGACGAAGATCCGGCCATTCCAGCATTCCTTGGTCTCTTCGTTTCTTCGAACCTCTCCTCCTCCTCCTCCTCCTCCTCCTCGACGACAAAAAGACGCCGGCACTGAAGTCGACTACCTTCATTTGTCGTCGCCGTCATGGCGCCGGCAGACGCCTTCTCCGCCCCAGGCGGCGCATACTATGACTCAGATACCATGACAGTTGGTGATGGCACCTGGGACTTTGAGAAAAACACATTCCTGCTGCCCAATCTCGCTGGCTTGAACTTCGAGACCATGCGATATAATGGTATGAAAGTGTCTCTCTTCCCCTTCCCGAAAAGACCGACAGTTCAATTTGTAATGGTGGATAGACGTGGCTGACGAGATGAGCGCCTGCTCCCGACAGGAATGGGAAATCGTTTCTCTACGGTGGCACAATACCACACCCTCATCCTCGGCCATGGCATTCTCGCCGCCATGATCTTCCTCTTCTTCGTCCCCACTGCCGTCTTGATCGCCCGATTCTACACAGGCAGGCCTGGCTGGGCTGTCAAGGTCCATTCCATGATGCAGACCACAACCGTGCTTCTCCTCACCGTCGTCTTCGCTCTGGGCTGGTTCGCCGTCGGCCCGCGTCGAAGCTGGACCAACCCTCACCACGCCATTGGGCTCGCCCTATATGTCATGTTCCTCCTCCAGCTTCTTGGGGGTTGTCTTGTCCCTAGGAAGTATGGTCGCTCCCTCCGCCGTACCATCCACCAATGGAGCGGTCGTCTCATCGCCCTCCTCGGCATCGTCCAGGTGCCCCTCGGATTGACCTTGTACGGCTCTCCACGGTACCTTTTCATTCTCTTCGCCGTCTGGATGGCCCTCCTCCTGTTGCTGTACTTCATCCTCGACTACCGAGCAAGCGATGATAGACGACTCGACCGCCGAGGGCGCGGGGCCCACACTGATGCCTATGGGGCCCCGTCCGAGCACCGCACCGAAGTAACCGAACGTGAGAAGGAACGCTCCGGCGCGGCGAAATGGCTTGGACCCTTGGCCGCCGGCGGAGCCCTCTGGGCATTCATGCGCCATCGCAACAACAAGAAAGAACGAGATGAGAGTCCCGGACGGTCCCGGTCTAGGTCCCGGTCACCGGGCTATAGTCGTGGTCCCGAGGTCATTCCGTCCAGACGAGGGTCGGAAAGCTACGTCGACAACGACAAGTACACCGAGGTGGACTCCCGCCGAGATGGAGACAACGATAAACGGGGCCCCATCATGAAAGGTCTTCTTGGCGTCGGCGCTGCCCTCGGTGCTGGGAAGCTCATGCATTCCATGATGAACCGCCGGCGGGACAAGAGGGGCTACAACGACGAGTACTCTGCCGTTTCGACCGAGACCCCCCGCCGGGACAGGGTTGGCAGATTCGGCCCAGAACCGAGCGAGTACAGCGACTACACGGTGACCACTCGTCATGATCCTGGGAGAGGCCCCGGCCTGCCGCCTCCCGGCAATGCGCCGCCCATGACCGGCGCCCCCAGTGCTGCGGATGAACGTCGCGCCCGCGGGCCAGTGACACCACTGCGGTCGCATGCAAGATCCCAATCCGGATATGACATGGTAGAATCGGACTACTCCTCTTACGTGAGCCCGTCGAGGCGTCAGGACGATACCCAGCGTAGTGGCCGGGGAGGTGCGGCTCAAGGTGTTCTGGCCGGCCTGGGCCTCGGCTGGTTGGCTAAGAAATGGTCGGATCGCAAGAACGATCGGGCTGGTGAACGGCGGATGCGAGATGAAGAGGACCAACGAACCGGCGTTATGGGATCGAGATTCACCGGTGACGGCTACTCTTCCCCATCACGGGTTCCCAGGCACTCTCGGAGGAGGCCTTCAGCGCGACCCCCACCGTCCACTCTCGGACCTTCGACACTCGGCCCCTCCACCCTCGGAACCACAGTCACAGGCATGACGGAGACATCGTCCCAGTTCGAGCCTCGGCCGGCCGCTTCGGGATACAGTAGCGGGCCTCCCATGCCTCCCCTGGCGGCGGGAGCCCTACCGCCTGGCCCACCGCCTGGCCCACCACCAGCACCCGGCTCATACATGAGGAGGACAGGTGCTTCGGGCCCTGGATACTATCCTGCCGGGCCAGTCGAAATACCCGCCGTGCCTTCCGGCTCACGCGGCGCACCCCCACACCGAGACTCGGAAGGCGAATCCTACTTGTCCCCCAGCGGATACGCACAGCGACGCCAATCATCCCGCAGGCGACGCACCGCAGAACGCGCCGCAGCGGCTGCCGCGGCCAGCGCCTCATTGCTTGCCGCAGAGGAAGAGGACCGGCGCAAGGCCGACGCGCAACGAAGCGGCTACTCACCCGGCAGGTCCATGAGCGTCAAGGTCAAGGTCCACGACGACAAGGACCGGAACATGACACTGCGGAGGCTAACAGACGAGGAAGCGGCCACTGAGAGGACGCAGCGCGGCAGGAGACGAAACGGCTCCACGAGCAGTCTGTCCAGCATCGACACGCTGACCGGGCGACGATACCGCCGCGATGGAAGCCAGAGGCCCAGGGCCGAACCGCCCCCCGGTGCCGCCCCTTACGTCCCCGCCGCGCCCTCAGCACCCCCCTCGGTCCATTCAGTCCTTCCACCCCTGACGGCCGGTTCGGGCCCACTCCCACCACCACCCGACCCCTCCGCGGCAGCCGGCGGCGGCCAGCAAAAAGACTCGGCCTACTACTCGGGCCAGCCACCGCCGCAAACGCCAGTCGGCGGCCCCGAACCACCACCGCCGTTCAACCTCGACAGCCCCGGAAGCCATGGGACCTGGAGCGGCATGAGCCCGTCGTCCGGCGGAGCAGCAAGACCACCCACGGCGTCTGGGGAGGCCAAGCGCGCCCCGTCGGCGGCGGCGGATAACCGGCGCAGGCGGAGGTTGGAGAGGAGGCGGAGCACGAGCCGGCCTACCGCGGTGGGACCCGACATGTTTGACTAGGAGGCGACCCGACCCGGGCGACGCGGGCTCACGACGAGCGGCCGCGGTGGCGGGAGTGAGTGAGCCCTTGGAGGGGGGTCGTGGAGTTATTGACAGGAACTGTGAAGAAGACTGTGCGAAGAAGACCTGAAAAGGGGGAGAGGGAGGTTTCTGTCATGTAATTATTCATGTCATGGATGATGAGAACAATCAAGGCGTTGGCGCCAGGGTGGGATTTTTTGCTCCGTCGGATTTTGTATCCGGTTCACGTTATTCCTCGCTACCTACCTACCTACCTACCTATCCATCTTTGCCCCCTTTGCCATCACTTCACCGTCGTGGGAGGATGAATAGTGAATGTCTACTTGACGAGAAGAAACCAATGCGTATATAGATGGTCCTATCATGACTGCGTATATTGTGAAATTAAATTTGAGACCCGTTCTCTTATTGATGATGCCCTGTTTTTCCAGATGCCTGGCGTTTCCGTTTGAAGTCTGTTTTGAAGCCGTTCCGTCCATTTTGGACTTGGTCTCGGTTTGTTTATATTATTCGTTGTTTCATACCCCCTTATTACCCCATCCTATAAGGAGGTGTCTTCAATCACCAATTGATGAGACTTTTGGCAAATACTATCCCATGTTCATCGTAGATATAAGTCACCTGTTTCCTGGGTTTCCGGCCATGGTTCACGGCTGGGAAATACACCAACCCACTGGTGACGTGTGACTCGTTACTTGCCGATATCTCCCTGTCCGTTTTACCACTTCGTGGTATAGCAGTCAGGGAACTGGTGACCCGGGAGTTCACGTCAAAGCTTCATGACATGAGATGGGGTATGGAGCCCATGGTTCCCGTGAGGCCAGTCTCGATTTCGCTCATGATGGACTCGTCCGCCGCGATACTAGTCATGACCTCCTCGGAGGTGTAACCAGCCCAATAGGCCGGGTTCACCTGCGAGGCCTTCTTGGCGCGGTAGATTTCCTGCGCCACGCCCTTGACCTGGCCCGACGCCGTCCCCGCCGCTTTCCAGACGGCCGCGAGCTCTGTTAGGGCCCCGATGTTGAGGCGCAACTGCTGGCGCAGCTCGTCGTCGTCGTGGGGGATGAAGAAGAGGGCCCATTTGCTGAGGTGTACGATGGACGAGAGGGTGATGACGCAGGTGAAGAAGTGGGTGTGGGATAGGAGGGGAACGCGGTGGGTGATCATCTTGCTGATCTCCGCGGCCGACTGAATCGTGTGGCTGGTATGGGCGTTGAAATAGTCGCCAGATGGTACGGGACGGTGCGGCGCGCATGAAGTAACGGAGCGGGCTGGTGATGAGTCGAGCTGGGAGTGTGGCTGGTGGAGCATTATCGACGTACTGAACGGGATGTGTGGTCAGCATGATGATGGGTTTCCGGGGGGGGAAGAAGAAGAAGAAAAGAATTGGTTCAACATACGCATGCGTCATCATGCTGGCCTGGAAAATCATCTCATCAGACTGAAGCTTCTGGCTCAGGGCGTCCTTCTTGGAAGCCGGTAGATGCATACGCCAGTTGGTCAGGAGGGCCTCGATGCGGGCCAGATTCTCGTCATCGGGTCCGAAGATGGGAGGCACACGCATGAATCTGCCTAGATTACGACCGGCAGCGATGCGGTACGCAAAGGACGAGAATTCGCGCTGTTCCCCGGAAAACTCGCGGTCTTCCAGATCTTCGAGATACATGGGCTGCGGAATGGTCTTTGGTGCCAAGTTAGTTGGAGGTTTCTTCCCAGGCCCGTCCTGTCTCACACCCGTGCCCCTGGGGGGGTTTTTTGTTTCCATTTCCTTCTTCTTTTCCTTTTTTTTTTGTTTTGTTTTCATTTACATGGGTCAGGCAACTTACACCGGAGAGAAACTGATGCTCTTCACATGGCAAACCGACATCAGCAGGAACATCAAAGAGGAGAAAGTTGGTCTGGCGGTGGACGCCAGCCACCATGCCGTCTACAATGTATAGATCCCACCACGTCCTCCGCCAGCTCTCCTCGAGGATCGGGATGCCGCGCCCATGGATGGTGGCGAATGCGCGGCTATTCAGCTCGATCTCGAGGGCGATGCGTTCGGCATCGGCAAGGAGCTGGCGCGCTTTCTCTTGCTGACAGTTCCCATCCGTACCGACGATCAGGAGGATCAGGGCTTGGACGAGAAAGCCGTCCTTCTTGGTGGACGGGTCTTGCACCAAGCGCAAGACCTCCTCGTAAAACCCGGCGCGGGCCGGGCCAATGTCGATGAAGAGGGATCCTACCCAGCGCATGGCGGCCAGGAGGGGCTCCACATTGGTGTCGGCGAGGATTCGGAAGAACCACTCCTTGGGCAGCACGAAAGGGTGGCCGGCGTGGAAGTGGCGGTAAAAGGAGTCGATACAGCGCTCGGCCGGGGTCTGCACGGGGACTTGGGCGGGGATGAGGCCATGCTGGTTCAGGGCCAGCTGCGTGCCGTGGTAGCCGTTCGTGCTCCCGTACGGGCGGTATAGCTGAAGGTTACTGACATGGCTGAGGTGATGGGCGCCGTTGAAGGTCATCGTTGGCGGGCTCGGGCCAACCGGACCGACCGGACCGACCGGACCAGCATGAAAGGCAGCAGCCATGGCGGCGGGCATGGCGGTCGGCATGACGCTCGGAGCAGCTGCGCCGAGCAGCATGGGACAGCTATCGCCGTTAGGGAGGCCCGGGGTGGGCGAAGTCGAACGGGCCCTCTTGTTCGGATTGGCAGCGGTCCCCCTCCTTGGGCCCCGGTAGCCGCGCCGAGAGGCGATGTAGACGCACTCCGTATCGGATGTCGTGCATCGGCCGCATGGATTCTGGCCATCGCACTTGAGGTGCTTCCCGCGCTACAGGGACGTGATCGGTCAGTCTCTGGTTTCGCATATCTTCACCACCCCCGTTTCGGGAAGAGGGCTCATAATAGAGGATAATATTGATCGGCGACCATCAGGGGTCGGACCGAACCAGCATGGGGGACCGACGAGCTCTTTAGGAAGAGCTACGAAGTACGACACGATACTACGCATGGGGACATGACATGATGAGGGAGAGGGAGAGGGAGAGGGAGAGGGGGAGGGGGAGGGGGAGGGGGAGGAGCAAAGGACTGCGGGCGGGCATGTCCAACGAGAGAAGAAGAAAAAAGAAAAAGAAAAAAAAAGACGTACGCAAGCCAGACATGCTGCCGGAACAGAAGGTGCTTGGTTCGACTGTTGCGACGATTGTGTTTCGCTGGTCGCCGACGACGGCGCGCTGGACGAGTCGCGGGCACTTTGGGCGGCGGGCGGCGTTGATTCTTGGTTGGTGTCGGGCACCACGGTCGGGGGATTAGTCGGGGACCCATTGGTCCTAGGAATGCCATTGCTGGCTGGAGGTGGAACCTCGGCGTTCAAGACAGTCGACTCCATTGCAGTGCAGTTCAAGGGGCCCAAGAGAGACAAACAAATATGAGAAGGTCGATCCGCAGGGTCGTGGGCTTGTCGACCATGAGAGTTGCCGCGGGGAACAGTAAGCTAGATCGGTCTTTTATTTTTCCTCTTCTGTTCGAGCGAGGTTTGGTGATACGGGGGAGTGGGGAGGAATTGGGAGAAGCACAGAGGGTTTAGCACAAGGAGGGTCCGAATGTTGTGCCTTTTCCCCCCTTTTTCCCTTTTGTTTCTTCTTTCTTTCCTTCTCGAGGGGGGGAAACAGAATGAACAACTGGACAACTGGAGACTACAGGTCGGGCCGCCCCTCGGCCGGCAGGCAGGAAGACATAGGGAATCGGATGAGAGAACTGTGGACCGTGGACCGTGGACCGTTTAGTTTGTGCGATAGGAGTATGCGAAATACCCTGCGAGTCCCCGGTACACAGACGGGGGGGAGTTACTTCGTATTTCGTAGATATGATGGGGACTTCGATTCGAGATGGGGATGACTGGCAGTTGGTTGGACTGGACTGGGGACGGCGGACGGCAAAGTCGAATGGGAAATGCAATATTCGAGTAGGGGTGGCCGTATGAGAAATGGACGGGGACGTCGGATTGCTGCGTTACCCTAGCTATCATAAGTCGGTCAGTTTCCAATGGATAAGCTGAGGGAGCAACACGCTTCACCTACCTGCCCATTACCCTGTGTACAACGTATGTCTTCTTGGGGGTTGAGTCCAATGTTGGAGGACGGACTGCTCTGCGCGACAGGGTCCTCGTGGGCTGAACGATGACAGCCAAGCGAATTCAATGAAATGACAGGATAGAGGAATGGAGTTACGAGGGAGGCGGATAAGCGAGTGAGTATCCGTACGGATACATTAGCAGAGTATCCGTAGCGGAATAGCAGGATAACCGACCAATCTTGTGCCAGTTCTGCGTTTTGTTGATGGACCGGCATGTGCAACAGGCGGGGGAACCAACCCGGATTGATTACAGGGTGGATGAAACAAAACAAGGGTGGACCCTACACTGACAACGGACTTCGCAGATGGCCCTAGACGGATCTAGTGTAGATGTTGGGTTCTTCGATGTCTTTGGTCGCGTCGTTGAGGTGACACGACGATAAACGAGAATCGGACAAGAAGGACATTTCTTGGTCAACAAAAGCCCTCCTATTCGTGATTAGTTTGCGGCTCAGCCTTGGTCGGAGATCTCGAGCCCCTCCTTTCTTCTTTTGGGTTGAAAGAATGTGAGGGTGAGGGTGATGACAGTGATGGTGATGGTGATGGTGTGAAGAGAAGAGACCGCCGGGTAATTAAAGGAGGGCGGTGGACTGTGCGTTTTGGGGGTCGTGGCTTCCTCAACACAGACTAATTACGTTGTATGTACCATACGTTGTACTTCGTGCTCCATAATTCCGTTTTGTTTTTGCAACGTTTGCAACAGCCCGGAAATGTCCTTTATTCGTACCCTAGGTACATACAAGAGGTGAGTACCTTGCTTACCTTACCAGGTAGTTTGACAAAGTACGTATCCGCACATAGCACCGTACCTACCTGAGGTATAAGGTAGCTTAGGTACCTACTACTGGTCGTACCGAGTACTGACGGAGCACTGATAAGGTAGTAAGGTACTGAACTCGAAAGAATACGTCGTCATCGCTGTTGGTACGGAGTACCTGTGGGGACGGGCTGGCGGGATCGCGGTCGGGAACAAACCGAATCCAGCCTCGAATCGCCAGTTCTTGTCGTGGGGACGGAGTCTCGTTAGGGCATGCTTATTAGCACCTACGGTAATTAATGGCTGACAGGTCCAGATGGCGGGTGGTACGAAGTAAGGTATGAGTATACGTTGTAGTTGTACATACAGGGCCCCGAACCACATCATTAGCTGCCGTTTCTTCATTCTCCTCTTCTGTCTGCTTTCTGCTACTGCTGGCTTTGCAGATGCCATTGCCATGACAGGTAAGGTACTTTTATGACGGCCGAGAATAGGGACCTGTTTTCCGAGCTGTCCGAATGTCAACAGCATCCGGCCGCCCCGAGCTCCTACAAGTATGGCAGCTTGTTCTGGTCCTCCCGTTGTCCGTTGTGCCTTCGAGTAAGTTGTACCCGTGACACGTCTAATGTCGAGAGGCGTTCGGGCGATGGTCGCAGAGACGCAGCCATACGTCGAGGTAAACTTGACTCGCCATTCCTCAGCGGGCCCCTTATCATTTATTGACCTCTGAATATATAATCACAACTAAGAGGGTGATAACAAAGGAAGGTAGAAAAGAAGGGCAAGGTATCAAAAAGGGACCAAAGGAAAAATACCTCTCAACAAACCGTCAGTACACACTACAGCCAAGAGAAAGAGAAAGAGAGGTTCATACCTTAGGCAGAAGAGGACTCACTCGCATAAGCCAAACCACCACATAATGCCACTTCAACGCCCCTCCCCCCACACTCGGCCCAGAGGACCAGAGTCCGAACGACCGAAAGGGATGATGGTCTTCTTGCCTTCCTTCTCCTTGGTAGCACTGTCACTGTCGTCGCTGCCACCACGGTTCTCGTTCTCGTTCTCATTCTCGTTCTCGTTCTCGTTTCTGTTTCTGCCAGCATTATACCCCGAGGACATGTTGATCCCCTCGAGAAAACCGCGAAGAGAGACGACCTCGTCCTCAGAGTGCCGAGGCCGCACACCAGCGGGCAATTCGGTCAGCTCCATGACCGAGGAAACAACCGGGCTGCTTTGGTCCGAGGCAGGGGTGGTAGTCCGGGGCGTGGGAGGAAGACCCTGCATGGACGCAGCGCGCTTGCGGGGACGGCGACCTGACCTGATGATGCCGGAGATGTGTTCGCGGTGTTTCCAGGCCAGGCGACCACCGACGCCAAAGACAAGGACGGCGGCAACGATCCCAATAGTGATGGGTCCTATCAGCCTATCATCTATCTTGCGGGCCGTGATGATGGCTCCATAACCATGACCTAGGAGGCTGAGGAACAGAATGAGGAGCTTGGTGGCAAGCATGGGTGTTGTTTTGAGAAGGGTAAAGGTGTTGATAAGGTCTTGGTCAAGATCAAGGTCTGTTGCTCTGTGATGATATGAGACTGGTTCTGCGCACAGGATTCCAGATTCTTAATGTGATGCCTGGTGGTGATGCCTGTTTTCATGCACAAAGCTGTAACAGCCAAAGGGATGGAATGACGCAAAGAAAGACAAAGCGCTGGAAATGGTGAAGAAGGCATGTGAAATAATGTAGTGGAGAGAAAGCCTTTCTACCCTTTCTACTCATATATCCCGTTCAAAGCATCGCCTAGCCAACTTGTCCGGTCACGATAGTCTTGTTGACATGCATGGCCTTTCCTTCTCCAGTGTCCGGTTCACCAGCCCCTCCGTTGGCAAGGTAGGGTGCATCTAATGCCCAAAAGCCATGAATGCTCTATTACTGATAATGCTTGACATCCCGAAATAACAACTATAGGCATAGATATCTTAACCAGAAGGCCAGTGATTTCTTCAAAGATTAATTAGCATTGTCCACAATAGTGTAATAACAGTACAGGAGAGGTAGTTCGATATTCCTCCAGCATGGTGTCTGTACAAGTAGGTAGTCGTCCGAATCCAACGCCTTGCGCTTGCGAGCATCCCCTTCGCTCATCCCCCCTTTCCAGTCGTTTTGAAGTGCCTACACCCCCCACCAAGAAGCCATTGAAACAAATGAAATCCCTAGAGACGGTGTCCCGGCCGTCCTGTATGTTACCGTGATCATACAATGATACTCATACACCGTACAGCTCCCCTTCTCCAGCTTCAAAAGCAAAAAATGTTCCCACCCAGAGAGGAAACTTGGCCTATAGCCTAGAGGTCGGCCCAGTCCGCCCAACGCCGTTCTTCGCCCTCTTCCAATCCCACTTGGCCTTGCCATCATATCGCATGAACTTGTTGCCCAATGCAGCCGACACCGTCAGCGGTTCCTCGGTCGGGACCAGCGAAGGGTACGAGTAGTACGGCAGCCGGCCCTTGCCCGTCTTCTTCGTCATCGCAGCAGGGAGCGTCTTCCGCTGCTCCTTCATGATCTCGCCGAGTTCCTTCTCGTTCTCGGCAATCTGCGCCCGGAGGAACGCGAGGTCGTGTTTCTCGGCTTGCTGGAGCGAAGCCATCACGGGCGTCCGCGGCGTGTAGGGGATACCGTCCAGCTTGGGCGCGCGTGCCGGGTCCGGGACGATATTCGGGTCGAGGTGCGCCTCGGACCCCTTGTCCAGAAGGGTCTGGATGTCAATACTTTCACCCGGCGGGATGGAGGTCGGGTGACTGGGCGTGACGCAGTCCATGTCCACCTCCTTGCGCAGGACGTGGTCGATGTCGATGGCGGAGAAGTATGCGCACGACTGCGGGAGGTCGTGGATGCCGACCTGCTCGGCGAACATGGCCCTCGTCCAAATGTTGGCGACCTGCAGCGCCATGGCCGCACGATACCTGTCGTCGTTCTTCACCAGGTATCTGATCTCGTCATGGACAGTGATGGCGACACGAGCATCGATGTTGAAACGGCGCGTCAAGTAGTCCATGGCCACGACGAGGAGATGGAGATAGTCGACGCCCGAAGACTGAATGGCCCAGTTGATGCGGGAAGTGAGGTAGCCGCCTTTGTTGATGTAGCGCCCCATTAACGCCTCGGTGATGCCCGCGCCTAGCACGGGCGTCCGTGGTCGCTCTTGCTCCGCAAACTCCTCGAGTTTGTTGAAAACGAACGACTCGGTCCCGCCCCGCCAGAAGGGTCGCTTGTGCAAGATCTTCCTGTTCGTTTTGGTCCCTTTCGTGTTGGCATACAGTCTAGACGCGATCTCCAGCGTCTCCTTCTCCGACAGCGTCGGGTTGAACTGGCGCAGGAGCTGCGCGGCGAACTTCAACCCCGCGCCGTAAATACGGCCGTAGTTGAACACCTTGGCATCATTCCTCGTGATGCCGAGGATGCTAGCCGTCCGGGAGTGGAGATCGGTGCCTGCCGCCTTTGTGCCTTCCAGGGTCATGAAGCCGATGGCATTGCCGCCGTGGAGCTTGAAGGTAGCGTCCCCCATCAAACTCGCGATCCACAACTCTTCCGAGTCGACATCGGCACCGACGAAGCTGTAGCCCGGTGGGGCCTTGACCATGGCCTTCAACTCCGATCCTACCCTGTTCTTCTTAGCATTGCTGGCCGTGAGCCACGTGTTCTCGACGGCTCTCCTGGTGATCGTCCCCATCGGGATGACCTGCGGGAGAATGAATCCCTGGTCGCTTGGGATTTCTGCCCCGGTCTTCTTGTTGTTCGCCAGATCATCGCCGTAGACAACCATCTGAGACATAATCCGGTCTCGTGCGCTGATCCAGTATGAACAGGATGCGTTCATTTCCAGCGCCTCCTTAGCGTAGGAGTATGTGGACGAGAGCGCCCCGCTCTCGAAGTATGACAGATAGCTCTTGGCCATGGGGTTGGTGCACCTCGCTGTCGGACCATCCTTATGTGGTAGCTTGAAGTACACTCCCTGGACGTCTTCCCTCGGGGCATCGATTTTCTCGTCGCTAAAGTCGCACCGTATCATCTGCTTGCTGAGGTATTTGGGAGCCTCTGATTTCGAGACCCGAAAGGTCCAGCCATATGTATCCGACCAGAAAAGGGGACGCCCGTCCCAGGAAAGCTTGAGAAGCAACGGAGCGATCCGCGTCCTGACGCTGATGTTGATGGGTGCGTCATTCTTCGGAAACAGATCCTTGTACCACTGGGGCATACCGGGCTTTTTCTGCCTCGCAGCAGGCCGGGGAGGGTCATTCTTCTTCTTTCCCTTCACCATCCTGATCTCCTGCCCAGACCAGTCCAGTTGCTTTAGCCACGGATCGTTGCCCCAGATCTCCGGACAATCCTTGATCTTCAACGCCTCCTCCGTCAGGCCAACCAGCCGTTCCACGACAGCGTCAGAAAGCTTCTGGTAGGTGGCTTCGGCGTTCGCAATGTAGGCGTCCCAGGACGTATTCACGGGGAGAATGACGGAGGAGAGGTGTCGGAGAGCGGCAAAGCTCACGGGATGAGGGCAGGTGGAGAGGAAGTTGGGGAACACGACCTGGAAGACTCGGTGGGTTATGGCGACGTCAGCAGCACAGTAGTCCAACATCTCGTCCAGTTTTCCGAGGACTCCATTTCGGTCTAGGGTTCCCATCTCGTCTCGGATCGCTTTGTCGATGGCGACGTCGAGATGGAATTTGGCAACATCCCGCAGGGAATTGACGGAGCTGCGCTCGACCCACAGGTCCTCCTCTTCTTGACGTAGCGCACTATTCCTCAGAAGCTCGGCCAGTTGTACGTCCTCTGACTGAGTGGCAATGCGTTCCCGGAGCTCCCGGTTCTTCTTGTGCCTCATCCAAGTCGGCCGCTGCTGGGAGCACATGCCGTTGACGGCGACGTGCAAGGACATGGTATCCAGGTAAGCATTCCGCGTTTGGCGTACGTCGTACTCCTCCAGAATACGGGCCCTATCGTATCCAATGTTGTGGCCCACGATGATGCGCTCTCTGGATGGATCGCCCAGGGGGATCAGGTGGCGGTCGTTGTCGGATTCGCCTAATAGCCACGGCGACAACCAGGCATACCAGGCCGTGGGGCTTTGAGCGCAGGCCATGACGGCAAATGAGCTCTCCTTCCACATGACCTCAGTATCGAAGCAAAGGATCGTATCGTCGGGCGCATCGACAGGTTCGGCACGTCCGTCCGCATGGTATTTGGTCCACCCGCTGCGGCGGACCCACTTCCGGGGTTTCGGGGGCGCATTGGCAACGACAAATTGCTTCGCCATGGTTAGGTATGGCTCAGCGCAGTCCACCCCAAGTTTGTGAAAGTGTTCGTCGAGAGATCGGCCGTGCAGTGGGGGCAGGTCGAACGCGATAGGATCGCTGTTGTCGGTATTTTTCCCCAGTAGATCATGTCTGCGCAAGTGATCTTTAGCGAGCTCTACAAGAGCCGCCGGCGGGGGAGAATTCCCGTTGGGAAATATTTGGCCATGGATGTGGGAACTGAGTTGCTGAACGCCGATCTCGTTAAAACGTGGTTGCGACGGGACTGGGTTGCAGAACCGTTCTGTTAGCTCAAGAGGGATCAACGGACTGCAGACATGCGAATGGAAATGGAAGCCGCAAATTCCCTTACTCGCTAGACTCTTCCCGTGTCCCTGTACCTGGTCTGGCGAAGAAGATTCGATCTTAGCTGTGTCGGTGCTGAGGGCGACGGAGGGTTGCCATCGTATCACGCCAATATGGGGGCGCACTTGATGAGATTTCACCAATCGGCCGCAGGTTGCTGTTGGGCCCCTCCAGAAGTGCCCATGTACAATCTGTCGCATTTTTGTTACCGTCTGCTGAGATTCATTTTGAAATGGTGTTTGTTACTGTAGTCCCAGAGGCGAAGTTGAAACACTGGGTCGTGGAGTGTGAAGTGAGTGCATGAAGTCTACCCTGCGACCGTCAAACTGCGTCTGCGTCACCTTGTCTGATGTCTCTGGCGAAGTACCTATTAACTCTGGTCTAAAGTAAATTAAATAAATTAAATAATCACGTGATAACGCGTCTGCCTCGTGCCTTTCGAGTCTGTAGCCCCAATCGCAGCACAGGATGCCAATTTTATTCGCGATCATTGGTGCACTGTTGGTGCTTTAGAAGAATTATAATATTATATTATAATATACGACATCTTCCCTTGTAAGGGATTCAAGTCCAATCCAAGGGCAGATGGATAGGCACCACTCCTTTGTGCTTCGTTCGCCAATCTCTGTGGCTGTTGACGGCCCGGGAGACCGCCAATCCCCCTTATATCCGTACATGTCAGCCTTTGCCACCCCCTCTTCGTCTTTGACGAAGGTACTAGGTAGCTTCAGCCGCAGCTGGAAGACACTAGCCACAAAACAAGGATCTAACCCACTACGTCAGCCACAATCAGATCCACAACTCACCACGCCGATATCTAAGGTACTTCGTATACATTTGGGACGACTACGTCAACATGCGATAAACATAACCTTCACAACGAGCTTTTCACTTTCATACCATCCTCCTCCGCACTGGAGGCGAGAATTGGCAGGATTTGTCTCACGTGGAGCTTCACCGACTTAAATCAATGTGGTCGTACAAGGCCACCAAGACCTGGGCGAGGACCTTCAAGAAGGAAACCCAAGCACAAGCTACCTGAATACCCATCTCCTTTGTTTGGTTGTCCTCGGTATTCCTGGGCCCTCCTACGTCTTTCTCTTTGAAGCTTCGTCTTCTATCAGCTGCCTAGCCCTCCATCCGCCCCTCTGGTCCCAAGACACTTCTTCTCCAGCATCCTCTGCCCCTCACTACCGACAACATGCCGCCCACAAGGAAGCGCCCTGCCCCCTCGACCGAAAACCCTACCGAAGCAGCGGCACCATCTCAAGCACCCAAGCGGCGTCGCGCCTCGCAAGCGTCTTCGAGGAGCAACCCCGCCACTTCAGGAAACCGCCAGAACTCTCGCTACCAGGCCGTCTTTGACGACGACGACGACGACGACGACGATATTTTCGGAGACCGCAAAGCGAAGAAGAAGCAGGACCAAGAGGATGACGAGGATGTCATAGATTTGGCCAGCTTAGACGAAATCCCCGAGTCGCAGCGGGTGCCCAAAGAGGACAAACGCATCAAGCTCAGCAAGTTTCAATGTGCGATCTGTATGGACTCTGGCACAGGCTTGGTCGTTACACACTGTGGTATGTGATCGCCCGCGTTCCTTGTCCTCGTTTCAAACGCTGACATGACTTTCACAGGCCACATGTTTTGTTCCGAATGTCTGCAGTCCGCCCTTGATATGGAAGCGACGAACAAGAAATGCCCCATCTGCCGCCAGAAAATCGACCAAAAGGATCGCAGCGCCTACAACTCCAAGACCAAAGGGTTCTGGCACTTAGAGCTCAAGTGCATGACGGCTCGGAAGCTGGCCAAGCAGCCGTCGCGTTGAGAGTCAAGGAGATACTCCATTGGGTTGGCGCCCTCTGAACTCATGGTGGGCTCTGCCAGAGACATACGACTGGAAAGAGACACACCCGGGGAGGAGAAGAAAGCCACCGCCACGACGAAAACCGCAACAGCTGCACGCAAGAATAAATTCCACCCCGAGGTGATCAACCAATGACTCTCGCGCATGGCGCGGCCCGCTGCCAAGGACAGACGAAGATGAGGGAGGACGGGTACATTGGACCAGGAATAAACCCGGGGTACGCGCGCGGAAGGGAGGTTGGCGTTCTGATCATGATACCCCTTGGCCTGGCTTTATAAGATGAGGGTCGCGGCCTTTGAGTTTTACCAAGGCGAATAGGAATAGGGACAGTGCCGAAGATGAACGCATCTGGATAACACAAGGGGGTTTCCGGGATACTTGTATGCGAGAAGGTGTCGGGAGGAGCGTTATTCATACCTCTCTCTTGCCAGCAAGAGGGAGGCAACATGCCGAAGAGCAATTTGACACTGCGATCGGCGTGGCCATTTTGTATCCTACCTAACACAGGCAGGCATGCCGAATGTATGAGCAATGTTTATGAAGTAGGATCGCTTGCCGCCTGCTTAAGGCATGGCATAGCATAGTATATTACTTTTAGCCCACCCATCCACCTGTATATACATTTACATGGGTACCCAGAACGCCGGCTTTTACGCACTCCGACAAGGCCGCTGACGATGCTGACGACAAGCCTACACGCATATTCACGCAAAGGGGTTCCTAATGCTTTTGATACCATCCTTCCGCCTTGTCTAACCCGTTGCCGCTCTCCTGCATCTCTGTGCCTAGTGCGGTCGAGCGCCACTTGAACAGTCTGAATTGCTTGCTTGTTTGACTTAGTGGAACACCGTCGTTCTACCGTTCTGAGTCGTGTTTGGAATGAGGGCGTTTTCGTGCTGTGCATCCAGTGTTAGCAATCGTCATGGGCTCTTTTGTATCTCGGGTCCGAACGAAACACTCACCTCCAAGAAACCAGTTGCGGTGATGAGCAGCATAAATCCCTCCGCTAATTCCTCCACCCAATGCTCCAATGCGCCACTTTGGGCGCCGGCGCGATGACTGTTGCCGCCGCCGCCGCCGCCTGCTTCTACCGCCCCGATACCAGCGCTCCTCTTCAGCGTATGCGCCACTAGCATGCGGTGATCGGTCAAGAACTTCTGCCCTTGGCCGGTGTAGCTGGCCCCGCGACAGACGATGGCGGCAGCAATGATGTGGGCCATCTTGGCCAAGAGCTCGTAGTGTTTCGCGAGAGCGTGAGGCTTGGCGGGATCGGCCTGCAGTTCGGGATCGGCCGAGAAAAGACCCGACATCTCGACGTGGCGTAGGAGGTTCGCATGCAGGATGGCCGTGGCGCCGGTACGAGTTTGCGCGAGCTGCAGAAGCAGAGCGAGCTTGGCGGCCATCAAAGTCTCCCCGGCCTCGTCGCCCGACTGAATAATCTCGGACCACTCGCGAAGAATGTCGCGGAGCGAATCGACCAGAACACCCACGAAATTGCCCTCCGAAATCATCTCCAACAAGCGTGGACTCTTCTCCTGCCGGCTGAAGGTGATGAGGGCATTGAAGAGGATCAGAGCCGCCGTTCGACTCTCTACCTCTCCGCGCAGTGCGTCCTCGCAGATGGCATCGATGAGACGTTCCCCGTATGTCTGTATTGCGCTCAGCGTTTTCGGCCGGGCAGACATCAGCGGCCCGTCGTCAACCATGCCCGTCAGGTAGCGGTAGCAGATGGCGTAGTAGATTGCGCGCGATTCTGGCCGTGTCGCCGTCCCCTTACCGATCGCCTGGAGGGATATCTGGAAGAGCTGATAGAGCTTCTCGCTAACAAGACTACCAATGCTCTGGCTCTCTTTGTCCAGAGAAGAAGATGGTTTGGAGGCGAGATCGAGTTTGAAAAGAAGAACCCTGCCGAGACCGGCCAGTTCCGCGGCTTCTGCAGGCCTGTCGCAAGCATAGAGTTCCAGTGCGGGTAAAATTGCCTGCAAGGTCTGCAGCAGGAAAGATGTCCGGGTGGTGCCCTTGAAGTCGTTCGATTCCACCATGACTAGCAGCAGGCTGGTCCATGCTTTGAGGACCCGAAGGCTGCGGGACGCTATCTGGTTTTGGCGATTGCTTGAAATGAGGTGCTCGAGGATCATAGCCTCTTCTTGCTCAATGGCGGAGAAATCCTGTGCCGTGAGGACAACACCGTCGTGCCGTTTTTCGCTGCGCTTGAGCAGAAGGATTTCCTTAGCACGCTCTACGTTGAAGATTTGAACGCCATCAACGTCCATCTCAATGCAGATGCTCAAGTCGAGCCCTGTGTAAAATTGTAACCGCGGCTCCGGATTCTCCCACAAACCATCAGGAAGCAGAAAGTCATAAAGGTCGAAGACAGTCGGTATCACGATCGGCTCGTTGTTGTCGCCTACGAGGCGGCCATTGAGGGCTTCGAAGATGCGGCGTTTGACCGAGGGGAGTCGGCTTTGTGATATGCTGCAGAGCTCCATGGCGATGTACTCCAGGGCCATGCCCCGAAGGGCGAGGAAGTCAATAAGTGTCGCGGCGCCCCCAGTCAGAGGGAACTGCGGCTGGTTGATGTCCTCCCCCTCCCAGGGGAGCGCCGGCTGGATGACAACGTCGCGTAGCAACAGGTGAAATAGCACCTCGTTATCCCGCAACTCGTCGATGGCAAATGGCGCCGTCAAGGGAGAGCTCCAGAGTACTCGCAAGATGCGCATAGACTTGAACTTGAGTGTGATAAGCCATTGCCGCATTCCCTGAGCGTCTCCGGCGGGCGTCTCCAGCAATAGTCGTAAGAGGCTGTGGAACAGGGATGTCCTGTTAGCGAACGCTCCGTTGGGGTCGACGTTCAGATTCTCCACGCCGCACTGAAATCCCAAAAGGAGATGCGCGATGGTGGGCCGGTTCGGCATCGCCGCCAGGCAACTGAACAAGAAGTCTAGGATGTAGACCTTGATCATGTAGTTCGGAGAGTCCGCTTCGCGGCCGAAATCGAAAGGCGCTGTAAGTTCCGAGGTGAGCGAACGCGCTATCGCCTCGTCGTCCCCGTTCGCCTCCATGGCAATGATGGCTCTGTTCCGTTGCGTCTGTCGGCCCGAGGTGAGAGTCCACGCAGAGGTGATTTTCGGGGCGCTCGACATCCTCTCCAGTAATTTAAGACAGGCCAGAGCGAGGTCGGGGTGACCTATACCGCAGTAATTACCAATATCAACCACCAGGCTCAGATGACCGGCGAGACCATCCTCGAATGACGCGTAGGCAGCGTTAGCTACTGGCGGCCGACGATGGCTCGACTGGAGTTTGACGAGGGGCCGCACAAGATCAAGGTAGGTCGGCTGAAGGTCCAGCACTTTGAGGACGACTTCCACAGCACGCAAAATGCCGAGGATGACGGGCGAATCGGGAGGAGCACTGCCAACTTCCGTTGGCTCGACATGTATGATTTTGAAAAGAGCAGCAATCGTCTTGTCGTTGAACATCCACTCCATGACCCGGGCGAAAGGGTGGAGCCGCACGTAGGTCGCAAGATCCGTCGCCCCAATGGCTGCATCCAGCTGAATGTTCGTCTCGTTGGCCAGGATGATCAGGTCTTCGTTGAAGGTCGTGAGGCAAACCAAGGCGAACTCGAGGCAGCTGAGTCGGAGCAATCGCGCTTGGTGGACATCGGTGGCCTCGTTGACTTTGGCAGAAGACAAGGTGCCCAGCACCAAGTCGACGTACAGCTCGATACCTGGCATCCTGAAGGCACTGCCCAGGGTCTCGGGGAACGGCAACGAATCGTTCAGGTGGCTGCTTTCTTCTGATGGTGTCACCAGCGCCATCAGGAATTGAATGAAGGCGATGCCCTCTTCTGGCGTTGAGCAGAGTTCGTCCCCAATCTTTTGCTGAATGTCTTCGGGGGCGTTCAGGGGTGGCCGGTGGTGGCCGGCTGGGAAGACAACGTATCCACCGCTCATCCAGTTTTCGAGGCAAGTCCACATAATCTGGCCTTCCTCTTGCGACTTGTGAGTCAACAGGCCTCGCAGAGTCGTGAACACGCTGCCACGTATATGAGGCAGTATCGGACTGCTAGCCAGTTGAAAGCACACCTCCACAAGGTTATAGTTAGGCTCCTTGAGTAGCAGCTGCCTGGCCGTCTCGCTCTGCGACGAGAGCTTTGCGATGAGGCCGAGATAGGCTTGCAGCATCATCTCGGACTCTGGTTCAGCTTCGGCCTGGTCGGCAATTGGCCTTCCTGACCGATACAAAGTTGTCTGGGCTGCTGGAGGCATGTCGCGAGTCTTATTCGCGAAAAAGCTGAGCTCCTTGAATATTTGGTGCCAGGTCAGAGAGAGTGATCTCCTCATCTTCCCAGACGCATGATGGCCTTCATCAAGCAAAAAGTCATGCGCAGCTGTGGCACAGGTGTCGTTCCCGGAGATGGACTGTAGCATGTTGCAAAACGCGGTAACCAGGGGCGTGGAAGCTCGTCGGGAAGCCCAATGCATGAAGCCCGCCAGATTGCTATCCGGATCAGACCAGAAATTTGTCGCGGCATCCGGACGGTCCTCATAAGCGAAAGCAATAATAAGCAAGAAACGCTCGAGATCCGCATCTTGTTCGTAAGCCTGGCTCAGCTGCCGCTGCTCATCCTCCTCGATACGGAGCCTCCGCAGAACATCGGGGAGGTTGGATATGAAGGCATCGACAAACACTTCCATCCGGATTGCCAAACATCGCTTGAACGAGTCGGAGAAGGGCGCCGATTCCTGAGCTAGAGGTGGCGTCTTTCGGACAAGCCATCTGAAGAGAGCTGCTCTCGAAGGATCCTGACGTTCAGAAATGTTCACATCGGCCACGATCGAGAGCATGAAGTCGAATGCCCCATCTTTCAAAGCATCAAAGAATGTCTTTGACCGCTGCCGATCCTCTGGTGAGGCGTTAGTGTCAGTCTCGGGTTGGTCATGTCGTGATGGTAGGTCATCTCACCTGCATCGAGATCCACCCCCTGAAGGCTACCAAGGAGCGCATCGTCAAGATACCAACCGCTATACTCGGCAAGCCACCATGTCCTCACGGCGGCTTGGAGGTTGGTCAGCGGCCAGGGAGTGTCGTCCTTTGGGCGACAGATAAAATCATCGAGCTCTCGGGCAACAGCCAGGTCTCCAGCGCCTTCAGTCGAGCCGAATGTGGCGATATAACTGCCAAGCACCGGGTACAAGTGAGCTTCGCAGGAGTTAGTCTACACGTTTTTGTTTTCTAACAAGTTTGTCATATGATAGCTTACCGAGCAGGATGTCATATTTCTCCGTCCTCCTGAGAAGTTGGAGGAGATTCTGGAAATCCGATGCGTGGCCGTCCTTCTGTTCAATGGCATTGCTCAAGACGATGGAAAGGAGTTCGTGCTGCTGAATGAGGCTCACTCTGGAGAACTCGAGCGTCTCTAGGCCGTCAGGCATATTCCCTCCTGATCCGCTCATCAACACAGCAGCGGCGGTCATCTTGTCGCCTATCCTAGCTAGCCAGGATCGCACGTCCTGCATGGCGGACATGCATCTGGAGATGAGTGTGTTTTGGCCTGACCGTTTCATGACGTTCTCAGCGATATAAGCCTGGATAACGTTGACGACATTTTCGTCCGCCTCTTCCGCATCGAAGCCATCAATCTCGAAAAGCAACCGCAAGCTGTCGAGAACATATTTCCGCTGCTGGTGAAATCGGATGATGGCGCATTCGAGTAGGGGCCGGCCAAGGATCGCGGTGTCCTCCTCAGACTCCAGAACATATCGGGAAGCCTCGATCTCGTTTATTTCCGTCTCGTCCGCCAGATTGAGAGCAATCTGCTGAAACTCGTCGTTGACCGAGTACTCGTCCCCGTCAACCGTAATCTTGCCTATCGTATCGGCCTGGCATCAGTTGTCTGAGCAGCATCATGATTAGGTTCAAGCAGCGTCTCCTACCTGACTTGAGGTGCTGGCGACTTTTTTCCTCCCTGGCCGGACGTTGCCATAGCCGGTCTAGCTCGCGCTTGAAAACCCTTTGCACCAAAGGATTGTCGAAGGATTCCACATTCTCTGGACGGCCCTCACGGATCGCGACAAGGTCGCGATGGAAAGATTGTAGTGCATCCAAGGTGGTGACCTCGGCCATGATGGCGAACGGAACGCTATGGCGTGGTGGGAATTGGTATGGACTGCATGAGCTAGTGTGAAGCCCACGACGATTGAGGGCCTGCAGGTACTGGTCGTCGGTTTGTCGTCTACGGAGTGATGTCGTTCTGGTTAAAGTGCGGATAGGTATCGAGATTTTGGACGCGACGGGTGGTAGAATTCCAGATCTTGCTAGTATCTGTACCTAATTTGGAGCTTGATTGTCCGTACCTTACTAGACTGGGCTGGGAGCTGTTCGTACCTCAGGTACCTTGAGATAGGTACTAAAGTATGGATACCATGCCCTGGTACTTCGCAGAACCTTACAGGGGCACGGGTATCCTCCCCCGGGTAGACAGATGTTCCGGCCGCTTCCAATGGCGCATCTCCTGAGCCTACCGCTTACTTACAAAGGAAGGCGGTGGAGGTTTCTGCCTTGGACTCCCATGGGAGCTTAGAACGAGCTCCTGGCAATTACAAGGGTCCTGTTGAGATGTTGATAGAGGAAGAATAATATGTCCAGAGGTCATGGTGAGGCCACGCAGACGTGTTTTTATTTTTATTTTTATATGAATCATTAATCATTGTTCTTTTCCTCTATTGGCATCGTTCTCATCGTCCTTCCTGCCGTCGTTCTCATCGTCGTCGTCATTGTCTTGGTCGTTCTCCGGCGCGTCGTTTACACACGCGAGACGGTAATTTCAGAAATGAAATGGCTCCCGCCAAGTCATCTGGGGGAGATGTTACCCTCTATGATGCTCTAGACTCCATATCCGGGGGAACTGTGAAGGAACGGAGCAACGGCTTGGACGATCTCATCTTTTTACTCGAGAAGAAAGCTAGAGCAGCAAGCCTGTAAGAACCAGCCCCCCTTGGGTTCTCTTCAACGTAGGTTTCTAATGAAAACAGGTCCGGTCTTGCGGATAAGCATTACCATCGCATCTTTGAGACAATCTTCAGGAGTGCCGTCTCCGAAAAGCAGAGCTATTATGGAGGCAAGAAGACCACAGCCGCTTCTGCGGCATCACGGTTGTCCAAGTGGTAGGTTTTCCCGGCCTTAACACCCAGAGCGCCTGATCTGACTTGCCCAAGTGCCGAGGCCCTCCGTCTGGCGCTTAATCATGGTGCCGCCAAATTGAAGCGAAAGACAGTCCTCTCTGTCATCGATCACATTACGCAGACCCTTCCTGGACGCGGTCCGGACCAGCATTTCGTAGAGCCGTTGCTTCAAGACTACATCAAGTCCATGGTCGTCATGCTCTCTCATCAAGCGAATGTTGAGCACCTAGGTACTCACGGCGGAGAAGGCTGGAGAGAATGCGTGGAGTTCTGTATCGATTCTATGTCGGTATACCTTGATGGTGCCGATCAACGGGATTCCAGTTCTCGTGCATCTCCCGCCCCGGGAACAGGTGTGTCCTCTTACTCCCTTCTGTTTGACATACCAAGGATCTGGCGAGCGAGGCTAACCGAGCACACGAGGCCTCAGGCTCTCTGTCGGCGTCCGGTAGGTCGGTTGCGAACCGGAGAGGCTCAGGTCAACTGCATCGAGGCACTTTACAGGACCTTCTCCAGTGCCTCTACCTACTGGTCGTTCCGCCCAACGCCCCTCTGGCGCAGAAATCCCAAGATGTCGCCAGAACGCTCCTTCGAGCTCTCCAACTTCGCCACTCTGGGCTCAGCCAGATCACCTATCTAGCATTTGCGTCGCTAAACATCCTCCTGGCGAGGACCCAAGCTGATGACCTTGCACAAGCTGGAAACTTAGCCAAGGAAATTGTTCCCTTAATCACACATTGGTGGCAGGGACGTGCTGTCTCAAAGGACGAAATGCTCAACTCTGTCAGAGACGAAATGCTCAAGACCATGTTCTTCATCCATCTCCACCTTGAGCGCATCGTTGTGGACGACACGGATCTCTCAATCGAGGGAGACTTGGAGGACCTCTCGGAAGCCCTTTGGCTTGAATACACGAGGCGGAACGAGCGGGATCAGCTCCAGTTGGATGACCTCACATTCTTAGTCGCCACGCTTCCTGGGGATTACTTTAGTCTGAACACCTTTGGCCTCCGCCCGCACAATCTAGATGGCGAGAGGAAGTGGGCACTGGTACAGAACCTGGCCTTCCTCGAGAGGATACTGTGGATGGCCAAGTCTCAGAAGCCTTCGGTAACGACGGGCCAGGAAGAACAACCTCGCAAGAAGCGTCGCACCGTGATCAGTGCCAGCCGTCTTCTAGAGAAGCTCAAGTCTGCCGATCCAGCAGTGCAACGAACTGCCATTCAGCTCGTTCCGTTTCTCCTGGAGATCAAGGCTTACTCCCCGACCGATCTTGCAGAGTTACGGTCTGAGATGTCTCCCTTTGTCAGCGGCACTGGAAGTACCACCTCCTGGGCGATGCTGGCTTGTGCTAGGTACGTTCTCCTTTTGTTCTTGGCTCTCAAGCTGCCTTATCATTCTCTCTACGCCTCTGCACCTACCTTATCACATCCTGTCACATCCTACCTTGGCCCCGGGTGTTACTTATGAATGTCTCGCTCTGGAGACGGGGAATGGGTTGCTTGGCGGCCCCTGATCAAATCCTCGTCCTCCCCGGCTGCACGCTTCGTCTAGCATGTTTACGTCCATCCGTCTGGGCTAACTTCGCCTACAGTTACATCGTACACGCGCCAAATCCACAACACGACGCCAGTTTCTGGAAATCCATCTGGCAGATAGCTGCTCGCGCGGCTAGCCTGTCGAGCACCTGCCGTGCAGCATGTCACTTAATGCATGTGATGATCGAGTCGGATGTGCTCCCCTACCATAGTATCTCCGATGAGATCAACAGTCTTGTGGCGACTGCGGACGTCAACGGCCCGGCCACTCTGGTAGACTCGTCCATTACACTCATGATGCGTCTGCTCTACCTTCGCAATGCGAAATTACCAGGCGCCAACCAGTCAACATCCCATCACATCATTCGGTGGGCGTTCTTTAGGTGGAATCCAGCTGATTTGTCATTTGCTTCGTCCAAGGCCATACACACGCACCCACGCGAACTTGCAGACCTCATACAAGCTTGCTGTGGAGTTGTGGTACCGCAGCGTATCGCCCAGACTTTGGTGTCAGGAGGTCCCATCAGCGAAGCATGGACCGTTTATAACGAGTCCGCCCCAGTCACGAGATATCTTCTTCTTCTCCCCAATCCACCCTCGCAACGACATGATTTGGCAAGGAGCCGAGAGGGTTCCACGGTGGTCAATTTGGTTCATGCAAACGACTCGGACAATTCTCACGCCTCGAAAAGGCTGATTCTTGAGCTGTTCTGCCCCAAGATTGAAGAACTGCAGGACCTATGCAACTCATGGAGTAAAAACACAGTTGAAGTCAGGGTGCAAGTATCTCCGGAGAGACTGCACAGTCTTTTCTCTACTTGTGTTGTTGGCGCACTTCTGATGCCTCAGCTCCAAGGCTTGAACTCGCGACAATCACGAGATATAGAATCGGCCGTGTTTGACCTCTTGGATTCGAGCTTGGGGGCCGTCCTCGACGCACCCGATAATCGACCATTCTTCGATGTCCTCCTCAAGGCGTCCTCACTGCACATCCCTCCTCTAGAGACGACCGCGATGAACCTCCTCGTCAAGGACGGCCTTCACATACTACGTCTCCTGTCCAAAGTCGCGGAGTGTCTGCACCAGCGAACCTTGCGCGAGTCGTCTGGCCAGCACCAGGATTTGATGGATTTGGACGACGAATTCGAGTCTCAGGCCAGCCGAGCTAGTACCTCGAGCAGGAGCCTCGACGTTCCCAGACGAAGCCAGTCGATGAAGCTAAGTCACGAAGCTTTTTGCATGTCCACGACACTGCGACTCTACTTTTTGGAGGCAATCCATAAAGACCATGGACAAGCCGGCCTACTCCCTGGAGACTTCTTCGAACATTCGCTGAGCCTTTCGAAGGAAGACCTCCTCCTCAGTCAAGGGGTGCTTTCTGAGGTGTTCAAATCCGATTTCGTCGTCAACCCTGATGACGCTTTGCGCATCATTGAGAAGCTTGGCGAGGTCATTGGTGAGGCCGAGTTCACTTGCTGCGAGGTTGCTCACTGCATGACTCTAGATGTCATGGAAGGCCTCGTTTCCGTTTGGCTGGACGAGAAGCATGAAGTAGCAGCCTGTGTGGGCGATCTCTATCACTACTTCATCAAGGCATCGCTTCCTAAGAACAGCCTCTCTCCCAGGTCTCAAATCCGTCTCGCAGGGTTGTTGTTTGCCCTTCTGCGGCACGATCCCCAGTACGGGGCAAAGCTGGGCTTAGCTTCTTGTCGAACCACACTTCTCTCTGTTCTGCAGCCGGGGGCGATGCTGGTCAAGCACTACATAGCCACCCGTCTACCGGACATATTTAGCTTGTATGTCTTGAAAACTCACGACGATGTCTTCATTGACGTCCTGGATAATCTTCCCACCGATGCAGACAACGTGGAGGGAATAGCGTTTCGCCTCTTCGTTCTTTCAGAGTTGGCGTGCCGCTGGTCAACCCTCCTTCGACGATGTACTTACCACATTTTCGAGACCCCTGCCAACATCCCGTCTTCTACTAAATATGCGACAAGGTGCGTGGCCAAAGTATCAGAGGCGCTCGGATTCGAATCTCCCAAGCAGCTGTTCGAAATCTTCAAACCCCAGCTCTTGTACACATGGCTCGATGGCGACGAAATCGAGAAATTACCATACGAAATATTTGGCTACTCGAGTCTTCACGACATGCTTCAAGCATCAAAAGCAGAAGCGGCAGCCTTGATGTTCATGCGTGGTCAAGAGCAGAGAGCCCTAGACCTGGCGCAGAAGCTCAACACCAAGGTAGAAGACCTGATCAAACATGGATTTGTCAAGGCGATAGCCTTTGCCATCGCCCATGACACGAACACGTCTCGCTCCGGCGATTCGAGCGCAGAAACCAGCATTCGCAAACGTCTGGGCAAGGAACCCTACCTGGACTCCATCTATGCCCACTTCGCAGACATCGTTGCCCTTTTCTTTGACCTTTTCGACCAGGAGGACCCCCTGGAAAAGTACTTCGCCAAGGACGAGAACTTTGCCTATGCCGCTACCAATATGGAGGAGATGAAACAGCATTCCCACTCTCAAGTGGTTCTACCCGGCAACCAGCAGCCAATGTTCAAGGGGAAGTATCTACTCCGAGAGCTGTTTCACCTGTGCAGCCGGACAGAATACGAGTTGCAGAGCATCTGGACACCAGCGCTGGTGGTCCATGTTGCCAGGAGGCTTCTCAATACCGTCCATCCGGCCCTTGGCTCACTGCATGCATGCTCCGTACTGCGGAAGGTCCGCGTTCTCGTCGCATTGGCAGGTCCCGTTGCGCTGGAGTTATACCCACTGGAAATGCTCCTTCATTCCATCCGTCCCTTCATCGTCGATTCGGAGTGTGCGGATGATGCGCTGGGGGTGAGTCAATACCTCATCACCAGGGGTTCAAAACACCTCGAGCAAGTGCCCTCCTTCCTGGCCGGGCATGCTCTCTCCACATTGGCCTCTCTCAGGGTGTTCCTAGAGTCTAGCCAGTCGAGCACAACACAGGAGAGCCAATTTAAAGCCACCATGAGCAAGGCCCAGCAGTTCCATGGGTGGTTTTCCAAGTACCTGTCTCGGTATGAATCCCCAGCATTTGTGGAGGAGCGTCAGAGGTCTTCTTTCAGGACCATCACCCAGGCGGCGTCACGAATTCGATCGTCAGGGAATGCAGAGAGCGGCACGCACGAGAGTACTCTTCTTCTGGAGATCCTGGGAGACGATGAGCGCGAGAACAAGCTGTTGAATGAGGGCGCTCGCGAACTAGCCCTTGGAATGCTTTGCGGGGACTTCGTTGTTCCCGCCTCGGTGCGCCTCGATGTTATTGACGATGATCAGAAGGCTCTTCAGCACAGCGGGCCTGTGTGGAAAAGTTGTAAAGCTCATGCGCTCAGCGACAAGTACCTGGCGTGGGCTGGGCGCGTTGTCGGCCGTTCGTTCGCTGCGTCGGGTGAAATCCCGTTGGATTTGCTGCGCGAATCCGACCTGGCGAAATACGTCAAACTTGCCTCGGGGGTAAACGGCTCGGAGCAAGGACTCTTAACACTCCTCCAGAGGCTGACGGTGAACAAGACTTCGTTCACGGCCGGTCTCGCCGAGTCGGCCCTTAGATTGGCAGTGTCTGAAGCCGCAGTCCAGGAGGATCAGTCTCTGCTCATCGCGGCCCAAAAGACTCTTCACGAACCCTTATATCTGGCATCGGAATGGCATCCCTACCGAACACCGCCGTCTGATGGTGTCTCTTTTACTCCTTCTTCGAGGCTCTCGGATGCTCAGCTCTTCTCTCGGGAGCACATCGGAGAGCCAGGATGGATTCAGAACTTGTCCATACACCTGTCCCAAGCAGCTCCCGATTCCACCATTCTCAGCAGTCTACTACCGGTTCTTACCCGCGTCAAGGGCTTCGCCGAGGAAGCTTTCCCGTTTATCTTACACCTAGCTTTGTATAGCCAGCTAGACAAGCAACAAACCGTCAAACGACACTTGTCTGAGGCAATGAAAAGTTGGTTTCATGACACCAACGAAGCATCTCGTACGAATCAGAAGCACCTCATCAATGCGCTCCTTTACCTCCGCACTCAACCATTGCCGAACGAGTCGTCCATTGCGGACCGCACTACTTGGATAGACGTGGATTTTCCTTCAGCATCCTCCGCTGCCTCGAGGTGCGGTATGCACAAAACGGCCCTACTCTTTATTGAATTGGCCTCCTCCCAAACAACTCGTACATCCCGCAGATCGTCTGCGGCTCGAGAAGCAGATACGTCGGGTGTTCTGCTCACAATCTTCGAAAACATTGATGACCCAGACGCATACTATGGCTTGGCCCAGGCATCGAACTTAGCCACCGTATTGGCGCGGCTCGAGTACGAAAACGATGGGCCGAAGAGCCTTGCGTTCCGTGGAGCCCAATACGACAGTCATGTCCGTCGTAGGGATCTTGCCGCGCATTCGGACGGTCTCTCTCTCGTTAGGGCGCTGAGCACGCTAGGGCTCTCGGGCCTGTCCCACTCTATACTCCAGACGCAGCAGAGCCTCGACGAGAACACGGATTCCATCAACGACATGTTCCACACAGCAAGGAGACTGGAGATCTGGAATCTTCCCGTGCCGAGCTCAAACAGAAGCCATGCCGTCACCATGTACAAAGCTTTCCAGAGCATCCAACAGGCCCACGACATGGCTGACGTCCGCCATGCCATCCACGATGGACTCTACAGCACAATGCGGAGCGCCACGGCTCATGCCATCAATGCGGCTTCCCTGAGGCAACATTTAGGAGCCCTGGCCGCCCTTACCGAGTTGGATGACGTGATTAATGTGTCGGACGGGAATGACTTGGAGAGCTTGCTTCATCAATTTGATTACCGTGGGCGATGGATGAGACGGGGTCGGTAAGTGGGGGGTTTTTTTTTCTTCTTTTCTTCTTCTTTTTTTCTTCTTTCTTCCCCCCCTTGAACTTCATGACAAGGTGCAATGATCTCATTTAAGGACAGATATGACGACGTGAGCCAGCTTCTATCATGCCGCGAAACGACAATGAGCCTGCTCAGCCAACAAGGCAAGCTGCGTGCTTCGGCGAGCCTCACCACGGCCCAGGCTAGACAGACCGAAATCCGATGTCTCTTACTATCGTCCGGAATCTACCGTTTCCATCGAGCGACGCAAGAGTCGCTCAACTTGTCAACAGCTCTCACGGACCTTATTAACCCCTGCCAGGAGCTGGGACTGAACGTCGACGCAGCCATCAGGGTCGAGTCGGCAAACTCGCTCTGGGACCATGGAGAAATGATCTCGTCGATCCGAATGCTCCAAAACATCGACAACGATGTTGATTTTAAGAAGCAGAGCATATCTCTCAGTCGATCGGACTTGCTATCCAGGATTGCGCACCAGGTCTCGGTGGCGAGGCTGGAGAAGCCGCACGACATCCAGAAGAACTACCTCGAACCTGCGCTGAAGGAACTCAAGGGGAAAAGTGAGGGAAAAGAGGCCGGGAAGGTTTTCCATCAATTCGCCGTGTTCTGTGACGAGCAGCTTCAGAACCAAGACAGCCTGGAAGATCTAGCCAGGCTACAAGGACTAAGGAAGGGCAAGAGCGACGAGGTGGCTCAGCTCAAGTCGCTCATATCGAGCACGAGGGATACGCAGATGAAATCGAGATATTCATCGCATCTCGCACGCGCCCAGCAGTGGCTGCAGCTAGACGAGCAAGAACTACGACGCGTAGTACAGACCAGGGGCGAGTTCGTTCGGCTCAGCCTGGAAAACTACCTGCTGTCACTCATCGCATCCGACGAGCACAACAACGACGCGCTGCGGTTCACCGCACTCTGGCTGGAGCGATCCGACGACGACGCGGTCAACGATGTCGTGCGAAAGCGCCTCGACAAGGTCCCGACAAGGAAGTTTGCAGCGCTGATGAACCAGCTGTCGTCGCGTTTACAGGATCAGTCCACGTTATTCCAGCGGCTTCTGCTAAACCTCGTGCACAACATTTGCGTCGAGCATCCGTACCACGGGATGTACCAGATCTGGTCCGGCACGAAAGTCAAGGCCAATAGCCAGGACGAAGTCGCGGTGCTCCGGCAGAAAGCAACCGAACGGGTAGCGAAGCAGCTAGAGAAAGACCCTACCGTCGGGGCCATTTGGCATGCCATAGATAGAACGAGCGGCTACTATCACCGGCTTGCGGTGGATAGGGACCCCTCCAGGTATAAATCCGGGCAGAAGGTTGCTCTCCGAGAAACGGGATCCGGCAGTCAGCTTGTGAGCGCACTCAACAAGTATCAGATCCCGCCCCCGACCATGCAGCTCGAACTCGCGGCAGACAGGGATTACTCGCGCGTCCCCATCATCGCGAAGCTCGAGCCGCACATGTCCATCGCCTCGGGGGTCAGTGCGCCGAAGATCATCACGGCGGTGGGCAGCGACGGGCAACGGTACAAACAGTTGGTGAAAGGAGGCAACGACGATCTGCGACAAGACGCCATCATGGAACAGGTGTTCGCGGCAGTCTCGTCACTACTCAAGCTGCACCGGGAGACGCAGCAAAGAAAGTTGGGGATCAGGACCTACAAAGTGTTGCCCCTGACATCGGCCTCGGGACTGATCGAATTCGTGCCCAACACAATCCCGCTGCACGAGTTCCTTATGCCCGCGCACGAGCGATACTACCCCAACGACTTGAAGGGGGGCCAGTGCAGGAAGGAGATATCGAACGCCCAGGGCAAGTCGGGCGAGGTGAGGATCAACACGTACCGCAAGGTCAAGGAGCGGTTTCACCCGGTGATGCGGTACTTCTTCATGGAGCACTTCGTGGACCCGGACGAGTGGTTCGTCAGACGAACGGCGTACACCCGCACCACGGCGGCGATATCCGTGCTCGGCCACGTGCTAGGCCTCGGGGACAGGCACGGGCACAACATCTTGCTGGACCGCAAGACGGGCGAAGTGGTGCACATCGACCTCGGCGTGGCGTTCGAGATGGGACGCGTCCTTCCGGTGCCGGAGCTCGTTCCATTTCGACTGACGCGGGACATTGAGGACGGCATGGGCATCACGAAGACGGAGGGCGTGTTCCGGAGGTGCTGCGAGTTCACGCTGCACGCGTTGCGGGAGGAGACATACTCGATCATGACGATCCTCGACGTGCTGCGGTATGACCCGCTGTATTCGTGGTCTATCTCGCCGGTGCGGTTGGCGAAACTTCAGGATGCTCGGGCTGGCGGCGGCGGCGGCGGCGGTGGTGGTGGTGGTGGTGGTGGTGACGGCGGGGACGGCGATAACGGGGCACAGAGCGACGACACGGAGACAAGCAGGAAAGGAAGGAAGGGGCCAGGGGCTCGGGTGAACGAGCCGTCAGAGGCCGACAGGGCGCTCGAGGTGGTTAGGAAGAAGCTTTCCAAGACGCTGAGCGTGACTGCGACGGTCAATGACTTGATCAACCAGGCCACGGATGAGAGGAACCTGGCTGTATTATATTCGGGATGGGCTGCGTATGCCTGATAGATTCATCATAGACGAGTAACGAGTGTATTTACTTGACGAGTTACAGAAGAGTGAGTGTTCTGTACCTTAAAGGTAGCCAACATGATCTTGTCGAGAATTATTGTACAGAAGAAACCCTGAAGCAGGCTTTCTCCCACATTTGTGCTTCTTACATAAGGTACTTCTTGCAGGTACTTCGTGATTACGGGTCACATGTTGTTTGCCTCGGACCATCGCGATACAGTGTAATTGCACGGTGCGGGTCCCTCTTATCTGTAGAAAGCTTCGTAAATCGTAAACCCGTTCTTATCTCCGTCCGCTAAATTGTGACCCACAAGAGGTACGCAAGGTATGTACCTCAGATGCTCGCACCCTAAGGTACCTTAGGTCTTAGGTACTACAGTAAAACGGTGATGCTGTTCACCCAACGCAGATAGTACGTATCTACCGTATACTCCGTACCCTAGAGGGCTCCTTCAGGTTGTAGACGGTCTCGCCATCCTACTAATGATGTCCCCTCAGTCTCATCACTGTCATCTCTGTCATCTCGAGGACCAAGAAATTTCTTAGCGTCACGAACGATACGAGGCTCAGAAGAGACCTTCTAGCTGCACGCTGCCAACGGCTGTACCGATAGACAAACGACCCAACCGAACACCCCTCATCATCATATTCCCCGTCAAGAGTCCGACAACACGACGCGTAGGGCATCTGTGGAACACCCGTGGCCACTCCAGCCACGCTCTGGCATGCCTAGGCCGAGAAACAATCAAAACACCATCGAGGGAGCGCTGTCATCACAGGCCAGTACAACGGGCCATTCCTCTCCAGGCGCCGGCAGAGGTCAGGCTGGCGCTCCCACGAACGCAACCAGCAGTCCTACCCTCCGAAGACCCCGCGTCGATTCAGACTCGTCGGGCACCGGCTCCGGGCTTCAGTCATCCGATAGGCACCCGCAATCTCCAGAACAGCTGGGGAAACCCCATCCCAAGCGGTTCAAGTCCGATTTGACCGACGCCCAACCGTCCGCAAACCCTACCATGTCCGGCAAGATGAAGGGCAAGCTTCCCGACAGGCAGCCCATCGACCTGACCCAGCAGACCGCATTCCGGCCCTACGCCGGCGCGAAGAAGCTTGTCATAAAGAACCTCAGGACGTCGTCGACCGATGAACAGAGCGAAACATACTGCAATCGCACGGAACAGGAACTCAGGGAAGCTCTGGTCGCCATATTCAGGCAAGAACCGTTGCGACTGTCTCTGGAGAGGCTTTATAGGGGAGTCGAGGATATGTGCAGGCATGGCAGGGAGAAACATATATACACCCTCCTCTACGACGTCCTCGAGACTCACCTGCAAAGCGACGTCTGGCAAATCGTCTCCGCCGAATTTGGTTCCGACAATATTGAGATGCTGCGGGTCGTGATCAAGCAGTGGCAGCTACTCAACAGGCAGATTGTAAGCTGATATGTCTTCTCCCTGTTGGTTTCTCGAACTTGATCTGTGCTGTAGCTCACCATGGCTAAAAAAAAAACCCAAAAACCCTCGCCGCACAGGTCATCGTTCGATCCATATACAGTTACCTCGACAGGACGTATGTCCTGGGGGACAAGTCGCTATACTCTGTTAACGACTTGACGATTGCGCACTTCAGGAAGATGCTGTGGGGCGAGAAGACATCGCTGTCACCCTGGGCCCGATGTGTGGCTGCCGTTTGCGACATGGTTGCCTTTGACCGGGCAGAAGACAAGCGCTTCGATTCCGGACTACTACGAGACAGCATCATGATGTTCCATGTCCTCAGCATATATCAAAAGTCCTTCGAGAAGGCTTTCCTCAGCGACTCGAAGAAGTATTTCTTCCACTTCGCCGAGGAGAGAAGCGCGTGGAGCCTGAAGGAGTATATCCTAGCCTGCACAGAGTTCCTGGCCTCCGAGGGCCACCGCTGCAATGCGTATAACTTTGACACCACGACAAAAAAGCAACTCCTCAATTCTGCGCATGACATCGTGATCATAGACTACACGGAGAAGCTCCTGAACCCCGAAAGTCTGGCCAAGCTGTTGGCGGAGAACGAAGTGGGCTCGATGAAGGCGCTCTACGATCTGCTGCGGCTGTCTGGGATCCAGATCAAGCTCACGGTGCCCCTGACCGAGTACGTCCAACGAGCCGGCGCGGCCATCGTGGGGGACACCGAGAGGGGCGACGAGATGGTTATGAGGCTTCTCGAGCTGAGGAGATCTTTGGATATCATCGTCAGGGACGCTTTCGGGGGCGACGAGAAATTCGTCTACGACATCCGCCAGGCCTTCTGCGCGTTCATGGACGACCGACAAGCCACCTCGGGCTGGCCGACGGGCACGTCCAAGATTGGGGAGATGATCGCCAAACACATCGACCTTCTACTGCGCGGCGGCATCAAAGCCCTCCCCAAGACCCTGCTTTCCGACCACAAGGACCGTGCCGCCGCGGAGCAAAGCGGCCAGTCGAGCACAGGAGACGAAGACGCCGAGCTAGACCGCCAGCTGGATCAGGCTCTCGAGCTCTTCCGGTTCATAGAGGGCAAAGACGCATTCGAAGCTTTCTACAAAAAAGACCTGGCCCGCCGCCTGCTCATGGGCCGGAGCGCCAGCCAAGACGCGGAGCGGAACATGTTGAGGAAACTGCGAGACGAGTGCGGTGCTAACTTCACCCGCAACCTCGAGCAGATGTTCAAGGACCAGGAGATCGCCAAGGGAGAGATGGAGGCATTTAAGGAGCATACCGCCAGGCTCGAGAGCCAACCGCCTGTCGATCTGCAAGTGATGGTCATCTCCGCCGCCGCCTGGCCGAGCTATCCCGAAGTCCGACTCCGCATTCCCAAGGAGATCGCCAAGGAGGCGGGACGGTTCGAGCAGTGGTACAAGCACAAGCACGAGGGCCGGAAGCTCACCTGGGCGCACTCCCTGGCCAACTGTACCATCAAGGCCATTTTCCCCAAAGGCACCAAAGAGCTGTCCGTCAGCGCGTATCAGGCGGTGGTCCTCGTCCTCTTCAACGACGTAGGTCTGGACGATTTCCTCAGCTACGAGCAGATCAGCACCGCCACGGGTCTCCAGGGGGGCGACCTCGACCGGACGCTGCAGTCGCTGGCGTGCGGCAAGGTGCGGGTGTTGACCAAGCATCCCAAGGGGAGGGACGTCAACCCGACGGACACGTTCACCATCAACAAGGCCTTCTCGGACCCCAAGATCAAGATCAAGATCAACCAGATCCAGCTGAAGGAGACGAAAGAGGAGAACAAGGCGACGCACGATCGCATCGTGGAGGATCGCAAGTACGAAACGCAGGCAGTCATTGTGCGGATCATGAAGGCGCGCAAGACCATGGGCCATAGCGAACTGCTCGCCGAGGTGTTCAACCACACGCGGAAACGGGGGCCCCTGGATCCGTCCCAGGTCAAGAAGATGATCGAAACGTGAGTACTGGCCCTTCGCCCTTTGGCCATTGGCCGGGGGCTCCCCTTGATAAAGAATACGATCTGACTAGAACTAGGCTCATCGACAAGGACTACCTCGAACGAGAGGGAAATATGTATCACTACGTGTCATAGGCATATGGTTTCGCTTCATGTTTGTTTTGCTGCTGGACACAGGCTGGACTACGTAGTGTTTCGTTTTCTCTTCATTTACTTGTGTGCAGGTTTTGGGAGAACACACTCGGGAGGGAAGACATGAAGAGCATAACTCCTCTCCCTGACATGCTTTACCTAGGACAGAATGCGCATGTAGGTTGCAGGAGGATTATGAGAAACGTCCAGTTGCATCGGACTGAAGCATCGACTTGGTTGGATCTCACGAACAAGGTGCCGGTCTTATGTAAGCAACCCGACGGCGGGGGGGTAGGGACGCAAGTCCCGTCCTATTCTCGAATTTTGACGGTTATCGATAAGATTAGATTTTCAGCGTCTCCCATGGCGGAGGCACACCGGGCGAAAAAAATCCACCACCACCATTGAAGGTGGGAATACCTACATATTTTTGTGATAGTTCTCTCGGTCGCAATCACAAGACGTACGGCGCTTCCGACTAAGCAGCAATTAACGTTGTATAAAGAAATTCCTCCCCATCTTATATACCCGAAGAACCCGAGACCAAAGAACTCAAAAGACAAAGCAATAAATACCCCGAACGCTATAAAACAACCCGACGTCAAGATGCCCAAGTCAAGACGGAATCGCGTCGTGGCCATGACGCAGGTGTCTAAGAAGACACGGGAGCAGAAAGACAAACTCTTCAACACCATCCGCGAGGCTGTCCCGCAGTACCAGCACTGCTTCGTCTTTGGCGTCGAGAACATGCGCAACACCCACCTCAAGAACGTCCGTCACGAACTCTCCGATTGCAGGTGCGTTCTTCTCTCCCTCTCCCTTTAGTCCTCGTCATCTCCTCATCTCCTGCGCCTTCCTCCTATACCGTGATTTCCCATATGTCAAACCCAATACAGTCGTGTGCTAATTACGAATATTTTCGTTTTCCACTACACAGGCTCTTCTTCGCCAAGACAAAGCTCATGGCCAGAGCCCTCGGCCAAACCCGCGAAACCTCGCTCCTCGACGGCCTCGAGGATCTCACCCGCTACATCAACGGCACGGTGGGCCTGCTCCTGACAAACCGCGACCCGGAGGCCATGCTCTCCTACCTCGACTCCCTGAACCCCGTCGACTTTGCCCGCGCCGGCGCCACCGCGCCCCGCGACTTCATCGTGCCCCAGGGCGTCGTCTACGCCACCGGCGGCGAGGTGCCCCGCGAGCACGACGTGCCCATGGAGCACAGCCTCGAGCCGGAGCTGCGCCGCCTCGGCATGCCCACCCGCATGGTCAAGGGCCGCATCGTGATCGGCGACGAGAACGCCCCCGAGGGCCAGACGGAGGGGGGCTACGTTGTTTGCAAGGAGGGCCAGGTGCTGGATAGTCGGCAGACGAGGCTTCTGAAGCTCTTTGGGGTTTGCTTGAGCGAGTTCAGGGTCAAGGTCCTTGCGTAAGATTTTTGCTCCTTTCCTCTCCTCCTTTTCTTCTCTTTCTTCCCCTTTTCTTTTCTGTCATCGTTCCCCTTGCACACGAAATAGTAGCCCGCATACCCTCGACCAAGACGGTGCTGACCCAACAACTACAGATATTGGAGTGCCTCCACGGGCAAAGTCACCGAGGTGAACCCCAACGCCACGGAAGATGTGCAAGAGGCTAAGGATTCCGATGAGTGAACCTTGCCCGCGCTTTCTCGGGTTCCGGGTTGAGGGGCAAAATAGAATGCCCAGGGATTGCTCGTTCAGGAAGGAAAGTGATACCATCACGTAGAGTCTATATGCGGCGTTCGGAGTTTGTACAGGGTTAAAAGCATTGTCGTCTTCGGTTGTTCACTCATCTCTCTTAGCATCGACGTGGTGGATATAGTGACGGGGACAGACCTCCAGGACATCATCCTGTACGAGCTATGAGATATAAACTAGCTGAATCGAAAAATTCCCGGCCATCCGTGTTCATACACAGCAACAGAAGGAAACATAGTAATGGTACATGTCGCTCGCTTCCACTCCAAACTCTTTTTGCGTCGTTACCTCAGTAGGCACAGAGATCCTTACCTCTGACCTTACCTGCATTCACGCCAAGTCCCGGGATTTCGATCGAATTATTGCTGCAACTGCAGCTGCGGTATGACCCGCTCCAAGCAGTAAAACTTGTTCACAAGATGGTCGAAGGTCATCGGGTTACCTTGTTCATCAGTCTTAAAAATTGGCAACGCAGGGATGCCCACCACAGGGCTGAAATGTTGCGGTTTTGCGATCTATCGCAGGCTTACCCGACCGAACGGTGGGGGATTATCTGAAGGGAATCCGTGTACTGATCGTATAGATACGACAGACGAGATGCGGCTTGCGAAATTCGGCTTACCCCTCAATTGGCGAGCCGAGAAAAGAGACCAACGGAGAGACAGATGGATGATGAAAGTTAAAACGAGAAGGAAACCCACCACAAGGCCTTCGGTGGGTGGCAACCTTGCTTAGTAGCGGCGTAGCTTTCGAGGGTCCTCGTAGCCGCCCTCAAATCCTCGTTTCCGGCTGTCGTCGTCGCGAGGGCGGTCATAGTCTCGGGCACCATCTCGGTCGCGGACTCGTTCACGATCGCGATCGCGTTCTCGGTCCCTGTCGCGATACCCACCTTCGCCTCTGGGTCGGATGGGCTCCATATTGCTCCCCGTACGTCGGCCGCCATCCCGGTCGCGATCACCGAACCGGTCGCGAAATCCGCCGCCAGGTCTATCATCGTGTGAGCGGCCGCCTCGGTCAAACCCACCCCCGGAGAAATTGCGATCGCCCCGATCGCCGTGACCCCCGCCACGCCCGCCAAAGCCGGGCCCGGAGGGTGCATCCCTGGGAAATTCGTTAGGGCCACCGCGGAAACCCCCTCGGCCCCCATGGCCGCCCCGGAAGCCGCGGCCGCGGCCACCTTCAAACCCGCCTCGGAAGCCTCCGCGGAAACCGCCATAGCCCCCGGGACCCCCCATAGGGCGTGCCGGGAGGGCTTTGGTGTAACCCCTGCCGCCGAGGCCGCCACCGAGGCGACGAGGTAGCCAGCCCTTGACCGTGCGGCCACGCTCGACGTCTACCTTGATACGCCGGTCTTTGATTCGGATTCCATCGCAGGCTTCCAAAGCAGCTACTCACCGCCGCGCCAAGGCGCATTTGTCAGTAAACTTTACCTTGGTTGCATATACCTCTTGGTTTTGGTCCGTGTGGACAGGGCAAAAAGGCAACAAGGGAAAAACGGCCAACAAGAAGGAAATAAAACAACATGTAACGAGCCGAGAAAACGGGCAAGGCTTGAGGGCCACGTGACATCTCGAGTAGACAGAACACAGGCAAGCCTGAGGGCCATGTGTCTGGGCAAGAGGACGAAAGCACTAAGCAGGCCGAGTCTCGTCATGGGAAGGATGGTTCGGTGGTGTGGTGGGTTTACCTCTCATGTCTCGTTCTCGCTCAAACACTACGAAAGCGTATCCCCTGTGGGGTTTCCTCTTCTTGTTCTTGGATTTTTCATGTGCATGTGTGTCAGTGATGATGCGAATCTGAAGTTCACAAAGTCAGCGGATAATCCAGTGAGATAGGGAGATGATAGCCAGTCGCTTCGGTGGGGTGGCATACGCGTTCAATATTCCCGAAGCGCCCAAATTCCCTCTCGAGGTCCTGCTCGTTCGCCTCATACGAAAGTCTCGCAACGACCAAAGTCTTGAACGCGTCGCCACGAATGTTGGGGTCCTCGTGAGGTTTGACTGCCAGATAGTATCCGTATCAGCATATGGGCCATGTCCCTTTCCAATCGCGAAGACCAAGACCTAGGGAGAACACAAGGTGGTCAGGATGTCACGTACAGTTTTTCGGCCCTTCGGTGAGGAGTCGCTCCATCTCAGCCTTGTGCCCAAGCTTCTTACGGTCCTTCATCTGCAACCAGCTCTCGGTTGGCACGTATCCGTCTTTATCCTTGTATTCGTGGAGCGCAGGCAAGAATTGCGCCAAACCACTGACGGGTGCTGTGCGCCTCTTCTCGGGCGGTTGATCAGGAGCTGGAACCCATCGCAGAGGAGGGCGCGGCGCGAACAGCGCCAGCAAGTTAGGCGGGAGCTTGTCGGTCATGATCGCCTCTTCGAAGGGTCCAAAATATAAAGAAGAATCAGCGACCTAGAGGATATAATGACCACCGGCGAAAGAGGCAGCTCTGAGTCGCGCAATGGGGAAAGTGGATGACCCGGTGAAGTGGTCAAAATCGCGTCGTGAGGCCTCAGCACATTATCATTATTTCCCGTGACGAAGGGGAAAAAAAACCGACAACAGGGAACACTGGGGCGTCGGGAGACGGAAGGAAGCCTGCATAATGCAAAGCTTGATTCTGATTGGTCTGATTGTGCGATATATGGAACATACAGAAGGTATAGGTTTCTGGTGCTTGGTACCTCGACCGAAGTTCTGCCGTCAAGTGACCGACCGGGTCGCATGCGCTTGGTCCAGCAAGAAATCTTGAGCCTCCATCGCGCTTTGTATGCCGACCTCCAAATCGGTTGCCTTTTGTACGCCAAACCGAACATCATGACGGTCAAGGCACTCAAGGCTCTGTCAACAGGCCGGGTATGCCCTCTATAATATTACAGCATTGCAAATCATTGCAAAAAATCCACTGACTGACATGTTGGTGTAGAATGGCCTCGGTGCCTTCATCCTCCAATGCAAAAAGATGGACTTCCACTTCTGCGACTGGGCCGGGAGTTCCAGGGGAATGAAGTAAGTCTTGCTGCTATTGCTGTTTCCCCCCGATTTGCAGGCTCGGGATTCCAGGTAGATGTCTTGTTCTGACACGCCATGTGCTTCCCAGCGGTTTCATCAAGTCGCAGCTCGCCAAGTTCGCCGCAGCCCATCCTCAGATCGAGGTGACCGTTTCTCCTCGTCCCTCGAGACATCCCATCATTGTCGGTCACTATGTCAATGGTCAATCGAGGTCGCTGTGCGTCAAGAATATGCAGCCCCTTGAGATCCTGAAGATGGCCGAGTCCCTCCGCGATACCAACGGCGAGAAGCTGAAGAGGATCAACAAACCCGTGTCGAGCATCAACCCTAGTGTGAGAGGTGTCTGGAGTCCATATCACGGAAATGGTATGGCTGTATAACAATATATGAGGATTGGATCGGACGAACCGTACGAAACGTACGAAACTGGACTCGAATTTATGGCCCTGGAGAACAAGGGAAAAAGGGGGCGGCCCATACGACGTTCCACCATCAGAGAACGGCATCTCTGATGCTTGTACACTACTTCATAAATTTCATTTACAAACAAGCGTGGGATATACCCTCGGCAAGATATGTTGCGAGGTTCTAGCCACGTGGGACCACAAGCGGTCCCTTGGATGAGATTTGCATGTACGCAAAAGCTTTTATTTACTTTTTTATTTCGTTCCTGCTCTTAGGGAATCTATTTTGGGGTTCATGAAAGGTAACGGAACCCTGTGGGCGGATTTTCAAACCCTTGCACTGGAATATCCCTTCGCGCCGGTACGTTTTGTTTCTCGACTCCCCGACCGATTTACTGGGTGCTGTTGATAATGTCGACAACTGGCCATCTAAATCAGCTTCCATTGCCCGGTATAAAGGGAAGACGAATGGAAATGGGGCGGAAGGGGGGTAAGAGGACATTGGAGAGAGAAAGAACTTACAAGCAGGCTTCAGACTGGCACCGCCGACAAGGAAGCCATCAATGTCAGTCTCCTTGGCGAGGTCGCGGCAGTTCTTCTCGTTGACGCTGCCACCATAGAGAATGCGGGTCTCATCGGCGACCGTCTCGCTGACCTCCTTCCGGAGCCAAGCACGGATGGCGGCATGGACCTCTTGGGCCTGCTGGTTGGTGGCGACCTTACCGGTGCCAATGGCCCAGATAGGCTCGTAGGCGATGACGATGCGCGTCCAGTCCGAGACCTGGGCCTTGAGGGCGGCGAGCTGCTTGCTGACAACGTCGACGGTGATGCCCTGCTCGCGCTCGTCGAGGCTCTCACCGCAGCACCAGATGACGCCGAGGCCGTTCTCGGTCGCGAACTTGGTCTTGGCCGCAACGACCTCGTCCGTCTCGCCCAGGATGGTGCGGCGCTCCGAATGACCCAGGATGGTCCAGGTGGCACCGCTGTCCAGGAGCTGCGATACGCTGATCTCGCCGGTGAAGGCGCCGTTGGGCTTGTTGTAGACGTTCTGGGCGGCCACTTCGACGTCCTTGCGCAGGCTCTCGCGAACGAGCGGAAGGTAGAGGGCGGGAGGGGCAATGACGACCTCTGTCCGTTTGAGTCAGGCGTGTGAGCGGGTATCCCATGGGTGTTGGGTATTGGGTATTTGTGTATTGGGAAGCAAGAGAAGCGGGGGAACGATGGATGGCGCTTGGGGAGCGCAGAAAACATACCGGCGTTGGGGTCCAGCTGAGCGTCGTTCAGGTTCTTGACAATCTCCTTGATGGACGCAACGGTCCCGTTCCTGTTGAATTCCAAACGCGAGTCAGTCCTTCGAACTACTCTTCCTAGATAGCCATGACGCGTTTGATGTCCGCAGTCGGCCAGTTCTTCTTCCGCTTCTTCTTCTTCTTCTTCTTATTTTTCCTTTTCTTCTTTTTGTATGTTATGTTTTGGGTATATCCCCAAAGCATCATCCATCCCGCTTCTGCCCCGCACTCACATCTTGAAGTTGCCGCCGACGAAGAACTTGCGAGCCATGATGGGCAATATGTTGACGAAATATTAGTCCAGAGGGGGGTATTGGCTATAGCAGGTATCCTTGGAGTATGAATTATTCGGATGCTGGACAAGAGATTTTATGTGTAAATAACGCAAAACAAGTCAATTGAAGAATTCAGAGGTAGAACCTCGGGTCTCAATGTAGCATTTCTCATTACACGCATGGGTACTGTACACTACCTACCTAAGGTACGGATAGTTCACTTTCCAAAGACGCCGTGGCGGCACGAAGGCTATGGCGGGGGTGTGCCTTCCTGGGATGGGCAACGGGCGGGGTTCTGCTCGCAAGAGCGAGGGGCAGTCGCTGAGATCATTGATAATTTAGGTACGTACCCATGGGTGCAGCAAGCTCAATGGCTGGGGGCGTATCTTGCCGAGCTCCGATAATGCCCCGGCCCAGAGTCCGGAAGGTGAACACATACCTTGCCTGTATTCAAGTCCTCCGTACGTCAATTCTTATTATTATTACTCATCCCACTATCGTTACCTCGAACATGGTTGCGATGCTATTCCCTGATCGAAAAACCTAGCCGCTCGAAGGAGGAGGGTCTGATCTATGCCGCAGGCGCTCATCATGGAGAAAACCCTTTGCCACGCTGTTGTTATCTGAATTCAAACTACACTAGATCCCCTGGTCGACGGGAACCTTGGCTGAGTGTCCATTGGCTACCCCAGGCCTGATAGCCTACCTTTTATGTATGTCTCCGTCTACTTGTCTGTAACCCCAGATCATTGCCTGGGTCTGGGGCATGCACTTCTTTGTTCCAGGACAAGCATAGAGTCGCCGTTACCAGTTTGGTTTCTTATCACATTAGGTTGTCCTGGGGCTTCCCAGTTAAGTCATTAATTTATGTGAAGACTAAGGTGATCGAGGTAGGTAGTTGGAGATCCGCGATCGGGTTACATAACAGCTTGATAGGTAGGTAATGCCTAACGGAGTGGTTGAATTCAGTCGCACCTGATAAGGCCGACCGACCTAAGAGCGGTCTGTTTCCCCCGCCGCCCTCTTCAACATTGATCAAATGTTCTCCTAACTCGACTCCTTTTGCCCTGGCTTCTCGCGATATTTGATGCTCACATGACCAATTACAGGCATTGTGCATCATGATTTTATTTCTCTCTTTTCAACAGTGCGCTGCTTGGTTTGTGGTGTTGGCACTTATATATCTCGGCCTCTGTCTTGCATCGCCTCTACGAAAGGTCCCAGGTCCTTGGTACACCGGCTTCACTGTGCTCATCCTGCGGTGGCATGAGCTTCGCGCAAACCGGACCCGATACGTCCACTCCCTACATGCCAAATATGGACCAGTTGTCCGGCTCGGTCCAGCCGAGGTCTCCTTCACGTCTTACGAGGCTATCAAGGAGATCTATTGCTCTCGCGGCAGCGGCTATGACAAATCCGAGTTCTACGACCTCTTCCGGGTGTTTGGTCGCAGGACCATGTTTAGCACGTTGTATAAGGAAGAGGCAAGTCCGACACGGCGGTTGTTCGTTGTTCTGTGCTTGTCGTTGTTATCCATCAGTTACCTTAGTTAGCTAGTTCAACCGATGTGCTAACTACTACAAAGCACGCCAAGCGAAAGAGAGTTTTCGCAGATCGTTATGCCAACAGCAACATCATGAAGCCGGCTTCGCTGGGTGGCATCCAAGAGAGATCGCGAAGATTTATCCAGTGCTGCGAGGCTTCTGGCACCGGCAGCCATGATATTTTCGTACGGATATGGACCCCCGCTGCTCCCGCCACCCTGCCATGGGAGAATCCTGGCTTCAACTTCTGACATAACAAGCAGATGTCACTCCATGCCTATGCCTGTGATTGCGCCACTTACCACCTCTTTGACCCCTACGGAACCAATTGCCTCCAGGACGAAGCAGATATGGAGATGATGTCGCAGATTACGGGAGACGACAGTCTACAAAGTGAGTAACGTAACCTACCCTCGTGCACCATCCAGTCCCGCCGCCCCCGGGTTTCGTCGACCACATAGCCAACGCGCGCATAACCAATGGTCAGACCGCCTCATTCAACACTACAGTCCGACGTTGCACAGGATGCTATCAGGCATAGTGGACCTCTTTGCAGAACCACGCGCAACCCCGCTAGCCGACAACTTTGCCATGGCCGCAGCGAGGGGACCCGAACCTTCACCCTTCACTCTCCTTAGCCGCATGCAGGAAAAGTCGGCTGCCGGCAGCCACCTCGACCAGCTCGACATGGCAGCAGAGGTCATGGATCACATGGTTGCCGGCATTGACACAACGGGCGACGGATTGTGCTTCCTGATGTGGGAACTATCGCAGCCGCGGTCATTTAGCTTCCAGGAGGAACTCCAACGTGAACTCCGGGCGCAATGTGTCGCAGATGACGCGCATACCGGCTTTGACAACCTGCCATTCCTCGATGCCGTGGTGCAGGAAGGACTTCGATGCTTCCCGCCCATTCCCATGTCGCTCCCCAGGCGCGTCCCGGCAGATGGCCGAACTATTGACGGCTACGATATTCCCGGGAGCACCGTAGTAAGCTGTCAGCCTTTTTCCGTGCACAGGGTCCACGACGTTTTTCCGGATCCAGATACGTTTAACCCGGAGCGGTGGTGTGAGGCCGAGGGCGATGCCGAGAGGAAAAGGGTCATGTTCGCGTTTTCCAATGGCGGACGTGGCTGCGTGGGGAAACAGTACGTGATATTGATCAAACCTTTGCCGAGATGCCGCAATCATCAGATGAGGTGATGAGTTCTGCGCCGAGGAATCCTGTTAACTGACATTTCATCATGATGATTCAGCCTGGCGTTGGTCGAGATGAAGACACTATTGAGGGATGTGTACTCGCGATACACGACGCTGCCATGCGACACGATGACGGCGGAATCCATGGCGATGGACGATCATCTGATATCGTCGAGGCCACTAGGCAAGAAATGCCTGTTGCGATTCATTCCCCTCTCGGAGAAGCATGAATAGTTAATGAGAGAGGGGGCACACTGGATAAGGTACTGCAAGGTGGAGAATGTTATGTGATGAGGAAAATTCCCGCAGTTCCTTCCAAGAATGGTGACATTTGAAGTCATCGATGCCGGTCTTCGTATGGAGGTTACCTCGTGGCCGCGACTACCTTACCTGCTCCGTACGGCGTAAGGTACTCCGTGATCCGTAGCCGGTATCGAAGTTTCTGTTCTTCTCAAACTTCCGAAATTTCCCAAACGGTCCGCCATGGCCCCAATTTTAGCACGTATCCGTAGTACTAAGAAGTATATTTCGAACACGAGGAACAATTATTTACTCGTAATCCGTGGGTAACAATGGGAGGACTGAGGAACTTGGATGAAATGGTACAAATTGGTACCTTAGGTCATGGAAAGGTACAATTGCGCTGCGTATTTGTACTCTGTACTCCGTCCTTGTCCTGCCAGCAAACCCCTGAAATTTGATCCAGGTTCGTCTGGCCGGCCACAGCCGAACTGAACGGAAATAACCTTCGGGGAAAGGAGTTAATAACTGCCTGAGTGTACGCAGCAACATGCCGTCACAGTATCAATCAGAATGTACTCCATAACAATTAACATTGTTCACTTCGCCGTCCACTTTCGAAATAGCAGCCTTCTGAGTCAGGGTTAATTAATAGAGAGAGGGGAAGGAGCAGGATTACGGTACTTCGGGTACGGAATAAATAAGGTAGGTGTGGTGAGGTAAGGTACCTTCCATAGAAACATGAACGTGGAGAAATTTTAACCAACGACAGGTTATTTACATGGTCCGTGTTGAAGATTACATAACAATCATCTCCGTAACAATTTTCTCGTTTTTCTTCTTCTTTCATTCTCCCCCCACGCCACATTCTTGGTCCACTTGACTTTAAAACTTTCTTCCTTCACCCACAGTTCACTCGTGCGTCTCTCTACCTCTAAATAAACCCCTTTCCCCCCTCGACTGCTTTCCAGCAACGTAACGTTATCCCCCTGCAACCAACGCAAACCACTTCCACGCTACAAAGTCATCAAAAGAATTGTCGGATTCATCCTGCTCTGACTTCCTCTGACGGTTGTCCAACTTCCCTTGAAACCTCCTGGTTTAAGCCTCTCAAAGCATCGCCATCTTCGCAGTCCTCAAGATTTCCGCTCCGCGCGCACGAGCGACTATATTTCCCCTCGCAGAGAAGGAAACTACACCCATAGTTGGATCTCGAGGCACGCAGCTGTTTATGTATCAGCACGACCAGGCCGCCGTCATCAGACACCTTCTCCCACCCAAGCTGCGTCCGTGTCGTATAGAACGGAAGCCTCGTAGTCCCAACATCACCAACGCCACGTCAGTCGGCTGAGACCTATTGTACTGAGGAGTTAATGACTTCCCACCAGAACAGACGACTTAGTCCCATTCTGCCCCATGTTCATCAAAAAACCTCTTGAGCATTGAAGACCCTTCGTTGCTCTTCCCAATCCACTCGGTGTGCCTACCTCGACCACGACAACTTCTCATGTTATTCTAGTCGACCTCCAACCAGCACCTCGCAGCTTCGCTTCTCGACCTCGTCTCTGACACTTTTTTTACTCGCCTACATTCGCCTACGCGCTCTCCGTTACTTTATCTAGCCTCATTCAGCAGCCCCAATCAACCTTTCACTGCCGGTCTTCTCTTCGTACCGACCTAAAACACCGCAATCATGGCTCTCGTCAACGTCCGTCGCGATGTCAGCGATGCCTTCTATCGCTACAAGATGGAACGCCTCCAGACCAAGATCGAAGGCAAAGGCAACGGCATCAAGACAGTCGTCGTCAACCTGAGCAGCGTTGCTCAGTCCCTCGCCCGTCCCGGCGCCTACCTCATCAAGTACTTCGGCTTTGAACTTGGTGCCCAGACCAACATTGATCCGGCCGACGACCGTTGGATCATCAACGGCGCCCACGATGCCAGCAAGCTGCAGGACCATCTCGACGGCTTCATCAACAAGTTCGTTCTCTGCAAGAAGTGCAAGAACCCCGAGACCGACGTCAATATCAACAATGAACGCATCCTTCTTGACTGCAAGGCATGCGGCCAACGTTCCGAGGTCGATCTTCGCCTCAAGTTGAGTGGCTTCATTCTGAAGAACCAGCAGAAGAAAGGCAAGAAGGACAAGGCGGAGCGCAAGGCCGCCCGCCGTGCCAAGCAGCAGCAGACTGCCAATGGAGGAGGCAAGGAGAACGGCAGCAATGGCGCCAATGGCAACGGCAGTGGTAGCGGTGGCGATGGCTCTGACGCCGGCTCCAATGAGAACGACGACAATGCAGGCGGCAGCGACGACGAGTTCGAGAAATTGAAGAATGATGCTCCCGAGCTCAACGGCGTGGTCAAAGTCAATGAGCACGAATGGGCCGTTGATATGAGCGAGGAAGCAGTCAAGGCCCGTCAGGCTTCGCTTCCGGGCGAGTTTAAGCAGAAATTGCATCTGGGAGACGACGAAGACGAAGATGGAGACGGTGGACCCACCGTCTACGACGAGCTCGGCGCCTGGATTCAAGATCAGGCTCAGGAGAAGGGTGGCATTGACAAGGTCGACTCTATAGATATCTTTGTCAAGGCCAAGGAACTCGGCATTGAGGGAAAGCACCGTTCTGTTGTCGTGCTTGTCTTGACGCTCTTCGATGACAACATCTGCGCTCAGATTCCCAAGCGAGCTCCCATGTTGAAGCAGGTGCGTTATCATCCTTTCCCCTTTTCATCCTCGGTTACCCTACATGCATCCCAAGCCGGCACGCTAACCTCATATGTAGTTCGTCACCTCCGAGCGTCATGAGAAGGCCCTCCTTGGCGGTACCGAACGCCTCTTCGGCAGCCTTGCCACGCAGAACCCGAACGTCTATGAAAAGATCGTCAAGGTTCTCCAGCTGTACTACACGTGCGACTTGCTCAGCGAGGAAGTTGCCACCAAATGGGGCACCAGGGCTAGCAAGAAGTACGTCGACCTTGCCACCTCCAAGAAGGTCCGCAAGGCTGCCGAGCCCTTCCTGACTTGGCTGGCCGAGGCCTCGGAGGAGGAGGAATCGGACGACGAGTAGGCACTTTGAACCGCCATTACCTTACGTTTCTTGGGTCTTCTTTTGCCTCTTGGGGGCACGATTCGCTCTGTCTTGGTTGTTCTACGCTTCTTCTCCCTCGGTCTGGTTCGGCAACCCACGTACCACCGGGGTCGGTGTATTTCGTTAGTTGTATGTTTGGCATCTGCAAGATTCCTCTCAGCTCCGTCACTCCCTTCCCGCTAGTGCCGGTTGGTTCGCACCAACTGCTGCCGAGGAAAGGGAAACATTCAAGTCGAGAAAAAGCAAGAAAAAATTTTAACGTTTCGGGCTTAAGGGAGATTCGTCATGCCTTGCAAAATCAAGGGGTTATGGTAGCTTTTATTTTCTAGATTGACAATAACATAATTGCTACCATCACTACTCATCTCGTACTGCTGATGTCTCTGCTAGAATTAATCCCCCCTGGTAATCGATCGCGGCGTACCCACGAGGAATGGATGCGCGCTACCTGACGGCCTGTATCACGAGCACTTTGTCTAGGTACCTACTAATAATTGCTGAGCACCCCGCGTCGTCAAATTCCCGGAAACGAACAGGAAGCTAGTCATCTGGAACCTACGCTCAATTCTGCAGGAGTGTCTCGACAGGCACGTATCATCACAAAGAATACTTTCTGAACCATGGCGTCGGTCGTCACGACTCACTAATTATCTCGCATCTCTTGATCGCAGACTAGACTAGACGTACGTATCTTGAGCACAGAAAAGCACCGTTAAGTCTATTCCGTAAAGCCAGATTCATTCCTACTTGGCTCCCCCAACATCCCATCCCGAACCATACGACCTATTTAAAGAGAAAGCAGGTAACAACCCACGCCAGTTAGAAAAAAGCCCCCGTTAATAATCATCCGAGATCCCAACTTGACCCGTCGCCGCATGTAGAATCCCGGGATATAAACCACCACTGAACATACCGTGGTATCCCCAAGCCGAGAAAATCCACCCCTTAATTGACTACTCGTCATCTCCTTCGTCCAGTAGAACTAAGTCACCACATACCAACTTGGGCGGCCGAGGTGTCGCCCCAGGAGTAACCACCGTTGTCAACGACTTTGGTGGTCTGGTCCCAACCGGCATCGTTTTCCCCAGCAACACCGGAGTCCCAAGCACCAGGCATGGTGGAAGACTTCACATTAATATCATCACCCTTTGCGTCGATTTCATTACTAGTTGGCCCCAGATTCGTCGCCAAATCTTGCTTTGGCGAGTTGGATTTCAATGATTTCTTAGATCCCCCAGAGGCGTTGGACTGGCCGCTGCTTACGCCGATATTGTTGGCCGGCTCGGTCCAGTTGCCATCTGTGGCGGCTGCATCCCAGTTCTCTTGTGGATTGGTTGCACCCCACGGCACATCACCCTGCGGGTTTGTGGACTCCCAATTGTTGCTGTTGCCCCAGTTGTCGTTGTTCCAGTTCTTGTTCGCTTCGGGCGAGGCCTGATTATGCCAGCCATCCGCATTTCCATTGTCCATGCCATCTTGAGGGCTAGATGGCTGTTGTTGCTCGGGACGTGGGGACCACCTGAGGTCAGGATGCACGGCATTTGATCTGGAGATGTCTGCAGCACGGTTGGCAGCGTCCCGGTCATACATGGCCGGGCCTCGATTGTTTCTGCAACTACCATCCCAGAAGTCTTTCGTTTCTTGTCGTAATCCGCCCTTTTCAGGGCTTTCTGCGCTAGAGTTCGAGGCTTGGTTCAGTTTGGCGTATCGTTCGCGACCTGCCCGACTCCAGGGGTCTGGCCGACTTCCATACGAGTACATATTGACATTTATAGGAACAGAATTCTGATGAATGGTGTTAGCTCAATCCACGTTCTTTCAGGGAGATATTGACTTGTTATCGCGAACTCACCTGGCTAGGTTGAGATACCTGCTGTGCAATGCCAGAGTCCCGACCTTTACCTTTCTTCTTGGCCCTCTCAGAGGCCGTTTCTTCAACGGTTCCAGACCTCTCCTGGGGGGGAGGATTCTGAGGTGGTGATATCTCCTCCGTCTCACGTTCGGTAGGTTTATCTTGGGCCTGGGTGGGCTCGGCAGCAGCACCGGTGCCGGCGGGGGAAGGTTCAGCTGCAGCTTGGGCCGGCTTCGCTTGAGCTGGGCTTGGAGGTGCCATCATAGGGGGACCGAACATCGCGGGATAAGCGATTTGATTCCAAGGCGACTGATTCTGGAACTGGATGTTGCCGGGATTGGCAGGATGTGCGAAGCCGTAGAAGTAAGGGTTCGCCAGAGGATGGGGAGTGCCTATTGGCAGGGCAGATCTCGAAGGATCTCGACGAGGGTACAACATGCCATTGGGATTTCCGTACACAGGACCGTGATAGACACGAAGTACGTTGTGTTGTGCATCGTGAAAGGCGTTAGGTCTGGGGTCTTCCATTCCTTCCATGGCATGTTCGACCTGCAGTATCTCGGCACGAACGGGCATGATGAGATTTGGTTGGCGAACATGATGAGCAATCAAAGCCTCGGGTTGCACTTTGCCCGCCGCCTGCCTTTTTTTTGGCCGATTCTTTGTCTTACTCTTCTTCTCGGACACGGCCTTCAAGGCCTCTGTTTCGGTGTCACTCAGAGGTCCTATATTATTGTCGGAAGCTTTCTGAGCGTTGGGTTGTTTGCTGGATTGGTTGCTTTTCTTAGACTTGCAGGACCGGCTTGACTTCGAATCTGCAGTCTCGACATCAGGCTCTTCTTTGTTCTTTGCATTATCTTTGGTCTTTTTCTTGTGCTCGGACTCCTGGTCCTCATCTTCAGGGGATGCATCAACCGGGATGTCTCCAGAATCGCGAGACCGTTTTTTCTTCGACGATTTCTTGTCCTTCTTGGAGGCCCGAGAGGCCGTTTCATCATTAGGCCCAGATTCGGAAGTGGACGTGTTCGCATCAGAAACATCAGCTTTGTTCGTTCCTTTCTCTGTCACGTACGTCAGAATACTATGTCCATTTTTGTGGGGGGAAAAGGGTTGAACTCACGAGGAGAGTCCGTATGGGAGGACTCCGAGGCGTCCTCGCCCCCCTCCTGATTAGAACCCGTATTCTTAGTTGAAGAGTCGGTGTCGGATGTGTCTCCGGTGTTAGTGGTTACTTCTTCCGAGTCTGTAGTCTTCTTGAGAGCCGATTTAAGGGGTTCCTTGTCAAAATGGACCTTCTTCCCTTCAGCGGGCTTCTTCGTTTCGGCGGCTTTCTCCTTGGGGCTGCCAGATCGGGGGTAGGTAATCTTGATCGTTTCCTCTTCCGACTCATCGTCGGTGGAGACTTCGACGCGGAATCGCTCGCGTTGCTTGGTGCGGCCCTCATGTCTTTGGCGCCGTCTCTCGTACTCCCCAACATAGTCATCGACAGTAAATCCGAGAGCCCACTCGCAGATGGTGGGGATCCGTTTCTTGACCATTATTCTTGCCTGTCACTGTTTACCCCGTCAAGGAGTAAGGTGATTGAACGACAGACAATACAACGTAGAGCGGGTTCAAAGAACAATCAATTCCTTTACCTAGGTGGTTCCTGGGCAGTGGGAAACGGCGTAAGATATGGGAACTATGAGTCCCAATAGGCAAATGTGGAGGAAGATAATGGAAGGAAATGGATAATTGGACCGAGGCGAGATATATAGGGAGGGAAGGAAGAAGGGGGGAGACTGTTGAAGTAGGCAAGAACTAGTGACACATGGGAAATAACACTGAGATGTGAGGAAGGACCTACCAAAACTGTCCTGCGCGACTGACTAGACCCGTGATATCTGAAAGATTGTGAAAGCCTTTTATTCGTCTGTAGACCTAGCTCGTCACGACTACCCGGAACCCATGGTACGTCGATTGAAGAGCCAGGTAAGGTACCTTAGGCGGTGTAACTCAGGGATACCGCCACAATGTGAAGACAAGCAAGATATCAATCTCTCCTGGTGACTTGAAGCTCGAAGGACAACGAGAAATGTCTCTAGCTTACCATATGTATAGAGGTTCAACGTCACAAATCAACCTTCTCTCTCACTTACGGATGATTGATTCACATGTGTCTTCCCAGACATGGAAAAGAGAAGCAGGTGAGAAACTGTCAGATACTGATATACCGAATATACCAAATATACATGATGACACATAAATCGGTATCCCGGGACCAAGAGACTCGAGGGAGGGAAATGCTCAAGGATATGGGGTTGCTTTGGTCTTCATTTTACCACTCACCTCCTGCCATGTGGCATTGTTTCTCGTGGAATCCGTTCCCATGGGCTCAATAATACCGTGGCTGAATGCAAAGAATTATGGAGGGCCAACTACAGTCAATGGTAGATTACTCCGTCAAGAATAGCGCTCAGCAATAGATCTCAGCGTCCAGTGATTTTGTGTATTTCCTACGTGTTTATCCTTCCGATTGGTACCAGTCAATGGCCATAAGCTGTCTTATCCCTTTCATTAGTCCCCAACGCCAACATCAGAATCCCTTCATCAGCCTCCAGGATGGTCAATGACTTGACCGTGTTAGATGTCTATGAGGGTCAGGGTGTTCTGATCGAACCTCGATGTTAGCCATAGTCTTGGAGTAAATTCCGGGCACTTGAACGTACCTTGAGTTGCCGGGGAGCCAAGGTCAAGAAGCATCAGCGCAACTGGGAAGCCGAGAAGAAATATGCATGCAATCGGGTCGGTACTATCTTAAGCAAAGAAAACTCCGTCCAAAGACTCTCTCCCCGCAGGCACCAGCATGATGCATGCGGCAACCTGAGTTTTACAGATAAGTCAGACATTGCAGTTCCTAAGGAGTATTGCTATTGGGGGTTACTTACTCAAGCTGAACTTGGCTGACATACCAAGTCACGGGGAAGAGAGGATATTGTTCGCCTAGTTGGGAAGACGGACGGCGTAGAAGTAGCCTGTGTCAGTGACATACCAGCGGCAGTCCCCAAGGTTGTCGATGGTGAAACGGTTCCGCTGGGTCCAGTTTCCGTCGAGCTCGCGAACAGGGTAATAGCGAGAAGGATCATCATCCGCGGGCTTGAAGTCCTGGGGTTCATAAAGACCATTGTTGTAGGCGAACTCCGCATTTTCCTGAGCGATTTCGCTAGCTGTACGCCCAATGCCAGTGACATCAGGAGGAAGCTGGGGCTTCGGAGCAAGGAAGGCAGTACCAGGAGGTCCGGCCATGCCGACGGCGGGTTGAGGGGCCTGCATAACAGATACGCCGTTCATGATAAAGTGCTGGCCCTGGACGGGCGTCGAGATAGGTCCCTGCATCATCAGGCCGGGCATTTGCTGCGTTGCAACCATGATGGGAGGACTGTTGTTGATGGGCTGAGGAGCCTGACCAATGACCGTAACATTGTTGGGTTGAGGCTGCTATGAAGAGAATGTTAGCCTGTTTTTTGATGAGGTGGGTTGAAGAAACATGGCCTGGAACCAGGAAAGAGAGAGGACAGAAGACAAAGACACGGAGAGAACAGGTATGAAAGAAGTGCGCCAAAAAAAAGGAAAAGGGAAAAAAGGGGGGGGAGTATATCGAAACGAGATACCACTGCATGAGATAGAGGAGGGGAATACGGAAGGGGAGAAAGCTGGATGACCACTTGGTTACCAGGTGTCAGCTAAAGATATTGCCTATGGCAATGTATGTACAGAGGGGTGACAGGCCAATAATAGAAAGCCTTGCGAATAATGGGGAGACCGACTTGCTGAGCATAGACAGGGACGGCGCCGTTGTCAAAACGTGGAACATAGAGATGAGTCATGGGACCGTAGGTGGTATCAGGGACGGGCGGTTGGAAGTGCAGCCCATCGGGACGGGGAGTTTGGTAGTCGCCCATGTTGGTTTGGTTCTCTCTCTGATTTTGGTGGTTGGCCTGAGGAAGCGCTTGATGATAGAGAAGAGGATTCACGTTTCCGTAAGTTGTAGGTGCAAGACCTGGATGCGGGAATGGAGTTGCAGGAGACAAAGTGTGTGTCCGAGAGACGTTGTTGTGAACAGAGGGGTTGAGGTAAGTGGAAAGATGAGAGTTTGGGTAAGGGTAAGGAAAAGAGTTGACAGATCGAGATGGGTCGGTCGAGGTATGCGTGGTGAAACCAGACAGGGCGTTGTTTCCCTCTTGATGTTCCCCGGACGGGGCAGGTGCAGGGCCGGTGGTGGTGTTTGCCTCTTTCTCGGCGGCAGGAGCAGCAGACTGAGTATTAGCTCCTGCCTGGTTAGGAGCCTTAATAGGGGGCGACTCCTGTGGGCCTGAGGCTGCAGTCTTCGTAGAAGGCGCAGCTGAGGTAGGACCAGACGTCACGGGTTCACGCCGGGAAGGAGCGGCACCTTCCTGCTTCTTCGTTCCGCCTGAGGGACGTTCTGTACACTGATGCCCCTGCTGCCCAGTTCGATCCTTCCGGATAGAAGTCGACGTGGGGTCCTCGACAGAATCAAGATTGTCCTGATGGAAATGGACACTTCGCTGTTGGTTGACGTGTTTCTTCTCCGGCATCTTGGATGACTTGGATCTCTTGGTATTGGGCTCCATAGTCGAGGGAGTCTGTTGCTAGTGTCGTAAAGGCCTCGTCGAAGAGTCGTGCAGAAGGGGTTGGTCGTGATGGCCTTCGGGAGGTGGATAGATGTTTGATGACCTTGGGAAAACGGAACAACGCAAACCTCCCGAATGTGAATAGTGCTGTGTGCGTGTGTAGGGGGGAAAATTGACTGGGTCGGCAGGGGAGAAGGGAAGCCTTAAAATAACCGACTGAATTTCCAGGAAGTTGAGCTGGGGGTTGAGGCCAGGAGCCAGGCTCACTGCTTATCGAGGTTCAAGATACGTGATGGCAGGCAGCAACCAAGTTATTCGAGGACCCTGCGTGTAGAGAACAACAGAAAGAAGCGATCGAGAGGCTCTCTTATTGTACTGCTCCCCCTATTCTCCCTCCTGGTGGAGTTCGAGTAACAATGCGTGAGGTTTGAACAAGGACCACTCTGCACTCTGCTCCTCGTGCCATCTCACACAAAAATATGAAAAGGGAAAACAAGTCTAATGTGACCTTCCACTCGGAGGACATAAAGAGACATGACTCGGTTGGAACAATGACATGAGAATAGATGAGAAAAATATCAATACTTACTTGAAGCATGTATGAAGCCCCTTTTGCAGAACGGGGCTGTCCATCCTGGTCACGACCGTCGTCCCCATCGTACATGACTTCTTTAAAAGGCCAGCAGGGAAAGCACATGGTGAAGATCTCGTGTTGATGATGATGCTGCAGACCGCGAGACTAGATAGTGGCAGTTGAGTTGTCGTACAAGATAAACAATGGATGGGGATTCGTGAGCTGACTGGACTCGCAGTACCGGGTGAGGCCAACGCGGGACTTGAGCTGGAAATACTCTGGCGTTTCGTAAGGACTAGGTGTGAAAAGGGAAGACGAAACAAGCTGCTGCTCCAAGATGGTTCCTGTTTTTGATAAAGATCAGAAGGAGATATCTCCCTCCTCTCGCCAGCTGATTCCCACCTACCTACCCTATACTACCTAGGGAGGTCACTTTTTGGGTGGCTCTTTCCTACACCGCCAGACCATCCTTTGCGGGTATCCACGACTGCCTTCGTCGCACAGCCGTGATTCACGGGTCATCCCTCATCTCTCGAAGCTGAAGAACTACGTGGCATGTACCTTAAGCAGTCCAGCCGTGTCCGTACGAACTGTACAAACTCGAGTCTGCCTTGGTACGACGGACACCAGATCCATGCCACAGTTCCATTCAGGCCCAGGTATGTCCATTTGCCTGACGATAGTGTCAGTGTTTTCACACATAATCTCTGCCCAACCCTACAATCGCTCCGTTGTTCTCAATAATCTATGATATAAGCCTGGTTCATGACCCGACACATCCTCCTTCTGTCTCTTCTGACCTTTCTGTGAGGCAACTATGCCTTTAAAAGGGTTGTAGTGGAATTGTTTCGCAAATGATCGCACACTCACCAGCATGTGTGAAAATGCCCGTCATTGCGGATCCGTACACCGGTTCGGGACTTACGGCCCATTTCCCACCTCTTCGCGGCCTGGACGGGAAGATCTCGCACACTTCCGAGGCTGGTGGTTTCTCGTGGTAGCTACATGATTACAACGTTCAGTGAACCATTGTGATCTTGCTTTATAACACGGAACCGACATTCTCAGTTATAATGGAAACTGTGGACATCGGGATAAACAGGCAGAAACAGGATGGCTTTGATATCGAAGGCAGGGATGGAAACCAATGGTGACGCACTGCTGCGACTCGAGCCACAGGGGGCGAGAACCAGTCCTCTGCCGGGCATATGGAAGGCAGCCTCTTCTTTCAGGACAGCGAGCTCTCTCATCTTCCGAACCATGGTAACTTGCCACGCCTGTGTTCAAGATCTCTGATCAGCGCCTGGTCGCTTCAGATGGGGTATGTGGTGATTGAACCAAGACGTAACGGGTCCTAGGACCTCTGCTCACCTTTCTGACCACGAGGCAGAGTCCATTAGACTTCAAAATGGCTTCCATGAGCTTCCGAAACGCATCTTCACCCGCTGTACGAGCTAGGAAATCCTAGTTCCTGTCAAGCCCCTTGAAGGAGCTGACTACTTCGTATCCACCGCGACAACTTGCGCTTCCTATGTGCCCTTCTTGTCGACTGCGTGCTGGAAGGCAGCTTTGAGTCTGGCAGCTTCAGTCTGGACTTCGAGATCAGCTTCCCCCACTTCCTTACATCATCCGCCGGCAAGTCCTGGGGGATGATATCTTGAGGATTCGCCATGCTGGGAACAGTTGGTATTGATGCGCCCCGAATGACCGTATGGCGCCCCTGAGTTCCTGGTCGCAGGGTTAAGTAACGACAGAAAGAGAAAGGACGGCAGAACATGAGAAGGCATGGAATTTAGAAACACCTCGACTGCGGAGGCAGCAACCGGCGATGAGACTCGGTGGTGCGAGAGTCCGCCCGAGGAGACGACGAGGAAGAGACCGATGTTTGATGACCCCCCGACTCCTGTGTACGCTCCAGTACATTGTTCTCGGACTGTCGACGCGCGAATTCTAGCACTCGGGACCCTCGTGATCGCGGGGCTAGGCTCAAGTTGTCTTACATTTTTTAACGTAGTAATCCGAACGCCCGTAACCATCCGACGCGTTCTATAATGCTCTTCCACACTGGCTAATACTGTACAATGGTGCGGGTCATGTCACCAGAGGAGAGATCGTACCATATGTCCGTCCGTTGCTGATGCTCCTTTTTACCCCGTTGAAACCCTCTGTCTGCTTTCCTACTCAAACATGTCCGGGAGCGCACGTATCGTGCATGCCCAAGTACCACCCGAGTCGACAGCAGATACGACTCCATGAATTCCCGATATTAATTAGGAGAAGATGTAAAAGGAAGTGTATGGTGATGGTGATGGTAGGTCGTGTTACAATGTGGCATGCTCTTGCTCGCCTGAGTGGGAAGCGGCAAAGAAGGTTGTCCGAACAACCTGAAAATGACACCGTTAGTGAACGAGCTCTCTGCTATGAAATAGACTACGTGATCCAGAATCAAACTTACCGCCCAGGCTCCAGCGACAGTTGCAACAATGCCGCCGGAAATCATCATTGGCCGAAGGCCCTTCGTGCTCTTGAAAAGCATACCACTAAGCGCGCCAGCCGCGATTGTGTTCGCGGAATCGTGCTTCCCTCTGAAGTAACCAATCGCGCCGGTGAAGCAGTTGTATGTGATGGCGACAACGCCAGCGGAATTACCGAGGAAGGGACCGCGGCGGGTCACCGCGTTCAGAACCGAGTTCAGCCTCAGCTTGGGCGGCTGCCCTTCGGACCTCAACAAGCCTTCCCGCAAGCCCCATGCGCCCCCAATACCCAGAGCAGTGAGATATGTTATGCCTGTTCCGTAACATAGGTCATCTGTGAAGCCCCTGGATGGAAGGACGGATTGGCTGCCGGGGACCTGGGAGAGGGCACCGTCTTCAAGTGTGAGGTATTCGAGAGTCTCTTTGTTCAGACCAGCGAGAGGATGGAGTTGAGAGGGGTCCGCGAAGGAGGAGCTTTGCAAGAAGGACTCGACGCCTTGACCCGCTGTCGGATCGAAGTGGGAGGAGGTTGTCGGCTCGATACTTGTGTGCGGTTGGTGAGGCTGCGCCGACGATGCGCCGACCGAGTCGGGTTGGGAGGAGGACTTTTGTCCTGAAAAGAGGTTCCAGAGAGACGACATGGCGTAATTTTGCTCGCGTCGCAGCCCACGGCGGTGGTAACTTAAGGCTGTGGGTAAGAAGGGATGCCACAGGGGGTTGGAGAGTCGGGTTCGATGATGAAGCTTCTTAATCTCGATTCAGAGGGTCAAATTTTTTTGGCTGTCTGGAAAGTCGACCAGTTGATCAAGAGTTCGGAGGTACAAAGGTACCTAAGTTCGGTTATTTTTCGGCCAAGAACGGCTGAGATGGAAATGACATCGGATTTAATGCTGAGTCAGACCGGAAGCTCTTGTGCTTAGTCATGTTTCCGGTGAGTTGAACGTCTTACCGGCTTTGAGCTGGGCTGAAAACATGATGAGACCAGTATAACTCTTCATCACAGGCGCTGTCTCTGCGAATCCCCAGGAATTGGCTCTCGGTGTCAAGGCATAGTTCTCCGTCGTCGGCTAAGTCAAGGAAGCTGATTCGTTTTGTTTGCGTTCACACGGGATGCACCTTACCGCTGGTCTGGATTCTCCTGATTGCTTGGGCATGGTTTGTTGCTTGTCTCCCTCCTCCCTCTCCAGCAACTCCTGGTCTGAGTCCTGCATATCGCGATACGTGGAAAGATGATATCCGCAATCTTCTCAACCACGTACGACTCAGAGTGCTATCATGGCCAAGTCGAGTCCCACGAAGCAGTTGGTTGCCTTCATATTTGGAAAAGGGGCCGACATCCCCGAGATCAATGCCGTTGACTCTGTGAGGAGAAAATCAGTGGTAGGACAGGCGTTGGTTCAGCGCGTTCCTGCCGTAACTGTGAAACAAACAACTGCACATGAGAAGTTAGGGAAAGGAGGTTGAGCATGCCTGGTGTAAGCTACATCGCGCTACCCTTGGGGAGACTGTTGTACATAGACGATGAACTTCTGCTAATATATGACTTTCATCGCTCCCCGATACTGACTTCAGCTTCTCCTCTTTCGTTTCTATTCTTTCCGAATCACATTATATCTGGTGTGTTGGACGATTGACAATCATCGTCTGAAACGACCGTCCTGCGCTGACAAGTTGAACGAAGTGCTGCCGGATATTGCCCGTTCGTTGCTGCCATATATTCCCTAGCTTCAGGCTAGCAGAATGACCGGGCTTCGTCGTGTCACTTTGGGCACTTGGATTCTTCAGGTACGCCACAAAACAACCAACAGGGAGAGGAGACCATGTGCTGCTCTCGGTTAGCTCTAACAGTTGTGACCTAGATTATATTCGCCATTGTGGTCCTGGGACTATGTACCGATCTGATGAACACCCAACGACGAGGCGAGCCACCGATAACTACGAAGTACGGCGTCTTCGCTGGTGTCTTTGGCCTCGTCGCCGCCGTACTCGGGCTGGTTGCTCTTTTCGTCGACGCCATCCCAGCCAGTATGGTTGTGTTCCTTGACGCAGCCAGCGCCCTTATTTTCCTAGCAGGCGGCATCGTACGTAATCAATTTCCCGACCCAACTGCCACTCGACGACTGACTTTCCAGGCCTATACTGTGGGACTGAAAGGAATAAGGTGCGAGTTCGAGGATAATAAGATGGCCGAGAAGCTGTACGAACACTCTCTTGTAGGCCTGGACGTTTCTACGGATGTTTTGAGCAACTGCAGAAAGGCAACAGCGAGCCAGGCGATGCAGTTTGTGACTTCCGCGGTGGCTCTCATCACGGTCTCCCTCGGCTTCCTGGCCCAAAGAGATCGCCAGCTTGGAAATCAGAGGCGAGCTCATGTTTGATAGCGATCATTGCTGGCTGAGGTTGGGCTGGCAAGAGATCTATACACGAGAATCGCAGGCGCCCTGGGAGCTGTCCTGTCTGCTTCGCGACGCACAAAAGACTGTTGGAAGAAGCTACCACGGGTGGTGGTCGTTTTTGGAACCACGGCAAAGCAACGCCGGCGCGTCAGTTAACTAGCCGGCTTAGAAATCGTATGCTATAAAGGAGATAGAAAAGTGTGGAATATAGGCTGTTCAGTGCGCAGATAAGAGATCATCTGGACTCTGCCTCGACATTCGCCCCGGCAGGATCGCGATCATTGTACGTCGCAGAGAATCCCCGTTGTATCCCGCACGAAGAACAGACACCAGCATGGGCTGTGTTTAAGCAGCCTGGCGGATTGAAGGCATCGGGGCACACACCATTGATTACTATCGAATAAAGAAAATGGGACCCGAACGTCATGTCCGAGAACCCCCCTGCGCCTCAGACGTGGAAAACGTCTACGGCATTAGAAGAGCATCACGGTTGCTTTCGGGGGCCGGGAACGGAAGGAAACCCATTGGACGAATAGTCGAGTAACCCTCAGCAAGCCGCATACGCGGAGCCGCCGTTATGAATTAAAATACACTTGACGGTGTAAGTTAACCCAACTGATGATGAAGAAAGAAGAAAGAGGAAGACCAAGATCTGGCGAAGCTCGAAAACTTTTTATTTGCGAAACGAAGTGGGGCAGAATTCAGGCACGGGGCACGCCTTAGCGAACGGCCCGTAGTTTAGCCGCACGAGGCTTACCAAGACGATGTCACGAATCGTCCTGAAGATCGGCATCTGTCGCACTGGTGCTGGGAAATTTCCTCGTACCTAGGTACAGGTTACCTTAGGTACTGTAACACTGAATCGACTGCTGGGTGTCACCGCTCTCACCAATCAAGCTTTCTTCTCTGACAATCTTAGGAGGCTCAACATAATTAAAAGCGGTTGAAAACCACTGCTAATATGCTGGATTCATTTACCGGATGGTCTAAGGCTGATAAGTGACACTGCAAGGGCTACTTGTACATCAGTCTGCATGTATCCAATATGTTCAGATCTGGAGTACTCCGTACTCTAGGTATACCTGGTATAAGGGGGGTGAGGCACGGCATCATGACGTTACGCTGTCGGACCACGTCCTATTTTGGTGTATTCATATCGACATGGCTTACCTACCTGGATCCTAAGGTATTATTCTCTTGCCCCACACATGATTCCATTTCATCTTCAGACAAGTGAAGCAATTCATCTTATTTGTACGCACCTGAGCGTCTATACGACATGGCACCAGTTTCTGCTGAGCCCGATATCAGGTAACTTGTCCCGCAACTCGCCGCCGCGGAATACCGTCTCACGAGTATGAAAACAGATATGTGCCATTGTTAGTAGTGGTCACTCACTTCATATCTGTGGTCGTCTTAGCTACCATTGTTGGTCGGAGTCTGTTCCTGTCCTACGTTAGCCTTCCACCTACCCAAGCCACACGCGCCCGGTCCGAGCGAAGATCAACCCTCATTCCGTTATTCGCCAGCCTCCTGGCCGTAAGCTTGGCCATCGCGGTGTACGAAGCTTCATCCTATGCCGTCTTGTCGTATAAAGTCTGGGCAGACCAACGTGCTGTTGACGTCCCAATCAGGTATGGGAGGATGAATGAATTCAGCGATGTAATAGTAGCTAACGCGTCTCTCCAGACTCTGCAGTGAAGATAACGCGCTGCTCGGCAATAATGCAACACCATCGCATATTGCCCGTTGGCTAACGGACACTGCTCTTTATATTGATGCGTATGAAGTCCTTGCTGAACAAGCTGGCCGTTTCTTTTGGGGTCAGCAGATTGAGCTTGCAACGATATCATGGAGCCTGCTTCTGTCGATTGAAGGTCGCCGAAGGAAAATCTCTTCGCTGTGGGCGTATCTCGCCTTGGCTCACCTGGTCAGCTTGCCATTCGCGCAGAACCTCTTCTATATTGCCTTGCTCCTCACTCCGACGCCAATGCCAGCCAGGGAGGATTCAGGATACTTAGACTCGGCCTTCCGAAGGGTTTACAGCCGCATATTCCCCCCAAAACCTATCAATTGGATGCCTCACCCGGCCCTGTTCCTCGTCCCGCTGACGCAAAGCTTCGGCGTGGTGTTCTGTCTTCCATGGATTGCTGGGACATCGTCCTTTGCGACGGCTGTGCTCTTGAACAAAGCACTCTCGTTCGCGCCACTAGTTGTCCCCGCCGTCGCTCCGCTCAACTGGGGTAAAGTCTACGATCACCCCCACAGCGCTTACAGCGCTCTCACAGATCTGTTCCGGTTTGTCTCGACGGCTACGTTTCTCCTGCATGCCAAGGCGACCGCCTTGGCACTGCTTCACAATGCACCCCATACCCATTTTCACAGACACAGCAAGCTCCTGCCATTTGATATGGGGAAGCGGAGGATATCGGAACGGACAAGCACGGCCTTCGCCAAGGTTTTGGGGTCGATGTTTGATCACCCTATGGTGACAGGTGTTGTGTGGGATGTATTGCTGAGCGGGGTCAGTCTCATAGTGTGGGCTTCGATTCGGCCGCTCGATGTGATTGACGTCCTCGCGGTTGCAACCCCCTTCTTCAAGAGCACAATCCTGGAAAGACATCACGAAGAGCCTTGCGCGTATGACGATGCAGATATATCAAATTCACCTGGTGGTGCTGATCAACCTGACGGTCCGGCAAGTTCAACCAGATCACGAACAAGGCTGGGAACGTCCAGTACGAGTCCAAAGGCATCGTCGAGGTCGAGTCGGGGTAGTGCCCGCCGAAAGAAGGCACAGTTGGAAGAGATGGAATACGTTCCGGGTCCGGAGAATCGAATGGTCGTGGAAGGGGACGTGCAACCGGATGAAGACGTGGACTGGGAAGCTGCTGGGTTGACCTGGGGATTGGCGTATCTAGGTGGACTGGGATTCAGCAGTGCGGCAGTTTTCGGAGCAGAATGCATTTCGAGATGAGGCATTACTTGTTTGGCTAGTTTGATCCGGTCTTTGGACCACGGGACTTGGCGTTGATCTATTTCCCCATGACGACGAGATGATGATGGGGTTATCAGGGGCTCCTATGGCACTTGTAGGGCATCAAAGGCAATCGGAATCGGGCGAATCATAGGGACACACGCTTGCGTTTCTCGTGTTGATGGGATTCCCGCCACATCCTCGACATCCCACCTCCCCCACCGACATTGCCATTTTAAGTCTCCGCGGAGAGCTGCACCAAGCGCGGATTTCGAAGACCCGCAAACTGACCTCCTGGGACAGCGCCCATTCCTTATCCCTAGTGGGCATTGGCATTTTCATGGACAGCCTACGGGCAATCGATCGCCCGACTAACCCATCTCGCTGCTGTGTTGAACCGCCTGGGTCCATCAAGGTCTAGTCAGGGAGCCCAGGAGGCGCGTTCATTGGTTCGCTAGTGGAGACGACCAAACCGTGTGTACGTTTGTATCGCAGGAATCGTATATTTGCACCCCCCATCCCCTGGGGTCAGATCAAGTCGCCCCAGGACCCCCAACTGAAGTCCCCCACCTTGTTGTTGCAAACCCCTCAGGGTTTCCCTTTGCGATGACGAGATCAGCCAGGCAGTCTTCGGGCAAGGGGAAACTGGGGCCCGTTCCGGGGCGCCTCAGCGTCTCCGACCTGCGATGCGCTGTATGTTGGTCATATGACCGATTCGAGAACCAACGAGAGGTAGTAGGCTGGCACAATGTCCGAAAACAACAGTCATCCAGTCCATGCCGCAGCCAAGTGTGCCTGACCACCATAAAAAACGGGTTGGCCTGCATTGCATATGTATGTACAACTTCACTTGTTGGGAATTTAGGGGGGGAGGGGGATATTGAGGAATTAATCTTCGCTACGAAGCAAAATCCTCATGTAAGTTCATCAAGCGAAATCAAGCGAATTGCCTTTTAATGGTGCTGATTGGGGCAATCCCCACAAGTTCAGAAACAGGCAGAAATTAGCTCAACTAGCTTGGACCGTTCCGGATACTTAGACTCCAGACCCCCAGGGTTGTCAAGGAAAACCTGTCAGATCCGGGATCAAGCGTCCTGTCCCATGGGGTTTGATGTTTATCAAGGGCGGTGAGGAGAGAAGCTGGAAGCGGACCAGCGAGAGCGGAGATGGAATGACGAGACTTTGTGTCGATGACAGATCTCTGGAGAAGACTATTGCAATGACATTTTTTGTCGGAAATTCATACCAAGAAAATGGCTTCTTTCGGTCCGATGTGATGTTGCCCTTTCCTTTTGCCCTGCGATCCGAGTACCAGACCCGTCTGCGCACAATGCCAAGGTTTGCGTTAGAAAATTCTCCTCGAGAAACAGTTAACCGAAGAATCTGGAAGAATATTTGGTGCGGGGGAGGGCGATAATAATCAGAGCAAGGTAGGTATTTGTCATTCTTTCACCTTCGCTGGCCATTGTGGAGGGCTGTCACCCGATTGCTGCGGACTGACCGAAGACCGAGGAAATCCCCCATCAACTTCTCAATCAGGGGGTGCTGAATACGAAACTCAGGGCCAATAAAATACCAAGGTTGCAACCGCCCAGCGCTTGAATCTTGGCAAAATTGTCTAGAAGAAAATGAATGTGTCACTGCGCCTCCGCAACCGCCGCCTACAACTGCCCATGTAGGGAGCCCGAGCGTGTCTTGGCGCCTAGACTCCGCCCATAATGACGTCGAGCTAAGGCAGTGCGTGCGACAGCCCACCGAGTCCTCTCTTCTCCCCCCCCCCTTTCTCTCCCTTCCTCGCACAGAATCCTTGTCCAATCAGCGAGAGGGGAGGCAGCTCCCCCAACCCCACGGAGACCCCGGTAGCCAGCAGTCAGGTACCTCAGTACTCCAGACTTCAGCGTCCCTCCCAATAGGAACCCGCCATGCTGTGCGACAACTCTCCCCTTCCCTCCCGCAATCCACCATGCACGGCAAGTACCTAGGTAAGGTAGGCAACAGACTTTTCCAAAGTGCCGCAGCGGCTCCCATCGGCGAGGAGTGGTCCACGACTGGCAAATGAGGCAGATCGAGACTGGGCAGCAATAACTTGGGTGTTCTGGGCGTGTTCTGCAGTCGGACGGAGTCTTATTAATCCCGTGGTCCGTCCCGAACGATTCGACTTGGCCCCGCCCGAATCCGTGGATTTGTGCACGAATATTATCCGTACTTCGTGTCGACGTGCGATTTGAACCCCCTTTGCGGTTGGCTCCCCACATCCCATCTCTGTTGTCAGATTACATTACCGTAACTAATTACCACCTATCAATGTCGGGGGGGGTTATGTGGGACGTACTGTATGTGTATCTTGTCGCCGCACCATTTGAACGGATGCGCCGATACAATTCTGGATCGCTTGAAGTTGCGGCTCGTACTCCGTATGTCCGGTGTTAGACTCCTTAAGACTGCCATCCCCCCGCTTTCATACTCCCAAGCCATCTTTTCCATCTTTTGCCATTCAAGCCCCCTTACTCCATTTTTCCGATGACTTGGTTCCCCCTGTTGATCTCGACATCACTACAATATAAACATCTTCCGTCCCCTAGTCCGTATCAGTATTCAATGTGCACCACGTAAACAACCACGAGAACATCTCGCCTACAGTCCACACGTGGTCGTCCGACTTGCTTCCAAAATCTCTGGACTCCTCATCTCTGCACACACTTATGCACCGAAACTTCCATCTGCCTGCCCTGGTATAGCCAGACCTCCTCTTCCCAAACCTCGATCCATCTGGTCCTCTCCAATTTTCCGTCACAATGGCAATCTTCGATGTCTTCCGGCGAGCGGACCGACGCAAGTCGATTCTCACCCCCTTGGACGCCTCCGGCCAATCGACGGGCCAGATCAACAATGGCTCGCGGACATCATTGAAGTCGGACAAATCTTCAACCAACTATTCCTTCAAGTTGACCAAGTCGTTCTCTTGGAAGTCACGCACCGACAGCCTCAGCCAGACCAGCAACAATACGCACAGCAGTTGTACCGAAAGCGGCGAAGAATGCGGCATCGCCAACACGCTCGAGCGTCCCGAGAAGGGGGTTCCTTCGTGGCTAAAGAAGAATAACAAGAAGAAGCAGAGAGAGGCAGACGATGACCCTCGCGAAAAGCCCCTGACAGCCGTCAACCTCGTCCACCAGGAGATGCTGAGCCAGTTCACCTGGACTTTCGGAAACCGGCGAGACAGCATCGGCGACCGGTCCAGCCTCTACGGCGACATCAGCCCGGGAACATCAAGATTGCCCAGCATGGACGGAGGCAGCAGGCCCCTACCCCCTCGTCACCCCAGCTCCGAAGTCCAGCACCAACAACGCCTTCACGACATGCATGACCAAGATGACCAATTCTTGTCCCCCTATGCTCCTATGCGCCGAAGGGCAGCATTGACCTTCGACTGAGATCGAAGACACCTCTTTTTTTCTTTTCTTTTTCTTTTCCTCTTCCCTTTTGTCACCTCAAATCAACTTTCCCTCTTCTCTGAGATACCCCGACATTTTCACAATTACATTTTTGGAATGCAACCAGCTCGAAAAACCCCCCTCCTGCTGGTGGTCCGCATGCCTTTACCGTAATGCCCTACACACGGGTGCCACAGCTGATTGGACCAATGTCCCCAAAATGGCACACGACACATGCATCAAGAGCCGACGAAAACGGACTCCCTGGCGATTGGCGATTTGCGATTTGCATCTTAATGTAAGGAGTACTGGCGCCTTTTTTCTGTTGCCTTTCCTTTTGCTCTTTTATTTACGTCTCTTGAAAAGTTTCTGGTCGGTCTTTACTACCTTCCACAACCAAAAGTCTGAAGGAATAGAGAGTCCGCGAGTGTTTCACAGATACATCCTTGACAGGGATATTATCAACGAATGAAGATTAGAATGAAATTTCAGTGTTCGAAAGAATTGCGGCGTGGTCTGACATTGGCAAATGTTCAGCCACTGGAACGTCTAATGAGGCGAAGTTAGGGGTTTGGAGGGACTGGAGCTGTTGTTGTGCGAGCTTTTGTGTAACGTGCGGGGGAGCCGAGATTCAGGTTGTCGGTCCCGGAGAAATGGGGATTTGACATCTGCAGGTTCCTCATGGCTGAAATGTCAACAAAGTGCGAGATAAGCTAGCGCTGCAGTACGGATGGGAGGCTAAAACGAAATAAAACCAACATTCTTATCCATTGGTGTTTTATCATCTGAGGGGTCCTTTTTGCTGATACGCGATAATACTCGAACGGTTCCCTCCAGTTTGTGCTACGAGGCAGCAATTAATAGATGGACGAAGTAATAATGCGATTGACTACCTAACTTGCGGGAAACTACTGTAGGTACAGCGTATTGTGCCTGTGCTGTCCGTGCAATCGCCACTCTACTCGGTTCTCCAACAAAGACAATGGGCAGAACCGGCAAGCTGGACCTCTGAAGATGCCGAAAGCCTTGCTCACTCACCGACGCAGTTGCCACCAGGGGCGATCTTGGGTCCATTTTTCGGGGGGAGTATAAATGGAATACCCTTGCACTCCCATAGCAACCACAGCCACGGGTGAAGGGTAGCCCTGATCAAGATTGTGTTTGGTTACGAGGAGAATTGCTAAAACGAATGCCGGGACGACAGCCTCTTTGTGGTATCATCCAAAGAAGAATGTATGAATGAATGTGTTGTATAGAATTGTTTCACAAAGAAGGTCCGAAAGAGGAGTCTCATACCTTTGGTGTCAGCGAAAGCTCCGTTGACAGACAACATTTGATCACACATGTGGCAACAGATAAATTACGAAATCCTTTATAGTCCCAACATATAATATGAAGAAGAAAGGTCCCGTACTCAAAAACGTTGCCTGTTTTCACTCTCGTCTCGTACGAACCCTGCACACGCCTCAGGAGGCATGGACAAGAGTACCGCATCCGGCTCAAGATCAGATGTCGCGTGGCTAAACTGACCGAGCAATGGCAAAAGACAGCACATTTTGGGACAAGCGGGAGCTCAATGAAATGGCGAATGCGGCCGACGAATGTATGGAATGATCGGGCGGACGGACGGATGGACGGGAGGAAAGGAGCAAAGGCAGAATCGGCGAGGGTCGACGTTGGAACGGTATGGAATACGGATACAGACCCGCAAGATGCACACATAGCACCCACGCAAAATGCATACCCTGTCATACTCTTGACGAGTACACGTACGGCCGAAGGGCCCGGTGGTGTGTTTGATCGGCATCATTGGCGGTCAACAGGACCTGCCCGATGTCTCCCGATGGAAGCACCTGTAGGGTTCGAAAACGGTTGAAATCGCGGGGTTTTGACAACGCTCAACCGTAATCCCGCCCTGGGGAGTCATGCATGTTGTACCTGTATGTTGTAGGATAGGGGACTCGCGTGGAGTGGGACAGAAGTTATAACAATAAAAAGCAAAGGTAGAAAGTCGCGCAGAAGTTTTTTTTTCTCACGGAAAAACTTGGTGTTCGGATATGAAGTCATGTGATAATTAGTAAACCACCTTCTTGAGCACGGTATGCAGTCTGCCACCCCACTGTACACTTGTGGGTGAAACGCGGATTGCGACTGATTCTTCGAGCAAGGTCGCAACGAAACGACATACTATAATGCAGAACCCAGACAGTCGGCAAAACACTTCGATTCATACATCACGAGAGATAGAACAGGTCTGCTCGTGCATAGTCTTACGAATCAAAGTACCCGATCATAACCTATTTTGCGCCCTGGCAGGCCATGCTCCGTTCGGATTTCGTTCCCAGAGCTGCAAACAGAACC